AATTCAACTTTCACAAGGTCGCATTATTTTTTTAATTTTAAGCTATACGTTTACGTCTTCATTTTATAAGTGTTGAAAATGTATAATCAGGTCACTGTAGTATCCGTTGTCTAAAACACAGATACCTAGTCAGTATTTCGTTTTCTAATGTAATTTAATAAATGTTAAATAAAATATTATTTAATTAAAATAAATAGTTAATTATAAACTAACTGCATGAATTTTTTTTTACCATATGCTATAAATGTACTTAATACAAAAAATATAAAAATAAATTTTTTTGAGTTTAGGTTTTATGGAAAACGCTAATTAAAGAATTGTACCAAATATGAAACATTGTGCATCAAAGATGTATAGCATGAGCAGAATAAACAATAAATATAATTGTTCCATATATGGAGCATTATGCAGTGAAGGGTTAACTGATCAAACAATGCCAAGCAAACATATTTTCCAATGGGAAAAGCATACAATTTTTTCAATTTCCTTATTTTCTTTTAGTTTCTAACAGTGGCATACTTCTAACTTTTACAGGTTTTTTCTGAGAAGTGATACACAAAAAAAATGTCGAACCCTAATCTCTTTGCTTTGGTTCCCTTGTCTTTATGGTCGGACCTAAAAAGGTGTATTATGCTTTTTGCTTTAAACGAAATGCTTAAAACCTTTTTTTAAAATCATTACTACATGTATAGTTGGTTGTTTTTAAATTTAAATGTACTAAATTAATTTTAAGTACATTTTCACAAGTTTTCTTTTTATCAAAACATGTTTGTTAGACACAAAAAAAGATGATTATAAGTACTTTCTAACGCCTAGCGCCATGACGCCCTCGCAACATGATAATTCATAATACCACTACATTCTTCAATTTGCTTTATTAAAAGTAATAAAAACAGTCTAGCTTATAAAAAAACGTCCATTTTAGAACATTAAGAACCATGTAGGACAGTTTTTTTTGTTCCTACCTACGTAAATATGTTGAAATGCCGAACTAAAGTATTTTAAATATCGTCAAATGCCTCCATTAAAAACAAAGAATATAATGACAGGTAGTAACTGTTATATATTACTTCAATTTTTGCCATTAGTCAAAAATAAAACAACCCTTATCAAAGTATTAGTTAGCACTAGGTAAACTGAAAACCAAATTACTGGATATTGTTATGTTTATAATGTGTTTGTGTTTGGTATAAAATTACTTACCCTAGGTAATGTCAGGATATTTAGGTATCATGCTTAGGGTTGCAAAAGATTTCATACCTTCTAATATTTAAAAAGTAAAATAAAAATTGTTTTCTGTTTAAATTTAACCATCTCCAACTTAACTCCACATATGAATAAAAATAAACTATCTTTTTATATGGTATTATAATACTATATAATATGTATAATTATTCATTTAATTCATTTAGATATATTGCAATTGTATAACTATATTAATAATCGTTTTGAGTTAGGTACGCGCTTTTTAATCAAGTAAAAATAGAACAACCTTAGGCTTCTTAATCCTATTATTTTGTTGGAAAATTCTAAAATATATTATGTATGGTTTATGTTTTTGCAGTGTTCAAAAAACAAAAACGATTTTATTGGATCTATTATTATAGATTTTTAATGACTCGTGGTTACAAAGGCCATTTTATATTCTATATAAATATATATATAATATATATTGTTAACATTGCCTCTTAACTTACTATTCGCTATGTTTGGCGCATTACGCTAATGACAATCATTAATATTTACCTACAGCAGACGGTAGAATGACTTAATTATTATTATTAGGATACTATATAGCCACTAAAACATGATATGATACCTACATCTAACCATGAAACCTTAGTTACACATCGGCATAACACCAAACCCATCAACAAATATTATATAACTATTAATTTTTAGTTTTATTTTATTAATTAAAAATAGCTTATTCGCAAAATCTCCCCTCCACAAAAAAAAATCAGTTGAAGTTAATTGCGCTACTGTTTATACTTTTCAATGAAAATTACATGGATTGAAACTACAAAACATTTGGGTTTTGAAACAAATACGTTTATCTAACTATTTAAAATTACAATTTAATACATTCAATATTCTATTATAAAAAATAAAGGAAGCAAATCCAATATTTAAGAGAGATTTTGTTGACGTAAAGTATACATCTATAGTTTGAATACACGACTTGGCCGTTGCCGTTGGCGTTACAAAAATGCATTAGATATAAGATAGGAATCTAATTGTAATACCTATCTAAATTATAAATAAAATACAAAGATACGACGTGATGAACAAAGTGTGTTTTGTTTAGTTTCAAGGAGCTTCATAGAAAAAAAAATAATTTATAAAATCTTTGGTGGAAAAGGGAGTGAACTTATACATTTTCGGTTCGATAAAATACATTTCAGGTACGATTAAATAGTAATGACTTAATTATTTTCCATTGCCGGATAAACTGTGTATGTGTGTTTCGGACTTCATAATTATAACAACAATTTGTACAATATTAATCCGCTTAAACGTATGTATATTATAATATATATGTAACTACGAGTAGGTATTTATAATACCGTTTTAGCGATTGACAGTAGACGCTTATCAGATTATATAGATAATGAAAATTAATAGGTACATTATAATATTACACAGGTGGAAGTTTTTATAGGGAAAAGGTTAAGCTCGGATGTAACACTAATTACTAAATAATACAATATTTTTACTGTGGACTAACCGATGTCAACCACGGCTATTATATTAGTGTTACCAACTTGTGCGTGTAGACTGTTTAGTCGAGATTATAATGGAATTTCAGCTTGTGGAAGTAGGCCCCAAAATAGATTACAGTATTATTAGATTTATGAAATACAATAATAAATAGAAAATATTATAGTCATAAATTCCGTATTGTCGTTGTTGTACGGTGATTTCACGAGCACTGGTTCTGTAGCGACTGCACAAGAGACCTCAATTTTCCAGGTACAAGGTCTCTTTTTGTTTTGTTTGCCATTAATAATAATAAATAATACGTTATACCCGAAATGGCAGTTTGATGGTTATAGCATGTCACCTAAATACGCAGGAAACAATAGTCCATAACACACAATATAGATTACAAAGTTGTAATCTAAATACTTGTTCAACATGTTTGCTAATAAGAGAGGTGTCTATTTCTAATGTTTCTATGTGCTTATATCTATACGAATTGGATGTAATGTAAATTATTAATTATTACATCACATTATTTGGGTTTAACACGGCTATTATTTCACTATTGGGTCTCCTATTTCGCATAAAAAAAATAATATTAACAAAAACGAATACCAGTTACACGTGTATTTTAATATCCTGTCTATTTAACTCTATATTTCTACATTTTAATAACCAATAACATTTCAAAATGTGTCCTTAAATAAATATATGTTTATAAAACATTATTGTTAATGAATTTGGATGATAAAACCAAATGAATGGTTAAATTTTTTATCTGCATAATAAAAACAAAAATTATTAAATTATTAATTTTTATTATTCTTTCTAAATATATGTCTTTTAAATCAAAAAGTTTTTTTATACCACTATAGGGAATGACCAGCATTAGTTTGTAGTATAATGTAATTCATTGAATACAAACTATTTATCTTTATAGATACGCAAATCTAAATCCAAACACTTTAACAATAATATTTGACCTTTTTTAAACAAAAACTAAAATATACACATTTTATAGAACTTTTTTTGCTAAATCCGAATCTGACAACGGATTTACTTAGCATAATAATTTGTTTTTTAAATTGCCACTATTTAAGTTGTAAAAACATATTAAACAAAATACAAATTTTTTTTAGCCTTTTATTCAAAAACCTAATACTTCTACATTAATTCTGAGAAATATAATTTCAAATTAACAAAAAAATTTGAATAAAACCCTTTTTTAAAAAAAAAGAATACAGAAAATACCACTTACCTACAATTGCACAATAGATAAAATTGTAAATAGTACCTACCTATAAATAAGACATTTCAATGTATCAAATGAAATCATTCTTAAAATAATTTTTTGTAGTGCATCTTAGTGAGATTTAGTAAATAAACGGAAAACAGTTTTTAATAAACGCCTGAGAACTGGTTTATAACTAAAGATTTATAATAGGTATTAAGTAATTTTAAAATTATAATAATAATGATAATAATATTATAAGGTTTTAAAAAAATATGATAATAATTAATAACTAATAAGTTATTTCAAAATTTAAATTAAAACAAAGTTTGATAAGCTAAGGTCCGTCGACACTGTTTTAAAAAGTAAACAAATTCAGTAGAGCCACGGCAGCCGAACAGTCGTAACTATAATAACTATCACAGCTCTGAAGATAGACTCTGCAAAGAGTCGGCTTAAAACTATTGACATGGATATAATATTATCTGAAACTCATCCGCATGAAAAACAAATTTTGTTTTACCTATTATTAGGACATGGCTTTTTTTTATTTTTTATTTTGAGTATAAAAAGTTTAATATGGGTTTTTTGCGCAGCATAGATTATACAGCGACGACGGTCTCGGCCGAAAACACCATTCAATGAGACGACTCCCCTTTTTTTGCCCAACATTTTTATATATGATTATATTTCTGAAAATATTAATTTCAAGTCATTCGCTACCAGTATAGATGTTGATACTATACCTAACTTTTAAGCTCGAGGCCCTGAACACGAGCCCCACTTGCTCCCCCCTCCCCCCCAACGCTGGCCCTGTATACAGGTCGTGGAAGTGCGTCATCGCTTTGTGTCCTTGTCGGTAGCGGTTTTGTGACGCGGTTATTCCGTCAGAGGGCGCTTCCGCATGGAGGTAAAAACGCGACGGCGGAACCTGCTGTGCGCCGAACAGCGTGTCGATCGCTGGCGTGACCCCGTCAGCCCTGCGCCTCGCAGTCCGCATGGTGGAGGCAGCGGGTGGGAGGGGACCGCGGCGGACGGATTCAACGCAATAACTGATGAGACTTATCATTTTCGCTGTTAGTGTACACTCCGTTGTTGTTTCGAAGTAGTCTTCTTCGTCGATGTCCGCCAATTGGTCTGTCGTCGTGTGACTGTGCTTATTTGTATCGGTCTTTACCGGGCCGTCGTACTTACCGGCCGAACTTTGTTCAATCAAATCATTTTACCGCGGTCAACAGTTTGTCAACTCACGGATCGTGCCACCAACAGCGTAAAAGGCAAAATCGATTCATTTTTGGGCACCAAAAAAAAAAAAAAATCAAACAGGTATACAAAATATTATAATACTCTTACAGGTTTCTACTTATTTGTTATTGTCGAGTCGTTACGTTTCAGTGTTGGTTAGACTCTGCCGGGTACGATTAGTGTTAGCGTAGATTCCATCGATCGTTCTGCAAACGTAGCAGTTTATCTGATGGATCGCTACGATGCGCCATCGTTTTTGTCACAAATAATCCAACTATTAATTAAAACCGCGATTTTCCCGCCTAAATTATTTATACAATTTATTATCTAATAATCTTGGCTAAATTTATGCTGACTTGCCTCCTACATGGAATTTCATGTTCCCATTATTATTACATATTAATATAATATTATTACTCGCGACAATATAATGTTCTTTAATAAACGCCTGCTAGTACTTAGGTTAAATATATTATACCATTTTTCTCTATTTTAATAAATTATTATAAATATTTTTATGTTTACCGTTGTTTTATTATTTAATTTACCCGTTTATTTTTAATTTTTTGTTAAAATAGTCAACTCGGTGCTCTTTGAAAATAAAATATCATTTTTTTAGATTATTTACAAAGATGCGCTGTAACCATTTTTATATTTAATTTCTGTGTAATTGTTGTGTTCCTAAAATTTATTAACTTTACAATGGTTATTAATTTTATACATATCTTATAGTTACTTTATAAATGCTTGACCACTTTTTCCATTTATATGTAATAGTTGATAGATGAAAAATGGTTGATCAAAAGTACTGCCAAAGGTGTATAAGGTCAAATATTGTAAGAGTTTACTAGTTCCCTATTAGAATTATGAAAAATGCCCTCCAAATTGACTTAATTTCCATAAATAATCTCTATGTTTGTTATCTTGTAACTTTCCAATTAGAAATAAAAAGCCAAAATAAAATGGTTCAAAATTTAGTTTTTGAACTCTTTTAGACGGATAAATAAAACTAATAAATCATGTAAAATATTGTTAACTCTTGATTTTACAAAATGTGGACATTATGTTTCTGTATTTCTCTTTGTTGATTTTCAGATCTGAATATCATGCTAAAAGTAGATCTAATACATATTATGTAATCAAGTTTTTTTAATAACGATAAACTGGAAATTGTACATTACTAAAATGCAATTAATCGGCTATTAGTTAAAGAGTATTTTACTTTATATTTTAAAGTGTTAAATTTGGTTTTATTTATTTACGTTAGGGTTACCTATTAATATCATACCCATAGACAATATCTATGACATAACTACCTTATAACAGCCAAAAAAAAAAGTCAAAAATCTTTTCAACGTTATTTAAGTATTTTATACTATTAATTCTGTTAGTTAAAGTTGTTTTTATGACTTGTGCAAGAACTTTTAATTAAATTATTGATTATTTTAATTATCTATATAGTATTTGATATAATTGTTTTACTTAAATGATTTAGGTACGGTTTTGTATGAGAAAAATGTATCCATCTAGGTCCTGACTGAAAAAATTCATTAAGGGGTGAAAATATTAAAATTTAATGTCTAACTGTTGAAAACAGTGTTATCGATCTGTTTAATTTTTAATTTAGTAACATATTTTTATATTTAACTAGCGGTTCATGTATCTGGCTTTGCTTGGGTTAATAAATACAATTGCAACAAAGTACCCACAAATTATTCACGAATAATTTCCACCTTCTCGAATTACTCCATGAATGACGCTGCCATAGTATTAAATGATGCCTTACTAAATTCAATTGAAAAATTTGTCCCAAAAAATATTTTCAAAACCCCCATATACCCTCACTGGGTGTCTCTTTCCCTAAAAATTTTAATAAAAAAGAAAAAATATGCTCATAAAGTTGATAAACAAACTGGTAGGGCCTCTGATTATACAATTTTTTCTGAGCTTCGAGCTAATTGTAAGCGTTTATCCATCACAAACTATCGAACATACATAAGTGACACTGAAAGCCACTTTTCCTATAACCTATCTCATTTTTGGAAATACACTAGAGAAAATCTACCGTTACGAGTAGTTTAGTTTTTTCTACCTACATTTTAGACACCCTAGAAACTGGTTCCCAAGTTGATGCCATATTCACAGACTTTAAAAAAGCTTTTGATACGGTTGACCATGGTCTTTTAATAGATGTTCTTGATAAACTAGGTATCGATAACTCCCTTCTCTCTTGGATATCATCCTATTCTACTTCTAGAAGACAATTCGTCTCCATCAACGGTGTTCACTCCGATCATTTTATTGCACCCTCTGGCGTTCTCTAGGATGACCACCTTAGTCCTCTTCTTTTTATTATATTTATCAACTCTTTAAATAATTGTCTATCTTCTGTCAAAGTTCTTATGTTCGCCGATGATACAACATTATTTCTTAAAATTAATTCTACCTCTGATTGAATTCTACTCCAAGCTGATCTCGATGTTTTCTGGGAGTGGGTAAAGGGTATTAATCTTACTTCTATATCAATGAATGTCATGTCATGACTTTTTCTAGGAATACCTCTCCTCTTTTTCACTCCTGTTTTCTTAATAACTCGCTTGTTGATTGTATATCGGTTTTTAAAGACTTAGGCATCTATTTCACTCTTACTTTTTCTTTTGACTACCATATCAACATCACTATCGGCAGAGCTCTTAAAGTTCTAGGATCCATTAAGCGTTAGACTAAGAACTTCTCTTCTAACTTTTGTGTACGTATTCTTTATTTTTCTTTAGTTCGTTCGATCTTGGAGTATGGGGTTGTTATTTGGCATCCATACTTGGCTCAAGATCAACTACGTATAGAACAGGTGTAAAATAGATTTCTATCATTTGTAGCCTTCAAGTTAGGAACCCAACATCCTACCATGACTATTCCCTCATCTCCTCTACTCTTGGAAGCCAACCGTCACACCGATGCTGACCTTCATTTCTTAAATTCTCTCCTCGTTGGCTCTCTGGGTTGTCCCGATTTACTCTCTTCTATCTCCTTCAGTGTTCCGTCTCATTTTTCAAGACATCACTCCCTTTATCAGATTCCGCTCCATCCCACATCTTATGGTTATAATCACCCTCTTCACAGAATGCTACGTCTCCTCAATTCTAATTAGTCTGTATAACTTTTTCAAGAATTATTTTATTATTATGTCTTACCGCTGTTATTTTATATTTCTAGTTTTAAGCACTTTTCACTGTTTTATATTTCGTATTTTATATTTAGTTTTAAGCAAATCTATATTATATCTAAATTAATGCCTGAAGACGTAAATAAATAAAGATAAAATTATACAGCTAAACCTTTATCTTGATGTAAAAACAAATGTAATTTTATTTTAATATATCCAATTTTATGATTTTTCAAATTTTCTTCTGCTAATAACTTTCCCAGAAGCATAACAAAGAAGACATAAAAGAATCGACCAAATATGTCGTTCCTAACGTCAGTTACAATCAAGAGTGCATACAAAAATTATGACATTTTCAGTTTGTCCGAATTTTCTGAATCGCTTTTGTAATTTACCTGAATTTTTATTTGTTAAAAACTTTTTCAGAACCATAACGAATAAAAAAAAAAAAAAAAATACACAAATCCACACATGGTTGCGCGAGTTCATACAAAAATCTAATGGAAAAAACACTTTCGCTTTTTACTGAATTTTCCAATTTCTTGGCAATTTTTCTTTTTGTAAAAACCTTATTCAGACTATTACGAACCTTTAAATAAAAAATGAGCCAAAATCGGTCTAGCCCTTCTCAAGTGATGCGCTTACCATTGAAAAGCATTTAATTTTTATTTATATCGATTTATATAGTTTAACAATTTATTTAATTAAATAGAACACACCGATGTGCGTAGGCGGAATTAAAATTTAATGTACCATTTGGTACACCCTATAGTTCTGCCTATGCCAATATGGATGATGTCTGGAGTCCTTTGTATGTATTTTAAGCGTAATAGTTCTACAATGAATGGTTTTATCCAAATTTTCTACATCAAACATTTTGATCAATATTAAAAATCAAACAATAACAACATTTTTAATTTACAGATGTATAAAATTTACGTTTTTCAATTATTTTTTATGATAAGGTTAACTCGTGCTGTTGCCAGAGATCAGTTGGTTATTGGTTAAAAAGAAAAAATGTAGATATTCCTAATCATTATTCTTTGTCTCCTGGTTCTGTTCAAAATCATGTTAATTAAAAAAATTAGTTTTGCTAGATCAGATTGGGCTAGGTGGAATGTGGTTGTAATAATTTATTTATGTCATATCTAGTTAGGATAGTATTTTATTTTATCGAGCTGGGCCGAGTATTTCCATTCTTAGCTTTATTTTTGTTGATCTGGGTTGGATGGGATGAAAATAACTTTTATAACTCCTGTATGTTTACCTGTCACACATAGGTACACAAATATTATAACCTTCTGTATATTTTAATTACACAATCTTTTTCCCATTTATCTTAAGTAAAATAACTAGTAATAAATTACTTTAATATGATATACTAATAATACATTTTTAATGAAATAAGACGCAGTAATCTATTATGGAAATTAACGGAAATAGCTAAATACGGAATAACTTAATTTTGTAGGTAATACTATTTTAAATAATTAGTTAACTAATGTTGTTTTGTAAATTACAGATTGTTTCATTGTGAATTTAACTTGATAATCATGCATGTAGTAAGTTAACGGGTACTCAATCATTATGGAAAATGGTATACCTCCTATGAAAATTGGTAAATTACCTTATTACATTTAAAATAAAAAATTGTATCTATTAGTACTTACAAGTTACAACTTAACTTTAACATATTTATTTATATTGTAGGAAATGAAATTAATGATCAACATCATGAAGTGATAAATAATCCGCAGGAATGGACTACCATGCCTACTCATGACATTATGGTACCCGTTCCAATAAAAATCCAACCGTCGATTGGTATTTTGGATCAAAATAATCATCTTATAAACAATTCTAGTCCTCATCCAGGTGTCTTACATCCCATCCCTCATCCAGGTATCATACATCCCAGTCCTCAAACACCACATGTAAGATCAACAAGAATTTAACGCCTTAAAAAGTATTATTTATTTTCTAAATTTTTTCTATATTTTAGGGAGTTCCAATTCCTGCCGGGGCTTATATTGATTCTGATATACCAATAGAACTTTTACAGCAAGGTTGGAAGAAACACTGGAGTTCACGAGAAAACCGGCCATATTTTTGGAATAAAGGAACTGGTGAATCATTTTGGGAACTACCACATATACGACAGGTTTGAATTCAACATTTTTTTTACTAATTATTATTAAAATAATTTTATTTTACATTTTGGTTTGAATGTTTATATGTGTACATTCAGTTTGATGCCGCATCTGATCCACTGGGGATAACAAATAATGGACATCAAAGTGAAGCTGTTCCGATGATAGTTAAAAAAAGACCTGCCGAAGAAACGGTTATGGGCCCTAATAACAAGAAAATGACTTTAACGTATATTTCTTAGTTACATGGTGTATGAATATATTATTAATCTAAAAAATGTTTCAGGGGCCCTTGGGATCTTGAAATACCTACAAATGTAGTTATTACTGAACGGTCGCCGTTGACATTTCCACAACCTCATCCTGATATTGAGTTTTATCGAGGTGCTCTCGTGAACAAGTTGAGGTTATGTTACCAAGAGTTATGTCAATCAAGAGAAAGTAAGTATTTTACAATTATTAATTGCACAGAAATATTTTTAAATTATTCTATTTGTAGATGTTAATCCATCGAAAGAATCATTTAATCATTGGCTTATCGAAAGAAAAGTTATTGATACAGGATCAGACCCTTTATTACCTTCCCAATGTTGCCCAGACGTCTCATTAAGAATGTACAACGATATAATGAATGATATACCATTACGATTAGCTAAACCCAAGTATACTGCAGATGCTCGTAAGCAATTGTCCATTTATGCGGAAGCAGCAAAAAATCTAATTGAATCGAGGTATATAAGAATTAATAAAACAATTATCCCAGTTAACATAATCACTTATTTCTGTTTAGAAATGCTCTGCAAGAGAGTAGAAAAGTAGTAAAATGGAACACTGAAGAAACTTTGCAGTGGTTGAGAAAAACAGTGGGTGCCAACTATACCGATTTTCAAGAAAGATTAAATCATTTAAAAGTATGTTACTTGTATGTAATACATAACTATGTATTTACTTTTATAAATCTTGCAGTCTCAGTGCCAGCCTCATATAGCTCAAACAGTTAAAGGATCTGTTGAAGGAATTTGCTCTAAGGTATATCATTTGTCGGTTGAGTATTCCCGTAAAATTCGTGAAAAAAATAGTGAACTTTTACGAGCTCAAGGGATTCCAGGTAAGTATTTAGTTATTTTAAAATGCACTGTTATTATTAATTGTTTAATGTATTCGTTTAGAAATGGCACCTGCTCCTGCAACGTTAACACTACGTAAAGTTTGGTGTTACCCTCTTAATTTTTTGACACCCGCACCTCGAATGCCTCCGATTGACTATATGATTGCTGAAAAGGACCAGATTCATTTGCGGTATTTTGGAGAGAAGCTACACGTCAATACAATATACTTCCAAAAATTGGTAAAGAAAATATAATAATTCAATCAATCTTTTTACAATGTGGTACTTAATTGGAAAGACAAGCAGATGTAATGCAAATATTTTATTATTTTTCTGTATATGTTATTTCATAGATCTATTTTTTTTATTTTATACATCTACATTGAGTGGTGATAATTGAATAGAAAAATCGTTTACGAATCTTGTTAAGTAATATTCGTTTGTTAAATTATTAGACAGAAAAGTACAAATGAAATCTTCCTTATATTGAATGAACAAAAATAGTTATTAATATGTTTAGGTTGAAAATATTATTTTTAAGGGTAATATTTAAAAGTCTTATAGCAATCTATTTAAAATATTTATCTATGAAAAGCAGAATGACGTAATGAAAATAACAAGTGCTCGATAACCAGTTTTGGATAAATATGTGAGCGATATTAAAAGGATAAAAATAAATACTCACCTGCACTTCATTCTATCCCCATATCCCCATATAAATGTTGATATCTCAAATTGTACTTATCCAAAACTGATCCCATTTTTTCATAATTTTAACTGCTTTTGTTCGATTAATAAACAATTAAATTCTTTAAGAATAAGTTTCTTTACCAAAATAATAACTACAAAATATCAAAATTTAAACTTTAAAAAAAAATTGAATTTGGTAAAAATTAAATGTATTTCTAAAGAAAAAAATGTTGACCTGTTTCTTTGAAAATCATCTCGCTAAAGATAATAACAAAATTGTAGCAATATTAATGTTTTGAAATTTTATTTCTTACAACAGGAACAGCTCTATCGATACAGTTGTTATGAAGACAAAAAAATGGAATATTTCATGGGTCGAGTTTGGTGTTTGTTAAAAAGGTACAGTGTCTTCTGTGGAAATAGCCCAGAAACTCAAGAATCTGTACCAGTATCTATCCTAGAATCTCTACACAGACATTTTGGAGTGACCTTTGAATGTTTTGCGTCGCCTTTAAACTGTTATTTCCGACAGTATTGTTCAGCTTTTCCAGACACAGATGCTTATTTCGGGTCCAGAGGGTATGCACACATTATTATTAATCTTTTATTCCAACATTTTTAAGAAATTAACGGCAATAATGATTGGTTAATGATTTATTGTTTTTATAATTATATACAATTCTATATACAAACATATGAACAAAACAAGTATTTTTACTGCGAGTATTTATTTTTAGATACATATTTTTATGAATATTAAAAAGATTTAAACCGTTTACTTGGAGAGTTCAGTTTTATATAAAAAATGCATGGATAAAAACTATGTGATCTCTATTCTTTGTACAAAAGAAAAACTTAGTATAGTATGATCGTTTAGTTTTATACTTGTGTAGTTTTAAACAAACATGCAATAGGAAAAAAAACAAATATAACAAAAAAAACTTATTGAAATATTACTAAAAATGAATATATTAACTATTTATTACTATTGTAGTTTAAATTTATTTGGATTTACTGTTTTAATTTAATTTTAATAAAATTTAAACTGCTATTTATATATTTTATAGATCATTTTTGGAATTGAATGCAGTAAGTGGATCGTTTATAATGAATCCACCTATGCTTTGTAATGAGTTAATTGAAGCTGCATTGGATCACGTTGAACGGTTGCTATCCGAGTCCAATGAACCACTTTCTTTTGTTGTTATGCTGTCTGAAAGTGAATCAACATTTATTAAGAAACTAGACTCAAGTAGTTTTAAAAGACGTGAAGTAGTAATACCGGCATATGAGCATTACTATAGGCATGGTTTTCAGTATGCTATCCCAAGGTATATGTTAGATTTAATTTGTGTAGCCTGTAGACTTAATACTGATTTTGATGGTGACATTTCAGGTCAGAGGCTAATGTACGATCTCCTACTAGTACATTAGTCGTTTGGCTACAAAACAATGCTGGGTGTCAACGATGGAGCCCTAGCGAAGACAGAGTCGAAGCCTTGTTAGAAGCATTCAGACCTGGACGAGAACGTGATCGCGATCGTCAGGAACTTCTATCACCTACACCTAATAGCTCGTCTGGAGCACCTCCTTCTAGCACTACCTCTTCCTCTTCCACGTGCGTAGATGATCAGCGATGTTATAATAGGCATAATAGTGCCTAAGTACACTTTTAGTAGATCCCTTATTCACGTAAACATATATTTAATTTATTATTTATTACCAAACAGTTTTATGCTTTTCATTGACTGTAACTTCTTAAACAATCGATGTGAATCAACAATTTTTTTTACAAATTTTTTTTTACAATTATTGATAATAAATACTTTTTAAACAATATTTTAGATAGTTATATCGTATCGTTATTTACAAAATATATAAATTTTGATTACAATGTAATTATATTTAAAATAAATTTGTCTAATTACATAGACATTGGAGGAATAGGTACTTCTAAAAGAGTTTACATTTGGGCACAATTTAATAACATAAGAGGAAATTGACATTTTTGTGCAATTTAAGTACCAAATTTAAATGATTACTATAGTAAGATAAAAAACATTTTTGTTTTTACAATTAGTTTAATTATTATACACAAATCTGTTATATTATTGCAATTGCAAAATTTGCTGTCTTATTTTACATTGGATTATTCGTTATTTTAGAAGTTTAAGTAAAATAAGTATTTTGAATAATATCAATTGTACTTAAGAATAATGCTTGTTTATGAATCCAATAGTTATGTTGCTCTAAGTGTTTGGACACTTTCTGCCTCAATACAAATGTTCAGAGATGCACATTTGTCTTAATTTTATGTCCACTACCGAACTTTGTACAGTTAGTTAATTTTGGGTGTTTCAAAGCTATATAAAACTATTTAAATTGTAGTGTAAAATTCATTGTTGAGTTGGTATAACTTCTCTTTTAATCTACCTAGTTATACTGTTTTTTTTCTTTTTTTTACGAGAGAAACACAGAAACCAAAACGTGTTACTCTTGTATACGTCTTCCCAGATAAGAGTAATTCGTTTTGATTTCAGTGCAGTCCCGTTCTTTCGTAAAAAAAAAGAGTATAGTTACGTCATTTGTTTTTTAAACTTTTAAATGTTATCCAGCTATTTGTTATTCCTTTTACAAAACATTAAAACTTATTATTAATTAATTTAATAATTTCCATATATTAGGATATTATTGACTTTTTAGCGATTTATTTAATTTTTGAATTAGTTATAAAATAAATTTTGTCTATGTACAGTATAAGTATATTATACTTAAATAATATTAAATATTCAATTATGAATAGAGTAAATTATATTACTCTATATTATAATTATTTTAATGATAATATATATATATATATATATATATATATTATTTATTATTTGTTGTTGTTTAAATATCTTCTTATAGATAATTAATCTTTGTAAATTTACATATATCTAGTAATGTTTAATTATCAGAAATGTATATTTATTGTTGTTTTAACCGTTAAATAATATCATAAAATAGCTAGACAACCTCAAGTGATAGTTCAAAAATGTTGCATTCTATTTACATTCATGCGTTAACATTATTATGTAAAGTGCATTGTAAAAAAAAAATTAAATAGAATATATGTGTGTTGTATTGCCATGTATGTTGTTATACTGATTTTTTTGCATACCTGACATTGATGAAATAACAAAAATATGTATGTTTTATAAAATTTAATGTTGGTACCACAAAAAGTTGTTGAGTAGACATTTAAATAGAGTTAATGCTGTATTTGAACATGTATTACATGAATTCCTTCTTACTATGCAAACTACAAGTAAATACCATGTTTTATATCAAATTCTATTTAATCGAGTACTTAAATAATAATAACAATATATAATTTTTTTTTTTAAAGGGAATTGCATGTAGTTTTTTTGATGTTATAGACCAAAAAGTCAGACAAAATTTTGGCTACTTAGGATAGTCTGATTTCAATTCTATAAAGTTATAAGAGTTCTTTGGCAACCTAATTAGGTTATATAAGAAGCAGATTTTTGCTTTTTTTATGAAAAAAAATTGGGTTTTATGAGGACCTGTATTTTATCCACGAAAAATGGTTTACGGAGGACAAGAATGTGAAGGCGGTACTTGGAGTAGCTATATACAATTTTTACAATGTATAGAGAAGTACTTTATCTACTGGGTAGCGTTTTTAGTTTTTTGATAACCAATTAACGCCGGAGTTTTTTTTTCGAAATTTTTTTTTTTAATATTTGGTGTTTTTATTATTTTTAGAATAAAAACAAAAACAAAATTGTGTACTTAAAAAATTGAATGTTGCCATATGGCAACGCTAGGCGCTAATGGGTTAAGCACAATTAAAATTATTCATTTTTTTTTCCTTTTTTAATTTGTTAAAAAAAAATATTTAGTATAGATATAAAAAAAATTAAAACGCTACCTATGGACAAAATTCTTTATACATTGTGAAAACTTGGTAAAGTGCTGTTAAAACTGGCCTTAGATACATACTTGTCCTGCGCAAAGCAGTTTTCATAAAATTGTAATTTATCCTTTATAGATGACTGTGATAGTCGGACAAAAAAAATGGCAATCAACAAAGTATACCCATTATTGTTTTAATAAGTATACATTATAGTTCAAATTTAAGATTTTTCCAAAAAGTGCCTATACTTTACTCCTTAGAAATGACTTAGAATTAACTGTTAGTTCTAATAATAATATTACCGTTGCTAAATATAAAAATATTGGCCAGCATTATAATCTCTTCCTACAAGTTTTCAATACTTATGGATCACCTCAAAACGTGTATCCATAACTTCAGTGAGGTCAACATTGAGAATAATGTGTGTATACAATTCAATATTATTAAATATTAATAGTGTGTTGTACGGCCAGCATCACATATTATTAAGGAGTAAATAGCAATGATCCAATTAATTTGATCATATTAATTTTTAAACGTTAATTATTATATTTAAATGATTGTTATTAACATATAATTTTAGTAACTTGACATAAATTAACAAATTTAGTCAGTAAATTCTTTCTTGTACTTTTTTTATTTAAAATAATATTTTAATACATTTTTGAACTATGCATTTAAGTAATACCAATTACTTTTTAAAATAAAAATACCATTTATTATTTTTGTTTTTATTCATAACTCCTCTAAATTTTATTTCAAATTGTGTTTGTAAACCAAAAAATAATCATGTATAGTGTAAATCTTGATCGTTCTATTAATGTAGCCGTAGGTAAACATCATTCTTACACGATCAATTTGTTCAGATGTTAGCAGAACGCTAACCCTTGTCCGTGCACGAAAAAACGTGCGTCCTAGTAGACAGTTTACTTAGGTAACACATTGCAACGACACTGTGCTGGATATTAACCAAGTTCACGAAACGGCGCCAATATTATCATAATTTCAATTGATGAACCCAAAGGCCCCGTATATTATATTTTAATAAATGCGTTGCACATATATTTTGAAATTAACAATAATAATAATAATGTTTTTTTCGATAAGAACTACATAACAGTATTCGGATTCAGGGACAAAGATGATGATTAAAAGCTTTTAGCGTGTGTGTGTGCCAACGGCGGGTGCTGGTCGCTGTTGCCTCGAAGCAGTGGCGGGGCCACACGATGTTTGCTTGGCGGTTCGGCGCCCTTAATGGTAAAAGTAACGAGATATCGTTTGTTTTTGTCGAGTTTCTCAGTGGGCAGGTCTATGGCTTGACTACACGAACCGTTGGCCAACTTCAGCGTGATCGGCTTGGAAGGGTCCACGTTTCTTAGACACCTGGTAGCTCTGCAACCGTCTTGCTTGATGTCGGGCAAGAACCGCCGTCGATCGGCCACCGGTTTCGGCATCCGATGATGGTCCATTCGCAGTTTCGGTACTAAAACATGACGACCGGGTACGAACACAATCGCAATTTAATTAAACCATTCCGCTAGGCTTTAACGCGTTTATTTTACACATCCAACTCACTATAAGCGGCACACGGTATTCCGGTGTACGCGTGGGTGGCGTGAGTACACCTGTGTGTTGATCGTACGCACGACAGACAGTCGTCCGGGTTTTCCAATACAGTCTTGCCAGAGTCTATCCGACGCAACGCGTCTGTGATCTTCTCGATTTCGTCGATGGACTGTACACGGGGGATGGCCGTTCTAGCTTCGGCGAACGGCAGCTGTTTCTGAAGCGATGATAACTGGTCTAAAAAAAAAAAAAGTAAGACGTATAACATGGACAATCAAGGGTGGATACAGAGGTCTTAAACTGGGAGGGGGGGGGCAATATATATAAATGAATAAAATAAATTAACAGGAATAGCTAGGCATAGGAATTGACTTATTATTATTTACTAGTCGACATGAAAATTAGTTGTGTACAGATATCAGTCATACCGGTGAATGTGACGGGTCTTATTGTTTTAGAAGACACTTACTTTTAATTTTGAATGAAAAAATTAGGGGTCAGGGTAGTCAGGATTTTCAAAAATTCGATTTTTTCATTGGTATTTTCTTAAAGTATGATGTCTCGAAAATATTATCTGAACATTTCAAGTTAATCAAAGTAATAGATGACTCGATGTAATTAATTTAATAATTTATTTTTCTATACATAAATAGAGTATAAAACTTTTAAAATAAGTTTTCCTCGAGGCTCGAAACTATTTTTTCAAAGTCGGTGACCACTGTAATTCAAAAACCACTTCACAAAATTTAATAAAATGTATACAGCTTATTAAAAGCATAAAAAACTAGTGCCTGATCGAAGGTTTTTTTTTTTTTTTACAAGTTATATTTTTTATAATCAATAAACTAGTGTTTTTTAGTAAAGATATAAAATCTACTTGAACCCTAAACCATAAAAATTATACACTTCTTGCGTACACGTGTTACGACAACGATGTTGTCATCTTCAGCGCTAACAACAGACTGAATCAGTTTGTTGTTAGCGCTGGTTAAGGGTTCAAGTAGATTTTATATCTTTACTATATATTTAACCATAAGTTTGCTTAACAGTTTTTTCTAGTCCTTTTTTCCTTAAAAATCCGAGAGTAAATTATCAGAGGTCACCATTTTGTTTATTTTCAAAAAAAAAGCTTCGATCAGGCACTAGATAAACTATTAAACTAATGATTTTTTTTAAGTTTGCCCTATTGCCCCCCTCCCCTTGTATCTGCCCTTGTGGCCAATTAAGTGAAATTACAAACACGCCGCCAACATTTCATAAATAATTATTCTAAAACAATAAATAAGTGATATATAATCCTATTTTACCCTTTTTTTTTCACATTATACTGATTGATAACGGAGCATAATATTTTTTTCAGATATTTTATCACTTTCAGTTATTGTAATACTTTTGTAGGACCTGTGACTTAGCCACTCACGCATTTTCAGAATGAAAGATTTCCTACAGTCCACATGGGTTTTGATTCTCGACTTCATTTTTATTTGTTTGTATTTAAAACAAAAAATTGATTAAAAAATGGTCTCATTAAAGCCGTATTGGCGAAAAGTTGGTGGGGGCAAGTGTCTCGTTTTGCCTTAGGGGTAAATTTGTATGCTGTTAAAAGAGAGGGGCAAGTATATATATATATATGTTATGAATTTGACGAGTAGAGGTGACGATGAAAAATGTTGTTTCGGGCTTCAGAGCACCTAACTAAATCATTGTTGGGACGTTAAAAATTTAGACCTTCAGCTGAGTCAGGCCCCGGACACCTCTGTGATATCACGGAATCAACCCGCCATGTTTTCGGAGGACAAACAGTAAATACTATCATTGTTTATATATGTATATATAAAAAAATACACATGTATACATTTAAAAATACACTGATTTGTCCTCCCAAAATATGGCTGACTGATTTCGCGGGTGGCATAATATACGTGATTGCCCATGATTCTGTGGCTTACTAGAATCTATACTAGATCTCATATATACGAGACATAATCTATAGTTTTTCTAAAGGATAAACCGACATAGTAATTTTTTTTTTTTGTTTTCATAAATAGCATACTATTTCCGCGTGGTTGTATTAAATATAATTACCATAAAGATATTTTTCAAAACGTTTAAAAGAATACATCCCCTCGTACCGTTGCAGTCCTATGAACGTTCCTGTTCGACCGTACTCTTCGACTAACCGTTTGACCAGAACTCGTTCATCGGATTTTCCTGCTCTGATTTGCAATCGCTTCAATTCCGACAGCTGATAAAATATTAAGCGTTCTAAATGGTACCTGCATAGATGGAAAACATATAGAACATAATTGTTAAAATCCTTTTTATTAAAATTAATCACAAACAATATTGAAAATTGACTAAAAATTAAATTTAGATTAGAACAAATACAATACGGTTTGTTAAATTGTTTCTAATTACTCAAACTTGTATAAGTGGTAGACCATATTGAAAGCATTACTGAAAATAAATAAAATGTAATTTTTTACTTACTTCCTACTGCTCAGTTGTACGGCTCGTGTTACGGACATGGTGTTAAGATCATTATCCGGAGCTAAACTACTGTAAGTGTTCAATCTGGGAATGCGACTCTTTGCTTTCCCTGAAACAATTTATAAGCGTTATAACGATAATTATAAAGCAAATAATAAAATCAGTTGACCGGGTATTCAACTAATTTGGTTATTGACCCAAAATAAAATATTCCAGAAGGTACCTCAAAAATTAATTTTAAGCATAAAAAAATATTCTCAATTTCTTTTGATCTTAAGAATTACACGTTTGTTTTTTTTGTAAAATAACGACATAAAAATTAAATTATGTATTTTACAATAATTCTCACGATTCGGAACCTTTAAAGGTTAGAGGTATACCTTACTACAGGTAACTTACTTATTTTAGTAGAGCCAGTGAGTATGGCGTAGGGAAAATTATCGCTCAGTGTGCAGTGTATACTGTAGCTACCTGTACTGTAATAGCCCCACGCTGACCTTAAGTGGTTGGTGTAGTCGTTGACTCCAAAAACCGCCTCTTGTGATAAAATACAGGACCAAACCGTAGTCTAGTCCTCCAGATTGGGGTGGGGGGGGGGGGTTAATATAGGACTAAAAATACTGTTTTTTTAAAACCCTGTCTTGAGTGTTAACATTTTAAACAATCCTCGGACACAGATAAATGGTTATAGATATGGACTTAGAAATCGAACAGTACTTTTTAATATAGCGATTGAGAATTTCTAAGTAATTTTAGGACTAGCCCATCCCAGAATCTTGTAGATATACAAGGTTCACATAGAGTTATACGAAGCTTTGTGGGAGATAAGTTGGAAAGGAACAGGACAACTAAATATTGAATATTATGACATTTATTTTTCAGGAACGGCAGACAATCACACTTTTGAGAGAAGTTTCGTTGTTAACAAATTACTACTACCAACAGTTAAATAATTTATTCCAGTATCAGAAAAAAGCAGTATTTAGAATAAATAGTCGACCATTGAATCTCATACTAGCATCTGTACATGCACCCAACAACACGTTTGATGACTATGCCAAGAATACCTTCTATGTAGAGTGTAGACCATGAGAAAGCTTACGGTATGCTATTAAGATACGTAACACAAATCGTTATAGAGGATTTAAATGTTAAATGTAAGATGCAAATTTCATTCAAATAAAAGAAAAAGAAGGCATACATGAGATCAGCGACGATAATGGCTTGAGAGTAATATCGTTTATACTATCAAAAGGCTTAGTGATGAGCAGTAAACAAAAACACACACAAAGCAACCTGAAAATCCCAAGATGGAAAATTGCCTGCCAGATTAACTATGTGGTATTACAAAATAAATTCTGACTATGCATCATGGTTGCAAGGATTTACATAATTTCAGGCCGGTTAGGATACAGATCATTTCTTAATAATATCAACGCTTTAAATAAAACTATCGGTCATAAAATGCTAAAAGAAAATGCATTTAACATTTCCATGAGTTGGTAAAAACATAACAAAATTCAACTTACAAGACTCTGTATTATATCAGATTAGAATTAAGTCAGTAAGTTTATTAAGGAAATCCTAGAAGAAGATATTGGTAAATTTAAGAAAGAAAGAGTGAATGATTTAATAAATCTAGTAGATAAGCAGTGGAAAAGCGAAGATTGGCTCGGGAAAACTATATGATGGTTAGATAACAATACACAAAAGAGACTTTGTATGAGAAAGAGCGTAGAAACTTGCTATACATAGAGGAAAGAGAAGCTTCTTAAGTAGGGTATTGCAAGAAGCAGAGAAAAAACGATTGCGAGGAGGCATAATAATTTCTTCAGAATTATCAAAAAATAACAATTCAACACAAGGCTATAAGGCTATTTTTTAAAAATTATTAAAGACAGATAGGACTATCCTTATAGAACCCGAAAAGGAGACTAAACTACAGAGAGAATACTTTATAGAGCTTCATCAAAATGTGCATAAAAGAACGAATTACCATATGAGGGTAGACGGTACACTATCCGGGGTATTCATAGTAGAAACAGTATTAGCATAAGGAGCGTCTTATCCTCCTCACTGATTAAATTAGCTCTGGAAAAGCAGTAAGAATTATGCAAAATGGAGCAAGAGGGAAGGCTGTTCCGATATCAAAGTACAAATGTTAAGCTGTACGAATGATTTAAATATCCTAGTTGAGTAAACAACATATATATTTACACAATTATAAACGAATATTTTATTGTACATGAGTAATTTGATCATAAAAATAATCATTAATAATAAGTCTTCTTCGCTTTGTCACTTACTTACAACTAATAGTGGCCAGCCCAATCAGCTTTTTTTACTAATCTATGTCCTCCATTTTCTCTTCGGTCTTCTCTATCTAAAAATTCCTCTACCGCGATCTCTCTAACTTATTTTACTATTTAAATTTCCTTTCTTCTTTCAACATATCCAAACCATCTCAATCTATTTTCTCTCTTTATTTTAATGTCATCTGGAAAGAAAGACACCGTATCATAAATATGCCTTATAACACTTATACAATATAAACTAATCCATTCCTCTTCTGTTATTTTCTTACCCATTTCCCTATCACTTATTCATTGTTTTTAAGATATATAATAGAGTACAAACTTCCATACTTGAATTACTTGTTTTTTTCCTGCAGTCGGGGCACAAGCAGGGTTTCTCAGTAGGCTCTACATCATCCGGCGGCAGCACACTAAAAGCTGTCGCCTGAAGAGAATTCCTTCCATTATCGCCCTGTCTATTCGCCATTTCGGGGGTGTCCACGCGGTCCAAAACCTCGACAATCGCTTTGTTATACTGAACAGCAACCGGACCTTTTTCGTGTGCGTTGCGATTGATTTCCGAAGATTCTGAATTAGTCTGTGGTTTTCCTGATGAAGCAATATTTTTACGATCAATCGCATCGATTGCGTTCTTGGCAATGGCAGTTTCAGAAGCAGTGTTAGGAATGACCTTGGTTGACTTCTTTTCAACCAATCTTTTAGATTGCATTTCATCATCATTCTTATTATGGTTAGCCAACGCACTAGTGAATTTGTCTAATGGATTGGTGTCTTCGCGCTTTGCATTAACACTTGTTTTACTTTTCGTTTCGACGGGGAGTGATGTAATGTCTGTTCGCTCTGTGACCTTTGTTCCTGCCGTGGCTCCTTTTCCCATTGTGTTTTTTGTTTCTGCCGCTTCTTTTTCCACCGTGATATTAGTTCCTACCACGACTTCTGTTCTTGGCGCATTCTTCTTTTCAACCGTTACGGGCTTCTCTGAAGATGTCACAGTCGTCTGATTTTCTATATTCCTTTTACTCGGCAGACCACCCGTTGAATTTGTGGTTAAATTGCTACTGTCCGTGTCATCGATGAACTTAATGTTTTCACCATTACTGTTATGGCTGACTCTCGCCCCAGGGACTGTAATCGTTCTGCAAAACAATCATCAATCCTATCAAAAAAAACATAAATTGGTGATAAAATAATTGTATAGTATACAATCGTAGCTTACTCTAATGTAGTAGTATTTCTCACCTGTCTACAATATATCACACGCCTAACTTATGACCTAGTGTAGTAAACGTAATTTATTTTTGACAAGCCAACCAAATTAAAAACCTAACTATTGTCACAACTTGATAATCATGTTGATGAAGTTTGAATTCATAAAGTTACATTCGTTAGAAACTATCCATTTAAGATAGATGTTCCAGTTCGGCTTTCTTACTTTTTCTTTCTTCGTTCGGTCATCATTGGGAAATTTAAAACAATTATTAAATACGTTTAATAATGTATTTTATTTCATTTAAGTGTTGTAGTTAATAACTACATATTATAATACTATACTATACTTATTTATACATTATATACATTATATATAGTAAGTATCACAGTTCTGTTATATTCTGTGTTTAATTTATACTATTACTTCAAGATTGAGGTATAATTAAAAATTACTTTTAACAAACGCTATTACTAGAAACGTGTGATGAAATAATTATACAAATTAATCATTCCAAAGTTAAGGTATGTTTATCATGGTTTCAGGGATTCGTGACGGTAAAGTGTTAAAGACACAGCGTTTGAGCTAATAATTGAGAACGCATGCGAAACGAGATACATATTTTAACAGGTATTATTATAGCTGTTATATTATAGACAAATACTTTTAAATAGGTGATTAATCGATGTAGTTATATAATATTCTAATTAAAAATGAATTTATTAAAATAAATCATTTTTATTCATGACCTTTCGGAGTAAATGTTATAATAAATATTTTAAAGTTAAGTTATAAATATATTATCTTAATAATGTATCTTTATAAGTTAAATACTTTATAAATAACTAAGTAATTGTTACTTATTACTTTTGACTAATAAAATGTGTTAGGGCATAGTAGAAATATGATAAAATTTAATAAAGTGTTAATAAACACACAAGGTGAAGAACATAACTCTATAATACTCAACCTACGTACGTCACATTATACATAGATCTTTTACCTTTTAACAATAGCCCTCTCCACGTTTACCTTACAATAAATTTATTAAATAAAGGATCAAAAATATAAACCCTCTTTGTGTTAAACAGCTTAACTTCAACTATACTTAACATAGTTTTTAATATATTTACCTCTCTTCCTTGATTAATGTAATGTACTAGTTCTTAAGTCCATTTACTGAAAGAAAATAATGATTTTGACACATAATCTTAACTTACTGATTTTCTGTCTTTTCCACGGATTGATCACTGATGTCAGATGTACGTTTTGACTTGTCGACGATTTTAGCGTTCTTTGCTCGGCTATGGCGTCCCTTACTCTCGTCTGATATTTTAGCCTTTGTTGCAAGTTTGGAATCTCGTTTATTTTGTAAGTTTCCATCATAGCGCTTTTTATGCCGACTGTTAGATCCGACATGTTGCGTATTACATACATCTTGTTCTGAATCAGCCTCGTTCAACCTATCATAATCGTCGTTATCTTCGTCATATAAGTCTTCTTCGTCATCGCACAAATCGTTTTCACTAAAGCATTCCTTCGGTTCATCTGCTCTAGAAGATCTCTTTCGCTGGGGCTTAGTTGGTACCTCACAATCGCCATAAAATTTTCGTTTGTCCATCGACCCTTCGACGGTTTTTGCAGTCACGTCCGCTCTTATGTGTACCTGAATGGACAACAAACACGAGTTTATGAGAAATACAACAGCCGGTAGCCAAGTTAAAAATAAAAGTAAATTGAAAAAAAAATTCAGTGCAAGTGCCATTTTATTTTAAAACATTTTTTAGATCTACAACTCATATTACCTGTACTACACGGCTAATGGGCTCTTTTTTTGACTTGGGACAATCGCCTTTGCGTTTGGCCATCTGTTTTTTCCTTCCACCACTATTGCGATATTTTCTATTAATGGAATCCGAGGAATGCGAATTTCTCCTAGATTCCGATCTGTAAAAAAAGAAAACAAATAGTTTTGTAAGATAACGGTCACTTTAATTATCTTAATAGCAGCTTAAGGAATAAAATAGAAAAGGTCGCCAACCTTATAGCCGATTCATTAATGACAGAGCTTTTTTTATTAAAATAAGCGTATACATTTAGCAACTTTCTAAGCAACAAAATTAAAAACAATATTAATATGTTTCGACTTTAGCTCTCAAAATAATATGATTTATGATATAAATTGGTTGAATTTGTAAAGGTTTTTTTAAAAAATTAACATGGTTTACGGTTACAAATTGGCTTTGTCAACGTTTCAGAAGCCTTTTATTTGCCATCTTTAGGGCTGTGTTGCCTGCTGATTACATGTTGTTCAAAGGCACAGTATACTGTCAATGGAATTTTGTCGCGTTGCACCTTTTATTCTTGTATGACATCTTCATTTCACCTTGCTGTCAAAAAGTATGTTGAATCGACTTAACCGTGCCGACGTTTTTTTAATAGTTCGGCTGGAAAAACAGCGATTATTGATATGTCTAATTGGCTTCACCTGTATGTGGGGGTGCATATGGCTAGCTTATCAAAAAAAAAGGCTACCTGAACTCATCGGATGTAAAATACAAAGTACAAACATTTCAACGAGAATTTCAAACACTTTAACTTTTTGACATAATAAGACATACAATTATAATCTAATTACAATACCTAACATTATGTATGGATCAGTGTCAGCTTAAAGATTTAAACTAACCTCTTTAATCTTGTCCGTACAGTTGATTGTTGTTTTGATAATACTTTGTTAAGTTTCGCAGCCGGTTTACCGCCGTATAGTTTCAAAAACTTGGCCAGATGACTATTGTTTTTCCGAATAGTCACGTCAAGTGGCGTCATTCGTTCACCTTTGATCTTCATTACTGCATTCACGGATGCACCGTTATCCAAAATAATCTAAATCATAACTTTGTCTGAATATTATACGTCATCATCACGACATTTTTAACTAAAAAAAATCGTGTTAAAGAAGGCGTTTTAGTCGAGGCCCAAGTCCAAAGGCGCCTGCAGGTGAAAATTCAGGGGGGGGCCTATGATTTTGTAGTAGATTTTACAAATTTTGGATATTGGATATACATTTTTTTAACTTGCAGAAAAGCTAGGGGGAGTTTCCTCCTACCCCTCCCTGTGGGCGCCTTTGGGTCTAACCATTTTACTTACTTACTAATTTCTTCTCTTAGTAACTTACCTTGCACATTTCCGTGTTGTTATTAAGCGCGGCGATGTGCAAACACCGTTTACCGTCGTCATCATAATAATCTGCTACTTCGGGTCGCAACGACAATAGCCAAACCACCAACTCCTTGCGACCAGACCTAACGGCGTCATGCAACGGATATCCACCTTTGAAGTTTCTAAACCATAAGTTGGCACCGTGCTCGGCCAATATGCGAACCGTTTCCAGTTGACCTTTAAACGCACCGCAATGCGCCGGCCTTCAATAAATCACAATACAAGTTTAACCACGGACAAATTACTTTTGTAACATTCAACTTATTTTCTCCTATGTTTTTTTTTTTTTAAAGGGTGGGCTTATACATTACTCTACTCTATGTACTCAACACATGAAATGTTAATATAAATATAAAATGGAATAAGTAAAAATAGCGAGATACCGTTATGTAATTATCTTTCTACACCGTACACTAAAGCCTAGGCCTACTTAAACATACATTTTAATATGAATAACAATGACCCTCACAACATTGGGATTTTATGGGGACCTCCTATTTTAGTACCAACACAGTAGAAATTTGATACTATAATAGTAGTACCAAACAAGCCAGAATACACAGTTCTAATTCAATTTTTTCTTCATGAAATTGTTTTTATTGAACATTTTACATTTTAACTTCTTTTAATATTATTGTAGAGTGCTCTATAATCCCTCTTAGGAGTTTTTAAATGGAAATAACTGCTTACGTTCTTCCTTTTCCATCTTGTCTGTTTGGATCCGCTCCATGTTCCAATAACATTTCGGTGGCGTCGGCATGACCTAAAGTTACGGCATAGAACAAAGCAGAGCAACCATTGCCGTCTAACGCATCCACTTCGGCTCCACACAACGTCAGCAAAGCGTCTACACATTCCACGTGACCACGACTGGCTGCACAATGTAACGCTAAAAGGTGTATAAGACTAAGATAATAGAGATAATAGCTTTCTAAAATTATACTAATTTAACATGTATATTATTATACAATTTTTCCTTTTACTGTTAACATTTAATAAAATAGGTATATCATTAATTAAAAATTAAAAATTGGGTGGTTTGTTTAACAGATAATATTAACCTCTAAGTCCGTCTTTGTCATGAGATTCAACATTAGCTCCACCATTCACCAGTGTTATAATGGCGTCCGCACTACCTAAAATAAAAAAGTTTTGTACATCTATGACTTCACGAATTAGTAACTGTGTATTAATTTAACTAATTTACAAAAAATCAGTAAAAATGTCAGCACAGTGAAGTCGAGGGATAGAAAGGGTATGGAGCATATTAAGTTCGGGGAGGTCACAGGTCCACATGAATTATTATAACTGGAAGTGATAAAATCACTTTTAAATAAGCGCTTTGATGTGAATTTATAGAATTGTAAACTATGTGAATTAACTTCTTGTAATTTAATTTTGAAATAACGAGCTTTTTTGACTAATTATGACTCCATTAAGCAAAAATATGTAAATTTAAAAATTGGTAGTTACACCACTTTTACAATGAACGACCCATATATTATTGATAAAAACATTGCGAAGGCATAAATGTAAGTGTATATATAGTATAGTAAATATGATTATGTAGGTTTGATTGTCTGTTTCTCCTAATAATTCGTTGCCGTCGTTACAAATAGGCAATTCAACCACATAGTTAATAAAAACATTTTTTAGGACCTGTTGACTGTTGATTTACTATCACATAGCAACGACCAAAGTGTAATTTTACGATTTTTTTTATATAAAAAATAAGTTTAACTACAGGTTTTTAAGAAAATTGTACGTGTTATATCCCCACTATATAGATATAACTTTCTACTAATTTCTTCTTACTAATTTTGAGAAGTTAACCCTGAAACCGACCTCTAAAAAAGCGAAATAAAGACATTTCTTCCCCTTCTGGGGAACAGTGTTTTGATATTAATTTGGTTTTGTAATGGTATTTTGATAACACTAAGTCTAAAGAATATTCCATACAAGTTTAGAACTCATTCAATTATTTTGTATACAGTTATAGACTTATAATATAAAAAAATTGGTTGAACGGTTTAAAGCTATCGTGGATATACAGGAAAATAATTTATCATTGAAACAAAATATTATTGTAAAATACCATTTTAGCCCCTCATCGAACCTAATCAAGGGTTAAACAAAATAATGTTCCCATATGTAAATAGGCTACATTGAATTTATTCATATTTTTTAATTTAACACTAGATAAGATTCACTATAAGCCTAGTTTAGAAGTAAAAGTAACCATACTAAAGTGTTATTTAAATAATTAACATCATGGCTATAATATACTACATACAACATTAAGCCAACACAGTGGGGATAAAGAACCATAGTATCTGTGAGAATTATATTATCTTCTATTAGTGATAAAATTATTACTCTCGAGAAAACGATTCTATGTTGATTTTGTAATTGGTAGAAATAATAAATTAAATATCATTGTAAATCCATGTTATTATTTTGTTCCTCCTAAATAAAACAAGGTTGATTACAGACTTTTACAAATATGTATATTTATTACCTAGGTGCGTTCTAAATGATCTACCTCCATTATAATATTTACACCTTAAATTTATCAAAAACTGCACATAAAAAAGAGAAATAAGTTTTCATGGATTTTTGAGGAAAAGGGAACAATCCTTAACATAAATTATAATGAGGTTCTGTCTCATTTGAATATAGGCTATCCACCCTTCAAAATCTAAATAGTTAAGTCCATGTCAGTTGTGTCATTCAGCCTGTGTACACTCAAAGTATCGACACAGTATTGATTAAAGTATGTACCCGCGCTTGCAGCCCACACTATAGGCTGACGTCCGTGTTTGTCAGTGACGTTAACATCAGCTCCATAGGACAGCAACAGCTGTAGTACTCTAACACCAACATTAAGCGAGTCGCCCGAACGACAAACGCCCGTCGTACCACACATCTGCGCCGCATAATGTAGGGCATATCCTCCATGGACATCTGCTGAATCAGTAGTGCCTCCGTGACTCAATATTAACTCTAGGGCTTCGACGTCAGCACACACTGTAAATAAAAATTACATAAATATTGTTTTTTTGTACTAGCAAAAATACACTAATTTTCCATCGTCTAAATAGCTGATAGCTCAATACAGGCATAAATATTAACAACAAATGCCACTTGTTCATTGATAACTACAAGTTATAAAGAATAAAAAAGTACAAAAAATATATATACATACACATTAAATCTCAGAGACAACTCCCAGGAAAAATGAAATTAGTTATAATAACGTGTTTATCAAGTTTAAACTTACGAAGAAATTATATAAACTTCATGTTACAGTAATTTTTGTAAAAGAAATATTTGTGCTAAAAAACATTTCAAGTTAAGTCTCTGTTGCCACTAAAATATAATATTAATAATAGCTGAGCGACACAAATAATAATATTTTTAAAAACATTTGTATCAAATTATGAATAATAAAAATGCTGTACAGTGGAATTGGGTCATTGTGGGGAAGAAGAATATTGATTTCGGGGAGGTCATAGATCTACAATCTACATGAATGAGATTTATGACTTTCATAACTGAAAGTTATGATAGCATCACTTTAAAACAAACGCTTTGATGCGTATCTGTAGGTTATCAGTACATAATCAATAATGTGCTCACAAATTTATTTTCTAACCTTACGCCTTAAAACTTTACCTAAAAAAAGCGAAATAAAAACCCGTTTTAGGGGAAATAGTTAAGATATTGTTTTAGTTTGCCAACGTTTATCAATTGTACTTAAACTGTAGAATATTTTTTACAAATTTAAATCGAATTTGACTAAAAGTTATAGCGTGTCGCAATTTTAAGTTTAAACATATTATGTAACATTTTTTGGGGTATTTTTCTTGATTTTAAGTGGAAGGGATGAACTTTTCTACTTCGAACTACCAAAAGACCAATCGTATGCGATTACGAATCGATTAACTTGCTATTCGAGTAAATTGATCCACAGGAAAATAAAAAAGAAGTGTAATGAAAAAACTAAAAATACTTTTTACGACCATGGCCAAAATAAAATAAATCCAAAAAAATTTGAGAATATTCTTTTCATAGTGACAGACAAGCAGTGTAATTTTCAAAAAAAATCCGAGGAGAGTCACTCTAAACGTTCATTCGTATTTGGCGTTTTGACCCACATATTTATATATATATTATGTATCAGTATATACCCAATGCGATAACTGTACCAAATGAGAAAGTGTAACGTGTATACTGTATATTAATAATGATGTAATGGAAAACTTGGAACTAAACTTGAAAGTCTAACAAAACATAAACTAAAAGTGTTATTTAAAATACATTTTGACTAGAGTAGTGTAATAATTATTGATTATTACTTTTTAAGATATTAGGATAGTTTAACTGTACAGAGTGGCCCACAAAGATTTGACAAATGAAATAACTTTTGTTCTAGTGAATATTTTTTTTTTTAATAATTTATACTCATTTGCACTACAAGCACCGTGGTAGGTAACGCGCGTTGATAAAAATAAATCTACGCGGTTTACTCTACCGCACTCCACCTCCCGTCATCAGTCATCCTCACTTTAAAATGAATATAACTTTTGAACGGATGAATAAAAATACAATTTTTTTTTACCTATTCTTTTTTAAAAATTATTTTGAACAGAATGCTTATCTTGAAAAAAAAATAAAAATATGTAACAAAAAAAATAAAAAAACTATTAAAAAAAGTAAAACAGGTAAGTGCAATAAAAACCACGGTGCTTATAGTGCAAATGAGTATAAATTATTTTAAAAAAAAATCTCAAAAATATTCCCTAGAACAAAAGTTATTTCATTTGTCAAATCTTTGTGGGCCACCCTGTATAATAATATATTATCATTATTGATAAATTACTATTCCAAAAGTTAGTTTTATAAAAAATGAGGTCGTATATGAATTATCTATCAACTAGTTGTCCCCAAGTTTTACCCTAGTATAACATAACATATATAATAGAACAGCTATAACTCTAGTATAGATCAACAAGACTGATAATTACAATGTATTAACGAGAAAACACGAATAGACGACCCTTCACTAATAGCAATGCCACGCAATATAGGAACATTGTATACATAATCGACAGTTTATCGATTCAGGAAGAACCAAAGGTATACCATAGATACTGATGGATAGTTATTTTTTAAAATATAACCTAATGACCTATTGTACATTAAAAATCATTAATCTACCTAAATTTAAATACATTTATGGTAAAATTTAATATATAATTTCAACATTCATAAAATAGATTTTAATTTATTTATGGATACATATATATACATTACATATGGATATGGCTGTACTCACCAGTTTAGCCTAAAAATTAAGTATAATTTAGCAACACTAATATTACAGGCCAAATTATACTTAGACTGGTTGCAGTATGTTTTAAAATAAACCATATATATATATACCATATATCTTAACAATTAAAAAAATATTTATTAAGTGTCATTGTAAGTAACAGACGCCTATTCGGGAAGGATAGCTTTGGTAGCAATTTCTAATTTATTTAATTTTAGTAATAAATATCTAGAGTGGAATAAATATCTAAAAAATCCTAGCCTACCTAGCCTAACCTGGCATGGAACGGGATTTTAAATACTAATCTACACAAGTCCCCAGAAGCTATTATTGGGCTAAAAATGGAAAGAAGAGCTACCTAAAATAAGACACTTAATAAATAATAAGTATTCATGAATATATTTCGATCTAGTCAAGGGCGCTGCGCATACCTCTTGAGCAAATGGGAATTAGCGACATCAAAAAGCTGCCAATGCGGAAATGTTAACCGAACGATGGTCCATATTGTAGAGGAATGCCCCTTCTTGTACTCATTTGTAAAGGGATTGGTTAATCTAAAAAACTTAAAAGATGGATTTACGGAATGGTTGGTTAAGTTACCACTAGATATATGTGAGGCGAATAGAGAAAAAGGACCTCTAATCGCGAGAATCCAAATAGTAGGAGAGACCTAAACATCGATCGGAGTTGGAAATATATTTAAGAAAAAGAAATTATATTATCTGCTTAAAGGCACTTTGTTTTCATTTTTGATTAAATTGCACTCCTTAAGTATGTAAAATAAAAAGTTGGCGACATGTAAAACTTTAAAGCGTTTTTTCTCAAAAACCCCATTTTCCAAAAATAAATTTAAACAAATATAACTTGGCCAATTTTCAAAATAGGAGAAGAATTCTGGTCTCAAAATGTTCAGAATTTAGTGCAGAATTTGGAATAACCAATAACTCAATAAAATGTTTGCGACAAGTAGTCCCTTACGCCTCACATATAATGAAAATCGATAAATCGCTACATTTATTTCTATATTTATTAATACTTATTAGTTATTACCAATGTTATTATAATTATTGTTACTCTATTTTGTCTGTTTTATTTTGTTATCAACTTTATAACTTATGAGTGTACATATATACATATATGTATTGTGTGATAACGTTATGAATCTGCTGTAAGCCATATACTAAATAAATAATATAATTTACAATAGGTAAATTCTTCTATGATTCTTTCTACAAAAAAGTTTTAAACTGTATTTAATTGGTATCTAGTGCTAGTGGTGTAATCGAACCTAAACCCTAAAGCTTAACCGTCCGTTACAAAATCAAGGAACATTCATTACCGATCAACAATAGTTTCCGTGTTTATCATTTAATATGATTCAGAGGTACAATAACTTATACGTATACAATAATAGTCCATAATATTTAAGGTCACCTGTAGCCCAATGCACTGTCGAATGGCCCTCAATGTCTCGTTTATTTGGATCGGCAAACCCCAACAGCAATCGGACCAAAGATAGATTTCCAGCAATCACAGCTAAATGCAATGCCGTGTGACCGTCTTCATCGGGTACATCTACTATTGATGAGTCTCTATCCAACAATAACCTAGCACATTCAGCGTCCGTGTCGTCGTTTTCTGCACAATAGTGCAACGCAGTCTTAAACAGTCCATCTCGTTCGGCCACCGACAATGGCTGTCAACATATTAAAATTTCATACTTACAACATACTACACTTTTGTTTGAACCCCCAATTAGAGACAACATTCTAGGATGACAAATACTTTAATCGTAATTCGTAAATAAATATGAACATAAGTTAGAATTATTTTCAATAAAAAGAACAAATAATAATAATTGTATTAATTGTTTTAAAAATTAATTTTTGTATGTAATTGCGGTTAAAGTATTGTGTTTTTTTTCTCAAAATAATGGCCCTTTATTCAGTTAAAACATACATATTATATTAAAAAATACCTTCTCAGCTATCGCATCAAGGATAAAAAAAAATATACTATAATATTGATTTTGTTCGATATTTTGTGGGATGGATAGATAGTAATTATCTATAATATAATGTAATAAATTATGTTCTATATCGAAGTGTTCCAGAGTTATAACTGAAAATTTAAAGATTTACACTGCAGTTTTTCTATTACCTACGATAGTATTGAATTACGATTTACGCGTGGTTTAGTAAAATTACTGTCATACCATACCTTTTATTATTAATTATTATTAACAAGGTTAATACATATAGTATACTATAAATTGTAATCAATTTCATTATAATATACTTCAAACTAAAATTATACTTAAAGTTGATCAATCTTTCCCTTAAAGGAGACATTGGAACATGCATATGTCTTATTATCAGCCTATTTTCTGTATCTTGTTAATAATCTATCATAAGTTGATTCTATCTTGTCAGTTTCCTATTAGAATTTAGGGATCCACTTATTTAGTCCTATCAGTGACCGCTTTGTTTAGATCTCTTAACAATACAAGAAGGCCCCGATTTCCATCAGATTTTAACCCCAGGGAGAGACCCCAATTTTCGAAATTTATAATTTATCGATTTAAAGAAAAAGCAAAAGATATTATGTTACCAGTACACATGTTATAAAAGTGATACCAAATTATTTGATTTAATGTATTATTAAAATGCTTCTTGAAGGATACTACCAAAAAACACATTTTCACTTAACAACAAAAATATATTTCATACCATGTACAAATACATCGGTTTAAAAAACCAAATATGTGTCTGAGCGATTAGGCTTAACTGCTTTTGGTCTTGTAAAATAAAAATCAATGAAAAACATGTCAAAGTTAAGTTACGCTATTATAAAATAATAATGTTTCTGGAACTTTTTTTACAAGCTCAAACTCAGATAAGCTATTAGAATATCATACAATCATTCGTTTTAATCAACACTTTTTTCAAGAAATAATGAAAATTTTACCTTCGTAACGTTTTCTATCCTTGGCTAATTAAAATAAAATGTCTTATCAATCAATTTACAAAATTTTTGAAATAATAATTTGGTTATTGTTAAATTATAAGTGTCATATCTAAATTGTTATTTTGAGAATTAAAAATTATATGATTATCAAAGGTTTTTGGTAAAATTTTAGAAAAACTAAAGCTTTAACCAAACTTTATGATAATGTTACTAAAATATGTAACATTAAAGTTACTTATTTTTTAAATTTATTAATTTTTATTTAAGTGTAAAGCCGTAAACGTACTTTGTCTTCTAGGATCAGTCGGATTTGTTCTGAGCGTCCGTACATACAGGCTGTCATTAAAGGAGTAAGACTTTCGTTACACATTTCTGATGGCGATTCCTGGAAGTTCACTTTTTTTTTAAAATCCGTAGTAGAGGCACGAAAAGTTGTCATGATGATGCTGGTTTGACGCCTCAGCCTAAAAATAACATATATGTGTGAATAACTGCAGTGTCTATTATCATAGGTTTCAATAAAGTTTAAAACAGTTTTTACAAATTACAATTTTCTTGTAAATTATTTTAAATAAGAAATATTGAATATTGCAACTTTTCATATCAATTACACATACCCACATTTCGAGTTCGTATTTACAATGTAGACATCGGGTGTATGAAATATGTTGTTCACCATTTATAATATATAATATAAATGATATATACATATACAGAGTGATTCACTGACTATGAACCAGTCAATATTTCATAAGACTCAATTATATATTGTAAATTACTTGATAGTAAGTATACTTAAGGGGGCGTCGCACCGCCCATTTTTAACGAGTAAAGTATAGACAATTTTTTACAAAATCTTACTTTAAAGGTTAAACTATGATGTGTAATTATTAGGGCTCCCTATTTCACGAGAATCACGGCTCACGGATTCACGTGAAATTAATCACAAGTTTATAAGACCCGTGATTGGAAATTGTCCGTGAATTAAAAATTTTATTCACGTGAATAATATTAATATACGTGATCACGTGAATTTTATACAACGTATTCACGTGAATTAAACATACGGATTTTATATTACTTTTATTCACGTGATCACGTATGTATTATTTCACGTACGAAACCGAGACCCCTATTAATTATTAGTTTAATAACTAGAACTCTATTTTGGTAGTTAATTCATTTTTTGGACTATCACAGCATCCTTAAAAGCGATTTAAAAATGTTTTTTCATCTCTACATGTTTAAGCAGACTGAAAATAACTCACTTAATTTTGGTTTTAGAGTAAAAGCACCCATTTTAAAATTAAAAGAAAAAAATATTCTGGAGGGCAAGACGGTTATTCTAAGTATAACGCTCAAAACATAGTTTAGAAATAACGACTATTTTAACATTTTTAAATGACTGTAACTTTTCAAAAAATGAATTTTTTTTTTTTTTAAAAACGCACCGTTTTGTCCTCCAGAATATTGTTTTCTTTTAATTTTATAATGGGTGCTTTTACTCTAAGACCAAAATCAAGCGAATTATTTTCAGTCGGCGTAAACATGTTTTTACCACTGAAAATCACCGGTGCGACGCCCTCTTAAGATAAGAGAAAGCAAAAGATGACAGTTTGAAAAACGATTTACTGTGCGTTATTAAAATCATTGTTTTTTTTTTATGCGTTTAAAGGTGCTTTAATTGGAACAACTAGAACTTGACTGTCGTTATTTCTTTAGCTTTTCATAATTTCTCAAAAGTTTTCGTCAAACGAATCTGCACAATATACCATTTATAATCCTGGTGTGTGACGTCAGAAGTCAAGCAAGTAGTTGAATTAATAAATATTTTAATCAAATGTCCAATGTTTTTTTTTATCGTGACACTTGTAACATTATATACAATTAACTATGTATTTATTATTTCACTTAATGTTCACAAAATAAGTTAAAGTATAACTGGTTAATGTCACTGAATATTATGCTCAAAACATTGTACGTAGTAGGTGAGTTGTCTGTGGCCACTATCAATATTTCATAAACGTTTCTAAGACCTCTTGATAGTTTAGTTAATCCTACAATTTTCTATATATTTGTAAGTGTCAATTAAATTATTTAAGAAATGTTTTTTACAAAATTCGTCAAGATTTGTCGTAGTTAGTTTATTATATACTGCTCCATACAAATAACAAAACAGTGTATACGTATGGATACTGAATGTTTAAATGTGTCGGGATATATGAAAGCTACTGGCTTCTTTTTCACACGCATAAATATGGACACAGTATGACCTTGTCATACAACAGTTTAGAAATCGATTATGCACGCAAAGGGGTTGTCCCACTCATAATACTTGGACATAAACGAAACCGCCGGTGTATAATGACGATGAAAAGTTCAGTTCGAGTCCTGGGGTCGAGGTCGACTATTTTCGACCCAGTTACTATTTAGTGTTGATATAATAATATTCAGCTAGCCAAAGGTCATTCGCGAATTACCATATCATTTGCGTGCAAATAATATGGCAGGTTAAGTAATGTTATCCTGGCTGCTGTTTAGCTATATAATATTTCGTGTAACATTAACCCGGTTTTATAATCACTTTCCCTGATAATAAAACAAATTTTCTTATTTAGTAGTCTCGTTGTCACGCCTTAAAAGTTACAAGATATGATGATTATTAGTTTATATTTACTTAGATTCCAAAATAAAACTATATAGACATTTTAAATATTTAGTATTGTTTACAATTAATAGTATGATAATTAGTACCTAGCTACATTTCTTAGATTTGTACTAAATTATAAAAAAAGGATGAAAGTAAATGTATAGAGAACATTTTTAGGACTCACAAAAATGCTAGCTGGTCATGGGTAAGTACTAAAAAAACAAGGTCAGTTATTGTTTGCATATTCAGGTCTGTCATAAAAAAAATACCTTATAATTTTTGTACAACCACTTAACGGAGTAGTAGGTAACTTTATTTGTTATACCAATGGTAACCTTCAACATTATCGCAGAGAAAATCAACTAACCACTTTAAACGTTTTATTCGCATAACATATTAAAAATGTTTAATCATTTTAAGTAATAGACATTTTTATTACTATTATTACTTTTTTTTTTTAATAGCCTTTATTAATAATACATTTGACGCAGATAGAAATTATTAAAAAATATATATTTTTGGTTGCTTATATTGGGTATTATTTATATTTAATCTTTTAAGCAAATCCGGACAAAGTTTTAACTGGTTTTTAAATTTAGTTAAGAGTTTATTTTAAAATTTCACTTATAAAACTTACCAATCTGTATTTAAACATTTGTTAACGGACTAAAGTTATAGACATCTTAGATCGTGGATAGCTCTATTCTCAAGTAATTCTGTCAATGGTAAAATACATTTTCAAAGCAAATAAATAATATTATTTGTTTTTCTCCGAAGGTTTGATTTTTACGCGAATATTAATATAACATGTAAAGATTATAATAGCTGTTACATAACAATCATCGTCTGGTGATGAGAATTTACGAAGCTAAAAAGTATCTCGTTAAATTGAATTTTAAATTAATGTATCTTGAAATAGTAACTCATCACGTTTAAAAGTTACCGAAAAAGTAACTTTTAACTTTTTTAACTCGCCAATGTTTTGTTTGCTTTGGAGTATAACGACCATAAACTTTGTAAAACTTTAGAACAGCAATAAATACTAATTATTATTGTTAAACCTCATTAAAATATTACAAAAAAATCAAAATTCATTATAAATGAACAGTATACAATATACATCGTCAAAATTTAATAAATTTAATGGTAATATGACAGATAATGAGGTAATAATGTACTTATCTATATGAACATATAGATACATCATTTTATTGTCTTTTGCTGGCTTGAACAAAACTCCATTGGTTCTATAAACACTTATAATGCTTACCATAACAATGGGTAACATGAAACTAAATTCCCTAAAACTTCCCCTCAATTACCTTAATATTTTACTATACGTTTATTATTCATACCATTAGCCCATTTGACCGTAATTTACTTAAAAATAAAAAACCAAGCATCTAATTACTTACTAAACGCAGTTATGAAATTTAAGGGCCGATGTGTGAACTAAAGAACAAATAAATATCAAATAACCTAATCTAAGCTAATAAGAAAAGTATTAATTCGTATTATTATTATTGTTTAATAATAACATCTAAACAATTATACAAATTTACTTAAACTAGACAAAAAAATCTAATTTTTCCAACTGAATACTTGAGTAATCAATACAAATCTAAAATAGAGCATTGTTTTCAGAATACATTGTTTCCCACCTATACCTTCACTAGAGCTATCACTGTTCATCCAGTGTATTAGCTTTTTATTAATTACTTAAAGTACTACATTGCAACCAAAAAAATGTTTTTAATGAGTCATACAAAAATCATAAAACTATTTATTTGAAAACTCTCATGACGTAAAATAGTTTTGTTACAAAAACGTACTCTTCTTATAGTAAGCAAGTTATAGCGCGTCGTTTTTTAACTTTTTTTTAAAGGTCCTGCTTGCGAAAATTCCAAAATCAGAAGCTATAAAAAAAAGTTTGAATTTTAATTTTAATTATGTCACCTTATGCTGCATGACAAAAAGATAAAGACAGGGTGTTTTGTAAAAATATGTCTATAAATCAGCTGTTCCCAAACTGGGAGGCGCAAGGCAAATATTGATATTTTTAGCTCAACGATAATCAATACAAATACTTAATACAAATTTATTAATTTTTATTTTTAGGGATGCGGGAACCAAAAAAGTTTGGGAACCGCTGCTGTAAATAACTTGTGTAATCTATTATTTATATTATATAATCTATCTTCAGGGTTTATCTTATCTAATACATTAAGATATTAAAAACATTATTGAATTACAATTAAATATTAATGCATTAATAATTAAAAAAAGAAAAATGTTTAACTTATAACTTGTTTTCCTCCTCCAAATGTTCCTCTAAGTGTGATTTTTGATTAAAAATTATACATGAAGTTATATTGAAGAAGATGGAATTAAATTTAAAGCAGTTAAATAAATTAAATTAGGTAGTCTAGTAAATAATTCGAACTATGAATAGACATAATAAATTATAAATACGTCATAACTCATAAGTCATTACAAAATCAAAATATTTTCACTAAATTAAATAAACTTAAAAATAATTTACATACTGTTTCACTTAATCAAATATCTATAAAAGCTACTATAATAGAGTTTTATTAAAACCTATTAAAAATAGTTGTTCTTATTACATTTGAAATGGTCAAGCAACACATTGATCAAATTAATAACATTTAATTCATACATTTTAAACAATTACCTGCTTTATTAATTTTGTATTATCGCCATTATTTTAATGATAGACATATTTTAATTCATTTTAATTATAATTGCATTGTTCAATCAATATATTTATGGAAATATATAAATAGTTTGCTGTTAAAAAATTAAGAACATTAATTATTCTTTTAGTTTCGATGTGAAGCTCAGTATGAATTTTTTATAATGATAATATTAATGACGACCAGGGACGTATTTAGATTTTTTTTTTGGGGGGGCTGAGGCATTGAATAAAAGAGCTTAGTTATTTATAAATTCTGATCCAGAAATAAACCTTAAAAATTTGGCCAAACTTACCCTCAGCTCATTAAAAATAAGACTTCGAAATTAAGTGTAAAATTTTAATATTATAATTCTGATATAATTAGTATTAGTTACAAAATCTTAAGTTAGGAAACCTCAAGTCTTACAAAATATATAATAAAATAGAAATTATAATTCATACTTATTAATACTAATTATAATAACAGTAAAACAAATTATATTAAATTCAAATTTCTCTCTTTATCACTGTTGGCAAATTTGTCTAATACCATATCGTCATTTATATCAATGTCTCGGTGAACGGATAAAAGTGTTAGTCCTACTAGCCTGGACTCAGAAGTTGTATTTCTTAAATATGTTTTAAGTCTTCTAAGAGTTGAAAAGCTGCGTTCAGCCGTAGCGGTGGATACTGTAATTATAGCTAGTATTTTTAGTAATTCAAATATGTTAGTGTACATAAAACGATCACAGGCTCTTAGAGCTTCTATAGCAGGTCTTACATAATAAATACATAAGGAAAATTGTTCGACTTGAGATATGTCAATGGTTTCATCTGCTAGTATTGTATATAAATTTGTTTTTGATACTTTTTCAAGTATTTTTAATTGAATTAATTCAATAGATACAATACCACAATACATAGATTTGCCACCACTAGTTTCTAAATGCTCTTTTAAGACGTTATTACCATTTTTTGCGCGATATCGGAGCAAAAACAACGGAAATTACCATCGTTATGTTTTGGTTCTTTTGAAGAGATTTGACCAGAATCCTCATGTCCCCTTAACGCTAGTTGCTGTCTGCCACATAATCTAACTGTTTGAATAATTGGTTTAAGCTTTTCGCGATTTTTTAAAATTTCGTCCTTTCGTTTATTATTTAATTGTACCAATATATTATCTTGTTTTTTATCTAAAATAGCCTTTATGTTATCAGCGGTAAGCAACGCATTTCTGAACGTTTCCAATGCATCTTTCAATTTCGTCAAGGGTTTTAAAACAAGTTTGCCTAACTGTTCATGAGAACCCTTATCAGCCTGACTTGAATTAAAAAAACAATACACAGTATTTACAAAAAGAACCTTCTCTTAATTTTGAATAAGCCAACCATTTAAAAGTTTCAAGCCATTTAATTTGAAATTTACGTTTATATTTTCCAGTAGTATCATATGGAGAATCAAACTTACAATCAGGGGTCCATACGTTTTGTAAAATAGAAACCTTTTTTTTGTCACTTAAATTTTGTTTACACTCAACATAAGCTCCTATATCAAACTTAGAATTTAAAATATGTTTAATTACCGGAGAAATAACTTCTACACGTGAAGCGGCTTGTTTTGTTTTAGATGCCACAGTGTCTTCATCTAGGAAAACATTTGATAAAGATGGAACAGTATCATCGATTGACTGTTTAGATTTTTTAAAAAAAGTCAACAATGACTGAGTTTGTTTCATTATATTATTTTAATAAAATTAATTTTACTCAAGAGAAACATAGAACACTGTACACACGTTATTAGTAAAATATACTATGAATTCGATAATATTTCTAAGCAAGCCAAACCCCCCAATTCTTAACATAGTATACAAAAAAAAATAAAAACATTTCGTTTTTGCTTTATTTTTATATAACATAAATATTATTCTAGTATTTCTATAGCATCTGCGATTAGTTCGATTTGTTATTGATATAAGTAGGTATATATGTATACAGGCTATAGCAATCTTTTTTTTATATCTTTGACATTTTTTCCCAATTATAAAGTATACTACTGATATTTAATTGTTTGTATTTATTTATAATATCTCTACAATAGTAGTGTACACTGTATGTATCCCAGAATAAAGCAAAATATTATGACGATGATCACTCCTATCCCTACGCTTTGCCACAAGACTGAAAACAGTTGGCGTCCGTTAGTCGGCCGCCCAAAATATAATAATAACAACTTCAGTTGTTGTGTTATAAAAAAAAATCGTAAATAGCAATTTATTATTTTTAAAACGACAATATTGAACTCTTACAATTTATATCCTATAGATATAGGGTATAGCTCATGCCGCTTAGACAGACCTAAAAAAAATTTCCTGAAATTTCGGGGGGGGGGGGCTGAAGGCCCCTCAGCCCCCCCCCCCATAAATACGCCCCTGATGACGACTTTTATCAATTAATCATTTTCATCACATACATTGCGGGTTTTCACTAAATGTACAATACTATAAAACATTTTAATATTATAACCCGTTGGTAGTATTATTAACTAGTAGTATTATTATTATTTATTAGTTACTACTTACTTATAAGTAATTATACTATATAAATTATAAAAATGTCAGCGGGTAATTATTATTTATGAAGCGACAGTACATACAAATAGTGTGTTTTACGATTTATCAATAAACAATAACATCTAAGTATTTAAATGTGTGAATTTTTATTTCTACCTTATAATTCGTTGTCGGTGGCGAGTTGTGTTCTACACGGTGTCAAGACATTTTTCGAACGAGGCACATGACCGATTGAGCGCAAAATGCTCTACGGCCCGGCGCTGCTAATTCCTCCCTCTAGCGTTTTGTCGAAACCCTACTGTTAGCCAGTAACCGGGGCGACCAAGGTAAGGTAAGTAAACCCGAATAATGGGTATAATAATCATTTAAAAATATTCACACGCAGTCCGCGAACAATAAAAAGAATAACCAACGTATAGGTAGCGATTGAAAGTTAAAACGCATTACACCGTTAGTGTTTTATTGCAAGTGGAAAAGCTCTTTACACGCAACATTGCGCTAGGCATTTGATTTAAAACACAAATCCGAAAATAATGATCTCTGTTACCAAGTATAAAATAATGTCTATTTTATTTTTGATTTAGGTTAAATGGTTGCCTACTATACCCACTATCTAGGTACTTAGGCAAATTATAATTAAAATGAGTATTTATATTCGCCACGCATTTAATCGGTAATGATTTTTTTGTATTGATATCTTTATTAATTAGCATCGTATACTATAGTCATTAGCTATAACACTATATTATGTTAACAAATAGATTACATTCAAATCTTAACAGTTTTTGTCCAATGTTATTGTTTTTTTTTTACCATTTATCAACTAAAACATTATATTAATAAATTATTAAATTTCTTTGCACAGATTTATTTCGTGGAGGAATTTGATAGTTTTTCTTATGGTTTGCTCATCAGGCCCCAGGCTTGTTGACAGGCTTCCTATTTCGTTGAGGGATCTTGAGTTTTTCTATCTTTGGCATTCTGTTATGATGAGTTTGACTGTTATTTGTACATTGCATGTAGGACAGATTGGTTTTCAGCTATTTCGAAAATATGGGAATGTGTCAACTGGGTATGTCCTATTCTAAGCCGGTTTATTCTTGTTTCGTCACTCCTTAAAAGCGATTTTATTTTTTGGCCATAGGTGGACTGATATTTTTAGAGAGTTTTCTTTGATTTTGTTCATTAAGTTATTTGTTCTTTTAGTTTAATTTCTAGAATATCAGGGTTGTTAATAGAACTTTTCGTTTTTAAATCCGCTTCTTCGTTGCCATCTATGCCGCAATGTCCGGATACTCATAATATTACTGTCTATTTAAAATTTTAAATGCTTCTAATTGAGATAAGCAGCACAATCGGCGCTGATGTATTTAAAACTTTTCTAACGAGAAAATCACGCAACTATTGGTCCAACTTAAAAGTTTTTAGGAGTTTCCTAATCCCGTGGCCATAGAAAAGTTCCAAAAAATAGCGTGTACATTTTCGAAAATATTCAAGTTTATAATAGCTAATTATTATTTAGCCGTAATTTGAGCAACTTTGGGGACTATTTTTTTATTTTTGCGGACAATTACTCTTTACATCAAGAGCAATAACTATAGTGAGCATAATATAATACAAGACATAATTATTCTTGATACTAAAATAATATATTAAAAACGTTTCAGTGTTTAGTCTTTTTATGTGGACTAAATTGAGTTAACATACTTATATTATTTTATATACTTATATTATAAATTATGTTTTTTTACACGAAAAAAAAAAATTTGGTTATAGTAAATGTTTGGAAATATTCTTGTTTGATCTACTATAATATGGCTGCGCCTACTACATCATTTTAGTTAGAAATACCAAACTATAATTATATATCTATATAAATTGTTAAAATCTTATTTGTTGTAATAAGTAATAATAGTTATTTTGTCAAAAGAATAATTCGTTATAATTATATTTATTTTGTTAAAAATTATTAAAAATAGATCAAGGACACCTTGGTTGTCTCTTAATTATTTTTTTTTTTTAATCAAATTAATCCTGCAAAGAAAATGATAAAATATTTGAATATTCGAAAAATCAGATCGAATATTCGAATAAAAAATTCGAATATTCGTTATTCGAATAACGAATATTCGTGCGAATAAAGTATTCGAATATTCGATTTTTTTTTATTCGAATAGTCCTACCACTAATTATTACTGATGAGAATATCGAATAAGAGAGACAAAGCGAAACACAAATTTTCATGGTACTTAGTTAGGATACATAGTTTTTTCTTCCACTAAAACCTTCACACTGCCGTCTATCCTATCGTTTTACTTTATTTGTGGCATTGTGTGAGTTAGCTCCATTTATGACTTAATAGGTCACTTGATAGGATTTAATGAGATTTCTATTTATCTTCGACAGTAGCTGGACCTGTATCTTCAGCTGTATCCCTGTTATATGCTACACAAAACTCTTTAAAATCAATTTCCGTTTTAGCTCCTAAAAACCGTGAAAAATATTTTAATGATTACAAATGAAATTTGTAACCATCTGTTTCTTTAAACAGAAACTAATATCGATCTTAAATTAAAATAGAAAGTCATAAGTGGCAAACCAATGTTATAAGTTGAAAATTCAAACGATAATTAAATTTTTTACTACCCAGTTAAAAATACTTAAAAATATGCGTTTGCATTAAAAAAAACCAAAGTTGATAGTCTTATTACATAATATAAATCTTAAACATTTTTAAAATATTGAAAAATATACTAAAATATGTACCTACAAGTGCAAGAATAAAATAATTTTCAAAATATTAATATATTCCAAGAAAATGAGTGTTTTACATCAGATAGATCACTCTGTATACATACATACATACATATTTTAAATAAACCATTAAAAAACCAACAACAAAATATTTGTTTAGAAATTAGACGTATTATTGCAATCAGCGTATACGATAATATTGTGGTCTTGTCATTGAAAACCTAACTAAGTACATTTTACATTAACCCAAAACTGTAGGCAATAAATTGTTTTATTTTCAAAATATTAAAAAAATATATACATGGCATTATTATATCAATGGGGTAGACATTAAATCAACTTGCATCGATGACTAACAAATATCACTATGATTCTTACACAAAAGCCATCTTAAAAAAATACAATTAAATTAAATTAAAAAACTAGTCAAAATAGTTGAGCATTTCAAAGATAAGAAAGATAAGCCAAAATGCAAAACAAAACGTCCATTTTAATGGACTTTAACCGAATTAATGGATTTTAACCGTGCCGTTGGTTCAGTTTTGGAATTTTCGGGTTAAACTCAAATTGAAGCATTGTGCATATGTATACCTAGGTATAATATGAAATAATATAATATACTATATTATAAAATGCCGTGCCGGGTTTTAGTTATAGGTCTGTTATACCCAATTTATACGTATATTAAATAAATGTAAATGTATATGTAAATTGTATATGTATAAAAATATGATAATTTTCCGTTTTTCAACTTTTCTATGAAAGTCCAATTCTTTTTTCAGTTTTTCTTAGCATTTTTATAGAGAACCCAGTTAGAAATTGACATATTTTATGTCAAATTATACCTCTATATACATATATACTTCTTTATTTAATATTATTAATTAAATATGATAGGAGATTAGAAAGTACTGTAGGAATCGATCAGGGACGGCGCCAAGGGGGGGGGGGGCGAGGGTGGACGGTCGCCCCTCATAACAAATTCTTGCCCTTCTCTCGCCCCCAAATATTTTGCTCAATAGTAAAATTTTAAATATTTGATTATTATTCCTAAAACCCAGATTTTAAATTACTATATTTTTATAAATACAAATTTAGTTATTACGGAAATTGTGAAAACAATTGTTGTTTTGATTTAAACCTGTGTATGTATACAAATTTAGTTATTAGTTATAACATTGCCACCAAATGTGGCCTTTTTTTTATCAATATATGTTGAGTGTTTTTGCAATAGGTTTTCAATAATCCGTCGCCCAAATAAGTATGTGTTTTGGTATATATATAATATTTACGTTTGTGTGTGTTTTCCAAAAATTCAGTGTTTATTGACGGATTGTTTTGGTTTAATAGAATGTAGGTATACCGTATAATACGATAACTATAATCTCCACTGACTAGTTGTTGGGCGTTTTATAAGCCTTCATTTTTACTACGACTTTCATAGAGTACAATAGAGAACTAATTGATGGCCGACAGGTAAAAATAACGCTTATTTAAAAAAGTTGCCTTACTTAAATTGTACATTAGTATATATTGTCCCTTAATATGTAATAAATTCATACTTTATATTTTATACTATTTCACTGATAAATATTAAAATCATTATAATTGTTTTTTATTGACTAAAGTTGTTTGGAGTGTAGCTTTATACGGCTGCGAGACATGGGTCATTAATGAAAAGGAAAAAAAATCCCTTGAAGCATTCGAAATGTGGTTTTGGAGACGTATAGAGAAAATAAACTGGACAGAAAGAGTAACGAATGAAAATGTACTGACCCAAGTTGGAGAAACAAGATCCATAATTAAAGCCATAAAGCGACGACGATGGGACATGATGGGACACGTTTTACGCCATGACGAAGAATTGCATCATACTATAATAGAAGGTGCAATTGAAGGACGAAAACCACCAGGAAGACCAAGAAACTCGTACATATCTCAACTGAATAATGACGCAGGGATTGATACTTACGCCGGATTAAAAAGACTTGCTGAAGATCGTGATAAATGGAGAGCGAAGTTAAAAACGTTGTAAGCCAACCTAATATAGGTTAAAAAAAAAAAAAAAAGACTAAAGTAGGTAAAATTATTGTGGTTGCCCCTCCAAAAAATTCACTTGACCTTTCCCGCCCCCTAGGAAAAAAATTCTGGCGCCGTGCCTGGACTCGATTCAGTTTTCAAGACCGTTTTCTCTATGCATTTTTCTCATAGGCTTAAATAAAGGGGGGGCTTAGCCCCTCCCCCCTTAAAAAAATGCATACCCCCCCTAAAAATTGTATAGTTCAGATTGTGACGCAAAAGCCTTCACGTCCATTCTACTTGCTACAACCATACGGCGATGACAATCCCTATATTGACATTTATCTGAAATAACTCCTTATTTAGACTTAGGAACTATTATACTATTACGTCTCTGCGTTCTACATATGACGACATCCAGGAACACTACTATCAATGGTCTAGTTATGTGTCCAACTATCACCGTCCAGGGCCGACCGACCACTATAAGTACCCACTGCGAACAGGGCTAATTGGTCAGACGTCGTCCAGTACTCTACAGTTCAACGTTCTGTTTTAAGAGACCTATTGTCAAATACTTAACTGTTATTTTACATTGTGTTGATAAACGTTTCATGGTTATCATTCATATTAAAAGTTATTCTTAACTTTTGGTTGTTAATTCTGTTCTGCCTACCCTCTTCCATCCTCACACGGCCTCCAGGCATAACAAGATTTTGTATTAGAGAAAATAAATACAATTTATTACGTAGTAATTCTCAAGCAGGATTGCCGATAGGTATGTGGACATTTAAGGGTCATGTATGAATTTTGTATTTTAATAATAGATGATATAGTAATTAGTATTAAATAACGATGACTATAACAGGATATTTATACGCGATGTACGATGTACCTTTTGTGTCTATGGCCTATGCGATCAGACGTCAGCGACAATACTATTGTAACAATAGACAACGCTACACGGTATAAATTATTACGGATTATTATAACCCAAATAATAGTTCGAATTTTTCATCTAAAAATAACCTCAACCTAACACGGTCTCCAACATAATATTATAAGACCACATTAACCATTGACATGCTTTTTCCTAGAATTATTATTATCTAGTATATTATAACTACCGTTATGGTAGCGGGACTTTTTCGGCGGCTCGTAGAACCCATGTAATTTTTTAAAGTTTCCCTTCTGGTTATTCAGTAATAATACTACCGCTGTGTCTGTGTGTCATTTTTTTTCTTATTATTGTTATCGCTAATCGGAGTATCGGACTATGTACTATTTGTATTAGTTAATTATATATTTCATATTTCTTTAGGATTTGTCAAGTATTTCTGTTGATTCACTGAAATGTGAAATGATCGTCGCAAAAAATTGTATGATCCATGGTGAATTAACAGAAGACAAATTAAAGCTTATTTTGCAAGAAAATGTACACCCAAACTTGTTCAATTTGTATAAAGTAGCTTTAACCTTGCCAATTAGTTCCGCCACGTGCGAGAGAAGCTTCTCTGCTATGCGTCGCTAGGTTTAATCAGGTGTCTATTTTGAACATAAAAAAAACCGAAACTAAAAAAATTAATAAACAGGTCATTATAAATAAATTTGGAGACCAACATAAATATATTCAGTTAAAATAATAAAAAGTATAATATGTTATTAATTATTTATTTATTTGTTACCTACGCCAAAATGGCAATTACAAAAAGACAAACATATAATAATAATAATTATTATAAAAGGTTATACATACAAGGTTCTGAATACTGTTGGGTCATTAAAACTAGTCACTAGATGAGTTTCTAGTTAACTAATTAAAATTAAAATGTGTACGTTTTTGTTAAATAAATAATTTTAAAGTAATTATGTAAAAGCTTGGCAATTTGATAATGTAGATAGAGGGGGTGCGGGGCGTCCCGATTATAATTTGGTTCAAAAAGGGTTACATGTAAACTGCGCCCAGCTTCTTATCATCGGTATGAAATGCAAACAGCGCCCGAATCAATAAAATCACAGAAATATTAATATTTTAGGGTTGCTACCACTTTTACCAAATTGCATAAATTACCAATGTCCATGCTGTTTGGCCTCAGATAAACTAAAGATACACGGATGTCGCTTTCATCTAACACAATCGTGGAATAGAAATATCCAACAAAATGGCTTAAGTATTGACTATAAAAATATGAACAGTGATATTAGAAGGGTTAGTTCATGCAGATCATGCTACGGTACCTATACCATTTTTAAGCCCAGAAAGTTTATCTGACTATTTTGTAAATTATTTAATGAAATCTAAGCCCGACGATGAAGAGTGACACGATTTGCGGATTATTTAGTAGATGTATATGTAAGTAAAGAGCTCAGTATCCACCTGAAAAATGGGCTTAAGCTTCAGCAGAGCCAATTTTAACCACCAATGCATGCGAGCTTTCCATTCCCACTTTAACTCTAGCTTTTATACAACTCATCCAAATAGAAACATACATTAAATAAAATAATTTAAATGAACCTTTTAATTTTAAAGTTCTAAAACAAAACAAAAACATGAAAAATTATAAAGTTTTCGTTGCAGTTTACATGTCACCTTTTTCCACTTAATAAGAACTCGGGCGCAGTTTACATATATGGTTTTGTGTTTACCTGTGCGGTGTGCCTTGGGCGCAGTTTACAATCGCCGTGTATTTCACACACTACAGTTTTGTTTGCTCTTAGGATAGACAATTCTAATTTTTTTTTTTAAAAGATCTTAGTCTTTATAGTTATTTTAAACAGAATAATATCAATAATAATCTGTATATTTATAGTACTCATATGAGCCGGCGAAAATGAAAGTGGCGTGTCACAAATTTGTTTTGAGAAATAAAAGGTTTACGTTTGGTATTTCTATAACTTTGTATTAACTAACTAAATTTTAAGTAGCGCTCTCTCGCGAACAAAGGCTCAACTTGACTAAATGACCTTTTATAGTATACTAATATGCCCTAGTGATATTGCGGATTTTTTAAAAATTTGACTTGCGTCATTTTCATTTTCACCGGCTCATAAGGGTGATAAATTGGAGCGGGTAGATAGTATAATTTCGGATGATGCTGGAAAGTGTATTTGTGACGAAGTTAAATTACTAACAAAAAATATACAGGTAATGAGTTATCTAGTTTAAAATAAATAATTTATTATTTTAAAACACAACATGGTTTGAATGAGACAGGTACCAGTCATTGAACAATACAATTATTCATCTAAAAATATTAAAAATAAATTACGAATTTTAAATATATTGTCTACATCTACACTACAATAATAAATTGTAGTCTGACACATAATAATTATAATTGTTAACATACTTATAAAACTACAATATTCTTATTTTTCTGAAAACATATCGCTTGTATGAAATAATCATTGTTTTGACAAAGACATTAGAATTTAGAAAAAAAAACAACTAAGATTCCACATAAATATTAATCCTTTAATTAGACATTTAATGTCAGTTACGATTGCTTATATTAAACATATTGCCAAGTACACCGAGGCTTGTGTATTATAAAAATAAAATCAAAAAATACAATATGTACATAAATATTATATTTATATTTTCTATAAAATTAAATTTAATAAAACTTGTTATTTAATACATTAATTATAGTGCTCCTTTAAAATATAAATTTAGTATTTTATACTTAATATAGTTTTCTACCATACATTTTTACTGAACAAAATGGCAACATTGTATTGATAAAGGTATTTTAATACAAATGCAATTACAAAATGAAAAAGATAGCATTTGAGAAACTAGTTATTATTACAAATTATGGCTATGAGCATTTTTCGTTATTTACGCACTGACAGTAATTTGATGATAAATTAACATTAAAAAAAATTGTGTTAAATTTTCAACTAATGCCAAAAAAAGAATATTATGTACTTATAATTGAGAATTTTACATAGAATTTTAAAACAAAATCTTATAATATACGTGAATTGTTATAAATAGGAAATGTTCAGTAATTTCAAAGAAAAACCTAAAAATCTGTTGAAAGTACACAATATACGTTAAATTACCTACAGATAAATTAATTATTATTTTTAGCAGTTTACAGTCTTGGTATATCACACCATTTATCTTCTATAAAGTACATTATACATTTTTTTTTATTTCTCTAGTACTAGATTTTTCATTTTTTGACATTTTACGAATACAAATACAATTACAATAATAAAACAGTTCTAATTCTCATTATTACACATTTTGTTTAATTATATGAACTTTAATAATATTTTTTATATACAGGAAAAAATATAATTTTTATCTTGCACTTCACCCCGCAAAAACACATTTAAAACAAAACAGTTTGCTTATTCTAATAAATATAAGAAAAAAATTATATAATTAAAAGTATATTTAAAAAGAATGAGATTCAATTATACATAATCATATTATGTATTTATTATAATATAGATATTCCAGTAAAAAAAATTTGTTTGTTGTTGAGTTACATACAGTATTTGACAAAACGCTTAAGATTTGCAATAACGTATACATTGGTTATAAATAAATTATGTATTTCTTTTAAAAAACATAGATAATTAATGAAGAAATAATATCAAACAATTTATTTCAAACTATTTTTTTTTTAGATTGTCACTATTTTTAACTGCCACTTAATTTAGCAAAAAAAATCACATTTTCTTGAATCTTTCAAGATACATATAACATATTTATTACTAAGGCTGTAATAGATAGTAAATGACAATAATAATAGTAATATATAATCAAAAACAAAGGAAAATAACTATTCGACTGAAAAACTTAGTCACAAAATAGTAACATTAATTAACATAGGCCAATATAATTAATAGTTATACATCAAATTAATTACATAAGTACAAGTAAAAAAAAAATTGTTATACTAAAAAGAATATTACAAACAAAACATATGAAGAAAGAATAACTCACGCAAAATGAAAAAAAAATTATTAGTTATCACACTATTTGAAGTCGAGGAGGAATAAATATTAATGCTAAAAAGGAATTTATCATATATTTTGCGAGTATTACTATCAATTAAAAATCAGTTTTATATAGCCAGGATAACCTTGGAGTAATGTAGCGCAAAATGGACAGAATGCCTCAAAACCATTTGTACCATATGGAATACCTACATTTGCCCAAAATCTAAAACAAATATAAACAATGTATAATAATACTATAATACGTTAATAATAAAACTCCCAAAAACTGCCAAATATAGCTCTCTGAGCCCCGATTAAAAAGGCCAGACATTTTATGTAGAAAAAAATCTTTATAATTTTTTAAAAATTATACGTAAAAAACCATTAGTTTTAACTTTTATAACTGAAGTCTTTAATTAACTACTGGCTCTTCTAATGCTGGATGGTTGCCCAGTTGTTCTTGGTTAACAAGACCACAAACCAAGTTAATAAAATTATGTAGTTAAGTTAATTATAGTAGACTCGTGGCTAATCCCAAATTAATCAGTGATATTGCAAGTGAAAAATATATATTTCTAGACATTTATACATGGGTTAATGGCAGTTATATTAATGCTTTTTGAGTTTTTTTAGTGATTTTATAATTCTTCAACTACTATGACTTTTTCATCACCGCTGAATTCCATCCATATCCTAATCCTAACGTGCTACTCTTTTTTTTTATACATAAAAAAGTTATAAAATGAAAACTAATGAAAAATAAACTAATTTCTGCAAAAAGTTGGACCAACTACATGACATTATTGAATTATTAAAATATTAAAATTTATGAAGACCTTTTAATTAATATCTCAACTAATATGATACAAAGACTGAATTATAATATGAAGACAAATTTACCACCTTACAAACATTTGTCACAAATGTAACAACTTATTATTTATTACGTATACTCACTTCACAGTTTTTTCTGTAGCAACATGTCCACATGGACTAAACGCATATAAATCTGGCGGGTCTTTATCCTCGACATAAAATGAGGCTTCAACTCCCATACTGAGTTTGGCCACACCGCCAATCTAAATATAATTTATTTTTTAAATTATGATTTAACATAATATTTTTTTTAATCATAAAAAGAAATTATGAAACTACCTTTAAGCACATAGGACAAGTTCTATTGTTTGAGTCTTTACTAAGACCCCAATCATGACGCCCTTGGACATGACCACAGGATAAATAGGCATAAGGCTGATGTTTGCCATCAGCCAAATCTGAAGAAGACAGAGCAGAATCTTCTGGGTGATGCGGAAAAACTAACGTATACAATCCAACAGGACATGTAGGCCGTTCACGATTTGTCTTTTCTATGAGCTTCTTTAAATATTCTCGACTCTGTTAAAACATTTAATTCATTGTTACATATTATGATGAAATAATAAATGGTTTTTAAGTATTGAATAATAAATCATTACGGGAGATATACTAAGACCCTCAGCTGATCTCCATAAGAGTGTAGCACCACATAAATCAATTAGAGTTCCGTCCATTAGTATATTATCAGTATCTTTAACCTAAAAATAACAAATCAAATCGAAAATTTTAATTTAATATAAGTTGTAATTAGTCTTATCAGAATTAAAATTACTCTGTTACCATATCTCCTTTGAGCTGAGCCGATCTGGAACCTCTTAGTGAAAACAATTTACCACAAACAGATACTTCCAGCCAAACACCTGGTTCAGTATTTCCTTCATAAAACTTTCCATTTGGGTGCATTATTAACACTCCATTAGTAGTTAAGGCATCTATCTCTTCGCCATCTTTCCATTTGGTCGCTTTTTCCTAAAATTTAAAGTTGCATAATAAGTCTTAAATCCAAAATATCAATTAAACAAAAAAAAAACAAATATTACTTACTCCTAAAAAAATATTTTTTGACGAGTCAAATCCAGCAGCATATATACGAGCAATATTTGTATTATTTCTATCACAAATTATACGACAAGCAAACCTAGATATGGTACTTGCAGCAGTCGTTTTTTTATTGTCAGCCATAGATGCATTCAATGCAGCTGCATTTTTTTCAGCATTAGTGTCCATGACCACAAAGTCAATTGGCGTATCAGAAGAGCGTCCAATCTAAGTATAAAAAGTTGTAGTGAAAATTATATTCCCATTAATTTTTACATCTAATATTAAAATTAAGTTTAACAATATCAATATTTAAAAACAAACTTTTTTTTAATTTACAACGATGCATATAGTTTTGGATGGACTAAGCTACCAGTTTTCATAATTAAATAAAAAAGTAAATCAATATTACAAAAGAATATTTGAAAATAATCTCTATTATTTAAGTAAACTTAGATATACCTTCTTCATAACTACACAACAAAGAACTATTTTATGGAAAGACATTCAAAATAAGAATTAGGAAAACATTTGTTCTAAAAATGTTTTTGTGTACAATGAAATTAATAGATACAATTATTTTTAAATTTTATTTGAGTAATAATTAGTAAGCTAAATACATTATACCCAAAATAAATTGTATTCTAACCTGAAACATATCTGTGTTTTCATCAGTGATATACTCCACTACCACAGCTTCTGTTCTAGACAAAGTATACGAAATGGAATGCTTTGTTTTATCAAGAACCGCCTAAAAAAAATAATAACATAACATAAGTGCTTTATTATATTTTAGTTTTTTAATAATAAATTTAAACCAATTATAATTGCAAATTAATTATTACAAATTATAGTTATTATTTTTTAAAAATGTAGACATTTTTTTGAAATTAAACTTCTAACTGATAAGATGAAAGCATGAAAACTTCAAAAATTGTGATACAAAAAATGGCAAGTTCACACGGTTTAAAATCTTATTTATAATTACATTTTTCTTAAATCTGGTAGTTCTAACTATGCCCTTATTGCAAAGAAGGGTCAATTATACCGTTCCTATTTTAAGACAAAAGTATAATCTTAACTCACATGTGAATTCTGGGGACTTGGAACAACATAATGATTAGAACGCTTAATACCATTAGCGACTTCACGTTTCCATAACACAAACTTACTCCTACGTCTACGACGATCACCAGCTGTTAATTGTCCATTATATCTAAAATTAATATATGCAATTAAATTTTATTAATACATTTAGAGCTAAGTTTTAGAACTTAAGGTCTAAAACTTAGAGAGAGGTAGATCTAGAATGAGGCTATAATATTTTTGGAAATTTGTAGTCGAACTTTTTCTTAAAAAGGAAAAACACAAGTTAATGAGAAAACTACACTTAAACCGAATGAATGAATTGTTGCAACATACAGGTACCAGACAAATATTTTTAATGTATTGTTAACTACAATGTATAATGGATAATAATAGTACCAAATTATTATAGACAAACAATGCGAACATGATATTATTTGCAATATCCAAAATTTTGACTATATAGCATAAAATTAATTTAACAACATTAAAGAAAAAAGTTAATGTTTTTCACAACTATTTTAAAATAATATAGATATTAGAAATAATATAACCAAGATTCAGTATTATAAAAAATATATTATACATATTATGTAACACATTTTTCTAAAAGCTTACCCAAGTATTATTAATTCTCCATATTTAACTGTGTTTTCATGTTTAACATTGTCAGTTTTCTTTGTTTCAATAGCATCAGTTCTGGAAAAAAAACATGCTTAAGTTTAAAAACATAATATCACGTAATTTGATAAACCAGAAATATGTAGTAAATAAATACAACTTTAAATGCATTAGGTATCATATTCATAATTTTTATTTACATTAGTACATCAAAAATTGAAGTTTATTACAAATGTTTGGAAAATGACGAGTCTTTTAATTTTATTTTATTAGTATCAATAGATACTAAGAATTTTTTTAATTCTAATTTCTAAATTGGCTTTCTAGGAAATCAATTCCTTTAATTAACGCGTTCACGTCCGGTTAAATTCTTTTAGACAGGAATCACATGCCAAGTGATATCTGATTTATAATTGAAATTTGATTCACACTAACCTGCCATCTCATGATAAAAACTAAAACCTAATTCATGGAATTTAATATTGGCCGTTATAAAAAAAATAGGCATTCTCCAATGGCTAAATAATGTATAAACGTTAATACCTAACGACGATCATGAATAAGCAGACAGCCACCAACAGCGACTACTGCTGCCGATCTGCGATTGGCAGCGGAGCTGAATGTGTTAGTTTACAATTCTAAGAAAAATGTTTAAATATTTTTTTAAATGTGAATTTTAGTATTCAAAATGTTCAAAATGAAATAAATAAGTAAGTAGGTATAGTATTGCTTTTTCCTATAAGACGTAGAAAAAATGCTACTTTATTAAATGAGAATTAAATATGATGAAATTAAATGAGCATACTTAAATGTAAGTACATTAATAATAAATAAATGTAGCCAAATTCTTTTGGTTAAAAAAAACAAAGGGTCTGTAGTGACATGAACCTGTTTATTTCTTACAAGCTATCCCATACCGCACAAGTGTTTCAAAAGTAATAAATTAATGTTTTGAAAGAATTGTAAAGAAAAGATCTGAACTTAACAAAAAGCATTTACATAACTCATCATTTTCCCAAATTATGAAAAAATGATTCAATATAATTATTATATACTTCGAGGACTATTTAACCAAATCTTATTTAACATACTACTTTTACAAAATTATTATTACTTCGTAATGTAAATTTTTATATTAAGAAGTACTAAGTAGGCAAATTTGTGTGATATTAATCCTAATGTGTACGTAAATATATTTTCTTCCGTAACTACAGGCTTCGACATGAAGCTGGGTCATACTTAATTTTTTTTCATTTATTCCCTAGAGATTTTTTATTAGAGGTTTTTATTTTTTAAACAGACTATCTTGATAATAAACGAATGGCTCGAAATTATATTTTCAAACGTTACAAAATCAAGTTAGGAACAACACACAACAATAATAAGTATCAAACTTAAGCATTAATTGAAATATCATTGAAATACTGACCTTTTAACCATATTGTTGGGAAACTCGCGGAAACATTAGGAAGAAAATACCCGCTCGATATTCGGCACATCAACGTTATTTTTTTTAAACGGACGGGCCATCATCGTTTTAGCAAAATCTCCATATACAGTGTGGTCAATCGGTGAATGGTCAGAGTCCATGGTCATGTCAATGTGCGTGTGTGAAAAACAAACGATGAAAAGGGTTTGAGCCGACAGTAGTAAACGATTGCACGCGTCACACACCACGGCGTATTCCGAATTCCTCTTGGGGGGCAGTGCTTTGTCAATGATAATAGTTTTTGTACGGATTCGCTTTGACCAATTGACGACCACGGCGTTCGCGTACACCTGACTTGGGGGCGATTTAAAACTGCGCTTATATTATGTTCTACATTGGTGAAAAAAAAAATGTATAATTAATATAAATAAGAAAAAAAAACCACAAAGAAAATTTATAGTAACGACTAGCGACGCACTTGGTTTATGATTAGTCGGAATATATACTTCTTGACCGCCCGAAGTCTGATAATCGATTTAAACGTGTTCAACGATAATATGGTCGCCTAATAATTCATTAAAATTGCTACACATTATGATAAAAAATATATACATAGGTATGCGACAAAAATTATGATTTATGTGTACACAAGACCGACTTAATGGTGTATTATTTTTGAACGCACGCACGCGATCGCTGATTATGGTCTATAGACATTGTGAACTCGGGCCTCGGGTGACGGCGACGAAGGCCGACGGACACCGAAGCGTTACGAACGGCCCGCTATCTTACCGCGGCGGGGGATTGGAACGAAGAGCGGAGGAGGAAAATACTACACATCGGCACACCACAATAGGCTGCACGCGTTAACAACAACAGCTGCTGCATTCACTACGTAGTACGCCAAACGTTTGTGGTGGGGGAAACAAACAAATGGGAGAGGGGGTGGGATGCGCGGTATTTGTTTGACCGTCGACGGACGGTTCATGGTACGTAGCGCCGCGACCCGCACCGTCCCTTGTCACCGACACATGACACCGATTTTTTACCAGCAGTAACATGTCGCTGTCCCGAGTCGTGCGTGCATAGAATAAAGAATATCGCCGCGAATTGCAAATGTATTTACTTTTTAGTATTAGACGTTCGCCGAGATGGTTTCTCCAAACACACACATACACACATGAATGATGAATATGATAAAATACGTGTACTTATCTTATTCTCTATCTTTATCTTATTTTTTTATAGTGATTTCTGTGTACAAAATACCCAAGCTACATATACTGTAGTGTATATTTATGAAATATATAAATTAAAATTATTTATACCCTACTGTTCTATCACTATAGGTACTAATAATAGTATCACAGAATAAATGTAATTAAATCTGTTGTAGTATTGCTTAAATATTGTATATTATGATTTATGATAGGTATAGGTCATTAGTGTCTTTATTTTTTATTGCTGCCTACAGCTTACATAATTATGTATACAAATTATAGACATATAGTCTTATGCTATAAAGTTGTATAGCAAGTTATAAAAAAACAAAAGACAAATGATATAATGTATACAATTTAGGCTGCGTTTATTTAACTTTTTTTAATTAAAAAAAAACTAGCATCATTCGATACAAAACTATGTGTTGTGAGAAAAGATGGAAAATATATAGTTCAGTATAATATACAGGATGGGTCACTAAGAATCAATCAATATCTTAAAAGGTATTAGACTTTTTTAGATTATTCTTTTTTGTACATTTACAGTTATTAGTTGGCCCAAATTTGATTTATTATTCAACTATATAACTCCATTCTAATGTGTTATAACCCTATGAACTTAAGATTTTTACTGGTAACGTAAATATTATCTCAACTTTTAAAATTATGTATATTTTGCTGGAAATTTTTACTGGTCGATAACCAGTTTTAGATAATTACTTTTAAAGTTATTGAAGTCGGGAGGTAGAGTGCAATAGAGTACATATTCGCGCAGATCAAAATTATACTTTCTCCCTTCCGTTCTAAATTTTACACTTACCTACATTATAATTAATCTATATTATAATAATAATATTATATTTACAATTTCGTTCAGACACTACAGTCAAAAATGGATAAGTTTTATCTGACTAATGATAGAGAAGAAAATTAGTGAATAACGTTAAAAATAGATTGATAAAATAAAAAGACGCTCGTCTAATAAAAAACTCATTATTGTATTAATAAAAATACACTTGATAAATGAATAATGAAATTTATTACTTAAGTGTTTTTTTCACTAGAATGCGCCTTTAAATTCGGTGCAATTTACGATTATTTGAGCATTCTAGAGCCGTACAGAGTACAGTTGATAAGATCTGGTTTACTAAAATTTGTAAATTATTTCTCGAGAAAGTTCTAATGGTACATGGGATAGGAATGGAATGTGGAAAAAACATGGCAAATTTGGACTGTGGACATCAAACTATACCTAAAAATTTAATAAAATATAATTATTCACAAAGCGATATTTATATTCTTAATATTCTTATCTTTACCAGTAAACCAATATTGTCGTTTCAATGATCACAACAAGACGTACATTTTCACGTAAAAGTCTGCAATTGTAACTCGACTACAAGCTAACCCGTTTTTTTAGTATACATACTATACTTTTATATTATATACGAGTACCTTAGTCACTGCTTAATAGCTGCTGAGTAATCGATAAGCGGTTGTCTGAACTCTGAAGGTCTTATTATAAGGACGCTTGTAGAACGTTTATACAGTTACTTGGACTCAGTTAGACCCTCTTTTACTGTTGGAAGAGTTTAGTTGGATTATAATTTACATTTATTAATTAAAACGAATTTAAAAGAATGGAAAACTTAATTTTTTTAAACAAATATATGTTTGTTTAAATTTTAGATTTTCAAACAAGCGTCTTTAATAAAAAACAAATTAAATGCATTCTTTCAAAAGAAGTCATATTGTTAATCTTCATTTTTGGTATAGCTGCACTTGGGAAAAAAATATCTCCAATAGCACTGAAAGTTGGAACTTGGTGGAAAGATAATGAAAAGTTCCTGTTTACTACTATTTCTTCCCGACTTTCCAATGGACGATGGTATTACGGATCTGACAAAAATTTAACTAAAAATTGGTTAAAGCTTATTAAGTGTATTTTATTTAAATAATTGTTATACATTTATCGGCTACACCTATATTACATCATATTTCATGTTTGTTTTTCCAATGTTTTGGAAACTTTAAGAACATCGTCTGTCTCAGTGCTTTATCGCTATGCTACGTTAAATGATCCAGTTTACTGGCAGCAGCGGAATATGTAACTTATATGTAAATATAGGTGTAACCGACAATTTTGTACCTAAAAACTTTTTTCTTTCCTAATTTCTAAAGAATTTAATATTAAGAAATTAAGAATTTTGGACCGTAATTTGGGAGGGGGAGGGCACAGACTAGGGCATTGGCCCCACCCTACTATTATCATGGGTCAAAATGGTTTACATAATGAAGTCATATTTTTTTTAGTTTTGTACAAACTGCCCAGTCATGTCTCTAGAACCAGGCTTTGTCATCCTAAAACTATATGTTTGAATAATGTGTTAAGGCTAAGCAATTATTTGCAGACAATATTTATGTGAGCGTAGCTCGCGGCTTTGTGATTTATCATTAACATGGACCGACAGAAATTTGTCCCACTAGAAAAAACTGAAATGACGACCCTGTTAAATATGAATTTAAAGGCTTAATGATATTATACCCATCTTTGTGATACGACGCTTCAATCATTAATGTTTGGAAAACTCGTTGTCATAGTAACATAATCATACATTAGTGTACACAAACCAAAGGTTTATTATTTTTACATTTGTTTTTTTTTTTGTATATATATGTAGAGATGTATCAGTCATTTAATATGTTTTTATGTACTGATTGCAAGCATTTGTAAAAAAACTCACTACATTAACAAGTTAATTATTAAAACTTAAGTATATCCACAAGAAGTGAAATGTCAGCAGTAAAAACCAAAACTCCAGGTAAGATGTACATATTATTTTACTAACAAAACAAAAATCATTAGTTTTGAGCTAAAGCTAAAAACGTAATAAAAGCATGAAAATTTAATAACTTTTAAATATTGTAAACTGTATAAAACAATTTTTTTAAGTATTCATATTAATTATAACAAAGTGAGTATAAATGTTAAGTATTCCTTGGAGAACGGGGTTTTTAATAAACTTTAGAAATAAGTTATTATTAATAATTCATATAATAAATCTGTGGTAGAACGGCAAAAGTTGGTATGACACTTTATGTATCTTCTTATATGTCTATACTCCTTTCTCATATGTCCCCTCTTCTTAACATATTATAAATAGACCAAAATACAATTTTTGGTTAAGTTTTAAATTACTGATATTGTAAGAAATATGTCAATGAGATTTACAGAAGAAAAAATTAATTTTAGGATTTTAGCATGAATTAACTCGAATTTTCCCAAAAGTTAGAAAAAGGTGCTATATCAACTTATGTCAACCTATCACATAAATGTATTATAGTTTTAGAAGACAATATTACAACGTTCTTAACGATGAGAAGTCATTTCAAAAAAATTTACGACGTCAGGCCGAGAGTTAATTGTTGGTCAGCAAGTTGCCCTAGTAAAAGACCAGTGTCAACTATATCTAATATTCGCAATTTTCGGTAATCGTAATAACTATGATGTGAAATTATTTGTTAAAATATCAACAAGATTAAAAACACATTTATATGATATTCATATTGTCCATATAACGTGTTTTTAAATTATATTTCTTTATTTCCGTAGGGTCCCACCAAACTACTGTAATTCAACAATTAGTTCCGCAGCAAAGAAATCTATGATAAAAAACTACGACGACAACCGGTTAAATTGTCCTTTCACAATTAAAAATAAACGTGTAAGTCAAAAACACATAGTACTAACAAAAAAACAATTTAGTCATAACCAACATCTTATTTTAAACCTACTATGTAACAGTACTGTGGAGTGTCACTCTATGACAAATACAAATGTAAAATATTGCTTTAATTTAATTTTTTGACTGATGATTTATTTATGAGATCATAGAATTGATTCTATAAGAATTGACATTTGTGATTTGACACTATTACTATGTTTACATGCGAAACCTTGCGTGCTAACATTATTATTTGTAAATAACAAATAAATGCTTAAACACCTAATTCATTTTTCTTCCTTAACACTTACAATAGGTACTAATTTGATGTTAAAACTACTGTTTTATATATTTTTTCAATTGATGTGCATTATAAATTATACATTTCTCTTTAGTTTTGAGACTTAAATAAAAAAATGTATATCCTATACAACTGGTGTTTTAACTCAATGTTTAATACTTGAATCGACAATGCCCTAGTTATTAATTTTTTGTTTAGTAAAAACTCGACTATCAATTATTAATTCTGGTGTACAATTTTTTTATGCTATAACTTATTTTCTCTGAAATTTTAGCTTCGGTGCGAAGCTGAAAAAGTAATGATTTTACAATTATATGTTTAAAAAAAATTTTGTGCCTGGACCCATGGTAATTTATTAACCACCAAAACCGACTTATTTGTGTAGCCGGTTTATATAGGTCAAAAACCGTTTAAATAAAGAATATTAGAAAACTAAAAGTTAAAAAAGATCACCCGTTCTTCTTTCTTCTTCTACCAACTCAACTCTAAAGTATAAACCAAACTAAGTTTAACCAAGCACAAAAAAGTAAGCGAAGTAAGGTCAAGACAATTATTATTAAACGCTTTGGTACGACTTTCAAGATATTATGGTCAGTTTTTCAAATAAGTTTCGACTATATTTTATGTCTAAGTTATAGCGAGTACAGTTTAAAATTAAATAATTGTATTTTTTTGGGAAGTTTTCCCGATAATAAATGTAAAGGCACTCCTTTTCAAAATGTTGACACCGTGAAGTATAAACCGCATACGTTTTGTGATCGAAAATATAAAAGTTGCAGTAGATACAGATACAAAATAAGCACATCGTTGTAAAATAATATATTCTCAGCTCCACATTAAAGCTAAAAATGTTTTACATATAATTACAAATTTTATACATACATTATGTACCTAAAATAACTCTGGGAATAATTGAGAGACAGTGTTTTTAAACATTTAAATTAAAAAATGATACCAAAATCATAAGATTGAATGTACTAAAATTTTCAGGAATCCCGAAATCCAGGAACCATTAAAACAAAAAGCCGTCCCAATAAATCTTTGTCGATGGATAGACATACCAAATATTTAGAATCAGTGAGTGAAATACTAAATTATATTTATACACATTTAAGCATTTATTAAAACATATATATGTATCTAAGGTTTAATACATTGTTTAATAAACATAAAATGACTTAAATTAAATGACCGTTAAATTGAATTGTATCATAAGTAGTTTCGATCACGTTCGAAATAGTTTTGTTGGTATTAATCCAAAAATATTAAAATTGTTTCATAGAATTTGAGCGACGACTCTGCGTATAACGACGATTTCGTTTTTGAATCCGTTGAAAATAACAGCAGAGCTTGTTCTGTCGAGACTTGTCACAGAAGAGATCTTAAAAAATTAACAATTGGACAAGGATCTCCCATTAAAGTTATTAAAAACAAAAAGTAAGAATTCTACATGTATTGTGAATCCTATCATAACATGTTATCGTCAACAATTTTATTTTACTTGCCAATGTGTTTTGTATCAAAAATAATAAAAGTTTTAAGATTAAATGTAAATTGATTTTGCTGTAGTATTTTGCACAACTATTAAAGCAATATCTTTTATCTGAAGTAAAATCTTATACTTGATAAAATACTTTTATTAATGTTAACTTAACATTTTTTTAAATTTTTTGTTGTAGGAAGTTTCGTCAAGACCATTCGTATTCACGATTTCTGGAAGAAATAACTAATGAGATTGTCAGACTAGACTTATCTACCGATAAAGCGTTAAGAGCTGTTTTTCAAAAACATATTAAATATAATACAGGAATTCTAGATAAAGTAATTAAAAATCAAATATTAAGATACATATATATATATTACGCATTTAAAACGGTATTTTCTGTAAAATATAAATAAATATAAATCCTAAGGGGCGCTGAATACAAATGGAATTATTATTACTATAATAAATTATTGTACGTACTCGCTTCTCAAAAACCTATTGAGTAAAAAATGTTTAAATATATTTTCTTATAAACTAAGAAATCAGTTCTGAATTAAACATTATTATTTAAACAAGTGTACTTAACACACTACAGTGTGTCTATAAAATGCATTTTAATATTTTGCTTTTATCGTAAAGCTTAACATCTTTCCGCTGATCCTTAAGGGGATTGCACGTGGTCTGTTTTATTGATGTTTTAGACCAAAAAGCCAGACAAACTGTCGACTACTTAGGATGGTCCGATTTAAATTCTATAAACACATGCAAATTCTTTGACAACTTTACTAGGCTATGAAGGAAACATATTTTTGATTTTTTTTGTAAAAAAAATTGGGTTATAATATTGAAAATAATGCAAGACAAATTTAATTACAAGTAACTGACATTTTTAAATGAAAATCGGCTTCCTACATAACATAGTAATATTTTAGCCAAAACTCGAATCTCTTTACAGAATTAAAATTGGGCCATCCTTTGTAGCCGACATTTTGTCTGGCTTTTTGATAAAAAAATAAATTAAAATTGCTTTTACTCATAGAAAAAGTTATTTTAATTAAAAATAATACCTTGAAGCTAACACAAATTAACTTATACAAATTAACTGGTAAATTAATTGATATGGCAAAATTGATTAAAACCTTTTTTCTTAAATATTGCCTATAAAAAAACTTCTTAAAAACAAACCGCATGCAATCCCCTTGATTTTTATTTTTTTTGTTTATACAAATGAGTTGTAACTAACTATTATTAGTTAGTTATTTCTAGCATTGTATAGGTTATTATATAGGTTTAATTTCTCACAAAAATAATCGTAAACTTTTTAATAAAAGAAGTATGTTTAGTAAATGAGCAAAAAGCGAGAATTATACAGGGTATATTTTTATTAAACGTGCACTATAACAGAACAATTAATACAAAATTACTGACATACAGGTATTATATTCATTTACTCTTAAATTAGTTTACATTTTTTTAGTTTCGTCCAAAATATGTTAAGTATTGCTCCTTAATAAAAAAAACACCTCATGTTCATCTAAGGACATCTACACTGGCATTTATTATTAAGGCGCATTGTATAGGCAATTTTCAATAAAACTACATTAAGTTAAAATTTTTAATATAAAAAAGAAGTATCTTATTTTTGTACAAAAACACAGAATATTCCAACTTAAGTTTTAAAAAAACATTTGAATTCTTCATACATTTTATCGATTGTGGCATAATTGGTTTTAGATAATTTGTTCTATTTAATAAATTGCAATTTTTAATAATTTTCATAATGATATTAAAAAAGAAAATTAAAAATGTACTTGATCGATGCACTAAGCAAGTTAAGAAAAATCTATATGCGTTTAAAAAACTATTGTCGGATTACGCATTTCAGAGTACGTACGATTAAAATTAGAATAAGTTGTTTTCGACCAAAATTATGGAGATGTAGAGGCCCCTTAAGTCCTTAAATATTATAATCGTTATTGAAACTCTGTGTATTTATTTTTTTTAAAAGCTGTTATTATTGTGTTGTAAACAGAGAAAAATGACAACAGAAGTTAAAAAATTACAAGAATTATTAGGTTTACCAGTAGACAACGAAGATATCTATTCTGAAGTAGAAGATTCCAATGGAGTAACAACTACTAAACTATAAAGAGCGCGTGCGGTGTGAAACTTTATAAATTTAAGTAATTTAATTTAACTATATATACATTAATTAAATAAGTAATAACTTTTTTTTATAAAAAATATAAATATATTATATATGTGACATGAGCTGTCTAATATCATTAGTTGACTATGATATTATGTATGACTATGTAACTAAAAAGATAATTGTATTTATTTATATGAAATGTGTGACTTAAAAGGTTAAACTTAATGATCAAGCAATAATATATGATATTTTTTTAAATGAAACCTGACTATTATTACTACCATTCTTTATTTTTGATGAAGCAAATGACAATTGTTAATTTTTGATTAGTTAACCAATTATAAAAGATTAGTAGTTATCATACATTTATCTTCTACAAATAATATTTCTTTATCCTTTAATGACGCACACGGTTTCCAGTCACACTTTAAGAAGACGTTATACTCTTTAAAAATAATCGTAAAAAAGGGCTTTACGGTAAAGCGTGTAGTAGTCCAGTTAACGAAGACCCAAAATTAGCAAATAAATGCAAAAAATCGTGTAGTCCTGCTTATTGAGGAGGGGAGGGGGGAGAAGGTCCCAATTTTTTATTTTTCGTAAATATTTCGAAAACCTAAGCGTCTTATCAAAAAAAAATTGCTATAGAAAAAGAAAGTAAATTTAATTTCATACAAAAATGGCTCTATTCATGTTTTCGATGGAGCATTATTAAGGGAGGTGCGGGGGGGACTTTGAAAAAGTCAAAAGACTGAAAAACTATGTTATTGCCGTTGAAATTTAGTGTTTATGATCAATATACTTAGAAATAACGGTTAAGTAAACATACATTGATTCAAGTTGATCCATGACGCCAGGAGTGATGTGGGCATACCCCCCCCCCCCATCAATACCAATTGGCTCTTCTCTTTTAGTAAAATTCGTATTTTTATTTAATTTGCTATTACATATAAAAGTATAAAAATACATTTTTTTTCAGATATTATGATTTTTGTTCACATTATATTTCATTGCTTAGGTTTTGTTTAGATATTTTTCGGCTGATCGGTGGCAAGGCCTATTGAGGGAGCGGGGAGAGGGGCTGTTATTGTTATTTTTGTGATCACCGAATTATTGACAATAATTGTTTTGTCTATTCTACTGACAACACGTGAAGCACGTGTTAATCTTTGTTTTTATAATAAAAAACATATATTTCAATTTTTTTTTCTGCCAGAGGAGTAAAGAGTATATAACTTACGTTATATTTGTAAGTTAAATTATAATTATTATCTATATAAGAATGAATGTCTGTCTGCAGTCTGTATGTCCCTTATGCATTGGTACACCATTCATCCGATCGCCATGAAGCTTTGGGAAGTTGTTGAGTACACTCCCGCGAAGGTAACTTGCATAGAACTTTTCGAAAATTCCACCTCTAAGGGTGGTCTCAAACATATTACATAAAAACAAAATTAAAGAATAATTTTAGAGCATAAAATTTGAAAGTCAAACAACAACGTACTTATTTAATTTACTTATTAATTGTAGTACAATAATGTACTTAGTGAATATGATGACTGCGGTTTGTAATGAAATAAATCATTTTTAGTAAGTATGTAAGTTAATATTCTTATGGACCTTCCAATAGAATTTTTAACTAAAAGTTAAACGCCAAATATGAACAAATATGCCTCTCTTTTCACATCAAAACCAACCGAACTAATTATGGTCAAAACCACCTTTTGGAGAGAATTTTTAAGATGGAAAATTAGTCAGATTTCCACCATTACTTTTCAAACATTCATAATGTTAATATTTGTTATTGTTAGGTATAAATTTTAAGTTTAAATTAAGTTTTAGTATTAATTATTTAACATTTTTATTTGAGTATACTTTAAAAATGTTACTTCTAATTTCACCTAAATATTTTACACTGCACTTGAGTCTTATGACATTTATATTAATAAAAAATATATATATAAAAGAGCATTGTCAATTACATGCTAGACATTTAGTATTAGGGTGGATACGATTAGGGTTGCTTGTCGGTCTATATTAGTTTGTTGTTGTAGTTACCCATATACCGTAAATAACAACATTATGGAAATATTTTTGATTACCTGTTGATTGTTGATTTACTCACATATAGCAAACGGACTTCGGTCAAATTGTAATTTTCTCCAATTTTTGGGTTCTTCTTTAAAAAAAAGTTTTCCTACAAATTTTTGAGAAAATTGTAGATGTTATAGTCCTATTCGAGATCTATTTAAGACTAATTTTCAGACCATTATCCATAAAACTTTACCTAGAAAAGTGAAATAAAGAAAAAAATGTTATCTCTTCTAAGGGGAAAGGTTTATGATATTTTTTTTGTTTGTCAATGTTTATTGGTAGTACTATATTTAAAGAATATTCCATACAAATTTGGAATTAATTTGACTATTTTTAAAAAAGTTATAGAGCATTGTAGTTTTAAGTTGAAAAATATGTGAATTATTTTTATTTTATTCTCGATTTTGTAAGGGAAAGGGGTGAATATTTTTAATTGTTGTTTCAGGTATGATTTCTGTTCTTTAGAGTTGCTACACAGAGAAATCGGTTCAGCGGTTTAAATGATTTTGTGGGTTCACCATTTTCAGTGAACTTTCGTCTCTCATTTTTAGGTATAGGGTTCTCTTTCTATACCCGTCATTCACATCTACATATAATAATTAAATGGTGCTAAGCCTTTTCAATAACCTATCAAGGGTGTTTCAGCTACACAATTACTAAAGTGAAATGGAATCCTAAACCAGTTTACAATTAAAACCAATAGTTTAAACACGCTACAAATTACAATGAAACTTAAATACTAAAGAAATAAATGAAAACTCAGTCTATTCGTATCAATACATAGATAATAATAGAACGTAAAGGAGCTTAAAAAATATCACTTAACCCTAATATTTCACGTTAAAATAAAAAACCATTGTATAGCACGAGGATACGATAAAAATAGTATAATATCTTATATTATTTTTATACACTGTATACAATATTAGAAATTAGTATACTTATCGTTGGATAACAACTTACTCAATTGTTTTTCATTGGAAACAAATTATGGAAAATGATACAAGGGCCCAAAATTATTGCCCCCCAATAATTGTTTTCGGCTACGTGCCTGCAATAAGGTATTCTTATCGAAGACTCGACACCTGTAATAACGATCTTTGGCATACGACTGAGTTGAAAGTATGTATACACATACTTTTAGTCGGCGTAATATATATTATCGACGGCTGGATACTTATGCCCTTCATCGCGTTTCAGCTAATGTAACACATTTTCAATTAATTATTGTATGTATTGTAGTTGAGTCTCGCCTTCTATACGATCCGATAGTATAATACTAATTTTTACAGAGCTATATTAAGCTTGAAAGGATTTTAAGGTTACCTTGCAAATTATATTTATTATAATAGTATTTTTTGTTTAATGTATACAATTAATTAGGTTTTTGTTGTTATTATATTATTTACAACTTACCGTCGTGCATTGGCAACGGTATGTACAGCCATTCTAGTTTTCAGAAGGCCATTATGATTAGTTCTGGATTTTCTTTATTGCCCACTTTCACTCTGCAATCGTCACAGTTGCGCTATGTTTTGTTTGTACCTGTACCTTCTCAGTCTGCCGTGAACAATTGTAAGCGCGAGTACATTGTCGACATAACTCAAGAAATATTTTTACAGACAATTTGTATGAATATTATTATTAATAATATTTGGTTAAGAATTGTTTTATTACTATTATTATAACATTTTTGGTTAATATGGCGATGAGCATGCTGATGAACCCGTGGACTAAGATCCCATCGGATTTCCGATACGATCAGAGGCATTATAAAAAAGATTCAAGATTTGTCATGGATCTATACACGTTAACATATGACTCACACGAGAGTCTCGACTGTCACGGTGTTCCAAATAATCACGTAAGTCTGCTACAAAAATTATTTTTTGCATTTGAATTTCCTATAGTAGTACTTTATATTTAACACAAATAACTATATTAAACACATTTATCATGGCTAAACAATGTATAATATGACTTTCTCGTACTGCGTTACACAACATAATCATGTAGGTATAATTAATTATTATACCTGTTATTTACAAACTGTATCTTGATTAAGAGGTAGCGGAAATGATAATATTACAATGTATTTAATTCGGAATTTTTGCCAAAAAAAGAACGTGTTATCACAGAATAGACTAAATTTAGTCTTTTCTATAATGCTATTGTGGATTAATAAAACACTATTCAAAATTATCTAATGTATAACAAATACGTACATAATCGAGGTTTTTCCAAAAAAAAAAATATATACCTATATATATAAACTACAAATTAAAACAACAAAATATTTTAATGGTTTACTTGTTCTTAGTTTTTTTAATTACTTATATATTTTAAATAATTATCGTATTGGCAATTGCTGTTTTTTATTAAAAACATTAAACTAAATCGAAATATGATAGAAAATAACGAGTAAACTATAATTATAGTCTTCACGGCTACTATGTTATGTGCAGCTCTATTGTTTAACTCAATACTAAGAAAGAGCTGTTGAACGTTTAATATCAGAAAGGAAGGCGTAGAAGATAATAAAATCGTAACATTCAAACTTTAAAGTTAACCTCGCAATATCTTTAACTTACGTTACACATTATAATTTTTTATTATTTGCATACAAAATACCGAACATTATCTGAATGGAAATGGAATGAATGTTATTGCGTATTATGAATAAGGAATAAGGAGACGAACAAATATCATATTATAACGTAATATTATGGTATACGCTCTTGCCTCTTATAATAGGTATTTACAGTATACCTGACAAATACCTAGTAGAAAAATAAATGCATTATCTCAGCCTTGTAAATTCTACAACATAAAATTAACAATTATTATTAACACAATGTGCAAGGCATTTTCACCGCCCTTTGAGACATTTGTCAACCAACCCCCCTGTTGCCTGTATCACAGAATAACCAGAAGGGAAACTTAGGCCGGGACTAATAAGTGTCTGTCGAAAAAACATTTTTTTTTCACTGATTACGCTTTTTCCTGAATTTATCTACAGTCCATCTCATGACTAATATTTAGTCATGGTACATTTATTATAGTCTGGCTCCTCTAGCCACCAAAACAACATGGCAATCGGCCTTTTTTGGCGGTTCATAAGAGCTAGTGTAATTTTTTATTTAAGTTACCCTTCTGGTGATTCCGATTTTTGTGCATGCAGCCGTTAGCGTCTGCGCCTTTACAACACTATCACCTTATATTATGTATAGATATTATCCCGTGTAGAAAATAATCGATAACCCCTTTTTGTACAACGTCATAATGTTATACAGATACGAGACGGCTTTAAGTTTCTTTAATAGCAGTATAGTTTTTCAAATTCGCTCATGGTAACATTCTATTCGCTATAGTTTCATAAAAACCTAAAACGTTTCAGAGGCAAACTACCCTCAAGACAAACTACCCACTGCAAGTTGATTCGATAATTTATCAGATACAATAATCAACATAGTATTTTTGATAAAAATGTTATTATAATGAACTTGTGAAAATTTAAACGTTTATTATTTATTTTAAGCCCCTCAAGTTAAAAATATTATTCTTAATGAGACAACCCTAAAGTGTAACTACAGATTACTATCTTAACAGTGTTAACAATGTCTGAACATTCATCGCTAGTTGCAACATTCAAAGAAAAGTTACGACCGAAGTATTATGGAAAATCCAGTTCTAACAATTGTTACATTAAAGAAAATGTATACTTCAATGGGATAGCCCTTAAGGAATCACTACTTCAAGACAACGAGTACCCAGATACACAGAAACGCATATTATCAAACCGCGATACTAAAAATTATGCTAACAACAACAGGTGCTATGAAATAGAGACAGGTTGTTTTATTTACCAAAATCCTACCAGTTCTGATGATTATGACATTATTAACAAATTTGCGGATATATCTATGCCCAGTGAGTTTGGCGTTGATAGCAATGGTGGTCGTGAAGTAGATACTCAGTCAAGTAAAATGGTAATCAAAATAACTACATTTTTATTAGATTCTAGAAAAATTATCACAATATTGACTTAAAAGTACTCTATGTATATTATATGGTCACTTAGTCATCCAATAGTTTCATTAATACATTTTATTTAACTATTTATAATATAATATGGTTTGTCTTGACTAAACTAACTAAATGCCTAATTCCATTACAACCAAAAACTGTAGTCTAGTATTTTTTTTTTTTTAATTAACTAGGTATTTGTTTACATTTGGCAGGACACTTGATAAATAATCATTTAAAAATAAAATGATTATTTATTTAAATACCTATACAGTGGCTTACAGTTGTTAACCTATTGCAATACCTAGAGCAAATAAAGAATTTTGATTAATTTTTTTGTTTGTGCACCTACCTATGCTTTATTGCTTGACAATTTAGTACTCAACTGTTAATAATTGTAAAAGAAAATTTAAATAACAGTTTAAAAAAAAAAATAGCCATACTAAGAGAATGTATAGAAAATAATTACTGATAACGTATTGAAATATTTAGTCCACCAATTGAGAGCATTTAAAAGTATAGACAATGAAAGTGATTGAACACAATACTATTTTTTATTGTACGCGTTACTCATTTACAACTTTTATATTTACAATTTTCCATCGCCTTAACATTTAATTTTGTTATACTAGTCAATAATCATATGTGGTTATCAACCAATTTTTATTAGTGACCGTTTTTTTGTACAATTGGCCATTTATAATTGTTAAAAATAGAAGATTTAACTTTAAATTGTGTAAAATAGTATATCCTGTGTTTGAAATAAAACTGATTTAAGTTCTGTATTTACCTTGGTAATGAAATAAGTAAATTATCGTATAACACTTGCATGCCAACTACTATGTTAATTATTAATTAGGTAGATACGTATAAATTATGATTAAAAATGAAATATTTTATTACCTATTTTCCAGAAGATAAATGACCGGGAAGAGATTCGTAAACGCTTGGTAAATGGCTATCAAGTATACAACACTAGCCAAACAACAAAGAAATCAAGTTTAGAATCCCGCCTACAAAATGGTAAGCTACCATAATATGGGTTGAAGTTCAGCTGTTGCACAATGTTGTAAAACTTTATCTAGATAAAATGATTGAATAACAAAAAAAATATAATTGAAGATGGAGTGACTTACCACTTAGAGTACTTAATAATGACAAAAAAGAGATAAACAAATTATTCAGTTCAAATTTTTTTAAACGTTTAATACGTTTTTTTTCCTACAAATATTTTTTTTGAACCTATTAAACAATTTTATATAAAATTGAATTTTCATTTATAAATAAGTTTGTTTTATTAAATTTTGTTCCTCATTTGGATGTTCTCTACAATCGGTGCAAAGTTGTGTATTTTTACATTGTTTTTCGCTTGTAAAAAAAAAGAATTACTTGATAAGAAATGGGAGTTCAATAAAAATGTCTACTCAATGAAAAAAAAAAATTGGACACTGTTTTTATTTTTTAATTAATGTACATCAGACCTATTTTATTTTATTATTATTATTTATAAGTTTTAAGCCTATTTTTTATCTAAATTTAGCCCATAAGTCTTAAAGACAAACCTAAAAGGTTTTAAAAAAACAAACAAAAATTTATTTTTTAAGAAATATATAATTCTAAGAATATTTTTTTGGAAGGGCATGCCATTTTTTTTCTATACAAATTTCAATTCTATCTGATTATTTATTTTTCTTTCATTTTTACATGAAAGATGAATAATTTCCGACTTTTTTTGGAAATATTTTTAAGATATTATATTCTAATAAGAAACAGTTTCTGATCGAGTAAATTAATCCTGCAACTTAAAACTTACAGTGGGTAGTGGATACAGACTATAATAGCCATCAAAACTAAAGAAAGCTATCTAGCGGTTTCAAAGTGGGAAGGGACTTGGTATTTTACATAATCAATAAAAAAAAATTATTATTGTCTAAGTCAAATAAAAATTAAGTAAATGAGATGATGCTGTGAATAGTGTGTCGTTTTATATTAAATTGGTTCCTTAAAAAAATTTAAAGTTTTGTAAAACATTATTTTAAATAAACAATGTATACAATTGTAATAGCTAATTATATTATAAATAGCAATTTAAAATTCTGTTAGGATTAGTTTAAATTATAAATTGTTTCATTCAATTTTCGTGTTGTTGCAATTCTGAACCGAGGCATTGATATAAATGTTATGTATAATAATAATAAATAATAATCGAATTGTTCTTAAGAAAGGCAGCATTTTTTTTTTCATAATAAATAAGAATTTTGAGGTAAAACAAATGAAGTTTAAAAAATAACAACAAAACTTGAACTTTATTTCATATTTATTAATAGGTTAATCAAGAAAACATAATTTGTTTTCTCATGTAATTGTAAATGAAATCTATATAACAATAATTATTATTGTTTTTAACAACTATTAGATTACTGTATTTCGCATTAAATGTAAATTTATAATGTTTAGGATCAAATCTTCAGTTGTGTTTCGTAAATGATCAATCTTCAGATTCAGAATTACCATCAAATGACAGTGGAGCAGGTGATAAAGAAGAAAACATTAAATCGGTAAGTTCTTTTTAACTGGTAGTATGCAAATAGTATATTTGAAATTTCTAAGATCTACTATCATTGATAATTAAGAAATTATTAAAAATATTCGTATTATAATTGTTATTTGATATAAGTTACCCATTAAATATTTTTAGGATTTAAAAAATGGTCTGAATCAAGCAAAAATACGGGCTAGAGCACACATGATGTCAGATCATCGTAACTGCATAATTTCAACTGTAATCAAAGATAGTCTCATTAAGGTAATAATTTCCTTAATGTTAGATTTGCTAGCACTCAGTCTATAGAGTGTTACATTGCTACAACCTATGTAGTGTTATATATTATATTAAAATAAATAACACTCATACAAGTTGGCTGTGACATGTCACATTGTTTATGCCGTATATCATAAAATTTATTTTAATTTTAGGTTGGTGCAAAATTGGATAATGATAGAAGACGAGTTAGCCGCCATTTTTTGATGCGTTTAAATCTAGCGCAACTTCAAGTGATTGTAAATGATTTACATTCTTACATCGAATGTAAGTCCTATACAAATATATTATTTAATAATCTTAATGGTTTATTAATATAAATGTGTATATTATTAAAGATTTAAATGAAAGCCTTGTAAACTTATTGTTGGAAAGAGATGAGCTACACATGGCCAAAGACTCTATGTTAGTGGATATTGAAGATTTGAAACACACTGCACGTGAATCATACTGATGAAAATATTTTTCGTTTTCATAAAATTGTTTTTATTTTTATAAGTATATATGCTATTTAAACATATTTCATTTAAGAACTAATTGTAGTGTCAGATATGTATCCTAAAAACTACCCTTTATTGCTATTACTATAATTTTTTTAAGTTTATTGTAGTAAAAATACGTCTTTTTTTTCATTAATTTTCATGTTAAACAATGTTTTAAATGTATGTGTTTTAACTTCTAAATTATTAAGGATCTCAAACATTTTTTTTACAGCTTAATGTCATCTTTATTATGTCATAATTTTTTTTTCAACTACAAAATTATCTTTAATATTTCTTTATTAAGCATTACTATTATTTTGTAAAACAATTATATAACTCAAATTAGAATGGTTATATATATATCAACTATAAGTTGATCATTAGGTAGAAACAGTCTATATATTTATAAAAACATATATACTTTGCTGTAGTACTACTAAGTATTATTTATATATATAAGCATTCCAATAAGCAAAAGAAAATTTAATTAGTTTATACAGCAAATAAATCATTAAATTTGTCTGTTCAATGACAAATCCCATTTTGAAATGTACAAACATTTAAGTTATGCCTTATGATTGATTGATTATCCATCATAAACGTTTAATTACTTATGCTACAAAATATATTTATTTATCTTACAATAAATATTTTACTACTAATCCAGTATTATAATTAAAAGTCTTATAAACTTGTTTATTTTCAAGTGTTACATTATATAGAGTAAGGCATACCATAGTTAGTTGCAAAATATCCTAGATTTTACTGTAAACTAGCCATACCAGGAACCTGTTACATTAAATATATATGCTTGTACTAGAATAGCAATTGCTTGTCAACTGAAATATCATTGTTATTATATTAAATACAACCAATTTAGAACAATTTTTCTTTTTTATTTAGAAGAATCCGTTTTCACAAATATAAATTAATGCTTTTAATTTACATGTTAAAATACAAAGGTATTCATATATTTTTCGTCTTAATACTAAAATAGTTCAAAACAATCATCTATTGATAAGAGATGACATATTATTTGAAAGGAAATTAATCAACATTTTGTTTATACACCAAAGTCCTATGAACAATAGCAATAATAATACATCTAAAAATAGTCAGTTAAAGAAAATACTTTAATTAAATGGAAACGAATACACAACATATATGAGAATTATTATTGTCATTTCAAAAGCAAATACAAAATGCATAATAATATTTTCAACAATAGTGTAGTTTTAAATATTGACCTTGAGAGAACAATAGCTGGAATAATTTTATATGTTAATTTTTTGTTTAGCATTGGTCAAGTTAGGAATTGGTGTAGTTAACATAGAGTAGTATATTCTACATCAAACATACATTGTTGAAAAACTAAATTCTGTTATAAAACTACATTTACTAGTCTACTCTAAGGCTATAGTAATTATTATGATTATGACGTTATTTACTATAACCAACATCATATTTTAAAACCTTTGCTAACATTTGTTTTATGCAACAATGTATATTTTAGAAACAAAGTTAGCATTGTTGTAGTTAAAGGTAGTGTAAGTGTATAATTTCCAAAATTAGTTAAGTTATAAGCACCCATGGGGTAAAAGATAAGTGTCCACTAGATTGGTAGAACAGAGTGGGTGCATAGCATCACGCACATGCAAGTACACTATGTAGACTTTAAGGACATCTGAATAATCTGCATCCGTTTTAGCTGTGGGTTAGTGAACCTATCTAATGAAAACCACCAGCCCTACGAATCCCACCCTAAAGCATCAATTGTTGTTGAGGCCTCAGTCCCGGGGCGCAGACTGAGGTCTGCTGGGCTTGCCAGGCCCAGGTTTCGCGGGCTAACGTCTTTACTGTCGTTAGCCGGCCCGCACCTGGGGGGGCAGAGAGATTTCGCACTTGCTTTGCAGGACTTACCCCAAACCTATTGCCTTGACTCAGTAGCGTGGGTTCGTTAAGCCCATACCACCCATGAGGGGAAAAAAATATCTAATACTAAAATTTAAAAATAAGGTTACATTAACATCCCTCCCCCAAAAAAATAAAAAACATATGTGTGCCACTGTGGCTTAGTGAAATCCTCAAATTTCTTTAATATATATTATAATAAATAAGTAAACCTAAGCAACAAATTATTTACTACTATATATATAAGTATTAACTCAGGAATTCAATTAATGCAGAAAGTTTGATTTTTTTATAAATATAATCAAGTGTGTATGGCACAAAAACTTAGTACCTATCTAAATTTACAAATTGTGCACGTTTTGTTTTCAATCTATATCAGTAAATCATTATATTGTCAAAATACATATAAAACTACTTGGGAATTTTAAATAAATATTTAATCAAGTTCAGTTTTGTTGTAAAACCAAACATATAGGTAGCTGCTAAACTAATATATATGTATACCGAGTGAATGCCCTACACTATTTACTCTTTAAATAATTGCAATTTTGTAATGTTTGGTGGGATGAGGGTGGAAAGTAGAGTTATTTTTATTTGAGCACATTTCTCAACAACACTATGCAGTCCACTTACTGTCCTAAATTTTAAACTTAAATAACTTTATAAATAATTATTAAAAATTGGTTATCGACCAGTCAAATTTTTCAGTAAATTATTTTTAATTTAAAAAGCTAATTAAATATATAAGTTTCCATTTAAGTTTTATAAGTTGATAGATATATAGCAAATACTAAAAAAAATAAAAATTTGAATAGTCTAATATTATACTATAGCATTAATAAAAATGGTTCCAAAAAGAAACTCTATAAAATTGCAATTATTTTAAGTGTAGGTAAACTAGTGTAGGGTGTTAAAAGAATTACCTGGTATATATGTATACTACATTTAAAATATTTTGAGTTATTTAGTTATAAAAAAAAGGATACGTATCATTCTTCTTTCCCATTTCTCCACTAAATACAGCTCGGTCACTAACAAATAACGCATATACCAATAAGATATAAAATCTTTTAAACTGGACATGATGATTGACAACATAAAATTGTGAATACTTCAAAATTAATAAAAATATGTATTTAATGAGATTTGAAAAAGTTATGCGAATTTTAAACTTAAAAAAACGTACACTTACATACCACTGCGACAAAAAACATCAACTGTTTATTATTAAATAATTCAATTCAATCCTGCACACTACTTCTTTATTTGTATATACCTATAATACGGAGTTCCGCTCTCGTGAACCACTAGGTACTATAGAATGTTTAAACATAATGATGGGTAATAATAATAATAATGTAGGTATTATGTCCATGGTCGCGACTCGATTTTTTCATCGGTATTCGTCATTGACATTTGACAATACTCTGAATAAAAATATGATTTACATTATTAGTGAATATTAACATACGGTTGTCACTTGTCAGGTTACATGACAGTATAAATTGTGTTGTAGAATCTTAAGAATACAACTTTGTTTCAATTTAAATACAGCATGTCACTAGATAAGGTTTAGTCATTGGTCTGTTGATAATTGCTATCAGACCGCAGACGAAAACACTGAACTCAATATAGGGATTGAGTTAAGTCATTGATTAAATACAAGGAGTTGTATTTAAATTTAATCAATAGTTAAGTAGACGAATGGCTGACCACTCTTCAGTCATCATTCAGATTCATTCAAGAATCAAATACACTATCACGAAAAGTGTAGACTACACTGTCTACAGAGTACAGATAAGAAGACCCAACTCTAGGATACTAACATTAAACATAACACCTAATTATTATAATATTGTAAATGATCTAAACTGGATTTTGGCTCGAAACATATCCTATTAATACCCCTACTAAAAACTAATTTTTAAATTATGTAAAATGTATTATTATTACGTTGGGAAGTGAAAGTGTGAATTTACATAATATTTTTTTAATTTTATAAGGTTAAAACATCAACAGTGATTCAAAACCCTCCCAGTACTGATTTTACATTCTTATGAATTAAATAAATGCCTCACAAATTTGTTTTTTTTCATTTACTATTATATTATTACTATTAGGAACCAGGGGCGGGCTGGTAAATCAGGAGACCGGGAAATTTTCCAATGGGCTGGCCAATTAGTGCAGCAAAGAATGGGCCGAAGCCGTGAGTTTAGTCTGACGTGGATCTTGAGAAAAGAGGATGTTAGCTGGTGGTAGGTTTGGTTATGTTGCGTGAAGTAATAATGTAAATTACTCAAAACTTTCAATAACATAAAATCATTTTTTTTTTGTACGCCATTGCCTGCAACAATAATCAAATATTATTGTGGATATATTAGTTAATTTTTCAAGTATAGTAAAGTTGAAACTGTTATTAGCCCAACCTTAGTAATGACTAATGTCTATTCTCTATTTGTAAAAATTAATGATATACTATACAAAAATCAAAATACCTAGCTACATACTGGTGTTGTTTGTTAGTTAACATAAACCATATTCGATGACCAACATAATATTATTGCTCACGCATTTGCGTATATTATTATGAAACTAGTCACTGCTCTTTTATTAGTATTTTTAAATAGATTAATTGATTTGTAATAATTTTCATTCAAAATTGTGTACTATTCCGGATAACATCTAAACACCAGTTTTCAGAGGTAAGTTGTTTAAATCACATTTTACAATAATATTTATTATTGTCAAAATATAATTTACAACAGTAAATGTACTATTTCCTCTGAGTAACGTGTTTGAAAATGAATAATACTATTGCTAATTATTTCATTTTTTTCTATTTTATAAACTTTTCCCTTACAAAAGTTGGAATCATTTCCTTTATTTTAATTTGGTCGTAGTTTTAGGACTTAAAATTTGAAAATTAGACTGAAGGTAAATCTAAAGTAGGGATTAGGGTTATAACATAACATTTTTTTAAAAATCAGGGAAATTCACACTCGCGGCGTATTAAGCTTACAGATTGCTGTCAGCTGTGTGGGAATGAAAGTTGAAACAACAGGTATCCCGTATCGGGAAGTATTTCCATTATATTTATTAAATAACTACGATATAAGCGTAACAACGGCAAAAAATTATTAAACATTCTCAACAATATTTTACTAGGGATTTACTTCTTTATACAGCTCATCGGTCATCCACATGTGATTACGATATTGCCAGTGGCGTAGCTACAGTGGTCCGTGGGTGCAGCTACTCCTGGGTACATTCTATTTTAGACCGTTTTTGTACGGTTTACTAAATACGTTAACACTTAACATGTAATATAGGGCGCAAAAAAATGTCTTGTTCTTGCGCGCTTTAGTTACGTCACTGTATATTGCCTATTGTATAACCCCTTAAAAATGTAATAAAAGCTAATCAGATTTTAGGATTTCAAATCAGGATTTGGTTGTTTAGATTCGGCTATCGAAATTATTGCCCCTTTCACAGGTCATGCCACTTTTTGCTGATGAAAGCCTAAATCTTGCTGAAATGTTAAATAAACAAAAAGTTCATTGTACAATTTTTGTTTATTTTTTTTATATAGTAATATTGTATCTTAATAAAAACTTAACTAAATAATGCAATTGTATGTTTTATAATTTTAAATTAAGAGTTTTTAGTGATTTTACCTAATTATAAAATACTGTCATTTAAAATGTTTACAAAAGAAATGATACATTTATTTATACTTCAATTTGGAGTAATCAAACATTTAGATTTTTTAGCTAGTACAATTTTTTTATTAAAGCCACCAAACAACGGTTTACATTTCGGGTGCCGAATTATCGCCAAAACTTAATTACCCATTAGTGAAATCGATATCACTTTTCAATCGGTTATTTTCGCATTGTGGGTTCGAATTTTCTGGATAAGAATAATATATTTTTTAATATCTAAGAACAAATATTATGTATTTTTAAGGTAAGCTAATTTATAACAAACAAGTTTGTGGGTCCCCTTATTGTTTTAATGAAAATAAATGAACGTGCGCAACCGTTCCGATTACGGGCGGTAAATGGTAATATTGATTTTAATTTTAAAAACTTTTAACGCCAATGACATATTACATAATATTATTGTATTATTTGATATTATTAATACGGGGGCGTCGTTTTGCGATTGTTTTCAGTAGCGGCTTATCTTAATAATAAATTATGATAACGATCCACCGATCAGAACCTGGAAACGTTATGACGTTATAGACGGCTGGCACTACATACAAACACAGTCGCGGTTGCTGACACCTGCAGCTGCCGCCGTCGCTGGCATTTACTAACGTTAATGTAGACCATGTTGGGATGAGAGGCACTCCCCTCGTGTTATCGAAACCTAAATATTTCCTTGTTGATTTCACTGGAAAAATTTTGTCAGTTTGGTAAATGTCGCTTCGCATTATCGGTGTTGTTACGGCCGTGATGTTTGCGAATTCGTTGCTTGTACGTGAAAATATTTGCGTTGGTTGATTCGGGGATTCGATCGGTTGTCCCGTTGTGTGTTGGTTTTTTTTTTTTTGATATTGTTATTATTCGAAAATCGCCGTCTGATTTATTTTGTGAAAATGTCGCCGATAATATTTGGTCGCGATAGTTATTTAATGGTAAACCACAACACCGCAGCTATCAAAGGAGATATTATGATAATGATGATTGCCTAAGCACTAAGTAGGATAATGAAGGAAACGAGTGAGTACCCGTTTGTTTACACGATATCCGATATTCCACTTTTGGAGATGTTTTATTTTCTAAATAACTTTTTTTTTCCCTTTTAATGGTTTTAATATCTCGATCAGATTAATAAAAAAATATATACAAGTGCTTAATATGGTAACAGTAAATGAGTGTAAGTAAAAAACAAACAATTTGATTTTTGTAATAAAATCCTACATAATTGATTTGTTACATTAACGTTGCACTTAGTCGTTTCTGACTCACAATTCGCAAACACTTGGTACACATTAAAAATAAACAACAACTTCTAATGTTAATACCATGGTTCAATAATTTGCCATTCAGTTAGTTACGTCGGTTAATGGCTTATACTTGTCTTTTTTTGATATGATGTTTATTGTGAACAAAATAATTATCATTAATTTTTCAAATCTTGTTAATTTTGTATGTAGGTTATTTATGTATACCTTTTTTTTTTTAACGTTTCCTTTGATAATTTAAATGAATTTATTTTCTTTTGGTAATTTAACTACTAGAAAACCAATTCGCTTCATACAGTTAGGTAAATTAATCTTTTACTCATGTGCCATGAACAATTTGTTTTTTTATTTTCAAAACTATATTGCCTATAAAATGATAATTCAAATTTGATATTTTTTATGAACAATGCTTAGTTAAAAGTAATATTGATTATATAACAGTAGAATTCACATTTTTCAATATTATCATTGTTGTTTTATGTTTTGAATATGTTTTACTGCTCATCTACAGAGACCAGCTTTGTTGACCGCTGTATTTGTTTTTTTTTTTTGAATACTGTCCTATCTCTAGAGATTACAAAAACTGTATTTTGTCAATTGTTTCATGTCAATGACAAGTATTTTTTGTAAAGTTATAAACAAATTTTTATGTTAAAAATAATAACATATTAAACAGATTGCTTAAATTATCATGTTTGGACAAGTATAAAATAATCTTTTATTTTTAGAATTAATGTAGTTTTATTGAGAGCTTAATAATTTTAAATCAACCAAACAAAATTTTAAAATTATTAATATATGCATTGTTCATACAAGCATAATTTGTTTCAATATTTAAACAGGATTATAATAAATACATTTTCTTAGTTTATCTTAAAAAATTTTACTCCAGACTTACTGTTAAATGTAAACAAATTTCTTAATTAACAATTTTTCTTAAAAACCAATAGAAATTTTATACAAAATAAAGTTTTAAAAAATTTAATTTTTTTTTTTCTTATGTTTAGGACAAATTGTGGTTATATTTTTAATGTTATGTTTTATTTTTTCAGAATGTCTCAATTGACCATTTTATTATTATTGTCACTGTATAGTATGTTGACAAATGTTATGATCAAATGATTGAGCTTATTTTCAATAAATATTTAGAAAATGGATAATGTACAAGACAAGTTTCAACACTCTATGAACAATGGTAAGCATTGATGTATTAAATAAAATATATTTTAAAAGAAATATTTTTTTAAATTCAGAATTCATTTTTCTATTAATATTTTTGGAGTTGAAATACTATTATTTTAATTAATTACAAATACTAATGAATACAATTTAATTACTCAATTATTTAATTATTTCTCTATGATAGACCTTTGCAACATTGTACGCTAGGGAGGTATTTAAATATTTTTTTTTTTTAGGGGGGGGGGGGCTAAGGCACTGAGTAAATGAGTGTTAAGTTTTTCTGAATTCTAATCCCATTAGATTAAACCTAAAAATTTGGTAAAACTTCCGTAATAAAATCTATTGTATCATACATTTATCAGTTATATTTACACCTAAATTTATCAGAACAAATATACACAGTATTAGACCAAAATAGTCGGCGAAAAGACGTGATGGCCATTTTGTCAATTTAAAAACACAAATAGCTGCATAATATGAGAAAACTTAAAACTAATCATTTTTAAATTGACAATGTTGAACTTTTACAGTTTACATCCTATAGGTCCATAGGCAGACTAAAAAATGCCTCCCCCCATAAATATGCCCCTGCTGTACATTATAATGTGAAATACAATTTCTATAACACTCGGGCAAGTTATTATTTTTTAATAAAAGTAAAAATAACTTATACCTAAAGAGTGAAGTTTGTCTAATTGTATAAAATATTTAAATTGATAATTTTATGATATTTAATTATTTGGTAGCATCATAAAACAATACCATAATTAATAAGTGATACTTAAGTACTTAATTAAACCGTTCAACTGTTTATAAAAGCTCTTAGCATTATTCATTATATATTTTCTTTAGGTACTTTGTTTAATATTTTTTTGGTTTCTTTATGTATGTTATTAAAATAAAATCACTTTTACCAAACCCATTTGGTAATATTTATTTATTATTTCTTTCTATAATGATAATGAAGCCCCTGAAAAATGTATATGTGATATAACATGATTTTACATAATTATATTAAATTACACTTACACTGTAAATATGAGTAACGGATGTTGAAATAATAGATATTTACAAAAAAAATAAAATATAAGTAATTTGATTTTTGTAAATAGCTATTGTGGTGCAGAAGTATAATTTAAATGAACATCTTAGTGGAAAAGGGATAATGTTCTTCAATATCCAACTTTCAGAATATTAAAGAAATCTGTTTAATTCCTATATAGTTTATTCTTGCTGTAAAATTTAAATAAAGTTTCAATGGAATATTATCCTTTTTACGCACATAATACGAGTCTACCTTTCAGCTACAAAATAGCTCTCTGGATTTATTTGTAGTATTTTTTTAATTTTATCCTTTTTTCACTTAGTTGTTTAAATATATTGAATGGTTATTAGTTTAAAAAGAAATACTGTGTTAGTGTTTTATGGATTAATGGGACGTTTAGTATTAGATAATTATTTAGTACTATAACTATGGTTTGATGTAAAAAGCAAGATTATATTTATAAAAGAAATTACATAAATTTTGAATTCTCTACGTACAGACTAGAGTTTTGTGTTTTGATTTTTTTTAGAGATCCTAGATATGATCCTTTTAAAGCAAAGTGGTATATGTCTAATTTTTTTAAATTTGTGATTTATGATGTAAGTCAAAATTCAAACAATATGTATGTATGATATCAGTCACAAATTTCAAAAAAATTTACTTAAACCACTTTGCTTTTGATGGGCTTATATATTTGCGGTAACATTCATTGAATGCACCACTTTTTCACTATATCAAACCATAGTAAAGTTTAGAATAGTATTGTAATAATTACTAGTATCTTTTTTTTTTTTCAAAAAAATTAGTATATTACATAATCTAAAAAAGTGATTATGATTTCAAATTGAATTTAGGTTCAGAAGATTACTTAAATGGTCCCAGTAAAAACAACACATACAATCACTCGAGGGATACAACATTGTCAGACACATTAGATTTGGGGCCCTTGCCGCCAAAATGGGAAAAAGCTTACACAAAAAATGGAGAAGTTTATTTTATTGAGTAAGTTATAAATTTAATAAAAAAACATACAAACAATTAGCATAATTTATTAAATCTTTAAAATATTTGTATGTACATAAAATAAATCAAAAAAGAAATTGTTATACTATAAATTAGGTTATCAACGATTTCAATTTGTATTACAAACATATTGTTTTTTGTAGTATTATTTTGCGGAATTCTTCGTTTAGTGTTTTTAACTTAAATATACAGTGGGGACAGAACACTTTGGGGTGGGGAAGGTCACAGGTCTACAGGAATGATTATAGCTGAAAGTAATTTTATCACTTTCAAATAAACTCTATGATGCTAATCTTAATTGGTAGAAATACAAATATTGATAAAAGAATTGTACCTAATGGCAATAATGTATTTTTAGTTTTAGGGTGAATATGGTTTGGGGTGTTTGTCGGCTTATGATAATTTCTTGCCGTTGTTACCCATGTATCGTAATTAACAATACAATGAAAATATTTTCAAATATCTGTTGACTGTAGATGATTCACTCACACATAGTAATCTAGAAATGTATTGTGGTCATAGTGTAATTTTTTACTTTTTTTTTGGTTTTTGCTTAATAAAAAAAAAGTTTGACTACAGATTTTTGAGAAAACTGTATATGTTATAGCCTCATTCTATGTATACCTTCATTTTAATTTTTAAAAGCAAAATAAAGAAATATTTTCTTCTTTTTATAGGGAATAGGGCTTATGACATTTTTTTGGTTTATCAACTTTTATCAGTAGTATTATAGTAAAACAGTATTTGTGATTTATGTATATTTTCAATGTTAATGTTTTTTTTTAAATTTTTTTAGTCATAATTCAAGTACATCACATTGGCTAGATCCTAGGCTATCAAAATTTCAAAAAAAACAGTTGGAAGATTGTTCAGATGATGAATTGCCATATGGTTGGGAGAGGATTGATGATCCTCTTTACGGCACTTACTATATAGATCATGTCAATAGACAAACACAATATGAGAACCCGGTGCTTCAAGCAAAGAATGCCAGACATCACCATGGTATACAAATATTTCATAATATTTTGCATAGCCTAATTGGTTATTCACAGTTAATGGCTATTGTTTATTCAATGATTAATTTTTATTTGAATATTAATATAGTGTTTATTTAAAATTCAGTTTTGTTATTAACTTCTATTTTATAACGTTTTGTTTAGGGAACCAATTGCCTAATGAACAAGATTGCATTCCTAGTTATAATTTAAATAATATAGAAAATATAAACTCTTTAAAACAAGGTGCGTTAAATTATTATTTTTATTTATCTCAAAACTAACTAATTGAAATATTTTTTTTTTCCATTTAGATTCAGAATTAAGTAGTAATTTATTCACTAAAAATCCTCATAAATTAGTTGGAGAACGACTTCGTTCGACACTCGTTAAATCAATCCGAGGTTTAGGTTTTACTATTGTAGGAGGTGACGATTCAAAAGAAGAATTCCTTCAAATCAAATCAGTTGTTCCTAATGGACCCGCATGGTTAGAAGGGAAATTGCAAACAGGTATTGTTCAGTAAAAATATTACTAAACGTTGTGAAATAAGTTATAATGTTAAAAGTTAAAATGTATTTATTATTTTACTTTTAGGAGATGTTCTTGTTTATGTTAATGAAAAATGTGTATTGGGCTTTACACACCACGATATGGTTAGTGTGTTTCAAGCAATAGCTCCAGGAGAAACAGTTTGTTTGGAAGTATGTAGAGGTTACCCATTACCATTTGATCCTAATGACCCAAACACTGAAGTTGTAACAACAGTTGCGGTGGGAAATACAGGTTTGTGCATTAATCAAATCATTAGCAAGGCATTTTTTATTACTATATTTTAATTAATAAATTGTGACTCTCTTGTCTTATTTTTCTGCAAGTAGATAGGAGACAACTTGATGACTTATCGTATGTCGATAGAGAGTTATATATGTTGAAAGTAGACTCTAGATCACCTGGAAATGATTTATGTAATCAGTCGGTTAAGTCCATGCCTGATTTATATGCGTCTGAAGAAATAATGAGTGTGGCTAGACCTAGCAGTACTGATCTTATTTTAGAAGAACATCTTCCGACACCTTTATATTTGACAATGTCAATTGTAAAAGGAGCCATGGGATTTGGATTTACCATAGCTGATAGTGCTCATGGACAGAAAGTCAAGAAAATTTTGGACAAACAAAGATGTCAAGAGTTAATGGAAGGAGACATTCTCATTGATATTAATAACATTTCCGTACATAATATGTCTCACAACAATGTAGTTCAAGTTTTAAAAGACTGTCAAATCAACGAAGCTGCCACAATAACTATTCAACGTTATTCTCAAAATTCACCAGAAAAGTTAAGGGGTAGAAATAAAAAAGAGGGAGGAGGAATTAAGAACATTATGTATAGAAGTAAAACGCCTACGTTTGACACGTATAGTGATCGAACAAATGAAGTAATGTCCAACAGACCAAAGACGCCTGTTAGTGATAACCGATCACAAATTTCAAATATTAGGCTTGAACAAAATGGCACCAACGACACATATGCAATGGCCAACAGTAACTTGCCTCTTGACAACTATCATCATAGAAATGATAATTCTTGGGTTCGTGTTAATTCACCATCAACTCAACAAGTTTGCATTCCTACTATGATATACAACGGAGAAGTAAACCACGGAAAAGGACATTATATTACTTCACAGCCTGTTCATTACTCTAACCAATTGTCAAAATCAATTCAAAACATGAGCTATGAGCATTATGAAATGAATGCCTCTAAAAATGAAGTGAGGTAAATATCTAAAATTATTAATTCATTTTTGTTTATAACTGTTTTTACTACTGTGCAAACTAGTACATATTATATAAAAATAGAGCAATACATTTTGGACTAACAACATGACCTAATTTTTTCATTTTGTAAATTATACATTTTAAGATACACTCTAATATACAGGATATTCCACAAAGGTGAGACAAATGAAGTAACTTGTTCTAATGAATATTTTTAAGTTTCACTAGAACAATTACTTTTAAAGTTATTTGTGTTTAAATTGTAGGATGGAAGGTGGAGTGCGGTAGAGTAATGCGTGCAGATAAAAATGACTATCTACCACACTCTTCCTCCCATACTACCCTTGAACCAATCCAAAACTGGTTATGGATCAGTCAAAAATCTCAGCAAATTATTCTCAATAAAATGGCTATCTTGAATTTAAAAAAAAAATGAAACAAAAAATAATTAAAAAATTAATATAGTTAAGTGCTATAAAAAACGTGGTGCCTATGGCACAGATGAGTATAAATTAATTTATAAAAAAAATCTTAAAAATATTCAGTAGAAAAAAAGTTATTTTATTTGTCTTATCATTGTGGGACACCTGTAGTGTGAACAATTTTATTATTTTTATAATAACTTTATATTGATGTTATAGTTAATGCTTCATTATGGTTTTTTTTCATGTACAAAGATATTTACAAAATAACAACGAAATTGATCAGTTCAATCAGGAGAATTTAAAACCAAATATCAGTTATATTACCCTACAACGACAAGAATGTGGGTTTGGCTTTCGCATTGTTGGTGGAAAAGAAGAAGGCTCACAAGTAAAATGTCAACTAACATAATACTGAATAAATAATTAAATATGCTTTATAATTGTAATTAAAAGGTGTCTGTTGGTCATATTGTGCCTGGTGGATCAGCTGATCTTGACGGACAGATAATGACTGGTGATGAAATTGTAAGCATTGATGGTCAGTCCACCTTAAATACATCTCATGATTATGTCATCAACCTAATGGGACAGGCTGCTCGTAACGGCAGTGTGACTTTAGGTATTTACCACCTGAAACCGAACTCAAAGCCAAGTTGTAAGTGTATTAATCGATAAATTTTAAATATGTGTGAGCCAAACTCTTTTTTCTTAAACTTCAACAACAAACTGTTGTTAATTAACCTTAGCTTTTTTGCTATCAGATTTATATCAAATCCGAAAGTATATAAGGATGAATATTTATAATAATGTGGCTAACTCGGCCAATTTATTTTAAGGGCAAATAAAATTGACAAACTATCTTAATAATGCACCTAATATTAGATTAATGTGCCTTGATAATGAATATAATGCTGAATTTTGTTTGTTTAGTGTAAGAACACAACATTATCCACTTTAAATGTAATTCAAATCTAGATGCTTGTATTGTTTGTCTTCGTTATGTATTTTTGCTGAGCCTTATATTTGTACTTGGGCTAGACATTAAATTAGACTTTAATTACAATTTGTATACATTAAAAAATTGTAAAAACCCATCCTTGACTAATCAATGTTATCAAAAAAAAAAAAAAAAATACTAACACATTAATAATTTATTAGTATAAAGTATAAATATTTGTTTTAGATATTCCTGCACCTATAAAACGACATATTGATGTTCAATATCCATATGATGTAACTTTGACCAAAAAGGACCAGGAGGGTTTCGGATTTGTTGTCATATCATCATTAAACAAAGGACCCACAATTGGTAAATATTTTGTCCTATTATTTTATAATAAGAAGTTATGTGCAAAGAAAATTATTGTGGGTATTACTGAGAGTTAATAGTATTATGCATGCATAAATAAATATTTAAAGATTAGTATGAAAGAGCAAAAACTAATATTTAGGTTGGTAGTAGTGATACTGCAGATTTGCAATTGAGTAGGAGTTCATCAAGGGTCATATTTGTTTGCCTCCAGCAACACAACGCCTTAAATAAATGTTACAGGCTTTTGTTACAGCTATTGATCCATTTGGGTAGTGTGAGTGGTGAAATCAGGGAAAATACAGTTTGACTACAGCGCCATCTATTTCATTAAATCAATACTGTGCTGGCTTATTACAAATATTTTTTCCCTGCCATGCATATATCCACATATACCACGATTACCATTGCCATTATTAATTTATAATTAATTGCATACTTTTTTTTAAATATAGGGGGGGGGAAGGATTTGGGAATTTGTATTACAGGTTTGTGTTAAAATACGGATATTTTTGTCCTAGCTAAAATTAAAGTTTATATTTGTTACTACAATAATGAGGATTCTTAATTGATAAACCATTTTTATGTACTGCTGTCAACGTTTTTTCACTATATTTTTAATCTTAAAACATAGCTTGATTAATTGTGTTTTACTCAGACCCTAATGGTTTTAGAGCAAAAACAACTTATGAAATAGAAAAAAATATTTTGGAGACTACTTATCCTATTTTTAATTAACATTTAATTTAACTTAAGCTGGAGTAAGTAAAATGTATTTTGCTTATCAAGTTTTGTAGGCTAAAAATTGAATGTATAGTCACTTTCTACATTCAGATTTATAGTTTGTCCAAGTAATCGCGCCATTTAACAGAAAAATAAGAGTGTACAGATTATGCTGGTTTGAGTATAATAAAAAGTAAGAGAACAATGAAATCGAGAAATTATTAATTTTAATTTTTAATTTAATAGATGGCGTGGTTTGAATAAATAAACGATGATGGATAGCAAATTGTAGAGAGATAACTTGCCTAACCGACTTTATTTCTATATGTGATGAAATTAAGAATATTTACAATGTTTTATGTTTTTTAAAATTATGTTTATTTAGGACGAATAATCGAAGATAGTCCTGCATTTAATAATGGTCATATACATTTGGGCGATCATGTTCTTGCAGTCAATAATATAAATATAACAAATTTATCCCACGGTGATATAGTCAATATGATCAAAGACTCTGGATCTACGGTTACATTGACTATTGGAGCCCCGAATGGTAAATGTTTATTCAACAAAACAATAAATTGACATGTAGCTTATTTTATATTATTATTTTTAACAGATGATGCCGCTAGTACTGTGTCTCTACCCATGTCAAATAAAGTGAGTCTTTTAAATTTAATTTAAAAAAAACAAAATCTATTTTGTTATGACCAAAAATAGAGGATAACATAAATGTTAATATATATGTACAAAATGTTATTGAAAATATTATAATAAATGGAATAGGATCAAGATTTGGAAGAAGAACAATATCATGCTGTAGAATTATCAAGAGGTCCTCAGGGTTTTGGTTTCAGTATTAGAGGAGGCCGAGAATTTCAGAACATGTCATTGTTTGTACTGCAAATAGCAGAAAATGGTCCTGCAGCTCTTGACGGTCGTCTAAGGGTAAAATAAATCAAATTTCCTTATGTGTTGGGATAAAATATATAGTTATAAAAATGTGATGTATATTAGAAATTTATTTATATGAATCCGAAACTCACTCAGTTAATTTATTTATATTTTTAATGAAACAATTATCTAGTTAATAATATATTGAAAAAAAGTTTACACCAGATTCTGGTAACAGTGTAATTTGCTTAAACAGTAGAAGCTAATAAATAATATTATATATCACGTTACTATTGATTCCCTAAAACTAATCCAATTTTAGAAAACAAATTATATGTTTTTTTTTATGTACGTTTAGATTGGAGATCATATTATTGAAATAAATGGTGTGAATACCAAAAACATGACCCATGCCGAAGCCATAGAGATTATTCATAGTGGAGGTTCTTGCGTACGGCTTTTAATACGTCGCGGCACGAGAGTACCTCAGCTACCATCATCGGAAAGCAATGGTTTTTATGATACACGGAGTAATTTAAGACCCCAATAAAAAAATCATTGTAAAACGATCATAATCATGTTAAATATAGTATTTGTAAATTACATTTTGTTTAAAGAATTTCTGCGCTTGCAAATATTTATTGATCTGTGATTAATTTAGATTATAATGATAATGTCTCATTTTATGTATATGGCATCATAGCCTTACTTAAAGAGATATACAAGTTTTGTGTGCTCAAATTCATTATATTGCGAAAATTTTTAATTTAATTTAATATGTATTTTTTGTATGTATATGTTGTTAATATAAGTTTATTTTATTTGTATCGTTTTTATATTTTGCAAAATATTGATAATAACTATCAAATGCTTACACTAAAATTATTAATTTTTAATTGAAAGAAAATGATTATTTTAAGATTTTACTTACTTGATTAGTGATCTATATGAGCTTGTAAAGTACAATATTACAATTGTATGATTTAATTATAATTGTGATCATGATGTAATTTTAGCACCTTTAATTTAATTATTCATGATTTGTTGTATAACTGCAGTATTATTTAACAAAAAAAGAATCTCATTTTATTTCATTTTAATTTGATAATATTATATTAATAAAATTTAGCACATGCCTGTAGGGCTAATGTTAAAAATGCCATAGGAATGAATTCGGAAAATTCATTTAAGATAATAATAGTAAAAATCACTTTGGTGCTAAATTTTAAAACATTATCAGTGTTTAAATGAAATGTGCCTAAAATTTGAACGCCATAAAGTATTCATTGTAAATTCACAAGCACAGAACTGACTAACGTGTTGTATATAACTATTTTAAGTGTTATATTATAACTATTTTATTTTAATTGTGTTTAAACACTAGCATTATTATTATTTAACTGAAATACATCAATAAAAAAACAAATTTTATTTTTGTGACATATCTAGATCTAATTATTATGGTAACTAAATTTTCAAATATATGTTAAAAAAAAAAATAAATTATAGTAAAATGTTTAATTATATTATTTTATCTATGCATGTTATAAAACACAGTATTATATATTTTTTACCTTTATAAAAGAAGCATGTGCACGCTATATATTTAATTTGTTCTTTGCTTGATTTTTTGAAGATAACTTTTGTTCGAAAAATCATAGACCCCCTTAGAGTTTATTAGAGAATGTTCTACTTATGATACATCTTGACAATATCAGGCAGATTATAAATTAGTGTAATGCAACATGATATTTTATACATTGTGTGTTATTAAAAAAACTCGATTTTAAATTAATACATTATAACTTAGATAATGAAATTACCTCATCAGATATTCTTTTAATATGATTTGTTTCAAAAGGTATTGTAAATACCTGAACTCTTCATTATGCTTGGTTTAATGGAACAAGGTAAGAGTAGTCGTCGAATACAAACCACAAACAAGTTACAGTTTATATGAAGTAAATACATTTATATTTTGTAGATATATAATGTGGATGACAGTGATACATATTGGTACCTTGTCAGTGGTAAAAACAATACTAGTAGTAATTAAAAATAAATCCTTAACCTAATTTGATACACATAAAATGAAGCATATATTATTTATTTAGTAGTAGTTTTTGATAAATTAATATACAAATTGTTCACACTTAAATTATAAGGTGATCACACTCACATATAAAAAAAAACAGTTATGATTTATAAAAAAAAAAATATTCTACATAATAACTTTATTATGTAAAGAATAGTTGACGTTAAGTAGCTATAAATGAGATATATGATTACAATAATTGTCTATGTGTGTAATTCAATCATAATAACAGTAGTAAAATGAGATTCAATTAAAAAAATGTCATTGAATAGAAAAAGAACAAGCATTGAATTCAATACAAAAATCGAAAATGATAATGGTTGTGTTAATACCAAAGGATTTCAATGTATGTTGGTCTTGACTTATCTTTTGTTAATTTCTACTTTAACACCTGAAACAAAACAAAAATAATTACACAATAATTTAAAGGAATGCCCAAAAGAAGCAAGAATACTGTAGGTAACACGTACTCTCGATTATTTCCAATTTCATTCGGTTCAATTCCTTACGAATGTCGCGAAGTATATCTTGTTTCAACGTCTCCAGTTCTAATGATAAATTTGACACGCAGTTATCTCCAAATGACTTTGATGCTATTAGATCTTCAGTAGATGTAGCATTCAGTTGTTTTCGGCCAAGTTTAGGACTTTCACAACCATTTAATGAGCTTTTTTGACTATCATTACGGTTCCAATTTTTTTTGTCACTGGGTGAAACACTTTCATCCTGTAATTTAAATTGTATATAAATAAAAATATAATAATTTGGGAAAATACTGTTTTAATCTACTACATTTAGAACTAAAATTTAACCGATACTTAAAAGCACCTAGCTAAAAACAAACGACATATCCACACTTTTTAAGATTTGTCTAATGCTCTAGGTAAAGCACCATTCAAAAAAATTAAACTAAAATTCATTTTTAAAACTATACTAAAGAATTTCTCAATAAATATACATTTTACTTAATATTCAAATATTGTATATTAAATAATTTAATACCTGTGGACAATCAGTGGGTTCCTTTTTTTCAACAGCAGCACGACGTCTTGCCAATGTACGCGCCATTTCATCCATCATTGACGCCATACCAGTCTGCCCATTGGCGTTTCTTCCGAGTGTCCCATAGTTTCCACTGCCACCACTGCTTGCACTACTAGTTGAAGAACCACTGTTTTCTGCTGGGTGCTGCTTAAATTGTCAAATTTTAATAAACTGTTAATTATACAAACTGAGAAATAGATGATAATACCTTGTTTGTTCTTTTTAAACGAGCGGCTTGCAACTGTACAGCTAATGATGATGTCTGATCAGCACCAGAATCATGATCAGATTCTCCACTGCCATTGGGTCTTAACAACATCCCAGGCATTGGAGGAGGCTGTGGTGGAGAAGGATTTGATAAACCAGGGGGAGGTGGAGGAGGAACTGGTGCTGGAGGAGCCGAAGATGTGCGATGGTGACCCGAAGCAGGGAGTTGTGGGGGCATCGGCGGTACATTGGGTAATCCATTTGTTGTGTTTATAACTAAAAGTAAAAATATCAGGACACATTTTTGTATTAACCTTCTACATGAATTATGCAACATAATAATAAGTTTACATAATATACTATACATAATATTTATGTATAATACAAATTATTAACATTATGCATAAAATCTAGTAAACACAATATTAAAGAAAATTAATTTCTTAATAAGCACTCATTTCAAATGTTTTTGTAATTGACTTGTCTTATCTTATAGAACAATACAATTTTGCAACATACTTTGATTTTGTTGAGACATTCGTCTCTCTTGAATTATGGCTGCATCATCTTTTGTCATGGTTCTGAAATGATTAGGTATGTTATTACAGTAGTGAACCAATCTCAAACAAAAAATATATAGAGTTAGATAGAAGAAAAACATTATAGTTACCTGTACCCTATATCTTCTTCAAATTGACCGTTAGCTTGTTGGTAAAGTGGTGGCGCAGGCGGTGGAATATGGCTGATAGGAATGCTAATATTATTTCTAGATACAGAGTCTAAAACCTAAAATTAACAATTATTACAATGGTTTAAAAGCAGTATAAGCATCCGAGTTTATGTTTGGATGTAGAATATGATATTCTTTAAAAATATTAGATATTTTACAAAATTGTTGTTATAATAAAAAATATTCATTTTTGATAAATGTTATTATTATTCAATAACCATAACATCAAACAATCACTACATTGCTAAAAAAACTTATACAGTGTGATAAACATAAATTGATCCACTTATTTTCTTAGAGAGTAATTATTGTAATTTTGTAGTTTTTCATCATTTATTTAAATAGTGTAAGTGTATAACATTAATACAGTAGAAATAACTACAAACATTGGTTAGATTATAAGGTAACGGTTAGAACAAGCAAAACGCCAAAATCCGGCACAAGCCCATATGATTGTGAGTTAAAATATACTTTTATAACATGTAAGGTTAGAATAAGATAACAGCTACAATGAGGAAAATTCAAAAAGTTCATGGAGCTCAAGTATACTGGCTATTAGTGGTTACTACGAGCAATTGTTTATATTTTTTTGAGTATATATGGGATGTGTATAACTATGTATACAAGTTGATATATATATTTTGATGTACAAAGATGATTATGAATAGTATTAGTGTGTAATCTTCCGACCATGTTGCGTTATCAATTTACGCTGGACGAAAAACTCGGTATAATGAGACGGTTAGAAAACAGCATGATTACAAAAGAATTTGGCACCTCAATGTCAACAATTTTAACCATATGGAGTAGCACGGATTCTTTGAAAATAATGTTTGAAACCACACCACTCAATACAAAATAACTGCTCACTAACAGAATAAAGCCTTCAAGAATCTGTACTTGTGTGGTTCAAAAAACAATGATCATTGAACGTGCCTAATTAATGGTCTTATTTTGCAACCAAAAACTGATCAACTGGCTGAAAGATTCAAAAAAGAGAATTTCATATATTCTGCCTATTGGATACAGTGCTTTGTCAAGGGCACAACATTGGTTTCGGCAAGATTTCAGGTGAGTCATCAGCAGTTAATATTGAAGTGTATTATAAAAGTAAAATATTAAAACACTGTTTAAATTTTAAAACATTCTAAAAAAAAAAAAAAAAGTAAATTGTTGGAAATTTGATTATATTATTGGAAAATAAGATAAATAAAAATATTTTAAAAAAAAACAAGCCAAATATTACATACAATATTTTTGACAACATTAAACAGCACGACTAAGTAAGAAATAATAAGTGTAATTGTACTGTATTTCTATTTACATAAACTAGATTCAAAAATACCATACAAAAGTTTCAATCCCATTAAATAATAAAATCAACTATTATTAACTACAATAATTACCTCAAGAGCATAAACCATGGCACGAGCAAAAGCGTCAGCATCTTCTTTGCTGCTAAAATTCAGACCATAAACATGTTTGTTGTCTCTCCATTGATGGAATGTAGTTGTTGCTTGATTATATTTCAGTGTTTTTAGGATCACACAGTTTATGACAACCTATAGTCAAAATATAATTTTTGAAATACAAGCATATATCTATAAATTGTTGTGTGTAATAAGGTATTAATTTTATAGAAATGGTAAAAGCAGTAATGAATAATCTTAAACTAATGTAAAAATAGAATTTATTAATTAAAAAACATTAATTGTTAACAAACAATGTGTGAACAATTTTAAATGATAAAGATTTAACAGATTGTAACACCTCATTTATTTTATTTTACATGTTGTGTATTATGTAATTTTTAATAACTATTTATTTTAAAACTAAAAATATTTTAAGTACAAATCCATTTTTTTATACAACTTGTTTTTATAAAATCAGATGCATTTTAATATTTTAAAATATTCGTCATACAACTTTGAATTATTAGATGAATATAAAAAATAAAATCTATTAACTTTTACTTACAGCTTTCTGTGAAAATTCAGAAGCTAGACGAATTTGATGGACAGAGAAGCTTAGCTCACTTAAGTAATTGTTATTTTATGTTCAGTTGTTTTTGGTAATAAGATTTTACTGCATTGACTAAATTTTATTTAATAAACTTTTTAAAAATAAATTCATGTTCAAATCATGCATACAAGGTAAATAATTTCCAAATACAGACTTAAATTAACATAAGCTAAGTTTTCAAGCAATTTAACAACTAGATATAAACAATTTCAAGTTATTTGAAACTATCTATACTGTTATAATACCATATATAATTTATCTTGTGTAAGAGTGATACAGCGCAAAAACCAAAACGCGTCACTCTTAGCTATGCATATGCATACGAGAGCAGCTATATGTTTGGTTTCTGCAAAGTCTATTGACAGTCACTATAAGGTAGACATTTCACCAAAAATGGACTGAAACGAAAACCTGACAAAGAGTGTAGAGTTTGTAGTACATACATCTGATCTAAAATGTTGCGAAAAGTAGATGCTGGTGTACGGGGAAAGAAACCAGACATCCACATCAACATACCACTATATACAACACCTACCGTCTTTCAGATGGAGATGATAGCGATTTTAGAGGGTGCTCAAAATTTAAAAGTTAATTAAATGAAGGAGCATTACCATATGTTTCGATAGTCAAGCAACTCTAAAGGCATTGAGCAAAACTCAAGTGACTTCAAAGTTGGTTTTTGAATGCTAAATAACTTTTGCAGGATACAATCCATAATGAGAAATAACAAAAAAAAACTGGCATAGGTGCCAGGATTTTGTGGATTATTAGGTAACAAAAAAGCATATTTTCTAGCCAGAAAGGTGTTAAAAAATCTTACATTGGCCATGTTCCAGTGATAGGACTTATTAGAGCAAGCTCTGAAGGTACATTTAAAAACTGGAGCAGAGATGAACATATGAACAGGAACCAAATGAGAACCTTGGTTGGACTATTAACAGGCCATGGACATAACATTTATATACTATAAGAGTTACAGAATCAATAATATGTAGAAAATTTAGAGAAGAGAGATAAACATGATTAAAACTTGAGTGGGGTATTGTATTTACACTTTTTACGCAACATACTGAAGTGGGAGTATCCGCAAGTTGTGTAAATAGTATAAAAAGAAATAACCCTAAGGCAGTTAATCTTTGGTAAACCTTTTCGTTGAAACAATGAAATCAAAGACATTGGAACAAAAGAGATACTGAAATTCACAGATTTATGACTTTTCAATACATAGAGTTATTAGACTTAGTAGGACATAGACCAGATAAGACTAGAGCTAAAAATGATACGGTATCTAAGTAATTAAACTTCTAATTGGCTTTTTAGAATTTAAAATTTTTAGTTTTATAAAAATAAATATTATAATTCTTAACAGGGTAGAAATTTTATTTGTCATGACAAGAGCTCGGATGTTAATGTCCATAAATGTAATAAAATATGCATTTAAAAATATAAAAATATGCAATTATAATATGCTTTTATTGAAATCAGCTAAACATTTTTAGCCAAACTTCAAATAGCCGACTTGGCATAATATGAATAACATTTTACATAGGTTAATTATTTTTAAATGATATTATACGTAACAGAATAACATTGAATTACAATTATTTTGGTGATGTTTTCAAATTTTAAAGAACAATGAAGATTATTATAGAAATTTTGGACAATATATTGTAACCAAAATTTTTGTTTAACACTTTTCTCTATTTTGTATAATTTTCTTTAGCTTATACTTGTCTCTCTCTTATGTTTAACGTACGTTATTCCCACTGATTGGAGCTTAGATGGTTTAGATTTGGCATTTTTGGGCTTATAGCTGGCTGCTGACCTAATGCTACCAAACAAGTAAGTCCCAGAGAGAGGTGCAGGTGGCCATTTCTTACCCCAGACAGTTGCCCGCCTGGATGAAAAAATCGCCAGGGGCTGAGATTCGAACTGGCGACCGTGCGTTGATACACTGCTGCCTAATCTTACTCCGTCACGCACCTGGCACTTTAGCTCATACTTGTAAACACGTTTAAAGATAATAATAAAATAAATTTTTTTTAATAATCATATTTACAAATATGCTACTAAATCTTGAAACAATTATTATGGGCAAATATATGCTCAAATAAGCAAATATATGCAATATATGTTTGCTGATTTGAAATCTAGTCTTTGTGAATCAAATTTATAGTGTATTTGGGTATAATTCTGATTTCACTAAAAAAAATATGCAAACATCCGAGCTTTATTTAAATTAAAAATAGTCTTCACTAAAACTAAATATTTACCTATAATTGATAATAAAATTAATTAAAAATAATAATGATAATGTAATCATTGATTAATGACTGGATTTTGGTATTTACCTCATGATCCTGTAATTTACGTCCTACTACACGGAATGTATTGTTAATCATATGCTTGAAAATATGCACTTTGCTAAGACCCGATGATGTTCCACTTGGAATCCATTTTTTGCTGATATCGTCGTAGATCATAACAGAGGCCCTAGCGGACGCTATGCTTGTTTCACTAAAACAATAATTGATATAGATATAATTATTGGCTGAGTACAATAGTAAAGTAACAATTAGCCAATTAATTATATGAACAATTTAATATTTTAAAGCTATAAAATCAATAGGGGAATATTCCTTTTTAAGTTTTTTTTTTTAAATTTTACTCTAAATAACTATATTGTCAATAGGAGTTATTTTTACAATTTTTGTTTATATTATCCTTTTTTTTTCCTCTTATTTGTTTTATTAAAAATAATTGTGGTAGTTTCCTGTACCTAACTATCATCACCAGTCGGGTGGCCATTTCTTTTTCTAGATGGTTGCCCACCTAGTGAGAGAAATGGCTAGCAACAGAGATTCGAGCCACAGCTAGTATGTAGAAGCACAAATTTAAATTTAATTTGTTTAGTTTTAACAAGCATTGCTAAATGTTTTGCTAAAGGACCACCAGAAGAGTACAGAGATAAAGTATTGAAAATTACACTAGGTATTTACTAATCAATAAATAATACTACAATTTAAACTTAACTAATTTCACACGACAACCGTTTGAAAACAATAAAATAAATGTAAAATTGATCACATGCATGTTTTTAGATAAATGTGAAATATAATTAAGTCAACATAATAAGAAAGTACATAAAGAAGGGTAAGACAACCAATCAACTAAATAATTACTTTCCAAAAAAAGCTTTGATATAAAACTATGCTGAGTATAAGGGACTGCTTTAGTTCTTGCACTACAGTTAAACTAAAACTAAATATTTTAAAATGATTTAATAACTTTCAAATTTAGTGATAACTTTGACCACACTTTGTCAAATCCATATATAATACAAATTTATAATGTGCTAATTTTACTATACTATCTTTTTTGTAACTTGAAATCCAGTTAAATAATAATACATTAATTTTGGAAACCACAATATTTACCAAGAACATTTTGTTATTTGTTTATGTACATTTGTTTACTAAATTTTTTTTAGACTTGCAACTATAAATATTTGAATTGAAACGCAACAAACAAAACAGGAAGTCAATACTAGAACATTGAAAATTAAATAAAGATACATTTTTTATGATTACCATTATAGAAATATGTTGTACGAGGTACGCCTACATTAATTTTTATCAAATAATATTGGTTTTGAAAAAGCAGTTTTTTTTTTGTTATATTGCATTGATTAATAATATTTAGTACAATTGTAGTATTTTAAAAAATAAACTGTTAAAAAAATCTTGTTGGTATATGTTGTAAATAAACCATTCATTAAGAAAACATTATTTATGATAAAAAAAAAAAAACATTTGAAATTAGTTTAAAAATAATTTCCAATATATGTCATCAAGGTTAATATAATTTTAAATAATTAAAAGAAAGAATAAATTTAGAAAAATATTTATATATTTTTTTTTTTGAATAATAATATTATCACCTACTTAATCTATTATTTCAATCTATTCATCTATACCTATTGGCTATTTGTTTTTTGATAATTAAACCCATTTATGAACCAACAAATTACTGAATATCTGATTTGAAGAAAAAACAAATATTGCATCACTATATTTGTGTAGAGTGGCAATGACTCATATATTTAAAAAAAATATTTATGCTACCTTACACAATGTCATTAAAATTAGATCAAGTACCTATTTTAAAATTTTTAAAAACAACATTAATATTGTATAAAAACAAGCCATTAAATGGACAGTTCATAGGTACTGGATAATTTTTTAATTTCAGCAACTAAATATGTAAATTAAACTACCTTTATATTATGTAAAAAATAAGACCGACGACAAAAAAAAAAATATGATAATTTTTGAAACCAATATTGAACACAGAATATGGAACCTTATTTTCTAAAAGAAGTTTTTTATACCCGTGAACTGATGTTTCTTGGCTTTAATGGTTCGCCCCAAAGGGATCCCCTACGACTGCGGACCGACTAGTAGCTTTAGGTGCTAATTGCTGGCCGAAGAAGGTGTGTCTCAAGATGAAGTGACCAGTCAGAAGGCCACTTTTCGGAGGGCTCTACGTCACGTTAGTCGCCTTTTACGACAGGAGCGAGGACCTTGGTAGAATTCTTTATCCCCTAACCACGGGGATAACCGTGGCCAGCAAGCTGGCCGCCCGCGCCCAGCGCACGATCGACCCCCCTGAGCGGACTCAGTAAAGGCCGTCGTGCCTGCCTCGACCCTGTCGATCGTTCGACCCCGCTGAGTGTCACCCGGTTGGGCGGGTTCTAAGAACCATCCGCTCAGATAGAGCTGCACTATCGGAGTGCTAGATTTAATGGCACCGGTGTGCTACCGTGCAGTGACCGACCGTGGGACTTCCACCACTCGGCTCGATCGCCGTTCCTGTTTTAGTCGGCTCTTCGTATTTCAACTCCCGTCAGAGTGTGATTTAAGCGCTCACGTGCATCGGCATTGTGGGCCGTTAGACTAGCGTCTATTCCGCGAGGCTCGGGCCGTTTAGGTGTACAGCACGGGCCGTTTTAGAGAGCATGATGGCTCTTTTCAGTGAGTCTAACGGTTATACACGTGAACTGTCCAAATATTGTAGTTAAATGATGAGGATTCCTATATAGGCTTTTAAGTTTTTATGAAAATTATTTTATTAATAATACATAAATGCCAACACATAAATTGTGTTTATGTTAATATATTATTATTTGATGCCAAATGCATCGGTGTACATAATTCAGTTAAGAAACAATTTTAAACTATTTACTGCAAAACAACGTAACATATGAGTCATGCAGTTGGTTGATAGCACAAAATATTATTTTCAACGACAATTATTATATCTATTTTTGATCAGGGATTGAAAATATCACCAATCAAAAATTGCATTATTTTCTTATAATTACAACAAATATTGATACAAATGATTAATAGTATGATATTTTGATAGCTTATTTGTGTTTGAACTTATAAAAAGAAGTCAATCGAAAACATTTTAAAGTTAAGTAATGTCATTGAAACCCTATAAAATATTGTTCCTGGAACGAAACGTTTATATCGTTCCAGAAGACATAACCTAACATTAGGATGTGTTAAGTTGACTTTTTTTTTTCCAAGTTTTAAACACAGTTACGCTAACAGAATGCTATAATATTAATAATTTTCATCAGCATTTGTTGGAGTTATAACAAACAATAAAAATGTTGGCTTGGGAAAGTTTTCAATCACTGTTTTTCATGACAGTTAAAACTAAAATCTAAAGCATTTTTATAAGAATTGCCTACAACTACAGTAATCATGTTTTAGGAAGATAATATTTTTTATATCTTCTTAAATATTATCAATACGTTTCCATATAATGTTAAGGCGTTTTAAGAAATCTATAAAAGTTATCTACATAGAAAAAAATGTAACATCTACAAGTCCATGAAAAAAAACGCCTGACCATATTATTGTTAATCATTATACAACAATCAAGAATTCGCGAAACACCAACAATTCACATAGTTTTAACCGAGTATTTAGATAACACATTAAACTCCCAAGACGTCGTATATAATATGTATATATATATATTTATATGTTTATATATATAAATATAAATTTGTTTTAATAATGGTTTCTAAGAGGATGCATGACGTTAACGCACAATTATTTAACAAGTCGATGATTCGTTTGAAAACAGTAAGTCTCAATTTCGAAGTCGACAAATATTACAATATTACACCATCGGAAAAATGGGTAGGGCACTCACCTCATGATAAGGTTGTTCGCAATACCCGGACGGTTAAAACACAGAACAGGACATGCTACTCATTCCATCGCATCTTGAACAAAATGATTTGAGTCTGATCGAAGGATAATGGAATGGTTTGTTTAGATACACACAACGCAAATTGCACGGCGGCCGCCTATACTACAACCACTCATCTCACTATTCAGAGTCCGCAGCACTACCACACCACGACGAACGAGCGACGTACTGCAGGCTGCTGTTCACTCCGCAGTGTGTGTGCTGTATACTGTGCGGTAGTGTGCGTGTGTGCGTGTGTGCGTGTGTGTGTGTGTGTGTTATGTTGTTTTCAGAGCACCGTGCACACTAGCGCGACGGCAAAACAGTAATGAAAAAAAAAATGAAAAACATTGCAAACATATTCCGCGATAACGCTGCGGGTCAAAACGATGCTCAACGTTGCCGCTCCGGCCGTCCGGGTAGACGATCTACCTCCACTGTCACAATGACCTACAACCTCCACGTGTGCCACCAAAAAGCCCGCTAACAATATCGAAATTAAAAATGCTGGACAGTATACAATATACACTACTGACTACACGGTACCCAACGCGTACACATTATCGCATTAACTTTAGTCGCAAGTTATTGTAGCGAAATTACTTTCTAAGTAATTCGATGGTAATTTCATTACATGTCGTTGAAAATAATTTATACGTAACTATTCTGTAGAATATTTTTCAAATTATTATAGTCACTATTTTTTACCGATAAATTGGATGAACCAAATGACATAAATGTGAAAAATATATGTATGATTTTTAAGGATAACACAATTATTATGTTTACGGTGTTTAAATTAAAAATATATATATATTTACCTACTATCTATGTTTAAAATTAAGATTTGAAAAATTGACTGTGATCGTTTTTTACCGAGGCCCTACATTCCAATAGCTATTTGACAAAATCGTGCTATTTTTATTAGTCATCACTTAGTTATTATTAGATATTAGAATAACATAATAATTACTAATAGGTCTAAGACATTAAAAAAAAAAATTGACTGCTTGTTCATTGTAACGCAAAGTTACTACTAACATAAGCAGAAAAATAAGAAAATACAAATTCAATTAACTATAGACAAATGATCAGGGTTTTCATCTACACAAGGTAATTGTTTACACTACTGATTAGGCTAATTTGTAAATATTTCTAATTTTTAGCATATATTATAAGGTTGTTTTAGTTTATTAACTGTAATATGCGCTATGATAAATTAAAATATATATTTTTGGTAATTTTAATCAAGAATAAAAAATTGACGTTCTTGAATAATATAAAGTATCAAGTTCTAATAAAAGTGTTATGTTTAATTAGCTATTACTTACATGATACAGGTACTTATTACAAACAAAATGTTGTGTACTTATTTAAATACTTACACAATATAGTGACACAATGTTTGTGTTTTTAACACATTATGCTCACTTAAATAAGTATATTTCAAAAGTATTTTTTAAAGCAATGCAGATAAACCATTTTAGTCCTAAATTTGAAAAATAAACAACCAACTGCATCAGAGATGGATTCATCAGAAGGCATTAATGTACATAGCAGTTGTCTAGAACGGAAATATTTATGAGACAACACGCTTTTTTCATTTGGTTTTTTTCTCTAATCTATGTAAATGTAGTTACATACTGTGCAATTATAGCCGCACATAAAAAATAAGCACAGGTGGTTTCACTTTTTTCTACGGTTGCATATAAAAATGCAAATGTTATTTAACATTTTTATACAGAGCTGTATAAAGAGTTTGGATTTAAATTCCCAATAATTTTAATTATCATTAGAAAAAGTGTATACAATTTTTTTATAGCAACAATAAAAAATATGTTATTGGGCGATACTGTGAATAATACAAACTAAACCATATTCTTTGTTTAAAAAAATTATATTAGACAAATAATGTTTAATAACAAAAACAGAACATTAAAGCTATTATTTTTATTTTTTATAACATGTTATAAATAAAAACCTATAGTTAAATTATAGTAAATTAATAAATATATTACCTAAATTATAACAATTTTTGGATCAATATTTATTTATTTTTTCATATATATTTCTTAACTTAATCAAATCTTTACTCAAGAATGTTATACTTTTTAAATCTTTATCTTCTATTAATTCCTCTGAAAAATAAGAAGATAGCTAATTAATTAATACATAAATAAAATGCAATAAAACATAGATAGGTAATGTTATCCAAAAGGTACAAATCTAAACCTCATAAGAACCAACACATCACTAACAACATCTACTAAGTTTTCACATGTTTTACTACAAATATTTTTTTTTTACTTTTTACATCCATTTAATCGCTTCATTTGGGGCTAAGAGTCAGATGGTAAAGATTTGGCAATTTTTAGGAATTTTTAAAGCTGGATGCCGACCTAATGCAAATCCTAACAAGAAACAGGTAGGCATTTATCTCCATAGAAGCATATTATATATATATATATATATATATATATATATATATATATGTATGTATTTAAAGATTTTAAAAATCCTTCTAACTTTTAAATTAAAAAATGGATGACTCAAACATATTATAGTAGAGTTGACCCTCGTCCTATATCAAAAAGCTATTGATAACTTGTTATATAAGTGATAAAAATTACTTTCAAAACCACATTTCATAAATTACCTTATAAAAATAATAATATATATTGGACCCAAAAAAGGACATTTTTTTATAGAACAATAAAGGACTTACATACAAATCAGCGTTATACCAGAATTCATCATCTCGTTCATAGTTTCATGTGAATAGATTTTATCTTCCTTACATATTTTCTCTCTTAATATATACCTAAATTGGTGTTATTTTTTTAATTATTGGAGAAAAAATTTGTTAATAGTCAACATTTTTTTTGTCTCTAATAGATAAAAAAATTATTTGACAAATTTTATATAATTCAAAATAAACATTTTGATTAATTTCTATTTATTTAAAATGTTATGTTATTTTACGTCCCCTACTTAAAAACTGCTAGTTAGCCTTATTAAACTTTAATCATAACGCAAAACTGAAAAGTTATTAATTATTAATTATATCATATAAGTTATTAATATGATGTAATAAGTTTTTTTGTGTACGTTTTTACCCATTTAGTCTTACTATAACTTTATGAAAAGTGTTTGGATCTATTCGAAATTTTTATTTGTCGTTTTCTTATTGAATAATAGCCTTGAAAGCCAATTTTACTACTTCCCTTCAAAGAGTGTCCACTTCTGTTTTTAATTGTATGCGTTAATTATTAAACTTATAGACTGAAATATGAACATATTAATAGTACATATTAAGTCTATCATGTATTACATATCCATAACATAACAATTCTAAAAATAATAATTAGGATTTAGGTGTTTCTTTTAAAAAAATTGGCTCAGATTCAAATCATATCAAATCCACCGGATGATTTTTCATTTTTGTACTTTATTAAACACAATTCTATGATTTAAAAGGTGAAATTATTTATTTTTAGGGCATTACGAACTTAAAAAACTTCCAAACGAATGGAGCAAAATTAGTCGAATTAACATATTTCTATGAAAAAAAATTATCAACAATAATTAAACAAAAGAAAAAAAAATATGAATACTATATAAAATTGTACAATAGGGCTTCAATAAAAAATGTGTGCTTTATTTTAAGCGAATAGAATTAAGAAAAAATTTCATTCAAAAACTGATTTGTTGTTTTTGAATACAAAAAAAAGTTTAAAATACTTCATAATTTAATTTAAAAAAAAAAAAATTGAAAATGTTTTAATCTTCTTTCGCTGTTCAAACATTTTATCTAGACAATGATTTTGTTAAATGGACATTGTCATATAATATCCCTTGTAGCACGAGACAATTCAAATGATACTTTTATTCATAATATAAAATATATATTTCTTTTGACATTAATTATTTTATTTAATAAATTATTTGTTTTATTTTTTTGAAAGTAAACATTTTTTAGTGTATTATAATCCGTTACGCAGTTAGTATTTAAATACTTCTTCAACAATACTATATAATCTTAAATCTCATAATTGGATTCAATAATTACAATAGCTTTTACTGGGGAAGTGTGGTTGAAATGATAATTTATGAACACATTCACAAATAAAAGTAAAGAATAATTTTCACCATCTCTTGTGAAATTGGTTGATTTGTAGATAAACCTAATGTTCGTCTTTCATTTATAATCATCAATATTTAGATTTTATAAATTATGTGTATGTCATTATGCATGATGGTAGACATCTAATAACTTTTATTTTGTTTTATTTTACTATATAAATATTTACCTAATTAAATTTTATGTTTAAAAATATGATATTGCTTTTATATATTTTGTATTTAAGTGGCAATTAGGATAATAGCTTTTGTTGTTGGTTTACATGTGTTGGTTTTTACGTTTTTTTTAGGTTGGACACATAAATATGCTTCTGATTCTATTAAATGGTACTTACTAATTTCAAAAATTATATTTGGTGAAATTATATTTTCTTTATCCATTGCTTGTAATGTAATACTTTGAGTTCTTGTAATTTTTCTTAGTAAATCACATGTGGCATGTAATCTGTTCAAGATAACTACTTGTGTTTGAACTTTTAAAAATAGTTCTGTTATTCTACTTTTTAATAATTCAACCAGTGACTGTAAGTTCTAAAACATATTTATACATGAAAAACATTATATACATATTAGTAAGTGTGTTATATAATCTAAATTAATTATTTAGTGTCATTGATTGTATTATTATATTTTAGTTTATACAAATTTACTTGTAGTTGTAATGAAATTTCATTGATAATAATTTCAAGGTTCTCAATCCACGTTACTTGGTTCAATAAATCTTCATGGTTTTTGTAAACTTGGTGACATATCAGAGTTTCCATATGCATTAATCCTAGAATTTTAATTTCATTTAATTAATGTCATAAGTTATATAAAAATTTTAATTGATTTTAGCAACAAATAAATAATAAGCAAAAAATATTATTTATCTTAATTAAATTAGATGTCTGTTATAAAAAAAATATATTTAATAGTACACCACACCATCAATTTATTAAAGAGCAGAGTGTATACAAAATCTTAATTTAGAGGTTTAATTTTAGTGCATATTTGTTAATACAGTAATACAAATGCATTATTTTTGCTTTAAAAATACATGCGGCAACTTCTTAATACTAAATGCAATAGTAAGTCCTTAAAAAAATTAGCTACATGATAAATTTTGGGACGAGAATACAATCATCAATACCTTTATTTAGTTTTTTGAGCTGTTCGTCAACACTTAGCAGTGAACAAATTCCTTTTGACTTGTCATTTAATACTGTAAACTGCGAGAGATATTCTAAAAACAAATTTTGAATTAGAAGACATTATTAGTTTTTACTATATTACAATACAAATTAATGTACTATATTTTAATTTGATAAGTAATTCAATATATAAAGTGGAATTTTACCATCTTCTCCTAATACTGATAAATTATTTTGCGAATCAACACAATTTACCAAAGACATTTTTCAAAAACTCAAAAATGTATTTAAAAATGTAAATTATATTAGATAAAAAATATAAAACACAGAGAACGATAATATTCTAGTTTGTTGATAATAAAATACTATCTATTGTTTTTTTAGTTTACATTTACTTGGCTAATTTATTATTAGGTTGTATTCAGCACTTGGTGGTACATTATTTGCCAATTGCCATTTCGACAAATGGTATAAATTATAATATAAGTTTTTAAGTAATGCAAAATGATAAAAATGTAAATAAATATAAAATATAATTATCAGTTTTAATTTTTATCAGTAAAAAACAAATTATGTTTATTATTGATAAAAATCGTATATATGATTGGCTAGGGCGCAATTTTGCTAATATAAGTACACACTATTTTGTATGATTTTGTAGTATATTAATTGTAAAATAATTTAGATCACTGGGAGGCGAAAGCTTGCAGTGCTAATTTCAAAACCAAGGTCCAAGAGTGTTCAGCACACCCCAGAGTAATCTATATTATACTCTTATGGCACACACATCCTTCTAAATAATATCATTTAAAATTATTCCCCATATAATGATTCAAAATTAAGTCCATGACATAGGTACTAATTTTACTTTATCACGATTAAGTCTACGAACTATGAAATTAGTAAATTTGTTGGCTAGATTTTAATATTTTTTATAATCATATAATAAGCATTGTTCCGAAAATGTCAAAAGCAAACTAATATATATTTTGAGGCTCCATTATGATGCTACAATATACCTAATTAATAGTTTTTAATTGTTACCACTTGTAACAAGTCCATATATTATATAGTTTATAGTTCTTACAATCAGTAACCATCATAATGTAATATTTAATTAAAGAAGTAAACAGTGCATAAACGTCAGCCAGTCGCCAGAGCCCAGAACAAATAATACTATTATATTAATGATAAAACATCGTTGATAACATAATCTTAGTAATTTTATCAGTTACAATTATTATTGTTCGTAAGTCGTTAGTCATAACGTACAGACTACAGAAACAACGTTAGAAAGTGAGAGTTTTTATTTCATGTAATTATTACGTTATTTTATAATATTAGTTATCGTAGTACATTCTTTTAGTTATTTTGTGTGCTGCAATTTTCTTTAAAAATGTCATTTAAATTCAATATATTTGTATTAACTTTCAATTCAATTGAGAATATGTCATAAACGGAATGTAATTCAATTGCTAATTCAGTAATAAACAAAATACATAATGGAAACAAAAGAAAGGTACCTAATTTCTTTTATTATTTAAAAAAAAAAAAAAAAAATTACATGTTATACTTATGTTTTCTAGTTAGGGATGAAGTCGGTATAATGTGTTATTTGCGGGCAATGTAGTAGTTTTAGGGTTAAACAATGGAGAATATCATTATTAAAACGGTTGTTTGAGAACAGGAAGATCTAAAATAGAATATTCAGATTTGAGAATGGTAGGGTAGGTATGTAGGGTAAACTAAAATTAAAATCTCATGAATGGAAGTTTGTAATGCCCTTTGAGCTACAATGGCTTCACATAAAAAACGTTTCGAAATATATTACTTATACTTAATAACTTTTGTATAATCTACTTAAATAAAATTTATCCTCTTGTAAAAAATTAACAAGTTTTTGTTATTTCCATTTTGGTAAATTTATCTTGTACTCACAATTTTAAAGGAAAATTAATCTTACGTACAAGTGTAGTATACTTAGTTCACAGGTGAATTTAACAATTTATCTAGGTAGCAGGTATAAAAAAAAAGTATAGATATCTTGTTTTTTCTTAACCATTAGTGTATTGACTATTGAATAAGAACATATTAAAACTGATAATATAATAAGCACACAAACAAAAAATATTCTTTTTCTTTAAAATAAAAATAATAATTGTAGAGGAAATTCAGTTTTAAAAATTAAAACTTGGCATTTTTAATGCATAACATCATTAACCCTAATAATATTTGAAACTCTTTATAGTAGAATAATAAGAAAAATGTGAAAATTTGAATTCTAATTTTTATAAATTGTGATATTATAGATTTTCATTGTTACTACTAGAACCAGGAGAATATTATTTTGAAGACTATATTGCTTCATTAGCATATGCTAATAACAGCCCATGGCTTTGTGGACGACTCAAAATATGTTCACTATCTTTGGTTTTTGATCCAAAAGATCACTATAAACCAATTATGAAAATTCCTTTTACACAGTGTGAAACAATATCTAAAAGGTATAAATTCGTTATTTAACAATAAAAATAAGAAATAATTTTTTTATATTACATGTACGAGTTGTGCCAATTAAATAACAAGAATTTGGTTCGAGTACCTCAAGTTGTAATGCTGATGCCATCAAAATAAGTTTTTCATGAAAGTCTTGGGCTGTTACACCAGTAACAGTCTACCAAGTTTGATTGTGATCAGAATTATATTTTGCGCTCTACAAGTTTTCGAAGCTAGAGGTGTTTTGATGCTGTGTCGGAAAAATGAGTGATACGGAAAAATAGAAATAAATCGTTATTAAAGTTTCTTGTAAAATCTTACGAAATATTGTCCAAAATTTTCCAAAAATTAATACATGTATTTGGTAATGGGTGTCTGACACAATCTTGTGTGTAAGAATGGGCTGCACGTTTTGCGTTCATTAATCGTTGGAAGACAATACGAGGCCAGGATCTATCACCATAACAAAGCACCTGCTTACACAGCGATTGCAGTACAACAGTTTTTTACCAGAAAAAAACATTGCAATGCTCACCATAAACCATCCTATGGTCCTGGTCGTCTGACTCCCCTGGTCTTCTAGCTATTCCCCAAGCTCAATGAACCAATATGAAAGGCCATCGTCATGAGGAATTATTAGAGGACATCAAAAGTGCTGTAACGCTGGCTTTAAAAGGCTTAACTCCCCAGGCCATTTAGGGGAAATTCCAGAAATGGGAAGAGTACTGAAACAAGTGCATCAGACTCGGGTGGAGAGTTATTGAAAGGGTATGGGCGCACAAGTCCATGTAAATGATAAATAACTTATTAAAATTAAAATTTCTTGTTATTTAATTGCCACACTTGGTAAACTTCAAATTTAACACATGCTTACATGCATTTTACGTGTGCTTGACAATTAAATGTAAATGACAAAATTAAATTTTTAAATATACATTTTATGTATATACTTTTATAAGTAATTTAGATTGTGCTAATCATTTTTTTTCTTGGTAATAATAATCGAGTTTAAGCTATCATTTTTAGCATGGATGATGAAAAAAATACAATTATTATTGTAAGCAAGCAATACATTGGAATGTTAGAGCACAATGTTTTAGAGCCATATAAATTTGTTAATGTAAGTAAATAGTTATTAATATAGTCATAATTATAAAACACTTACGATAAAAATAATGTATTCTAGTAATTTTCTTATTATTTACTCAAGAATTAGTTGTTTGTATGCAGAGTACCATCTTGTTTAGATTAATAAAATATAATAAGCCTTTTGTTTTATTTTCATTTAAGGAGGTTTCTGTATTTAAAATTAATTTAAAGTATGCCAAAATTGAAGATTGTCTTTCTCTTATATTACAACTACACAGAGCATCATCATTACAAACTCCGGAACATAGACATATGGTAAGATAAATTGAGATTGTATTAAAAAAAAAAAAAACATAATATGAATGGTTGTGCTGTTAAAGATACAGTTTATTATTTTAATTAAAAGGCTCCAAATGCTAATTATTTAGAAGAAGTAATTAGAAGAAATTTTTGGAAAATATTTATTTTAGTAGATTTTGGTAATAGATTATGTCGGCTTAATACATATTATCAAGGTAATACTCGGGAACGGTAAACTAGAAAGGAAAATTAGGAAGGATAAAAACAATGAATGTCATACCTTCTACTATAGGACTTTCAAATGAAAGAACTCATCATTTTCACGACGAAATTATAACACAAAAAATTTAACAATTTGGAACAGGAGCTAGACATTTGCTACTACTGTTACTAAATCCATGCCAACAAAGAAAATGCGTACCCAAAAGCTGGAGAAAATCCAATGTAATAGCTCTTTCAAACAAAAAAAACGAACCAAAATTCTACTGACTCATGTGCTTGTTATGTCACACTTATAAATTATATTAGAGAATAGTCATAAGCTGTGTAAAAACTCAAATAGACAAACAAATTACCCACATTTATTATATTATTGTTTTGTTGAAATTTTATAATCGGTCTCAAAAAGAAGATCAAAGTAATTTATATAACATTATGGTATAATTTTTAATTGTAGCTATAGTTTTATTGGAACAAAACGACTTTAGGAAAAACAATGACATTGCGTGTAGAGTGTCAGATTTTTAACATATGTTTTTTATTATATTTAAAAGAGGAAGACTTCTTACAGTCTAAAAAAATGTCTAATAGTGTAAAAAGTAAACATATATTCGAAACATTAATCTCTTATTACAAGACATGGGAATTAAATTTTTTTTAATTTAAGATCTATCCCACATTTTTCTGTGATTTAATGGGGAAAATTGTTTATAATTTAAATGTAATATTTATTATAGGATTTGAAAAAATAATTTATAAAAATTAAAATTGTTATGTTTAGAAAATATCGTTGAAATATTTTGGTTGTTGCAACATTTTATTTCCTGCCTAGTGCATGTTATGTCTCCTACATGATATTATAATCTAAAAACAGTTTAACAATATTGGTAAAAACTTAATATTATTAAAATATAAGTATATAATTTACTGTATGGGATACAGAATTTATAAAATTTTCTTATTTTAAACAAAAAACAATTTTTAAATTTGATTATACTTTACAATTCTTTAATATTTGTTTCGCCACAAAGGATGGTTTTGAGTTTGAAAACTACCCCCCTTGAGTAAATCAATAAATACATAACATCCCTATTTTTTATTAGGAATAAAATTATTTAAAATATTTACAGGCTGCAGCAATAGCGTATAGTAGACAGTCATTAACTAAATTTGATCCTACATGGTTGGAACTTGGAGAAAATATAATAATGGAAGTAGTGGGCCAAAAAATAACACCTTTAAGCATTAATCCAGGCCGAATTGTGTTAACTAGTGTCCATGTATACTTCCAGCCGTTCAATAACATTGAGGTGGTAAGTCAAATTTATTAATTATACTTTACTTTTAAATAAAAAAGGTCATTAAAAAAATTATATTTTGAATTGGTCGTAAGTGTTGTCATTAAACAATTACAAAACGACCACTTAAATTGTAAAACACTTGCTTACTTCGTATATTATTTAGTTAAATTTTATCATTCCAGACTCTGTATTTAAAAATTAAATTGTCCGAAATAAAACGTATTATAAAAAGAAGATTTCTTTTACAACAAGTCGTAAGTATATAATAATTATAAAATCATTACTTTATTTTATTACTAAAATATAGTATTTAGAAGTTTAATTTCCAACTGGTTAAACAATACTGTTTTTTTTTTTGTTCTCATAATTTTTTAATTGGTTGAGGTACTTTTGGGAGGTGATTCTATGTATATTTTTAAACACTTTAGTGTACAGACATTTTAACGATGACTTTTAATTGAGATTTGATTGCTTTCTAGAATTTTCAAAAATGTCTTGTACTTTAATATATTGCAGGATAAGTAAAGTGAAAAAATATATTGGTGCTGAGTGACTACGTTGGGAAATATATAATTAACAGCTGTATGTATCCAATGACTTACTATTGTAGTTTGCATGACACTATTCGTAAAATATTAGTAAATAGTTTCATAACCACTGAAGTTTGATACACGTTTTAATTCTTTAAAATGAAAATTATATAATTAATCATTTTTTACCAAGGGAAGGGCATGTATAACTATTACTTAAAACTGATATCTAAATTGTTCCTTGTATATAATTTCCATTACATTTTGTTGTTGATTTTCTTCATCCCCTACAAATGTTTTTGGCCAGCCAAAATAGTTAAATTTCTCTTATAAAAATTAATATATTGTTAATTTTTTTTCGGTGTGCAAATCAAATCAAAAACTACTTTTTGGGATGCTACTACATACTGCACTTTTATTTGTTTACACTTATGTAGTTTGTTGTTATTAGAAGTGCTTGTAGATCTAACTATCACAAATTAATGTAATTAGTTAACTAACACATTTTAAATAATATTTTAGCAAAATAACGATTTGGAAAACGTTTAAAGTAATAATAATTAATTAATGTTTTACCTGTATTAGTTTCTTTAAAATTTGGTTTATTTTCAGGGTTTAGAATTTGAGTACGAGAATACACAATTGTATTTGACATTTAAAAACAGTGAAATAAGAGACAGTCTTTACAACTGTTTGTTAAATCAGACTAAATTGAATATGGAAAAATGTGATAGGTGTATTATGACATTAAAATGGCAAAACGGAGCTATATCCAACTTTGAGTACTTACTGTACCTAAACAGGTAATACAGTTAAACTTTTGAATGATTTTATATTCTTAGTAATATACTACTGTTCTATTTGTGTTGTAGTTTGGCCGATAGAACATTCAATGATCTCACACAATATCCAGTGTTTCCATGGGTAGTAGCAGATTATTTATCACCCACCTTAGACTTAAATAATTCAAAAACGTTCCGTGATCTTACTAAGCCAATTGGTGCATTAAATCCAGAACGCTTATTAAAACTAAAGGTTCTGTTTTGTGTTATTTTACTTAATTGTATTGAGTAATGCTTATTATGATTCATTTTTTTTTTTTTTTTTTACAGGAGAGATACTATGAAATGAATTCCCCTAAATTCTTGTATGGATCTCATTATTCAACTCCTGGATTTGTTTTATTTTATCTGGTACGAAAGTATCCTCAGTATATGCTTTGTTTACAAAATGGCAGATTCGATCATCCAGATCGGATGTTTAACAGGTATGAGCGATATTTAAACTTTTCACTATATATTAATATTTAAGTACAATTTTAGTAAATTAAGATTTTTAAACGTGCGATAAAATTTTTCTTCTTAATAAAACATTTTTATCCTTTTTGGTCTCATGCAATGATATTTTTTTCGTCTAGATCAACAACAACATTTTACTACTAGATCAATTTCTTAATGTATACAGTATACAATCAATAAATCAAATATAATATGTTGTACACGTACACCACTATATCAGTCAGGCTAAAAAATTATAAACTTCAACCCATTTAAAATTGAGAAAAACCATCTAAAAATGTACGTAATATTTTTAAAGAAATGGTAATCCTAAAACTTACTTCTATTTTAATATTATCTCATATTTACAATTTTCCTCTTCTTCTTTTTTTTTTTTTTGGCTAACCATACACCTTCCACCTCCCACAGTAGCTGTCTACGTCGGAAAACGTCTATAAATCCCTCTTCCCTAATCTTTCTAACTTGTTTTACTATTTAAATTTTTTCCTTTTTTTCAACATCTAACCATTCCAATCTGTTGTCTCTCTCATTATTCATGCTTTTGGTGTAATCCTCAAATTTCCTATTTCCATATTCTCTCTAAATTATTCGCTCTACACATCTTCCATTTTTCTTTCATGTCTCTTATTCAGTGACCAACACTTCCATACATCATTGCAATTCATACAACTGTTTTATACAAATTTACTTTTTACTCTAAATAGTGCTTTTCTATTAAATAGCCTCTTTTTTTAACTTATCCTCCTAATGTACATTTTTCTACTTGCCACTTTTTTTTTTTTAAATTCCATAATTTCCATACACAGCTGATCCAAAATATCCAAATAGGTACTTATATTTTTTTCTACTTTATTTAACACTGACCCTCTAAACATAACCACTTCTATCTGGGCAACCTGTATAGTAAAATTATTTTTTAACATAAGTAAAATAGCATACATCAAATTTAGTTGATATCATAAGTTATTAAGAAAAAACTTGTTTTTACTTTGGTATATTTTATAGTATTTCAGATGCATGGCGAAATGTGCAAAACAACATGTCAGATTTCAAAGAATTAGTTCCTGAATTTTATGATGTTAGCCAAAATGGAGATTTTTTAATTAATAAGTATGGTATTGATTTTGGGTATCGACATGATGGTCGAAAGGTTGGTGATGTTGAATTACCAAAATGGGCTGCTAGTAAGTGTGAAAATTTGTTTTGTTTCATAATTATCATTTTTTTTTTTTTATGTGTTCTTACATCTGTTTAAATTTAGGTCCATCTGATTTTATATCGAAATTGCGTCAAGCATTAGAATGTGATTACGTGTCTAATAATTTACATCATTGGATTGATCTAATTTTTGGATACAAGCAAAATGGCGCTGAAGCTATAAAATCTAATAATGGTAAGATTTATAATTAAACTAAAATTATTTAACTGAAATTAAAAAAAATTTAATATATGTAAAAATGTTCTATGTTAAGTGTTTTACTACTTATGCTACGAGGGAGCAGTTGATTTAAATAACGTTCGAGACTGGTACCAAAGACATGCTTTAGAAGTACAAATAATGGAATTTGGGCAGATACCAAAACAAATTTTTGAAAAACCACATCCACCCAAAACATGTTCACTCAGTAGAGATTTTGGACAGCTAGGTAAAAATAAATGTATTTATTACTAGAACCTGGATGTTCATGTTTATTTTGAACAAATATGTATACCGTTACTTGTAGATTATAATTGAGGTATTCTCTGGGCAAAGAGCCTATTTGTAAAATGATGGTTAAGAAAAAGCCAAATAAAAGTTTTCAATAAATTTTTTGAAAATAATTTTGTCTTTAACAAATGTATTAAAAAGTTCATTCGTGGATTTATAATATGATATATGGGTTTTTTAAAATGAGGACTTCATGTGCTTTTTTTTTCTATAAAACAAGAAGTTTTCCTAACAAAACAAAACACATTTTTAAATTAACAAAAATGTATATAAAAATACATAAACAAGATAAGCTTAGCAATCGCTGGGTCTGGAGAACATCTCATATTTAAACAAAAATATATTTTTCCAACTAACTCGAATTACTGTTATAGCTCATATCGATAGACTTATGCCATATTACAATGTTCACTAAATTTTTAAAGTACTAGTTATATTATATTTAGACAAAACATTTTAACGCTAGGTTTTTAAGCTGCTTTATCAAAATTTCAATGAATAAAAAAAACATGTACACATGTTATTTAGTAAAGTTTATGTTTTCTTTTGCTAAACTTCGGCAGAAAGAAATCATAAAGAAATGGAATTCTGCTAAAACCACATCTGGAATTAAGCAGCAATAAACGCAGCTAAACTAGAGTTAACCAATGTGTCACATCATAACCCTATATTGTATATTGTTAAATTGTCATATTTTTAAAATATGCAGTAAATATCTTGAAAAATATACAAATAATTGAAGAAAACAAAAATCAAAATTCTGAATTTTAGTTATTTATTAAAACCTTACAAACTAACATCCAGGCTTTATTGATTACATAATTATTGTTTACCAATATATTATAAGATAGTATAAAGACTTTTAACAAATGATTTTATATTTCATATTTTGTTTTAGGTCTGTCGTCGAAATTAGACCAATATTGGAATTGGAATAATATCAACTTAACAAAATGGTTTACAACTACAGCACATAAAGATATTGCTAGTAGTGTGAAATTTTGTAACGATTCACATACAGTTTGGTCAGTAGGACACGATGCAATGCTGAAAGTTCACTGTTTATCTACTAAAAAGCAAATTCGTAATGTCACCATTCAACGATTTCCAGTTAAATTTAATGACATCGTTTTACCATCAAAACATCCCTCTACAGCTTTAATTGCCACAATGCATGGGTCTTTGTAAGTACAGTATTTACTGACAACTTAAGCTATCGTCATTGATAAGAAATACGTAAAATAATGAATTATTATATTTTTATTTCAGAATTGTTTACGACATTGATTGTTGTCGCGTAACTGATGATTTTAGAGCACATGAAGATTCTATAACTTGTTTAGCCTTGGCGAACAATGGTTATTTAATTACTGGTTCTACTGATTGCTCTGTGCGTATCTGGGAAACTCCACTAGCTCCATGGACACGTCTTGAACTAATTGAGTCATTAAAAGCTGAATTAGAACATGAAAATAAAGTTTCTTGTGTGGCTATTTCTAAGTAAGCCAATTGAAATAAATTATGGTACATGTTTCCTTTTTTAAAATTATGTACCTTCGTTTGTAATTTCCTGTAAAATGGATTTTATTTTAAAATATACTTACGTAATTTAGTTTTTATGTACAAAAATTAAACATCATTTACAAAAAAATGTATAATTCTTTATGACAGTTTGTTTAACTAATATGCAAGCGCTATACAGGCTAATATTCATCTGTGCTGTGTTCGCTCTCTCTGCAAATCCTCAGACATTGTCATTTAATTTTTCACTCTATACATCACATAAAACAAATAAAATTATTAAGTTATGTTTGGAAAATAATTGTTTATAATTTTATTTTTAGGAATGACAAACTTTTAGCTACTGGTACTAGTAATGGTGAGATTTTTCTCTGGTCTTTTTCAGACTTTTCATTTATACAGCAGTTACCAGGTAAACTTTTTAATATATCTTGACATAACATTAAATGTTTAACTACTTTTGTTTGTTTATTGAAGGACATTTAAATTGTGTGAATAATTTGTGCTTTAGTCCCGATCATTCAAAGTTAATATCATGTTCAGATGATTGTAGTTTTAAAGTATTTGATTCTATGAGCGGATTAGAAGTCTATACCAATACACTTCAATGGCCGTTAAAGTAAAGTATACAATAAACAAATTATTTTTATGTCAGTAGCAATTTAGTAATTACTGGACATTTTTAATTAAATGTCATATTTGTATGTATATATATATACATGTGAAGGGCACAGGGGAAAAAACGGTAATAGTCACATTATGAAATTTTTTTTTTTCAATTTATGCCATTAATTGTTTTTGTTTATGTCAATAAATTGTTTAAAAAAATACATTTATTATTAGAGTAGTATTTAATGTGATTCTTTTTGTTCCTATGTATGAGGGAGAGGAATTCACGAACTTTGTTTTTGCTATACTCTAAAATGTTCATAATGTGACTACTACCGTTTTTCCCATGTGCCCATCATGTTTATGTGCCACTCCATTCCTATGAACACTTATTTATATGTTTTTTAAATTTGTATTTCTGATTTATTACACACCCCCCCCCCCCCACCAATTCCAAATAACCAGAGCTTTTGTGTGGTAGGAGTCGACAACGGCTGTTACACAACGACATAAGAGTTAAACCCAATACCACTTGTACCAAAATCAACTCCTTATATATAAATGTTTGATTATTGATAGTACAATATCTACACACTTAGTATACAATGTTTTTAAGAAAAAATATTTTGTTATGTTATCTAGAAAAAATTTAATTCTTAATAATAAAAGTTAAATAAAATAATTTGTACGCAAAACATAAACATTTAGTAAATATATTTTTTTAAATTTTAGATGTCTTACGTGGGATGGTTATCATGTGTATATCGGTGATCAAAATGGCACTTTGTACTTCTGGGATTTAGAAAAGTTCCTGCTTGTTAAAGAAATACATGCTCACGATGGTAAATAGTTTAAAAATAGTAATTGAAAATTATTAATGTTTTTAGTTTTACTGATGTAGTTCAATACTATATTTTTAATTTGTGTTTATTAGTTACATCTGTGTTAGTCAGTAGTCATTAAGTAATATCATGAGTATATATTTTACTCAATGGTATTATTATTTCAGTTTTTTTTTTTTTTTTTTTAGGAGCTCTTCTAGCCATAGACGTGTTTAATGATGGTAGAATAATAGCTACGGCAGGTCATGACCATTTTATTCACTTATGGAAATTAGTATAATTATTGTGATATTTTATAAAATCTATTTTTACTTACCAAAACTTGTTCACTATTATTTTATAAAAACTGAATTTAAAAAAAAAGTTATATCTTTGTTAAATGTGTTACTATATCTAATACATTTTGTATTTTTATGTTTTATATATATATAAACGTGTACATTTTTTTAAGATAGATCAACATAATAAATAGGTATCATCACAACTTTTCTTTGGGTTTCAACTTTTGCACCATGTATACAATTTGAAGCAAACCGCAGGTGATAGGGTATGGAAAAAAGTATGCTTATCTCAAAGCTGTTGAGAACAGTCATCATATTTTTGTCCTACGTATAAATGTATACGTAATGCAATTTATGGATTTTAAAAATTAAGAGATACATGATATTATATAACTAGGAGAAATATTTGTTTTCGCATAAAACCTAAAACACATAAATCTATATATTTTTGAATTCAGAAACAATAATTATATAATAATAGTCGATAAATGTATAGAACACTAATGAAAAAAAGTTTAGCGATAGAGATTTCTTCTTAAGTGGCATAATGAAAAAAAACTTGCATTATTGTATACATAATATAATTATAGTAAAGCTATATTCAATATCATACTATAATTCCAGACATTTTTAAGAATGGTTTGTTCTTAGTGCATTATTCAATATTAAATTGACCGGAATGACGTAATATTCAAAAGGCTTAGCCCTCCAAAAATATTCTAAGGTGGTAGATATACCGTAGCCGACATCCTTATAATGTAGTAATATAATTTAGTTGCTGTCCAAAACCAAATTTTTTAGGTGCATACATAGGTCAATAGGTATATAACAATACAATAATGAGTAGATATATACGACGTACATACGATTTAGATCATTAGTTCCTCGTTTGGTATATTTTCATACCATTAAATCACAATAATATTATACTTATTTTCATTTTTAAAAAGCAATTTTTATAATTAAAAATTGTATTTTTTAATTGGGTACTTATTTAATTTGTACACATATACTAGGCATTCTAAACTTAATTTCGTAATTATTCTTATTCTGTTAAACATTATAACATAATTATAATACGATTTTTTCATGGGTGATATTTTTAGCCACGAAAGAGTGGCGTAAGGCGTTGTAAAAGTGTTGTTTCGAGGAGCAAATTATCCAAGTGTCAAATAGGAGGGTGCCGTTTCTATAGCAACTCGTATGACGCATGCGCTCTAAAAAGTCCAATAACGGTTTACGGTGGTATCGATTTTCTTTTTACAGACTCGATGACGTCATAATCCCAGGGTTGGGAGCCAGCAGTTGCCAGTGGTACAATTTTTGAAATTAGAGACACAATAGAACATTTAAAATGGCGCCCTGGTGTAATAATACTAATTGTAGATCTATGTTCCCGTTCCTGCTTTTGTATTTCGCTTGCATCAAAATATGTCAATTGTGTTTTAGAATTAAAAATGATTTTTATCATAGTAAGCGTACGGCGTACCTGTAACATGTTAGCACATACCTACTATAATTATCATACATAATTTGTGTAGGAAAATTATAAGCATGTCACTGTGTGTGCCTAAATTATTATTTGATAAGAATTCTGCATGTTCTATAGATTATTAATTATTTAGCCTGACGGCTGGCCTGTATGTTTTTAGTAAAAAAAGCCAAACAACCGAGTTTGATCGCATTACATTTGTACTACGTTGACTGGCTTCAGAGCTTTCTAGCAGTTACTTTTGAAGCAATTTAATTTCTGGAACATATCATTTCTGCGCATCATTAATCACATTATTAATAAATGTGTGCAATTTATTAATATTATAGCTAGTCCATGTACCTATACGCCTTAATCTATTTAATCGTATAGAAATTTTTATTTATTACTAAATTACAACAGTCAACGACTATATAAAAAAACACCTAAATACACCTAACATTTAAACAGACTATTCGCATAACATAACGTAGAGTTTTAAAAAAAAAAAAAACAAAAGCTGCGCCGCCTGCAATAAATAATTAACCTGATGAAAAAACATAAAATATTATTAATTTAACCATCAGTTATTAATATCTTATTTATTTTTAAACATTGCGATCAATTATCAAGAATAAAATTAGTATATTTAGCATTTAATATAGGTACTTATCTATTCTAAAAACCGACTTCAGTTAGGTTGCTGCAAAAATATTAAGGGGACCCCCCCCCCCCACAAACATTCAAAGGTTTATTTAGTAGTTTAAACTATATCTATTTTGGTTAGATATTTTGTTTAGAGTTTTTTCAATTTTGTTCATTATATTTAAATGTAGTTTAAAACATAGTGGTACTATTCCAAAAAAAACTTAAAAAACGCTAATTATTTTTAAACAACCATAACTCAAGATAGGTATAAACACTTGGAAGAAAATACTAGCTATTTAGGTTTTCTAGTCCAAGTAGTTCTACTTTAGCTCCATTGCGAGGTTCGCAATAAAATTCTACATTAACCTATACATCGAACTATGAGCTTTCCACAGTTTCAGCAACTCCTAAGATTTAAGTCAAGTTCATGGTGCGCCTTATTAGTCACTATATTGACTAATTCACTAATGTATTGTGTACCCAATACCATACAAAATAACGCGTAAAACCAAAAATTAAAGTCTGTGTTTTCTAAAACATGTAACAACAACCCGCAGTTGTGTTATAATATAGTCTATACAATCATTTTATACCTACCCAGTACCCATTACGTAATAATATAATTCATTTCAACAATAACTTTCAAGTAAAATTATGTTTTATCTCGTTGCAGTAACAACTAATTACATGTATATGCCCCCCCCCCTTTGATCATGATCAAATAACCCAATCCAACTATTACAGTAAGTCCTCTTCAAAAATCATAGATTAAAAATAATACATATTTAAAAGAAATATAAATATTAACAATGAAAACTATAGATCGCGCTATTGCCTGATAATTATTGAGCAGCTACAATTTATATTATGTGCCCTGATACTATGTTATCATGATATTTGAGACCACTGTAAATTATAAGTACCTCTTTTTCGCGATTGCCCGACACGTTATCACAATCTCTATCAGATGAGAGTCGCTTTCAACTGCAGAGTAGTTTTGACTTCGGAGTTCGGCTGTAGTCTGTGCTGATGGTAACCAACTGTCTTGGAGACTATAGCGTTCTATTATGGAGCTATTGGCTTTCTACTAAAACAACGGTAATAATAGTAATTATTATATCTGCCTTCGTTTCCGAATGTATTGGATGGCGACGGATTTCAGGTAAATACTCAAATATTGATTTTATTTTTTTAAATTAATGTGCTCGGAATAATAAGTTTCAGTTTTGTTGAATAATTTACAAAGTTTAATCCGCAACCGCCCAATTCTGAAGAAATTCGTTTTGTCCCCATTCGATCAAGCTGTATCAAACTGCATTCTATACTGTTCAGTACAGATTAATTATAATACAATATCCGCTTGTACAAATGAAAAAACTGAATTACCCGGGTGACATTTCACTTTGAGGAAAAAACCTCAAAGTACAAAAAAGTACATGAGCATCAACGTTTTTTGTCGCTAAAACTTCAAAACTATCATTGTCGTTAATTTTCTCTTTTTTCACATTTCGTAGTCTAGTACATTAGTACCACATATTAAAATGGTATGTGTTTGTTGTGCACCTGAATTACGTATTTTATATCTAAAAGTACACAATCAACAAATTATTTGACTTGAATTTCCCTACAGATACTTTAATTTTTTGCATTAGTCAAACAATGCAGCAACTGATGCATCTTTTCATTAGTTAAATGTAATGTGGATAAGGTCAACACTAGGGAGCCCTGCAACAAGCTGTCATATTATTTGTAATTTCACTACATTATATGGCACTTTAATTGGATGTGCACATGAAAACATTGATTATATACAACAATTTAACGTTAATCACGAATAATTTATCATTTTTGGATTCGGTTGCTACAGTTTAATATTATTTGAAATGATTTAGGTTAGTTGTTCAGTTGTGATGTACAGTTAGCAGTTATATTAAAATTAGTTAGCAAAATAAGTGTTTACAACAAAAATTCTATTCGCTGTTTATGTAATAATTTTTTATACTCGAACATAGACATTTTTTTAGCCTGATAATGTATTAATTCATTAAAAACAAATCAAATATAAAATATATTTATCATAATATATTTAATATATTTATAATATATTGTAATTTAAAGATGATGCCTAACATTTTTTATGTAAAAATTGAGTAACACAAATATATGTTAGTTTTTTTGTGAAAAAAATGTATTATTTCATGATATAGTATATACACAGTAATTTGGTACTTGTATCATGAAATCCCGTCAATATTTAAATTCATATAAGTTAATATTATATTTATATATGGGTCATGGTCTGTAATGATAATCTAATAAATTTACATTTTAACACAGTGTAAATCTGACAGTACATCTAAATACATCCTATATAATCGGCATATTATATATTATATTTATAGGTTATCGTTAATATCTCAGAATTTTAAGACACAATAGAAAATACAAAACTTTTGATTTCAGCTATTTAAAGTCCTGAAGAAAATATACTAATAATCATAGATTAATTTTTGTATGTAGGTATGCACTTAGAATTTCCAAAAGTCAAATTTAGTACTAATGTAATAAGTATATTGTTTCGAGTTTTAGCACTATTACATTTGTAGTATAGACTATAGTTAAAACTATGTATAGATAATGAATTCCGACAGCAGTTTAAATAGTTTATAATTACCTGCCGCCAAAGTTGTCATTTTTGAAAAACAAAATTTGAATTACCGTATAGTAAAATCTGAAGTTGCCAATTTCTCTGAGGCATGATTTTTTTTAGCATAAAAACACACACAGACAGTCAAGTTTTATATATAAGGGTACAAACAAACGTTTGGAGCGACCCCCGAAGATTTTTTTGAAAACTACACTGCGTGTCAGTTACGATGAAAAGAATGTTCTCTACATTTTTTGGATTATTTTTGCAATAGTCGTAAAAATATTTTCTTCTTGACACTTATTTTTTATCATTTTATTATAGTATCTTAGGTGATTAAAAAATACTATCAAAAACCAGTGTCTTATGTAAAATAATCTCAGCTCTCTGAAAAAAATATTGAATTATTATTTCGAGTAACCGAGATTCATTATACATTTTTTCAGAAAACTGAGATAACTCTACATAATGTTTGTAAATTTAAAATGGGGTTATCCATAAAAACACGCATAATTATTACAACTATTTTGATTAGTGTGGTATTTTATTTCTGTTATTTCGACTTTTCTATAACATTTTACCTCTTTTTTTTTTTGTGTGTCTTTTTAAGCATTTTTATAGCGAACCCAATTTGAATGTGTAATTGAAATTTACACATTTTGTGTAAAATTTCCTCAGCCTTCTGGAAAAAATATTAAAAAAACTCTAAAATTTTGGGCAACACAAAAAAAAACAGCTTATTAATTTTAATGACGTTCTGTTAGACGAAAAAATAAATCAATATTTTCTTCAGAAAGCAGATTATTTTACATAAGATGCTGATTTGTAATCTTTTGATTTTTTTGATGGCCGAAGATACTATATAAAAATGATAAAAAAAAAGTGTCAGGAAAAAGACACTAAAAATACTTTTTTTGAACATGGTCAATACAATTGAAAAAAATTGAGAACATTCTTTTCATTGTGAAAGACATGCAGAGTTTAAAAAAATATCCGAGTGAGGTCCAAACGTTTGTTCATTTGACGTTTTAACCCATGTATGGTTGTACCCTGTATGGTTTTGATGTTTAATCACAACTGATGAGTGATAGCCAAAATAGTAATAGCCGATAGAGATGGACTACCAAATGGTCCAGACAGATCCCTAGTCTAGTTTGAATACATAAGCCCTGGCTATCTGAACATGCCAAAAATCTATACAGACACACGGCTCGAAGCAGTAAATTTTAATGCTTGATATTGAAAAAAAAAACATTTCTTACTTTATTTGAAGAGCGATTCAAGAGAATGTGATATTCTTCGAAAGGTTATTCTCTTTCATTTTGATAATAGGATTTTTTTATTCTTAAATCTATCATGCCCCCCAAGTAGAACGCATTCTGAGTAGTCATTACTCATTATTTAATGAACATTGGCGGTATAACATCTTTATTAACACACACATATATGTATATAATATATTTATATAGATATAAATAAAAAAAAATATTTAATACACAGTGTGTCATTTATTTTTGACATTTTCTTTGCTGTTAACTTAAGATGTGAGACAAAATTTTAAAAATCATAAGTCTTAAAAAACCTATTTAAACACCTCACATTTTTTTGTATTAATTACCAAAAGATAATTAATACAACTAATAATTAAATATCTTAATTAATTAGTTTCATATTGAAACTAATTTGTGATCGTAAATGTAGTAAAATTGTCTTCTTCCAACTTTTTTTTAAATACATTTCATATTAATTATATAGTTTTAGAAATTATTGAACCAGCAATTAAGTATATTGATAATAATTCAATTTGTTATTTTGTTACTTTTAGAATGATTTATCCTTGAATGAATATGGATGAGTCCTACTTAGAAAATATAAATTTAATCAGCACGTCAAGTAGCCGCACAACTAAACAACTAGAAAAGTTGACAAATTCTCTAAATTTATCTACTACTGTCGATATAGCTTCAATAAGTCAAAATGATTTAAGTTTTATAGATAATAACAAAACCTGTCTACCGAATAAAAAACAAAGGCTAAAAGCATATCTCACCAAAACTACAAACGCAATTAAGTATAAAGCAACATCATCTGATTTGCATGATTTGTCAACAAATCGTGCAGATAATTTAGTATCTGAAACGCAAAACTACAACAAACCAGTAAAAGTAAAGTCTCGATGGACTCACACTAGTCAAATGGAAATTACAGACGACCAAGATATAACTGTTCCTCCTCTGTCCGAGAATAGTCCACAAGAAAAAATTGTCGATAGCTCTGTTGGAACTAAAAATGTAGCGTGTAATAATTCAGTCGTTACATCAATGATTGTTAGTTCAGTTAAAGCTAGAACTTCAAGAAAATCTACTTTTCGAAAATACATAGAAATCCAAGAGTACGGATGTAGTAAGAATAAAAAAAAACATTGTACCAAACGTATTGAAGTAAAAAAAAAAAAAGGACGTCCTACAAAAAGTGTTTTTAACAACAATGGAACTCCAAGCGTTTCCAGTAATGAAAATTCAATTGATTCGCCCGATTCGTTAATTAATTCTCAACCCGATGTAGTAAATGACGTATTAAATAGTACAAAAAAACGTCGTGGTAGGTCAAAAAAAAGAAACGAAACTGTGTCGGATATAATTGATGAAACGGCTAATATTTTGTCGGGTACAAATGTTGGAAAAGAGAGACGGAAAAAAGGTACCAGTAACCGTAGAACAAAAAATGCTTTTAATATTTCCAAAGAAACGTTAGAAAATAATGAAATAATTTCAAATGCTTTTGAAATGGGTAATTTACAAGTCAATAGTGCTAGTTACGATTCATCAAGTGTCGAGTCGTTTAAAACTGAAACTGAAAAAGATAGCGAAAAAGATGTAATGATGTTCAGCGAATCAATAAATTGTAACGATAATGTAGTAAAAGACATTACTGCAGTAGACTGTAATGAACCAACGTTCTTGCATGTAAATGAGAAGACAATTGATAAAATAATGTCATCTTTGGAAGGACTTGTAGTCAATTCTAGTGAACTAGTGTCTGAAGACGACTATGAAGGTGGTACAGAAATAGGTTATACCACTGAACCTTGTGTTGGAAACAAGCAAACAGAATTTGATGAACTTAAACAAATTAATTGGAATAATTCACCGAGTATAATAAGATCAAAGAGTGATGACGACCTATCATCATTCCCATCTCGACGACAGTCTCTTTGTGAGAATTTTAAGTTTTCTAGTTGTTCAAATTTAAACGATAAAGATTTCAAAATAAACAAGTCATGGAAAAGCCTTTCGTACTTAGAAGGCGGACCCAATCATGTGGAAAAATGTGAACGCATCGACCTAGATAAAAAGTTCAGAACAGAATTGAAGCGCAGTAGAAGTTTTCCAAATTGCATGTTATTAGATACGGTTATTTGGAGATATCTAGTCTATCAACAAACGTATAACGATTTTGATCAAAAATATGATTTACTAACAGACACTGAAGTGGAATTAATAAATGAACTTCCCTTTGACGGATTTGACAGAGAAATTCGCTCAAAAAGTGTGCCTATAGGGCAAAATGAAAACCACATGGAACGAGAAAACATTGTCTATCGAAGTTCAGATAATTTGAATTCTTTATCCTACCTTGGAAATCACGCTGCAACCTTGTCGTTCGAGTCGAGTACCGATATGAATGCATCGAAAATTGTTAAAAGCGATTTAGTCGAATGTGGTGGAAAAATAAGAAGATCCAAACGTTTAACTACTAAAATCAAACGTGTAGATATCATAGACGATGAAGAGCTGGAGCATGACGATTTCAAGGTTAACTATTTATTACTGGCAAAGAAAATATGGCAAGCAAATGAAAACCAGTTGGCTGAAGCAAGAAAAACTGACCCAGAGCTAGAAAAGAAGTTGAAAACATTAAATTTCAAATTAGTTCCCAATAACCTGTACAAACCTGAGAGGTGAGTGCTATCAATTGTTTCATACAAAATTCTATTTACGTCAAATAACAGATAAAACAAATGTTTTAGAAACAAAATGAGTGAATATACGGCTGCTGAAGCTCAAGACCTACGCAAACTAAAGCCCAAGTAAAATAATTAAGAAAAAAAAAATTAATGTTTTTCCAAAAAAATAATATCTTAATAAAAATAATATTTTAGGGCTACTAACGTCGATCCAAATGTGTTGTGTGAATGCACTTATACCAAAGAAGACTGGTTAAAAGGTAGACCTGGTTGTGGTGAAGGTTGTTTGAATCGTCTTTTAAACATTGAATGGTAAGTAAAATAAATATGTCCATTTAATATTATACAGTATAATCCTCCTGATTATCCTCACCAATGTGATAGTATAATTCATTATGCTAAAGTATTTATCTTCAAGGGCTGACTGGAAATGAGAATGTCCAAAAACGTTTACTGTTTTGATTTTACCATTAATTATTTACTTGTATATTGATCAAATGCAAATTGCTCTTTTTTCTTTTTACAATACGTATTTTAAATATATTGATATAAAAGTGTAATTATGTTTGTACGTAATGATTTACGTAGTTAAATGGTCCGCTAAAACACTTCAAAATTAGTGTCAGCAGTTTAAGCGATGATGACCCAACTGCAATCATTAATTTGTTTAATAGCCCAGTAATCCAGCTCTTTTTTTCCACCATTCCTGCTTCTACGTTTCCGGCAAGGTCCTAATCTTACTTGTGTCTGATTATTATTGAGATAGAACTCTATACTATTGCATAATAAATATATATATATATAGATACATGTTAAATAATATATTTCAGTGGATCTGGCTGCCCTTTGAAATCCTTTTGTACAAATAAACAATTTCAAAACAAACAATTTAAACACACTCAACTTGTCAAGACTCAAAATAAAGGCTATGGCGTTTGTGCTTTTGAAGATATTCCTAAGTGAGTGAAAATACATTTTCGTAAAGTAAACTAATATATTTACTAAGTAATTAAAAAAAAAACATTTAGATTGTTATTGTGTATACAAGTTTTATCAATTATAACTAATATATCTTTACTTATAATTGATAAAACTTGTATTTTGATGAAAATCTAAATTTGTTTTATTTGGTTAGCAATTAATTGTTAATCATTTGTGTATAAAAGTGTTTGATAAACTATCGTGTTAGCTATATCATTTAAAAGTCAATGTATTTAAATATTCCGATGTTTACTCATTATACTGTGTAAGTGATTCGATGGGGGGACAGAATGGCCGAGTAGATTAAGGCGGTAATGTCAACGTGCATTGTCGCTGGTTCAACTCTGTCCACGGGCAGTCCTTCTCACTGAGCGGGACAAGCTGTCTAGGAGAAAAGACTGCCATACCCCTCATCTAAGCATGGCAGAAATGCCGTGAGTTCCACCAGGCGACCAGACTAGGCCCGAACGAGGCCTACTCCCGGTCACTTATGCTAGAATAGACTAAATGTGAATCAACATTGTATTTTGTTTTTTTTCCAATATTATTACAATATAAATTGTCAATATCACTTAGGGGTTCGATTGTTGATGAATACGTTGGTGAAGTCATAGACCAACATGAAATGATAAGAAGAATGAAGTTGAATGTTTATAAAAATAATAATTATATGGTGCAGTTGAAACACGACGAAGTCATCGATGCAACACGAAAAGGAAACATTACTAGATTTATTAACCATAGTTGTGAACCTAACTGCATAGCAGAAAAAGTATGTGAAGGTGTTTGAAAAAAAAAAAAAGAAGATTTTATATATTTTAATTATATTTTGACAGTGGCATGTTTTGGGCGAATCTCGTATGGGTTTTTTTAGTTCTAAAGACATAAAGAAAGGAGAAGAAATCACTTTTGATTACAGTTTTCAAATATTTGGGTAATTTTTTTTCTTTATTTGATTATTTCCGTTCATTATGATGAGAAAAATCACCGGATAAATGTGTATGAATCTTCTAGGGATGCTGCTCAACAAAAATGTTACTGTGGGACACCGAAATGTCGAGGATTTATAAGTAAAAAGTCCAGAACAAGTGAGCAAAGTAGTTCTGAGGAAAGCGACGATGATGACGACGATGAAGTGGTAACAACTAAACCAGAAGAATGTGTTGAAAAGAAAAAGAAACTCGAATTGAAGAGAATCACCATAAAAGACAAGAAACGTTTACGAGATGTAAATGATGATAATGTTAATAGAGTATTTTTTTATTTATACTAATATGTTTTTTATTTGTCTTGTTCAGCTCGATAAGCAACTGATGGACATAAGCAATCTAAAGAACAAAAGTCGTACCGATTTAGAAAAAGCGACATTAAATTTAAACAAATTAATGGTTCATATCACGGATTCAATGAGCCGATCTCATATTCTAAAGTTTATTCGAGAACATGACTTGAATTGCAAGAGGTTTTTCATGAACTTCAATGGATTGAACATAATACATAGCTGGATGACATCAAATAACGATGAAAGTCTCAAGTTGGAGGTAATCGGTTAATTAATTTTGAATTGTCAATGTTCAAATGTTCAAATGGTATTTAATCATTTTCTAGATCATTGAAACTCTCTCGGAACTTCCCATATCAAACAGAAATACCATTAAAAAATCAAAGGTGCTAGATACTGTTGCAGAGTGGGCTAAAATACCGGTTCATATTAAGAATTCAATTGAAAAGTAATGAAAGTATTATATTTAGTTTAACGAGTTATATTTTACACTTTATTTTAAAAGTAAACTAGAAAGTACATGGATTCATATGTTACAGCTTACAATGTTGTCGATATTATAATTTCTCACTACTACTAGTGAGGAATTATAATGTCTACTACTACTACTACTACTACTACTACTACTACTACTAGTGAACTGATGTCTTTATAAAATCCTAATCTTGTAGAAATCCTGTAATCCTATAATCTTGTAACAAATAAAATATTTGTATATCCTTTGTTGGTACAAAACAATCTTTGAATTTTCCAATATTAATTTTCCATATTTTTATATTCTTATAGTTTGGTTTACCCCGTTGAAAAAAGTATAGAACATGGACAAGAAGTTGATAAATTATTACCCAACGAAGAAAACATTTCACCGTTAATGTTGGCGGCTAGAGTTTTATGGAAAAGATGGATTATCTTGAAAATGGTGTTTAAAATACCAAAAATTGATCGTCCGAAAGAAGGTAATAAATATATTTTTTTTTATGGCCAATACACGACCTAGGTGAAACTTTATAAATATTATGAATTTTTTAGTTATTGCCAAAGCTGTTCACAGTAAACCTGCAGTTACAGTACAGATAAAACCGTAAGAGTTTTTTTTTTTTTTTTAAACTGTATGAATTAACAACATTTTTAGACAATAAATGAAAATGTTTATGTATTCTCGTAGACAAATTAACCAGTACCATTTTGGAAAACCGTTAACTACGAGACCAAATCCGATTTTAAACAATGAAAAACGCCAAAACAAGTTCACCAGTCTTAGGTAAGCAATGATTTAAATATTGCCTCACACACAATTTTTTGAAAAGAAAAAAAAATGCAGTTCCATACATCTTAATTGAGTTGAAAATTGTTGAATCAATTATAATGAACGTTTGATTACAAATTAGCACGTGTAACACGCAATATTTTCATTTAGTAATAATTATTGACATTTACCAATTGTGATGATTTTAGAAGTATGGAAAGTATTGGAAAAGAAGATAACAAACATTATGCGAGTTCTATGGAAAAGTTTAGTAAAATGATAACATACCAAAAACAGCAGGATAATTGTGATAAGTAAGGAATAAGGTTGATTTTTTAATGTTTGTAATACTTATGTTTTTACATGTACAGGAGTAATACCCTACTGGAATGGAAGAAGAAGCATCGAGAATATGTAGCGCAAAAAGCCGATAAAAGATCTACTACTAGCGCAGAAGAATCAAAGCATTTAGTTCGAAATTCAAAGCGTAGATCACTATCTACATTCATCAATTCTCAGCAAGATATTCCTACTATAGGAAGTGACGTTACTGTTGGCACAATGAATTGGAACGACATAGCTAAAAGTAATTAATTTGCTATTAATTTTATTTGTGTAATATTTTCTTTTAATACCAACAGATAGAACAATGTTGTTGAATAACTTTAGTAAAAACAATAATGTAGTATCAATATGGTTTCAGTGTTTATACGATAAAACCTTGTTGATAGAGGGAGAGGGAGTTATTTAGATTGATTAATATTGAAAATAAATTAGTAATGAATCGAATGCATAGTAATATGTATAATAAAAAAATAATTACAATGTAAAATAATTGATTTTTAAAATTGTGTGTTATTCACCACCATAGGTCGCGCCAATTGATCGTTTATTGTTATTTATAAACCATTATTTTAGTAGCTAAATGTGGTGAGGTAGTTGTATATTATATATGTAATTGTGTTTTTTTTTTGTTTCAGTTACTCCAGCAGATTACCAATTAAATTGTGATCAGTCGATAAAAACCGCCGCTTTAGCTGTAAAACCAAAGAAATCTAAAAATGTCAAGTATTTTCCCATTGAAGAAATTGTAACAAAAAAACCAGCATGGAGTATACCACCTCCGACTATTAATGAACTTCTACACGAGCCTGTCTTGAAAACTGTATTGAATATAGCTCCACCACATATGCCTGAAATTCACCAGCCGTCGGATACGGATATCATCGAACACAATGAAGACGTACAGCTAAATTTATCCATATCACCTATTCATGTAATGAATCCAGAAAATATTCTTTACGATGCTCAACATCCTAGTATTACGGAACAAACGGAATTTTTGCAACAAAAAACTGAGGAAAACAATAAACAAGTTGCTTTGGTTACCAAATCAGAAAAATTAAATACTACCATGTTGCTTCCTTCGGCGTACGATATATTATTGAAACAAGCTGACCAAAATTTAACACGTCTTTTCGACAACGGTCTCCATTTAGTTTTCAAATCTTCAGCGATAAATTACATCGGTAGATTACCCATTCAAATATCTCCTTCATCTTCTTTTCAAATAACAGTTCCGGATAATAATAGCCTGGCCAATTTGTTGAAGCGTTTGAAAGTTGGAAGTAATTTCTACACTGCGCAACCGTCTAATGTTGTGAAAATAAAAAAACTAAAGTGTACGTCAAAGGCTTTACCCAGGAAAAGTAAAAACGTATTTAGAATTAAAGAGAAAAAGACTGACTTACTACTAGACAATGGTGATACTGGAAAAATCAATGATCCTGTTTTCTTAAACAATCGACAACTTGTTGCTACGCCGCAGTGTTCTAATGTGAAAAAAATGTACAATAAACAAACTGTTCAGTTGAAAAATAGCAATAAGTTTGCGTGTAAAATTTTAAATGGTCTCCTAAAAAAATCCAACACATCTCCTAGTCGGTTTATAACCAATACCAATAGAGATATGCATGTGTACTCGCACGACGTGGCGAAGGAAGTCGATTTGTATCATAAATTAGTTCCGACAGTAAAAAATACGCTATGTGCCAATTTGAAGAAAAAAGACGAACCAAACAAACCTGCTGTGAGTGTGTTCAAACGAAACGTTTGTATGAAGTTTCAAAAGTCGGCAGTGACATTTAACAATGCGAATAATCTGCCAGTACTTAAAATAAATGAAAAATCTGGCCTGTCGATCAACAACGTTGGAAACAATTACAACGCTTTAAAAAGAAAAATTAACTGTAAACCTCTGCTACTGGGTGAAAACAAAAAGAGATTAATGGAACAGGTAGCACTCAATAATAATACAAGTATACCGAACGCCGCCGTTAACTGTGATGATAATACTATGTTTAAGAAACCAATGTTACCCGCGTCGCTCGAGAAAACAAAGAGATACGTCGCCGCTCATACAGTGAACATTGTGGATAATCAAGTACCGTGTTCGTCGAAACAAACGGGACCGTCTGGTATTTCGATGTCGAACACAACAGACCACCTCACAAGACAAAAACCTCTAATGAAATGCTTGCCATTTCCAAAGGTGGACACTATCGCTGCTATTGCCGAGAAAGAAAGGAACGCTAGAAACTTGGCTACTTCGTTGAGTTTAGGTTATTTTCCGGATTCGGCGGCAGAAACCCAATCCAGTCGGGAGTTGATCGATCCTATTGTGAACAATTACAAATCTAGTTTAATAGCGCAGAATTGTAAAGGTCGTCTAATTGCCAACGATCCCATTGTAAGAGATTATCTGAATCGTGCTCGGCAAGATTCGTTGAAAAACGCACGCAAATGCAAACTTCCCGAAAGTATGATGTCACTGCCAGTCGAAGTACTCAACCTCATACCGGACAGTCTGAAAGAAATGAAATATGTTATTGATTTCTACCACTCTATGGCTACGGTTATAGTCAAAGTTTTAGATTCATATGTGAAGAAATCTTGCAAGCAAGGTAGAATAAAAAATGACGACGATTTTAAATATTTGGCTAAAAAGGTAATGAAAAATGTACAAGTAGTTAAAAAATAAAAAAACATTTTAACCTAGTAATCGGGTAAATATTTTTTGTACATCAAAATTCTTTGTTATTCATAGCTCAACGCGAACATTTTGTTCAAAGAACTCCAAGCCAGAAGGGTAGAAGACTTGAAGATAAGCGAAGGTGTAAAAAACAAAGTCGAACAATATATTAAGAAATACATGTTGAAGTTTGGAAAAGTTTACAAAAGAAAGACGTCCTCTGGTAAGGTTGTGTAAAATGTGTGATGTGTTTTATATTGTCGTTTACTTGATGTATTTCAAGTTTACTCTAGACCTTTTTTCCACCTGGCCATTATCAGTGATGATCTTTTATAATGCTTATTTTTGATAAAGTTTAGAATATTTTTTTATTTTATCAAAATCGAACAACTTGGCATTCTGTATGTGTGTGTGTGTGTGTGAATGTTTGAGCAATTCCTGCGGCCTTCGATAGCCAATTTGCGGATATTAATTTTTTCTTAAAAAAATTGTTGGCCAATGTTTGTTTGGTTGTGTCTAGACGAACTGATTAAAAAATTTGGTGGTTAACCATTGATTATCATAGTTCATCATTACCAAATCGTTGGCAGCTTTTTATTTCAATTTGTTATACTAATGAACAATTTGTTTTTCAGATTTTCGTCCCTCACAACCATAATTTATAAGATACGATAAACCATCAACATAGCAGTATTTTTGGAAACTAAATTTTTTTTTATATATATATATATACAGTAAACAGTGTGTAACATATATATTTATATATATTTCAAATTTATTTATTTTAAGGATAAAGTACTTAATGAATAATTGACCAGAATAATGTAAATTAGTCGTGAACTGAAAATAATAAGACAATATTTCTATAGAGCGAGATCAAATGATTATTTATAATTTAATTGTTAATAGGTGTATTATTTTCCAAAGACATTTTTAAGGTATATATATATATATATATATATATATTATCTAAAAAACCTACCATTTATAAACAAATTATATTTAAAAAATAGTTAAGAAAATGTTATATAACTTTTAATTTGTGAATTGTGCACTGCCAATAATAAATCAAGCAAAAAAAAAAAAACTGTTGACTAATGGTATAATAAACTACTCGTTAATTAACTAATTAAAAATATGTAAATATTTTATACATACATCACCTAAATTCTATGAGAATTAAAATTTAGGTGTTAGCAATATTTTGATTTCGTTCAAGTATTATTTAAACATTAGAAAATTAATGTTGTTAATGTTGTCTTGTAATTTTTTTTTTAATTTTTATTTCACTTTTAAGTTTCTATAAAAAAAATAATTAATTGTGGGTAAATAACCCGCTGATCTCTAAATAATAATAATAATAATAATGTTTTTTATGTAAATGAAATATTAACAGTACATTATTTTTATGTATGTACATTTTTTTAACGTACATTTTAAAAATATTGTAGGATTTATATGACCTGAACAGCTCAATGTTAAAATAATTCGTTTGTTTTATTTTTATCAATATCGTGTTCTTTATTGTATATTGTGATTACAAATCAATTTTGCTACTTTTCCTCTTACACTGCACATTTTATTTTTAAATTTTTTTTTTATTTATGTTAATTTATTTTATTTGTAATTAAAAAAATGTATTTATTTTAATTTTACTCAAGTCATGTGTTTGCTGATTTTTTTTTTTTTTTACAACAAGGTGTCAACTTAGCTAATCTTTTAACACTTGTATTGAATATTGACTGTAGCAAAAATATTTTGTTTTGTTTTACAAAAGTGGAGTTATCTATAATTATGTAGTATATTATTATACTGTTATAGTACTTAAATTGTTTTAAATAATTTTTTTGTTTTTAATAGTCACATGCAAAATAGTTATAGTTGAAATTACTATTCACTGTATATTTTGTATTTTTTCAATTATCTTTGGTGTATGTATTAACTTAAAACAATTGATATGATTAGTAAAATGTTTTTTCTGTAAGTTTTCTTTACCTGGCATTTTGTATAATTTTTTTTATTATTTATGTAAGACATACGGCTTTATAAATTATGTTTGAAGTTGAATTTTCATGTTTTTTAATAATATAGACGATAACCCTTTCACCGCTACATACATATAATTTGCGTGCAAGCAAATCGTTACCGGCTTCTGGCTACAGAAGTCACTACATTACAGTCCTTTTGTCTAGAAAACAAAATATGTGGTCTTTCATCTGACAATAGTGGTTTCTGTTGTACTTTTTGTGGTAATGAAACACAATTTAAATTGTTATTATTTACCATAATCGCGGTACTGCATAATGTTCTGCTATCATCAAAGAACATTATTGTTATTAATTTCAAATGAACAACAATAAGGTTTTTATTTTTAATTGACGCATAGACTGCAGACCCACGAAACGGACTTGCAGTTATGTTTGGGCAACGCCGGTACAGCTCTTAAAACCCTACAGAGCATATCATAATACCTGTAAAAAGTCTATGGATATTTTTTAATTAGAATTTTTTTTTTTTTAATATCTAAAACAAAAACGACAACACTTTATTATTTTTTTTTTTTTAAAACACTTTATTTTTTAAAAATTTCTTTACACTAGTAAAATAAATACATTTTTATACGTTAAAATTATTTAAATTCTATTTTTTTTTCGGGATCATTTTTTAAAAACAAAGGAAGATAACTTTGAAACTCCTTTTGGTTTCTTCGACTTCAAAATCGAGTCATCACAACTAACGACATCGTTTACATCAGATTTTCTTTTTTTGTTATTAAGAGACACGGATTCATCCTTCTACAGAACAATACACAATGTAGTTGACAATATAGTTTAATTGGCAATACTAAAGTGCAAACAACATATTATTTTGTCTTACCTGATCTAGAGGCGAGAGAGTAGCATCCGATATATTAGCTTGGTCAAAAGATTTTTTTTGGAATGGGTTTATAGCACGATCTATGTCATAAGATTCATTTAATAATTGTTTATCTTGTTTCTTTTTAATCGTTTCAAGTATGCTCGATGACTCTGTAAAATATTAATTTAGTATTACTCGATAAACACTGACAAATGTACACCACAATGCAAATTTTCTGTTTAACTTTATTCGTCAAACAAATATTTATAACAACAAAATAAACAGTTATAACAAATATAATATACTTATAACCAACTTACCAACACTGTTGTGAGTGTTGTTGCAGGAATTATATTTTTCAGAAAACATGTCTTGGGATTGTTGAGAAGCGTAGCCCGTATTTGAGCTAAAAATGATTAGAACACGACAATTTTTTAAATAGACAATGAAAATACGTTAATTACAATGATTTACTTTGAAGTTGATGCCGTGTCATACGACTTGAACTGTCTAGAATGGATTGGTTGAGGAGATTCGCAATCTCTGCTGGAATAATTTTCTATTACTTCTGTTATTTTTTCAGCTAAACTACTATTGCCCACACGCATAGCATATTTTAAAGCCAAATTCAACGACTGTTCGGATCTAATAAGTTTGCAAAGATCCAGTGCTCTCATATTATGACCACTCTTGCACGCTAACTAAATGCCAGAGAAAAAAAATGACCTAAAGTTTTTGTTCAAACAACAGCTATTGATTAACGAATACTAACTGCAAAAAGCTTTAAGAACATCGTCATTAGCTCTTTACAATATTGCTGTCCATCGCCCTCGGGTAGTATTTCCAAAGCTATACTGGATCTCCAGAATTTTTCTTCGAGTTCACCTTTTTCTTGATTAATGTCGCATAATGGAATCTAATGAGATTCAATTCAAATGGTCAACATCGTTTAATATACAAAAGATATTTGTAAACAGTTACTGTTAAAATTTAATGAAAACACTGTTAGGTGGTTTCGATAAAATGCCACATACCTGCCACGGTATTTCATTTAAAAACGGGTGAGGTGTAGTCGAAGGATAATACGACCCTTTGCAAAGAATACAACGTACATCCTGGCGAGCTTCGTTGACGCCAATTACAAAATAATGATTTGTAGAATCTTTCCACTAGACAGAATAATTAATACACATAATATAATATACGAGTACACAAATACTCGCGTTAAATATTTAACGCGATTAATTTAACAACATGGCAATACAACCAAAGCGAACACAATATGCAAGCAATTACCGCATCGTCGACATAACATAACGGAGTCCAATAAGTTTTGAGCAAAATTTGCAATGTACCAATAGAATCCAAAACGCACAAGGAACCATAGTCTGAAAATCCAATCCATCTCAGTGTAGTTTTTGGTGTCAGCGGAACATAGCCCGAATAAACTTCTTCAACTCGATCATCAATTTTGAACACACAGTATCTTAGATTTTGTTCATCCGGAATAGCTAAAAAAAAAAAAAAAAAGATAATAAAAACATTAATCACATCAAGCTAGAATCAAGCATAATATGTTGATTTGGTAAAGTTTAGCAAAAATTTGTACGTGATCCACAGTGATGTACTGCGACTAGGCGATTCTCAGATCCGCTGATGGCAACTATAGGACCCGGTACGGATAGAATTTCTCTTTGACCGCCGGCCAAAGTAAATAATCTCAAATAGTGAAGTGACGTTGCAACGGCTACCCAGTTTGAAGTGATTGCAAGGCCAACGATATCTTCGTTTACAGGTAAATCTATAGTCCACTCGCGGTTTCCATCCCATGAATTCAACAAGACACATACAACTTTACTGTTAATCACCAAATGGAATTTATTGTTATTACATAGTTATGCCATAATGTTATATACAAAATTAGAATTTTTTTTTTTTTTATATAATTTTAGGTTTTTTTATTTTTAAAAAATTAAACACAAATAAAATGTCCTGGTAAAATATTGATATAATGGTGATATTTTGCATATTTTGAGAGTAGAAAGTTGTAAATGAAATTATAAATTTTTTCCCTTCAGATTTGGAAAAAAAAAAATGTTCCATTACAAAAAAAAAAAAAAATAGAAATAAATCTCCCATTCAAATTCCTGTTATTAGACCAAAAATTTGATTTGAGTATCTGATTTTATGATGAAAATTTCAGATTTAACATTTAATCAATGTTTATCACCAAGTAACAACAGTCGTACCCCTTGGTGACCTCTAGACTAAGGATTTAGGTGAAAACATTAATTTGAATCAAATAATAACATAAACCACAGTATAATTAAATTTCGGTGTAAAGAACCTCTTGTCGACTAACAACAAAGTCGCAAACATCTGTGCAATATCTTAAGTTACAATATCTTAGCTGCAAACATGTATCCCACGGGGTCTCAAATAAGATTTAGTAAATGGCACCGACTCCATTTTGTGGAAAATAGCGACAATTTTTCCGCATCACAAATAAAGTTTGATTTTGATTTGCAATTGGAATGTACAAGGTGGTGCTGACACTGAACATTTAATTATTTATAATTGATTTAATTAAAAACATACTAAATTTAATAATAATAATGATAACGTCACGTTGCAAATATACCTGGGCACATCGTCTTGTATTTCACAACCCAAAACCAATGCTTCTCGGCACAACGCAGCTATGGTATGACCGAGCACGTTTTTTATACGAAAAGCATGATGAATTGTATTATCGTGGAAATCCACATCGATCACGTTTTCTTCTTCAGTATTGGTTTGACGAGCATAGCCTACATCGTTGAAAATCTAAAATAAATATTTCGACGAAAAGTCGCATTAACAACACATTTGAGGTGTACGCGCGCGCAATTCCATTTCATATTATTCCAAATGCACAAACCATAAATCTTCTTTGCAAATGCACAGGTGTAGAACAAGGTTGAAACGCGTTCTGTAGATTAACAGTGGGCAATATTGACGTTTTCGGAATGTATTTCGATGATGACAAATTACTGTTGTCGTCATCGTCTTCTGCATGAAAGCCATTTTGAGTTCCAAAACCCGATTCGTTTTTTATTTTCTCCAGAGAAATAACGTTATCGCCAGACTCTTCATCGTCGCCTAATAGTAAATCGGATCCAAAAACATCGTCACCGTCGGCCTGAAATTTAGCAATATGCAATTATGGTTATTATAACAAATAATAGTTTCAGTTTAAAAAACAGTTTAATCGTTATTTAATCATAATACAAACAATACCAATATAGCATCAGTGTTTTCGTCGAAAATCTCATCGTCTGAACACGCATTTTCAATTAACCCTAGTTGACCGTGATCATCGCAGTATGCTAAAGTGTTGTCGCCAACTCGAGGACACCAAACTAGGCTTCTAATGCAATGACGCTCTTTGCATTTGGCGTGTAACACGACTACTTTTGACCCTACATTCCATGCTACCACATATCCTTCATTTGTGCCGGCAGCTAAATACCTACCACACTTTGACCAGCTGATAACGGTGATTTCCTGACGAGGCATAAAAAAATAAAATAATTTTAATTTTACGTCAATGACCCAACCGACATAATAAATAATAAGTTTATTATAAATTATAACGAACAATACAATTTATATGCATCGACTGACACTAATATTTATAATTAAAGAATGCGTAATATTATATAAATATCAATTAAAATTGAGTTAATCGATTGTGTTTTAATTACTTGATCGGACAAACGATAATCGTGAACTGTAAACAGCTCTCTCCATACATCCCTTTGGAAAAATTTGACTTCTTTTCCAAAGGGTATCGCCAATAAATTACCATCTTTGGGTTCCCATAGTGGTGTACATTTGACTTTTGAATGTTGAAATGCATTACTCGAAGCGATTACGTTGGCCCATTCGTGTACGACATTTGTATTTTGCATATTCCATATTTTCACAGATCCGTCACAGCTCGACGATACCTGAGAATAACAATTATTACATTGATTTATCAATAAATTTACAAAATAGGTGAAAGTAAAATTTACACAACATAGGTGTACATGAATAGAACCATAAATTTTTAAATATATACCAAAAATTCACATAACGGATCTATTTTTACTGACAAAATTGGACTTTTGTGACCGCTGAAATTCAACACTTTCTTACTGTCTTTGTTTATTACTTGAATGATGGAATCGCTGAAAGCAAAAAAAAAAAAATGCATACATCATAGATATTATGTGTTATATTTATTTATATAATATTCGTAACATAGTGTAGTATTGTGTACCATCCACCGGCAGCTACGAGTTGACCGTCTTTGGACGAATCCAAACAGCACACGGGAGCAGTAAATCGCGTTAACGTATCAATCAATTCGGCTCCAGGAAACGTATGCACTTCTAGAGTATGATGGTCGTCGCCAACATAGAGTACATCACCCTTTAAGCATTATTTACGAAAAGCATATTGAAATTCGATCATGTTACTACTACTACTACTGCTGTTGCTGCGTGAAATTAATAATAATAATGTCGATGGTACTATACTTTTTGATGGACAGCATATGCTTGACTACCAACACATTTCTCAATAGGATCACTATCTTCGATACCGTTCCATATTCTTAAATCTCCATCTTGACCACAGGTTATTAGATACCTATTAATTACAAGAATATATTAAAAAAAACTGTTTTTCACTTACAATTATACTTGAAAAAATATGTTTACTTCTTAAGCAATATACTGATTTGAGAATACCAATTTTTCAAATTTATTTATTAACCGACAGTAAGAGTCAAACAATTTTACCCCTTCCCAATAAACAAACGAGATGACTCTTTTTATAAATAAAATTACCTAATAATAAATGGGATTGTGTGCAATAGAGTGATTTTAACCAAAACTACTTTATCAATAAATACATATATATATATATTAGTATTATATGGTTTTTAAACAAATTTAATAGAAATATATTATAAATCATTAATAGGAACTTTTTTTCCTTTTTAACCATCATTTGACACTTTTCAAAAGTAAACGATCCGTCTATAGGCAAAGAACGTATTTATAACAAAAAATGTCAACAAAATTGTGACCTATTACGTTTTGTAAGTATACGATTCAATTCTGGTTTATGTTTGTAAGACAAAACAAAACACACTAACCTCGGGTCTCTTTGATGTTGTTTTATTTCCATTTTTATTGTGCATAGAAAAGATAAAAATAAATGGTTGATATTATAATAGTAATTTTTGGTATATCATTTTTAGTGAATAAAATAATATACATTTGTTTACACCCGTTTTAATTTAGATAGATTTCATAGACACTTTAAATATTTTAACAATCAACCTTGGTTTTTTTTTTCTATAGTTTTTATTTCACTTATTGTAATGAAATATTGTTTGTTCACATAATTGCAACTTACTTTCCATCCTCTGAGTAACAAACGTCAGTATGTCCTTCGACGTGTGCGTATCGAGGAAAATTGAGTTCTCTAGTTTCTGCCATAGTTTTGGCAAAGCTACGGTACGATTACGGGTTTACACGGGCGTTAGTTAAATTTCAAAACAATATTATAATATTCACATCGTTACATCGTCGGCAACCAACACGTAACGTACTTTACACGATTGTTTTTGGCTATGGTTTACACGAAACGCGAAAACCCATTTGTCAGAATTTACGTATTGTCAAACGTTATCAGTTTTATCGAGTTTTGGAGGGAAAACGGCGAATGCCTCTATAAACACTGATAACAAAATAGTCAAAGAGATTCTAAAATACGTTGATGTAATAATCACACAGTCCACGGAATCTATAAATTATTAAATTTAGTGTAATTTAATTTAAATAAAATATTAAATTATTTATTTAATTCTAATTAATCCTAATTGTAAATATGTAACAAATCTATTATTAATTAATTAAAATTTGACGTTGGCGATTTTTTCAAAAGCTCATATAACTACTCAAAGTTTCAAGTTTGCATATTAAAAATCTCCCATTGAGTCTGAAATTTAATTTTCTATGGAGGTACTTTTATGCTCCAAAAGCTTTATACCCCTCGTTTTCTAGCTTCAAACGCGGGGTGACCACTTGCTGAGTAAAATAGAAACTATTCATTTGTCGTACATAACGAAAAATCAATCAATATATTTTATAGTCGGTATTAGTAATATTATTAATTAAAGTATTGCTTAACGCGCTATATATATTATAGTACCATTTAAAGTAAATACTTTTTTTATTCATTTGGAAAAATATAATTATTTTCAATATAATACCATACATATTCTATACTTTTTTTTTTATTTATTAAAAATACAAAATGTTGGTTGTACATATACGACGTAATGTTGATATTTATAGTCAATACGCAGGCAAGCAATTAGCAAAATAACAAGTAGGCACGCGAATGGTGTAAATTTGATTCGTTGGCCACAATAGTAGTTTACTAGGTACTGTTTTTTCACCATGTCGCGTAGCATTTTTCAACGTTTCAATGTACCTACCAAAGTGGTATTATTGAAATAGCGTTGGCGTTTAATAGCCGATATGGTGCGTTTTAGCAACAAACGAGTAAATAAATCCAATGTTCACACATACATATTGATGAACATCTGTGGCTGAGTCATAGCCTACGTATATAGTAAATACATAGGTTGCAATAACACAATATCGTACTGAAAACATAACTTTTTATAAATTATATGAACGGCGATAGATTACTATGCTACGCGTAGTGTAAAGAATAATAACTAAAACACCATACCTCCATGCCGGAGCCTGTATAGTATTGAGGTCGGAGGCACCAAATTTTTATAAAATTTGTTCAAATGCCATTTGTATGAAAAAAAAAAAAAAAAAAAAAAGACTTTAGGCTAATAGGCCTTAATTACAGTAGTAATAGCTACTACTTTAAGGGGTTATCGTTGAAGAAATAAAAACATAATTTTCAAATTTTTAATTTGGTTATTATTTCATATGACAAGACAACAGCAAAATAATGAGACGAAAATGACAACGGTTTATACCTTTTATGGATTTTCTTATTACTCTAACATATTATAAATATATATATATATATATATATTATTATGTTAACTTTAATACCTTATATAATAATACCACAGATTAGATAAAACAGGTTTAATCCGTATGTTAAAACATTAACAACAACAACAACAACATAATGTTATTAAAAATACAAATAATGGCACGCTATTTTATGGAACCATTAAATAGACTGCTGCAATTCAAAACACAACACAACTTAGTAGTATACATAACGCAATTTTTAGTTAACAATTAGGAATTTTAAAGATCATAATAGGTTTCTTAATTTGTAATAAAATCAAGACTTTCGCACATTTACTCTGTAACGGGGTCATAGATGTTGGTCAGTTGATTAATGATCGTGTACAACGGTTTGAAAAAAGTATCTTTTGAATATAGTTTTTTATAGAAAATGTACAGTTTATTCAATGAAGCGGAAAATTCCTTGTTTCCTTGTAATTCTAGTTTGCACGATTTTTCCATTGCCAGCAAAGACTTTCCGGCAGCTTCGACAAACTCATGGCTCTCTTCGGTATCGGGATCATCGGACGTCTGAATGAATACATTACCCAAAGTTTGACACCTAAATTGCAAAAAAAAAAATATATATATATATATATCTTGTAAATACACAAACACATTATATATACATATGAACATGTATTATAATATATATTGTCATGTTCAATACAACTAAACGTTTTCCATACCATTTATTACTAACGAGTTTGGCTTTTAAATCTAAATGTTTATATTGCCGAACCCTTTCTTTGGCCAATGAACTCAACTTCTCGTTGGTTTCTTCCTGTAAGGTCAACTCGGCATCTTCTCGTTCGATAACTAGGTCTTCCAAAAGTCGCACTACTTTTAACTTTACGAAAAAAAAAAAAAAAATGTATTACTATTCAGTCTCAAAAGAAAATGTTTTTTTTTTATTATACTCTTATTACTCATACCCTAAGCTTCATATTGTTTTGTGTATTAGTCCTTTGGAAAAGCGACATGAGCATCGGTAAACCTTTACTTTTTATGAACTCTTCTTGAGCTAAAGGAAAACGCCTAATAATGTTCGATAACGCGTACAAACAATTTGCTCGAACCTGCAAATACACACGACCACGAATAAATGTTATTGAATACAAATTGATATGGCTTTATTAACTGTTATTTTTTGGCTAATTATTTTAATTATTATCATTGCGGGACAAAATATACAGACACATGCAACAATGGTGAAAAAAGTAAAAATGTATATCTTCCGTGACCAGTCTCAACCGCAGTTAAGTTGAGAAACAATTTTTTTTAAATGTCACAAATTTATTTATCAAAAACAACCAATCACGCCATCACTCGAATACATCCCTCGTGTGGCGACATTTATACCAATTAAAAAAAAAAACATATGCCACATGTGGAAAATTTAGGGTTCCACCATCCGATTTGGTCTAGAGCTCGGGCAACGGTTAAAAACGATAATACAAGGCCGCATTATGCGCTTAACCCATTAAAGGAATTTAGAAAACAAAAAAAAAATTTTAAACTAACAAAATAATAAAAATAATAAGAATCAATCACGTTTAATTGGAAAAAACAAAAATCATACTGTAGGGACGGGTTCCTTTGGTTGCGTTTATATGACCAGCCCGGACGTGGTAGGTCAGTCTGGCCAGACTTAACAAGTTTTCTCTACAGTTACGAAAAAATACAATTTTCCTATGCAACATTGAGAGCGGTAAAAATACAAACACACGTTTGATGGTGTAACTTTTAAACGAGCGATCACTCAAAGGATAACAAAAAGAACATGTCATAATCAAAAAATTGTTGAGTGTTTGGTGAAAAATTATAATCTTCATTGAGTAAACTATTTTTAAAACGTAACCATTATTGTGTCAAACTACCTAAGTATATACATTTGTATTATTTCTGTTATACATACCAAAAACTCATTGTCGTCTTCGATGTGTTTTAATAAAATAGGTATTGCTTGAGCTTCTAATGCTGCGATTTGAACTTTTGGATTATTTGAAGCTGCAGAACCCAGAAGTTGAGCACCGTGCGCTTTTAAACTGTTTGCACTACTATTGATGCAAGGCAGAATAATGGTTTTTAGTCTAAAAATAAAAATAAAAAATGAGAGCTATATATTTTATTAGACATGGTAGAAATGTATGTACGTATATACTAAATACATATATATATACATATACATGTTTATACAATGTAAAATTTGGCCCAATTACCCGTTTTCTTTAATAAAAACTTCGGCCGTGTCGACTTGATGAACAAGATACTCCAGATCGGTTAAAATATTTACAAGTTGATTTTCATTAGTGTTGAAAGTTTCCATGTGTTCTTTGAACTTCATGGACAGTCCATTCATTATCTCCATATCAGTTTTTACGGTCAAATTTATATCTTTGAGGTCTTTTTTAATTTCATCGTAAGATCTAAATCTGCTCGAAGCCTTCGGAACACCTGTTGTGGCTTTCTGTGAACAGAGGGTGGTTTTTTTTTTTTTTTAAACATTCCCAAACGAGTAGTAATCAAATAATAATAATAATATATAGGATATAGTAACTGTTACTTCAGTTTCATTTTGTGCTACTATGGCCAAGTTGTTTGCACTCGTCGACTGATCGTTTTTATTGTCGTCAATAAGTTTAGCTTGCTTTTCGCCAGTCTCGAGATTCAGTTTCACGTGTAATCCTGCGGGAATAGCTTGATCTACGAGCGAGCAAAAAAAAAAAACACTATAATATATTTTAAATAATTAAATAGATTAATATTATTAAATATTAACACTATTTAATAGAAAAACAATTTTTTTTCAATGGTAATTCCATTACCTTTTTCAATGGTTTGCCATTCGTGAGTCGGCACAAACTCTTTTGTCTTGTTCACCATAGGTTTGTACGTTGTCTGTTCATCGTCCGCAGGTCGTTCTCGAACCAAGTCCTGAAATTTATAAACATCCCGGGTCCACCTGGGATGTAGCGAATCCAAATACAAAAAAATACCTAAAGAGCCAAACACTACTAGCAGTAGCAGGAGCACAAATCTCGACCCGTTCAAATGAAACATAATGTTTGTTTTCTTGCAATGAAATATCGTTGGGAGCAATAATAATATCGTTGTGTAGTACTGTTAGTCACGCGAAAAATATACGACTAATAAACAAAGTAGGTACGAACGAACGCGCGAGTATTGGCAAATTTATATTATTATTGTTGTAGGTATTTACGAAAAATCGCGTATACCGCGGCAGTACACGTTGTCCAATCAGAAATTGAGAACTACAACTGATAACTTCCAACAAACTCTGGATTTGCGATAATAAAATAATAATAACAACAATATGGTAAGGTGCTTGACGGCCGCCGTGGTATGTGTGCCAGTGCCATAGATACTATTAATGGTCTGTCGACCCGCGACACCGCATTAAACGGTCAACAAAAACCAATTTTGTTTTATCACTAGGACGTGGGTTTTATAATTTTTTTTTGTCATGCTTTGAAAACGATCAAGACTATTTGGTCACTTTTTATTCATTCACTTTAAATTTTTTTTTTGGACCGGTGAATATATAGATACCTATGACGTTGAATTTGGGATCCCTCCAAGATTTTCCGGTGGAGACTAGGCTCAAAACATAGAAAAGAGATTAAAATGGCTCAAAATCAAAATGTGCGACGAAAATATTGATAGTACGAGTTTCGGACATACCGTTCCGGTGTTATACACTATATAAGTACCCCATCTTGATGGATCATATTATTTTGTGTAATTCCAGTGAGGTCGCTGTTGGGATAGTGCCGCACTACACGACGCATTTGAATTCCTACTCGAGTAATACATACGTATACGTGCCCAATATACGTATTATACACTATACATGTATAAAAGACAATAGCCGCCGTGACCACACCGGTCACCACCCAACCCTGACCAGGACGCTCCATCAGTCATCTCTATATCGTAGTATGAGCCAATATCACATTGCAAAAATCAAAATTGTTTTATCACAATATTTAAATACGGCATTGTGGTTGAACCTGGTTATTGATAAGAAAAAATATATACTACAGGATGGCTTGGGAACCTATGACTCTGGGAGCTTATGACAGCTTGCCGTTACTGCTGCAGCCGCGGTTAGGTTCCTATCACTGGAAAATATGGGTAACATTTCTTAACCTCAAATAATTCGAGTGAGTAGATTTCAAAAGTAGTCGAAAACTTGTGATTGTGTTCTAAACGTTTTACAAAAATAATTGTTAAAACATTTGAAATTATATTATATTAATTAATTAGTTTTGTTTAATTAAAACGTAAATATTATGGCGTTGCACGTTCCGAAAGCCCCGGGCTTTGCCCAAATGTTAAAAGATGGTGCTATGGTACGTATGGGATGTATGCATCTAATGCCGAATATATTTGCACTTTTCGAGCACGTTTTGTTAATAGTTCCCGAATCTGTTTAGCATCTTTCTGGTCTCGAAGAAGCCGTTTACCGTAATATTGCCGCGTGCAAAGAGTTTGCGGAAACGGTCAAAACGGCATATGGCCCGAACGGCATGAACAAAATTGTCATTAATCACATAGACAAGCTGTTCATTACCAACGATGCCGCGACTATTGTCAAAGAACTGGATGTAAGTAAATTTTATATATTATAATAATTTCGGATTGTAACAACGCAAAGCAATGTATAACCATTGACAGATTGAACATCCAGCTGCCAAAATCATTGTTATGGCTTCCGAGATGCAAGAACAAGAAGTCGGCGACGCCACCAACTTTGTCATCATTCTGGCTGGAGCGCTGCTCGAACAAGCGGAATTGTTACTGAAAATGGTTTGTTTTATCATTTACGTACGGGACACTCGCTAAAAATGTTCATGTTTTAGGGTTTGACACCAGTCGAAGTGTGTGAAGGCTACCAGGTGGCCCTTGACAAAGCCATTGAAATTTTGCCCACGTTGACTTGCCATGAAGTCAAAGACATCAAAAGCAGTTCTGGTGAACAAGCATTAGGACAAGCCATAAAATCGTCGATTATGAGCAAACAATACGGTCAAGAACAATTTATCACGGATCTTGTAATCGAAGCTTGTTGTGAGTATTATAATATATGTTAATGCAATAAATCTTCCTGGTCGGAAACATTTTTTTTTTTTTCTACTTAGATATCAATTTTTGTGCTGATTATAATTTCCCGTATAGTAGTGTATAATAACTACTTATTATTATTCACAATATTGGTTTATAAACTTAAAGAAAAACAATACAAAATTAACAATCATTAACTTTGAGCGAATGTGCAGCTGTTGCAGTGTAATCGCTAGTACTTGCACATAATTTGTGCAAACTAAATTCTTGTAATTATATTTTTTATCTAATTACGAAAGGATTTTGGTAAAAAAAATACCATCAATTACAGAAGGGTTTCCAATAGAAACTTTCTACTATAATAATAGGGTTTCCAATAGAAACTTTCTACTATAATAATAATAATAAGATCCCAATGTATAATTATTAACAAACCACAAAAGTTAATTAAATGTTCTTTACAAGTATATAGGTAGACAATAGTAATATAGTTTATATAACTATAGTGTATATACTAGATTATATATCAGTTTGGCGCCATGGCCAAACAAGGCTATCGCTTGGCTGTTTGTGGTTGAGCTGTTTCCAGCTAGTTGGGCCACTATCGACCAGCACTCTGTGTTCAAAATTGATTTTTCGTTTATAGAATTTTTATTTATTTGATAGGTATATATGAATTATGTTGTAAATAATTTATATATATGTATAACAACATGTATATTCTTTCAGCGTCAATTTTGCCAGAGAAATCAACGTTCAATGTAGACAATGTCAGAGTGTGCAAAATTTTGGTAAAATACATACTATTAACTAGTTATTAAATAAAATATTATTATTAAATAATTATTATAGTAATACATACATTATTAACAGATTGTTATTTATTTCCCCCCCCTCACAATAGGGTTCAAATTTATACAACTCGTCCGTCGTCAACGGTATGGTTTTTAAGCGTACAAATGAAGGAGACATTACCAAACAAACAAATGCTAAAATTGCAGTTTACACGTGTCCTATTGACATAACCACTACAGAAACAAAAGTAATACATATTACTAGTAGAGATATTTTTGTTGAGATTTACATATTATAGATATTATTATTATACGTATTATTATTACTATATACAGGTATAGACATATTATTATGTCTATATTTCAACGACATTGTATACGTTATTATATTATTTTTGTTTGTCGTAATGCGCGCAATATAATTGTAATGATTTTGTTGTTTTAGGGTACCGTCCTGATTAAATCCGCCGAAGAATTGCAAAACTTTAGCCGTGGTGAAGAAATGGTACTCGAAGAACAAATTAAAGCCATAGCTGATGCGGGCGTAACGGTTATCGTTGCGGGCGGCAAATTTGGTGACATGGCGTTACACTACTTGAACAAATACAAGATTATGGGCGTTCGTCTGATGAGCAAATTTGATTTGAGACGGTTATGCAAATCCGTATCGGCCACAGCGCTGCCAAGACTCGTGAGTTTCATACTGTTGTGTACCTACTATCACATTAGTGATGAAACTTTAGCTCGAGTTACAGTAGTGTATAACTCGACTTTGTATTATAGTAAAACAAAACACGCTAGATAACATTTTAACAATTGAAACCCTTTTGTTGAAACTATTGTAAGTAGTATCAACGTGGTAACTGCTTGTAAGTAGTTGTGCAATATATTGTATAGTAGTTACAAAATATGTTGGTTGGTGCGTTTGTATGGTTTCACAAAGGCACTACAATCATCACCCGTTTCTGTTGTGTTTGTAGTCTTCATCATCCTTTTGGAATTTCTGTTCTACATAAATTGCTAATGCTTGCAGCAAGCAGTACATTTTGTGTAGCGTGTACAATATAGTAACATACATTTAATGAAAAAACATTTTTTTTTTTTTTTACATATACTGTATATTTTAGACGCCGCCAAACAAAGAAGAACTCGGTTTTGCCGATTGTGTGTACGTCGATGAACTGGGTGATACGTCATTGGTAGTTTTTCGTTTAGACGGTAAAGATTCTCGAATGTCCACAATTGTCGTACGCGGAGCTACCGACAATTTTATGGATGACATCGAAAGGGCTATCGACGACGGTGTGAACACGTTTAAAGGAGTTTCTAGGGTATGTGCGCGAGATGCGTGATGAAAGATTTCAATTTCGGTCACCGACCAACCACACTTGGGGGTTGTCATCGATTTATCGTGCATCTATTATTGCAGGATGGAAGATTACTACCAGGAGCCGGAGCCACTGAAATGGAACTCTCCTATCAGGTCGGTCAGTTTGCTGACACGTTACCCGGGTTGGAACAGTATGCGGCCAAACGATTTGCAATTGCTCTAGAAGGTTTTGTCAAAATTTTAGCCGACAATACTGGCGTCAAATCCAATGAAACTTTAGCCGACCTGTATTCACAACATAGTAAAGGCAACAAAAATGCAGGTTTCAACATTGAGGTGAATGCGGTATAATATAATTTCAATATAATTATTATTACGTAGATACATTTTGTTAAATTTATGTTTTTAAATGAGACTCGCATGACTTGTGTATTGGAGGATATATTGAATTTTTCTTTTTACAGGCAAAGGGATCGTCTTTGTTGGATGTGGTCGAAGCCGGTATTATTGACTCGTTCCTCGCAAAGTATTGGGGACTAAAGTACGCCACACAAGCGGCTTGTACTATATTGAAAGTCGATCAAATCATTATGGCCAAGCGCGCGGGAGGACCAAAAGCTCCCGGTGGTCGTGCTCCCGACGATGACGATGCATAATCTATTTGTACCTTCTTTTTTTTACTCACTAATTCAAGTTACTAACTTTTTTTTTTTTTTTTTTTATAATAGTATTGATAAATGCATTTGTACTTTAAATATTAAGAATCTATTAAAAAAAAAAAATACATTTCTAATAAACCTATAAAATCGAATTAATTTAATATTAATAATGCGTAAAGTATATTGATTGATTAATTACAAACTATGTATAATATAATATACATATACATTTGATAGATTTTTTAACCGCTTGAAAGGTGGTTCTTTTTATTAGACTAAAAGTTGTAATAAAAAAAAATTCAAGTGAGAACTTCAGTCGGTGAGTTATAGCATTGAGTATAACATATATTGTACAATATGTGTTAATAAAATTGTTTATTTCTAAATTTGACATGGTCAACGATACTGAATCATCGTTGGCAGAGTGTATCGACGCTCTGTACGTTATTCACTGGAATTTTACGAATCTGTTGGCCGTGATGATGGTACAGATACGTTTGGTACATCTGAAAAAGATGCCGTTAAAAAAACGATTTCACAACAATTGGACAATGTACATTAGATTTAGGGAATTTTTTACAATCAAAGGACACCGACGGACGCCTGCTGTATAACGAAAAGTTCAATCCCAGGAAAAGCGATATTTTGTTCGGCAACAAAGCAATAATAATTGCGAAAGACTTACTGGCCGATAAGTCGATCGACTATAATATAAGTGTCGGTGTGGCTATTTTAAACGAATTCTGCCATTGCGACGACGTCAAAGTGGAAAGTACCCGCCGATCCGTTGGTTTGTCAGTGAAAAAAGTACAAAGTATTGCTTTGGAAAACGGACTACACGCGTCGTTCATTAAGAACACGCGGAACGTGGTTAAAATAAGTAATATTACGCCAAGGTTTTTATAAAATACGTTAAAACAATACTTTTGGGAATTGATTTCCAGGTAATTTATTCATCATTGTCTGCAAGACATTTTGTAGCAAAATATTTCCTTTTGGCGAAAATCTATGAAAATTAACGATAATTTATATATTTTTATTTATATATGTATATGTATATATATATATATATATATATATATATATATATATATATATATATATTATTTTTGTTTTATTCTTTAGCCGTACTTATTTTTATACTTGTTTCTTTGCTATCGACACTGGGGTCCACATATTGCATTCAATATACCTATTTTGGTTTTGTGAATGTAATGTTAATATTTATGGAATTTCTTTCGGATCTATATAAGCTACGTCTCGCACAGTTAGACGAAATGTACCTTTAACAAAAAAAAAATGTATACATACATTTTTTATGTGTATGAAAATTAAGATAATTATCACCTACCCAGTAAATACTTATTTGTTATTGGTTTTTTTGAAAATATTTTAATGTTTTGGACAATAAAATTAGTGATAAATTGTATGTCCATCGCGTAATGATGGATGTGTAATAATTTACAATACAATTATGTTAACACCGTATTAAAGAAATAACGAAAAAATATTATTTTATAATCTAATCGATGCGATTTTTATTAAAATGTTTTAAAATTGGTCCATAAACATACACCGTTAATAATTTTGCATGTTTATCCTAATATTATATATTATGATATTCATCGTATATACGTTGGTATTTTTGCGATGCGGTTTTCTGGCTGTTGAATTTTTATCGAGTAGCTTTAATGTCGACCGGAGTTTTGACTCTTGATACCCTAATCAGCTCGCTTGGGTGATAATATGGAGGCAGATGTTAAAACAGAAGTGTCACCACTTTCAATGAAAGCAAAACGAGTGGCGACCATTTTGTAAAAACCTATTAAGTTACTATGTGTTATATCTATACATGACTAAAAATAATAATGTATATAGATGGCAACATGGCAGTCATGGTGTAGCCTTAAGAAGATGGCCGCCGCGTTTTTGTGTGATAAGCATCTTCCCCGTGTTAATTTGTATCGGTGTCCGGGTCCGGTTTTTATTATCTACGGGGTCCGGGATGTAATACCACAGAATAAACATGTTTAATGATTTGGTTAAATTGATAACATACCGGTTTGGCATCAGAGTTCCCGCTTAAAATCGTTTTTCATTCCTATCAAAATTTAGATTTTTGCCATTGTTCATTAATGTATAAATTAAAACCCATTTTACTTTGGTCAACCGTATTGTTCAGTACCTTTTTAATTGCAAACCATTAGCGTTTTATAAGTCTGCAGTATCCACTTTACAGTGTATTTAGTATTTTTATTTTATTTTATTGTGATCAATTGACTGGGGGTAGTCTTCATTACTACAATACTACTACTTTGTATACCGTGAAACATATTTATGGTAAGTAAATAATAATTGTTCAAAATATTATATCGAACGTGTATAATATGTTGTTCAATATAATATGTACAACATGCAACATACCACAGCTGACAAATAGTATGGCACACTTGGAATTACAATTTTTTTCTCATCGTTTTCGTTATTTCTCATCTTATTTTAAATGTTTACGAACGAGTCGGTTTCTTAATTAATATTATGCAGCTCAACATTTATGTTGAATTTCTTATCAAAATATGTGCCAATGTAATCTGATCTGGACGTAGATTTGCGAGTTATGTAAACATTAAATCACCATATAGCTATAATATAATTTTGGCTAAATATTATTATATTATATTCTCTGATTAAAATTTCTTCCGTTTCAGGTTCAACATGCCTACGTCTGTAGATTTTAACGGCATTGTTGTCGAAGAAAAACTAACCGCCCCTTTGAGTTTTCCATTTCCATTTGAACCGTATCAAATTCAACATGATTTCATGACCAATCTTTATACAGCGATTGAAAATAAGAAGCTGGGAATTTTCGAAAGTCCCACCGGTACCGTAAGTAAAATTCATGTTTAAATGTAATTTTTAATCATAATAATTTTCGGACTAAACGGATTGACGATGAAGGACAGACAAACATACAAACATTAATTTTTATATATATATATATATATATATAATTTGTTTTCAGGGTAAAACATTGAGTATTATATGTGGTGCAGTGCGGTGGCTGTACGACAACGAAGAAAGAGAATTGAGGCAGCTGAAAATGACATTGGATTCACTGGCGGTGAAAAACGGAAGCAAAAACGCTGGCGATAAGGACGATGATGATGACGACGACGACGACGATTGGATAACCGGTCAAGCTAGGTTGGTGAAGAAACAACAACAAGTGTACGAAATCAGTACAATGCTCAAAGCGTTAGAAGAATTTAATTATAACATTGAGCAAATTAAAGTGGTAAACATTTGACGTTGTTGTTGTAAAATTAAGTCAGTTTAGTTGTTTAGTGTCAGTTAGATATTGTTATTGTTAAAAATCATCCATTATCTCCTCCGTGTTGAAACTTTCATGAATTGGACGGGATCAGGCGTACGAGTATCAGATTTATCCATGTCGCTGGCAGAGTCGAAACGTCGGCTTGAAACCAGTGACATGGAAAAATCTGAAACTCATCCGCACAATCCACATTAGGTCCATCTCGTCTAGACAATATTGTATCTATTTGATTATAAATTATTACATTTCATTATACCGTGTAAGATATCTTGATTATTTTGTCTAGATATCTTGATGTTAATTAATTTTATCTCCGTCTAACGCTCTGCTGAACTGTAATAATTTGATTTTTATATATTTTACACAGGAACAGCGACAAAAGAAAGACAAGTCCAGACTTCTGGCACACAGAAGCATTTTAAATCAAAAAAATGGTATCGAAATTGAAAACGAAGAAAACGGTAAATTCGTGTTGGACGAAGAATCAGAATTTTTACTCGAAGAATACGATCAGTGTACTTCCAAGGACAGTGTTGACGAAACGACAGATGAAAAAGTCGAGTATGAAGGAGTCAAGGTATTGTCGAGGAGAATGATTACTTACTTACAAAAAAATATATATATTTATATCGACAATTGTATGGATGTAATGGCAAAAAATGAATAAAAATTTACACAGGACAGTTTTTTGCTCGGAAATCTTATAAAATACTTTAGAGGACGTTGTAATATTTCCTATTGCATTTATTTCTAGGAGTATTGCTTTATTTTTGTTTTAGATGTTTTCTTTTTTATTTGCTAAATGAAGGGTAGATACATAATCTTTTCTTGTTGTTATGAACGACTTTACCCTGAAAATTTACAAAATTTCTAAAATTTTTCTTGTGTATATTTGTTTTTTGTTATATTCTTGTAATATTTATATAACCACCCCCCCCCCCTCCCCATCACAAACATATTATTATTGATAGTACCTGTATGTGTTGTAATATATAATTGTTTTTTTTTTTTTATTCTCTTACAGATTTATTTTTGTAGTCGAACTCATTCACAATTGACACAGTTTGTGGCCGAAATGAAAAAAAGCCCGTATTCGGCTACACGTATTGTGTCGTTGGCGTCGCGCCAAAACTATTGTATAAACAAAACCGTTAAGAACCTGAAAAATATAACACTAATGAATGAAAGGTATGTATTTTTATTTATTTTATATATTTATGTATAAAAATATATATATTATATAAATTATATAATTAAGAGTATTTATATAATTAAAAAAAAATTATATTATAAATCGCTTTTCAAGATATTAATCACAGTCCGGTTACAGTAGATAACTGCACGTTTTTTTTTTTTTTTTTTAAAAGTCGTGTACCCACAAATTATTGTGTGACTTTTAGATATCATAATAATTGTTCTGTTTCAAAAAAAACAGATGCTTGGAAATGGGCAAGTCAAAACCGAGTCAGAAGTCGACCAAAGTGTCGACGAACGGTGAGGTGTTGAAAAAGAAAAAATCCGAGCCTGTTTGCAAGTGTCCATACAACGACAAAGAAAAAATAAAATATTTGGCCGAAGAAGTGACCGTAGATGCCCGGGACGTGGAGGAGCTGGTGAAAAGAGGAGAAGAATTGCAAACGTGCCCATACTATGCGAGTAGGGAATCGGTTAAATTTTCGCAGGTAAAATTTAACTGCCGCCGGCGTGTATGCCGTTTTTGATCGATACGCATTATAACCACTGGCATAGCGGCGATGCTAATAATTACTATTATGGTTTTTTGTTTTCTTAGGTTATAGTTTTGCCGTACAACACTTTGTTGCACAAAAGCACTCGGGAAGCGAGCGGTATAAAACTAGACGGTAACATATTCATTATCGACGAAGCTCACAATTTATTGGATACCATCGGGCACATTCACAGCTCCCAAATTAATGGTCAACAAGTATGATACAATAATAATAATTATTTTTTGCACATTGTTGTTTTATTTTTTTTTTAATATCCTAGCTAAAACAGCTATGATATTAAAGAATAAAAAGAGTCCAAACGACTCTGTATAAAAATCAACTCTGTAGTGTTAATAAAAGCACGATAATGTTATTGTGTTGCTATTTATATTTTCAGCTAACACACAGTTACAGTCAGTTGATACAGTACAGAGATAAATTTAAATTGAGATTCAGCGCTTCTAACTTGCTCAATCTAAACCAGTTAATATATGTCATTGAAAAACTCATTGTTATGCTCGGTAGTTATATGATGCATATTGTTTTTTTTTTTTTATCAGCTAGTTATTATCGCTAAACAATAACTATACTGTTATGGTTGTGTACAGCTATAATAATAATATTTTACCTAGAACTAACTGGGATAATATTTTATAGGCGGAACTCCTGGCGTTAGTCACGTCGAAGCCAGTCGTAAAGGTGTAGATTCCAAAGTGTATACGCTCGAAGATTTTGTACATCAAGCCGAAATCGACCATTTAAATATGTTCATTCTTGTGGATTTTTTCAAAAGAAGTAAAATTGGTCAAAAAGTAATAACAAAGAAAAATGATCATTTTTATATTTGTTTAATGTAGACATATATATATTGTATATAATGTATGTCTAAATATATATATATATATATATATATATATATATATATATATATATATATATATAATGTATGTCTAAATATATATATATATATAAATTTGTATATACCGTAAGACTCGTTTTAACGCTCTACACCAGTTTTCTCTTAAAAATGTAATGACATAATTTCTTTTTTGAAAACATTTTTGTTTTACATATATATTACAATATTAGATAATATTCACATTTTTAACTTTTTTAGCATTTTTTTAGAGCTTTATGATTTTTTGAAAAATTAAACTCATATTATAAAGGTCAATGTTTTAAAGTTAAAAAATTTAGACTGGAGAAAAATGGTGCAGTGTAAAAATGATTTTATTTGAACGCATATTTTGTCAACTGCACTCCACATATCGTCCTAAAATGTTTAACTTTAATGATACTTTAAAAATAATTATTCTTCAAAACTGGTAGTCGACCTGTAAAAATGTTCAATAAATTATTCTTAATTTTAAAAAATTCAATTAAATATATACGTTACCATTTGAGTTTTCAACGTTGATAAAGATCGTGCAAATACTGAAAATATTCGAGTAAACAGCTTTTCTATTAGTATCGGATTTATTTTTTCTATTCATTTTTTTTTTTTTTGTTAATCATCACTAAAACGTCAAAATCAATGTATAAACACGTTAGAGCTGTGTATTTTATGATACAATAAAAAAAATCCCTTGCACCCCCTAATAATATTGCGATACATAAATATATATATATTTTTATATAATAGATTTTATATAAAAGGGTTTATATTATTTGTGTATAGAGTGTGCGCATTGGAATGAGAAATTTATTTACTCGATTGTATGAGAAAACCGACATTTTTTTTTCCAGATTCGAGGTTATACCGAAAAATATATGCCTTCGGTTGTGTTACAAAACAACAAGCCCAAATTGAGTAGTTTACAAGCGTTTCTAAAAGACATTGAGTCGAAAAAAACCAAAAAAGGCAAACCGAAAGATGGTCGGCAAATTTTTTTGAAAAATATTAACGCAATTTAAAACGGTGATGTTTATTATTAAACGTTGTTGATGTGATGTTGTTTTAAAGATGAAAACAAACTGGCAGATTCGGCGACGCCGCCACCCGAACAAACAAGTAACAACCCTCTAGCACCGGTGATGGCGTTTATCGAATCTTTAACTAACCACTGTGAGGACGGACGCATCGTGTGTTCGAGACAAGCGTTTGTCGGTAAAGGGACATTGAAATTTTTGCTTTTGAATCCCGCCGTCCATTTCAAAGAAATTGTCGATAAAGCGCGGTATGGTATAATTTTATGATTTGAGTATATTATATTTTATGTTGTACTAATTTAGTATATATATATACATATATATACATAAATATATATATGTATATATTCATCATTAGACTGTGTCTAAAGAAATCGTTTTTTTTAATATTTAACCGCCCACCCACCCATCGATAGTAGGTAGTCTGTTTGTATAACAAATGTTTAAAATCTCAGATCCCTAGCAATTAGTATTTCCTCGTGTAGTACTATAGTACTTTTATAGTACTTTTTTTGTTGCATTTGCCTAAAATGGGAGTTTTAATAAAATATGTTTCGATAAAAAAATTCAAACAAAAACTAATCCGATTTTTTTTTAATTTGAAAAAAAGATTCTCATAGCAAAAATTGGATACTAGAAAATCATTCTTTAATATTTCGTGATAAAGGTTTTTTATTTTTCTAACAAGTTTTTCAAGTTATCAGTTTCAATGGTCTATCACTTGTTAAAAACAATTTTCATAGTGAAATATCGACACAATGGTTTTCAAGTGTCATATTTTTCGTATATTTTTGATAAGTTTTCAAAGTGGAATTTTTTTTTCAACGAAAAATTGAAATTCCCGAATTAAGTCAAACGCGAAAAAATTCTATGCTAGGGATCTGGAATTTTAGGCCACTATCGCTACTAAGTAAAGTGTCCACCTCAATTTCGAAACCAACATTTTTGTCGCCATTTACTATGTTTACAGTTTGGCTAAGGTTTCATTTAGATTTTTACACATTTATAATGTAATACATAGGTGGCGCGCAACATAATATAATATAATAAATTTATTTAAAAACAATTTCTTTAATTTATACCGGAAATATAATTCTATTTGACATTTATAGATCGGTCATTGTTTCTGGCGGCACAATGGAACCCATATCCGAATTTAAAGATCAGCTTTTCAACACCGATGGTAACGAATCCAATAGAATAATGCACTTCAGTTGCGGTCATGTAGTGCCGTCCGATAATATTTTACCATTGGTCGTGTGCGCCGGGCCGACGGGAAAACAGTTGGACTTTTCTTACCAAGAAAGGTCAACAACTAAAATGGTAAACATTAAAGTCATTGTTAACCGTGCCACTAAATGACGTTGGATTGATTGAAATTGTTTTTTTTCTCTACATTTTGACATTGACGTTGAGCGTAAATAAAAAAAACAAGATATTATTGTTATTATACTCGATTGTGTACACAATTTTTACCAATACGGTCTAGCGTCGGAGAAATTAATCATTATCGGTATTGAGCGACGATTTTATTATGCGAAAACACAACGTTCCATTATTATTATAATTATAGATATACGCTCGCTCGTTTAAATAGACGACAATAAACTAAATGCGGGTGATTTTATTATTCGGAAATAAAAAACTAGGTCTTTTAATTTTATGTTATACGATCGTTTGTGTAAAATAGTCGATAATAAAACGTGAATGCGGAAGATTTCTTTGTGCTGAAACGATATTTAAGCGGTAAATACGGTATGCGCTCATGTTATGTGAACTTTTACCATGTTGCTTAGGTATTGTAGTGTGTGGTGACTGTTTTGAACATCTAATGTCAGAATAAAATAATATCAGCAGCATGAAAAAAATTCTTAGTACACATCACGTTGAACGATTTTCAAAACTTTCTCCTGTAAACGGCAAATGGAATTCATAACTTGTGCGGTTTTTCGTTATTTGCCGTATTTCTCATTGTCCTAATGAAAGACTTTTTTTTTTAACTAATAACTAACTTATATTTTAACTAACTAATAAATGCCATTTTCATAGAGTACAACGGGGTTCAAGTGTAGAATTCAATATTGAAGCGTAGTAAATGTATTATTTAAATTTTTTTGTTTTTTTACAGTTGAATGAAATTGGTTCGATACTTGAAAACGTCTGCCGAACAGTACCGGCCGGTATCGTTTGTTTTTTCCCATCGTACGATTATGAACAATTTGTTTATCAACATTTAGAAAAAAACAAAGTCATAAGTAGGCTTTCGGATAGAAAAAAAGTGAGTGATGACGCATGAAGTATATTCATCAGTGAACGCCCAAAGTTTACTTTGACAATATTTATGTTATTATTATTTCTTTACTATAAATATAATATTGATATAATATTATATAAATGTTATATTGTTGTTACTTTTCAGGTGTTTAGAGAACCAAAAACCACTAATCAAGTGGACGAAGTGTTGAAGAACTATTCACAGACCATAACAAAAGCGTTGGTGGCTGATTCAAAATTAACGGGAGCGCTAATGTTCAGTGTCATAGGTAATGGAACAATATTAAATAGGTATTTAAAATGGCATCCAAGCCAAAAATTCATATACACATCCTATACTGTATATAATATTCGCTATAATTGTAATTACATATATATATATATAATGTAAATCCGTGTATATTTTTCGCGAAAATTCGGTTAAGCGCGCTACAACAGAGTGCGGAAATTATTTAGAACTTTGGGTAACGTCAGCAACTTTTGTACAATATACGGCGCTATCTACCTGTTAGGGTTGTTTTTGTTTTTTAACCAATCAACGCTCGGTCTTGTGGTACTATTATGGTATATTAGTATTGTTACATCAACTAAACTAGTATGTACTAGCTATACTCAGCTCAAAGCTGTATGATTTTTTTTTTTTTTTTTTCAATACAGGAGGTAAATTGAGCGAAGGCCTCAATTTTAGTGACGATTTAGGCAGATGCGTCATTGTTATTGGACTACCGTATCCAAACATCAAGTCGGCGGAACTACAAGAAAAAATGAACTACCTTAATACTCATATGGTAAAGTTAATTTTTTTTAAATAAGTTCAATGCGTAACATAGATAAGTATATCTTGAGCCGGAGCAGCCCCATATAGACAATGTACATATAATGGCCACCGCGCTCAAGATGATGTACTCGATTGGTTTTTTGAGACCAATTTTGTTGTTCTTCGATAATGTAATGTAAGTTAGTAATAGTTTTTTTTTTTTTTTACGATACCGTTAAATATTCCAACAATTAATGTTATGTTTAAATATCAAAGTATCACAGTATGTTGAGTCATAAGAAACGTTAATTGCAAACAATTGTTATATTTTTAATATACCTACCTATGTATTATAGGTATAATTCATACGAGTGTATTGAAAAAACATTAGTGTACATTTTTTCAAGAAACACACATTTATAATTTTCTAAACCATATTCACAGTAGTACGTGTAGAGTTTAATAGAGTATAGTATGACGTGTAGAGTTTAGTAGAGTATAGTAAAGTATAGTATGACGTGTAGAGTTTAGTAGAGTATAGTAAAGTATAGTATGACGTGTAGAGTTTAGTAGAGTATAGTATGTGTAGAGTATAGTAAAGTATAGTATGACGTGTAGAGTTTAGTAGAGTATAGTAAAGTATAGTATGACGTGTAGAGTTTAGTAGAGTAGTATGTGTAGAGTATAGTAAAGTATAGTATGACGTGTAGAGTTTAGTAGAGTATAGTATGTGTAGAGTATAGTAAAGTATAGTATGACGTGTAGAGTTTAGTAGAGTATAGTATGACGCGTATAATAGTAGTCGTAGTGCTATTTTTTTTTTTTTTATCCACAATTTTACTGTAATTCCAAAGGGTAAAGGGACGGGTCAAGAGCATTACGAGAATTTGTGCATGAAAGCCGTGAATCAGTCGATTGGCCGGTCTGTGCGCCATCAAAACGACTACGCGGCCGTCTTGCTCCTAGACCATCGTTACCAGAGGGACAACGTTAAGAACGCACTGCCCAAGTGGCTGCAACCGTCGTTACAAATACACAGCACGTTCGGAGCGTCTTTCTGCCAGTTGAACAAGGTATTTTGGACAGTTGTTTTTCTCTTTTTCGCTGTTACTCAATCGGCAGTAATATAGAACACAAGCGGCCGCAAATAATCGTTTTATTTTATTTCAGTTTTTCACGTCCAAGAAGAAACTACTAAGAGAGGCGACGTCTTGAAATATTTTCTTTCTTCTAGTATAAATGTATTATGTTGTATAATAGTTTTCAATTTGAAGAAATTTAACATATTATTACGCTTTTATTTAATCTATTTTAGTGCTTAGGTATTTTTTTTTTTTTTTGTTCAAATGTTTGGTACTAGATTTTACACAAAAAAAAATAAGCGTTCTTCCTACTAGCTATTAAAAAAATAAACATACTTACTTCCTACCAGCTATTTAAAAAAAAAAAAAAAACATTTTTTCTACCTTTTTTTTTTTTTTTTACATTAATCGTTTTAGTTTAAGTGTAAGCAATTGTGAATGGTTCATATTATTATATTCATTCGCGGCGAGTGGCTGCTATACACATAACCGTATTGTTAAGTGTAAGCAATTTTTTCGTATTCAATGTTGAGTGTATATATATATATATATATGTTTTGTAAATGAAATCAAATATAAAAGTAAATCGAAAATGCCCTGTCGTTCAGCGTGTCGTTTTTTTTTTTTTTAAACTTAAAATCCGTCACAGTTGGTTGGACATAGATTTTACGTTCAGTGCCCCGGAATTGGCCAATGACAATATTACAAGATCTATACCAACACTGGTACGGAACTTGTAATATTTAGGTAAATTCTTCATTAACAACGGTCGTACAGTGCGCACACCATTAGCTACGGAAAATGACTTGCAGGCATGTTGGAGACCAGTCTCTCCAGGACGACTTCGCCGATCTCATCGTTGAGGTCCCGCCTATGGGAGTCCCAGACCGGACACTCCACTAGCGTGTGGTAGGCACTACCAGTGGAAGCACGATGGACTGGGTGCTTTGCCGATCCTGTGGAGGAGCTACTATTACAACCTAATTGTGCGGAAATTTCACACTCATTGTTAAGCACGACGTACGGTGCAATACGACAATTGTTTTTTGTTATTATCGGTTCATTAAAAATAGTGTTTATAGTCAAAGGTAAGGGTTTGAAAAAACGTAAGCATTTTAAAATGGTTAATTTATTAAACACAACGACAATGGTTCAATACAACAAATCATTGTTACGAAAACGGTTTTTGATTGGCCAATATATATGTTTGAATACAAAAAAAAAAAAACACCAAAATCTATAACAGTGAATTTACTACTCTATAAAATTAGATTTTCTCTACTATTTCCGAACATGTTACCGAGCAGCTCTTTAGGCATTTGTCTGTGTTCTCGATCGGCGTTTTGTTGAATAAGTTCTCTAAAAAAAAACAACACGAATTCAGTTATTGCGATTTCGAATCGTAGTCTAAAACCATAATATGTATACTAAGCATTCCAATAGGTACATATTAGTTATTACATAATTGATAATAATATATACTATATATTATGTAGGTATATAGTATATACCTACGTATAGTATACAGTGTACACGTTTATAGTGACTATACAATAAAATATAGTATTTGTTATGATTTTCACCAAGATTACACGTTTACTTGCCTAAATAGATATAATGTAGTACAAGCTATACGTCAAGTATAATTAGTTTAACGAGTCTAATACTATATTTGTGTGAAAAATTCAACGCAGATGAGTATAAGAAAATACAATATTACTTGTTAATTAGATATAACCTATACACTGTCCACTTAATGAAGTTTTATGACTAATCAATTTGTAAGGTGTAAGGTATCCTGAGAGTTTTTGCCTCCTCTTCCTTCCTCTCCCCCCTCAAGAACGCCCATGACCATGGTAATGACCGCAGGAGCTGCTCCTCGTAGCCCCGTTCTCTTTTGGATAAAAAAAAAAAAAAAAATCACTAACCTCGCTTTTCGTTTGAGAATAGCTTGAGCGTTCGGATAGAATTTAATAGCCTCGTTCAGGTCTTCTTTGCTCAACACGAAAATATTCGAAAACCCGTGAGATCTGGAAAATACGAAAAATGTGTATGGTTTTTTTTTTTTTTTTTTGTATTTGCTATTATTGTACATTATATTATTATATAAACTATATTACATTACAATGTAATATATTTTATATTTTTAATCAAACAATTCTGTCTCACCTAACGTCCGCCGTCCTTCGGTTAGTGCCGCACAAGCTCAACAGACTGATTTCCCCGAAAACCGAACCTTCGGTAAGCGTGGCCAACACTTCGTTGTCGTTATCGCCACCGACTACTTGCACTTGACCGGTTTTCACTATGTACATCTCCTTGCCCACTTCTCCCTGTACAAAAAAAAAAAAAAATAACAATAACAATACACGTCACAAGATCATCACGGAACATGTTTATTATAATATTACATAAAGATATTCGAGGAATAACAAAATTATTTTATTATAAAAAAAATTTTTTTTAAAAAATGGTTGCAAACGATAAGGTTTTTTCGACAAGAGCTGTATAACAGAAAGCTGTGGAATATTATCAACGCCCGTGTCCCACCTTCCGACATATGTAATCTCCCGGCAAGTACAAAATCGGCCTTAGCTTCAACACCAGTTCGCGCAACAATGCTTGGTCGCAGTCTTTGAACAGTTGCACTTTGTTCAGCGTTTTCATGTGAACGCTAATGGCCACGTCGGTTTTCATTTTGTGCGGCAACGAGTCCAAAATTCGATTTTCGTCTGTTGAATACAAATATCACTATTGTTATTGTTATTACTACTAATATATTGTTGGTATGGAACTGCTGTGGCCGACAGTGGGGCAGATCATTACAGCGCAGCGCAGGCAGTCGGCGGTGGCGTGTATACTATTTTTTTTACCAGTTATCCAGTTTTCCATACCTACCTACTTGATTGGTGCCTGATTTAGATATGATTTTAAACCTAAAGATATATAAACCGAATTTAAACACATAAGACAAAATATCATCTTTGGAATCCCTTTCCTATAAATTAAATAAATACCTCCCCAAAAAAATGGGTATCGCCATTTACTATTATAATACGACTACTACTTGATTGGGAATAATAATACTGTTTTTTGACATTTTCATGTCTGCTCTGGCACATAACCGAAAAAAGCGTTACGCTGTTATCTGATAAGAGGTAAGAGATTAGAGGTGGGATGGAGATGAGGATGGGGGTGGTGATGGGGATGGGGATGAAATTTATTCGGTACTTCAACGAGACATGAAAATGCTCTTTCGTGGTTGCAGACTCGTCTGAAAAATGCTCTTTTTTTGTTGAAAGAACAGACGCCATTAAGATCGTGTATAATTTTTACCATCGCGGCTGAGCCATAAAAGTACCGCATTACCACATTTCAACCCCGTTTTTTTTTTTTTAAAGTACAAAGCAACCCAAAAAGCCAACTAAAAACCATTTTTGATTTTGTGTGTTTATTTTCTACTCTACCCAAAATATTTATACAGCTGTTCTTTCCTAAAACTCTAGAAATCGACAGTCATTCCAGCTTTTTATACATAAGGACAACACTACCCGTTATTTTCTTCGTGCGGACATTAAGCCACGTATAATAATATCAATTTGTATTGTCCATACAATCTGGAAACTGCAACTTGAATATTTTGAATAATATATTGTGTTGGGACACTGAAAACTCACATTAGTTACACGTTCCAATACAATGTACACTACACTACCTACTATTTTTAGTTTTGTGTTGTTTGTATAACAAGGAAAATGGAAAACCTCTTGGCTATTTGATTAAAGTGTGTAATTGATGCGAGGCCCCTGTAATTTAGGCATCGTAGGCTCGTGCCCATCTCGCCTAATGGAAAATAAGGCCCTGGGACTTATATATGAACTATATAAGTTAGTTGAGGTTAAGTAATAACCTTTGAAGTCATGGCAACAGGTACTGCTCAGTCGTCGTTGCCGACTATTGCCAGACAATCGGTATGTTCGGTGTTAGTCCGAGCGAAAATAAATATGTACATTATCAATATGAATATGTAGTATTATCTACTATTATTATAACGCCAAGTAATGATAGATTGCTGCTACCGCGCTGTCACCGCCACCAACGATTGTCGCGGGTTTCTTACCCAATGTGCGTTGCTGTTCCCAAGTAAACGAAAACCACTGTTCTACTCGTTGACGAATGCGCGGAGGTATGTTCAGTTTTCTCAGATACTCCAAAGTCTCGTCTTGCAGTTTTCTGTACTCCGTTTGCGACCTGGTGGCCGTGGCTATTATGTCTCTGATCTGCAAAACACGTCGCAGTTACTACAGTAGTCCGAAAACATTTGACTTGGAAATAGCGGGTTGACCCGGTATTGCAGTGTTACAATAATATTATAGTGTTGTAATAATGTACTGGAGTACCAAAGTGCATTGTATAAATTTAAAAACACCTAGACAACAATCTATTGGGAGTAGTCGTTATTGGAATCTATGAATTTATTACGATCAAACGAGAACACAGAACACAGTGTTAGTGCACGCGTTAACCGTTTTGTATTTTTGACGCGTTACTTACGTTAGTTGACAATGTTATACAAACCTGTCCAATCAATATGGCAAACACGAACACCCCCATTAGCCAACTGGCGGTCATGAACAAGTATTCCATTTCGTTTTCCGGATGCGGATTCTTGCCGATGGACGTGGCCGTTTTGGTGGCGAAGAAAAAACACCTGATGTACCTGCGTAAACGTCGACAGTAAAACATCATACCAATCGATAAAAATATCACATTTGGTTAGTTAGATATACAACGGGTAGGTTACACGACAACGGCCGCCGATACTTACGCGTTACCCTGTCCGTTAAACACCCAGCTGTTGATGGCAAGCCCTTCGGTCACCGACACGTAATAATAAGCGCAGGCATTCAGATGGACCAAATAAACCATATAAGTCAAAGTTCTGGCCACTCGGACTACGTACGGCGACGACAACACGCTGTCGAAATGGTCGAAGAACTCCCAGAACGTTTGGATCTGTCGAAAAAACAATAACATTATTTTCGACAGTCTCGAATTACATACAGTACACGAGATCGGTTAAGTACTCGTGTATACTCGAAAGTGTGTATTATACAATTATTTGATTATTTTTGTAAAAACAATTTTATGCCCCTCCTCCCCCCCCCCAATATAATGGAAAACTATTATTGTTATAGGCCTGGATTTTGTTGTTTGTCAACCTGATCTTTTTACATTCGATGCGGCCGAGCTGAGAAGATATTGTTTTTAATGTCAAATATAAAATGTATTTTTGTTTACCCTCGATAAGCCACTGAACCACCGACTTCTTTGTGTAGCAAGTCCATTGATTTGAGAAATTGCACTTGAAAGGTATATTATTATACTAAAAATTAAAAAATTTCACTCCTTCCCTCTCAAAATCCAAGAAAACACACAAAAAGTTTATATACATATTATGTATACGTATTTTACGACTAAAAAAATGCACTTTACCTAACTTTTTTTGAAAGTAGTCGAATTATTACAGTAGTCAATACCACCTACACCCGTGTATGTAATATTTCTAAACTTGTATGGGCTATTCTTTCGGTATAGTACTATCGATGTACCGATGACAAACTAAAAAAAATCTTAAACTATTTCATCCAGAAAACGGGTAGAGAAGTTATTTTATTTTACTAGTTTTTGGTACTTAATGTCTGAAAATTACGCGGAAGAAACTAAACTAAACTGTTATTAAAGACAGACAAACCAACCCAAGCGTATCAACTTTAATACTAAAAATTCCTTTTTTTTAGCACATTATTGCCTTCACAATGATTTTAATAGAAAATATCTAACGCAAATATTACATATTATGTAGTATTTGCATAATCTACAGGTTGACATCAAAACGGGTATTTTTTTTAATTTTTAAAGAGGTTTTGTCGTTTTCGGTAAAAATAATTTCTAAAAAAAACCTGTAGTCTCTCCGTCTGCACTTTGCCACGACCCCGCTATGATAGATTTGTTCAATGAAAACGTTGTGAAAAAGAAATATGAACATGATATCATTGAGTATATATTGTACAATATATACTCAATGATGATATGCATTAAAAGGACCAGTAGGAGAGTATTTTAAAATATGCATTACATGTAAAATACGATATAAGAATATATTTTATGCATGATGTGAAGTGCTAATGATTTTAAATCCCCCGAGAAGGGCTTCGGTGTCGGCGAGATTTTTAAGTCTAAACACTACAATAGGGATTACGAACAGTTGGATGCAATACTGGACTCATACGGCGTGATCGGATTTTAATTATTAGCGTTTTGTTTGTTTGAATAACGAATTTCGTACAGGGTGCATTGTAATTCGTTTTTCGAAACCTAATGGTTTTTTTTAAACATAGTTTTTAGTTAATTTAATACAGTGACTAATGAGCACCGTGAGTAGGCTTCCTTTACCAAAACAAAAATAGGTTCAAAATTCCATTATTATCTACGTCTAGTTCCCGTAATCTAATGTCAATCAATTGCCGGTATATTTGTTTTAAGTAAAATATTAATTATTAAAAAAGTATCTATTGACAGTATATAGTTTGTAATCAAATTGAATGTAGTAGGTGTTTAGTGGGTAAAGTATAGGTTGTGTAGGCTTATCGTTGTTTTATCACTTTAATTATTTCCACCCGTGCGGTTGTAGCTTATCGAATATAATTTTAATGTATGTAATATTATTATAATCACCTTAACGATCCGGTTCAGACGCATTAAAGGCAACATTTCAGCGGTGCACCACGGCATCAAGCAGGCAATATCCGTTGGCGCCAACGATAGAATGTCCAACTGAAAACAGAAAAAGTTCGCCAGTATTAACTATTATACTGCTAATAACTGGTACACTCTTGAACTTTAGGCGAGATCATCGGCAATCATTACAATATGATCAATATGTACGATTTCCTGTGTTATAGTACTTATAACTCGTCCACATTATTTTGGCGATTGTAAATTTTACCATGGCCATAATTTAAGACTAGCGTTCTGTACATAGTATTTATTGTAATATACATCATTATAATATTTTTGACAAATACGTGTTGCCGATAGACTGTTCTAAAACATTTGAATTTATCACCATTACACCTATTGTGGATTGCCAAAACGGCAATTCGTCAAGATACAACGAGACAGTGGACTGGTTATAGTACACACTTTCGATTCCGTGTTTGGGCAAGTTCCCTACACTGCACAGACTGTACCTATACCCACATTTGCTAGTCTTGAATATGGAACGAGTACCGTGCCGATATCCTATTGGGCAATCGCCCTCCGTAGTAAAACAAATTAAATACTTTACTTTTGACTGAAGTTTATCCAGATAGTTGGCTTCGATCAGCTTGAGATCTCGGACCCAAAATCCGTCTTTCAAGTACATCACCCTAGGTTTAACGACGAACGTGTCCAATAGGTTGACTACGTCCGCGCAGTAGTCCAACAGCATCCATTTCCATAAGTTCTCCGGCGTCTGGTATGGGAACGTGATGCGTAGGGGTATGACCCAGCAGTTGTACAGATAGGACATGGTCACGAGACTGAGCCAAGCCACATAGCATAAACCTTAAACAATATAGGTAGTGCACGTATTTATTAAGTACATAATATTATATTAGACGATTTTGAGGAATGCGTGTAATTTTATAAGAATCTCAATTAAATGAATTGAGATAAATTATGAATCAGTGTACAAGCAAACATTCAGATTTCCAATGTACGGTGCTCGCAAACTGTCGTTGGTCCCTATTCTCGTTATAGGTATTGAAATCGTCTTATCATTTGTACATGTATTTATTATTATTATCGTCCAATTTTTGTCAAACTCACTTTGAGGTTCGATTATGAAGTCTAAGCCTCTGAACCAAGCCAAAAAGAACCAAGATCTTTTTTCCAAAGATTCGTCCGTTGACCTTTCGAGCGTTTTGAATCTACAATGTGCCGAAAGCGGACGCAAACTGTCCACGTCTGCGCGGGCAAAACGATTTACACACAGTTAGCAATTATAGTAGTATAATATAATTATTTATTATAGTATTAGGTATTCGAGTGGTTTGAAAATCGATTGCACGCGTTGATTACCAGTAAAACTCATGCTTGACGAAGAAGGCAGTGCGTAATTTTCCGGGTTGTGCCTGTCCCGCATTATCTGCTCGCTTAGTCTGTCCATCAACTTGATCACGTTCAAACTAGAAATTATGTCACAAGGAATTATTTACATAACAGTCGGTAAACGAATCACCTATAAGGGATATTATAATCTTAAATGGTGGCTGCGGTATTTATTCTCCCTTGCCATTTCCCCCAACTCTATTTATCTGCCTATGTGTATGTAGTTTATGTATACGCTGATATAATAATTCCAATTAAGTTTGGCGTTATGCTGTTGTTCTTGTCGTCTCAACGTGGAAAAATGTATTTTTGAAAACAAATTGAATAAAATACAACAAAATACTGTGTTTTGAACGATTATTATACAAGTATAACGTTGCCAATATTACCTTCTACTGTCGTAGGGTGAAGCCGGCGGGGTAAATGTGGAGTAACCTTCGTTGGAATCTGATGAGCTGTCGTTGGTGTTGGCCATGTTGTCGGATAGCCAAGGCTCGTCCAAAGTGAACGCACTGTATTGCGGCGGTATTCTGTCCATCTACGAGTTAGTGTAAAAAATCAATTTTCATTTATTGTACACTTTAAACTGGGTTTTAGTATAAAAACGTGATTTTTCGTTAATGTTTGTTGTTACAGTTTATCTGTAGTATGTCGAAGTTAAAGTAAAAGGTTATTTACATAATATGTAGTATACAATCATTTTATTTTAGATATGATGCAGAACTTAAAAGGTATCAAGTCATTGAGAAGCTTCTAGATCAACTATATCTGGTGAACCGACGTTTTCATGTGTGGCGAGGTTATACACGAGGTATAATCTAGTTTCAAAACCAGCCCTAAGGAATGTTGACAACGTGTTTGTTTTTTAAGTGACCACAATGTGACTACATGTTATGTAAAACTGTTATTGAATATCAAATAAAGAATATATTTGAAGTATTTGATTTGGCCGCTTGTGATCGTGCACGCATGTTATTATTATAGTATAAGTAGTTTTGGGAATTTTTTATTTTTCGTCGACGCAATCGAAAAATTGCCAACGTCAAACAACAACAAAAGAGAGACCCTCTTTGAATGCATCGGAGAAAATTGGGCCAACGAAATTGCTTAACTCGTGTCTCAATGACGCGCCGTGCGCGCAAGTCTAATAATTAAGGTGGACGCAACGATGCTATTATAATGCACCGTTGGTGTTACCCTATTGCCATGCCGGTGCGATCGTATAGCTACATACCTTGAGGACACTTTGTATACATACAGCTGTTCGCGCGTTGTACTCGGTTGGTGTTGCCTTGGGAAAAACGATTTCTATTCGTTCGTCTGTGCGCGTAGGACACACGTCACATTGGTGCACGCCAAAGTGCTCGGGATGGGAAACAAATACAGCAAGAAAGTAAAAAGAGCAATGGTAAAGAGAATATTGTTGAACGAGTATCTAATAACAATTAACTTGAAAACGCACAGCTGAATCTAGAACATCACGCGAGAAGAAAGGGTCGCTAACGGGAAAGGATTTAAGGCGTTTCACAGCGCCCATAGGTTATCAGCTATTTGCCGCCCCCTACTCTTATAAGTTGAGTATATTATTCTGGAACACGCAGCGGCAGGCCGCAAGGACCGAATTTCAAGGAAGAATAGAAGAAACAATGACAAACAATAATTGTTAGAAAAAAAATTAAAATTAGTATATAATATAATTAATGGATAATATAACTGAATTCTAGATAACGTCAGAGCAACTGACGAAACTTGGAGCAAAAAAAAAAAAGTTAAAGACAACACAATGTTTAAAAGAAGCGAAGAAATTACAATATTTCTTTTTCAAATTTATATTTTTCGGCTTTCCACAAAAAGTTGCCGCCCTAGTTAGCCTATACCTGAATCCCTACCGGGTCGCTAAGACTTTTCGCAAATAGCGATCGCCAAACCTAATGACCAATTCATTTTTTTACACATTTTAACAAAAATCTGTATTTATTAAGAACGTATCGTGTACCTTTGCAAAACTTAAAATTCTTTTCATGGCTTTTGTTAAAAGTTTTTAAAATTATAAACGCTTTGTGTTATTTGTCTTTTTTTTTACAAAATATTTTAAAACTTTTTCAGTTATTCTCTGGAGAATCCCTTTTTAACAAATTATAAGGGTTATTATAATGTTATGTTAAATGTTAATTACACGTTTAGAGGTCTATCTAATTGTTAGTAAAAAAATCTTTCAGAAGTTTTAGATCTGAATTATGATAATAACGCGTGTCTCACCACAATTATCTGATGAAAGTTTTTATGGTTTTTTTACAATGATAATGTTTAGAACAAAAAATAAAATTGTCCAAAATTATTCTTGGAAAATCCTGTTACCAATTGATACGTCATTGAAAAACTAAGGTCTGAAACTTTAAAAAAAAAGTTTATGTTAAAAACTAGATGAATTAAATTGTTTTTGTATTGACTCGTGGGGGTGAAAACGTTGCCAAAATTACACAGGTAATGAAGCAATTTTCGTTTTGTTATTGCGTATTTCATTTTTTTTTTCATATAATATACATTTTGTAAATCTAACGAATTCAATATACTGAATCGTTAATTCACGCAGTCTTGTTGAAAAAAGTTTTTTTTACATAACAACGCCTATGGAGACGGATCTTGGATTGCTCGGAGCAGTAATATGTATCGTAAAGTATAATGATGATAATAATAACAATTATAATATGTTATCGTCGTTGAATAGTGGCAGAACCTTTACAAATATGTTATAATGAAAGTGATATCGTCGGGACAAAAGAAAGTATCTTTTTCGCTTATATTGTTTATGCGCTATTATTTTATTATATTTGTTTTAAATGAGAGACAAACGCAGCCGCCGCCGCCGACGTCTAGCCCGTGTGGCAATAACAATAATAATACTACGAGAAACGATAACCTAACCGGGCGTTATGCAAAAGTAGCTATGGGACACCTGTGCCGAGGTATAACTATTAACCCAGTCGAATAATAATATAACCTATACAGCCAAGGTGTCGTTCAATGAAAAGATGATCACGGACAAGCACCGCTGCAGGGCCCTGTTAAAATGAAAAATAAAATAATAATTCCATCACACTGCGCAACCTACATCACTACTGGATTACAGCGCACAAAAATGAAAATATAATATTCTCTGATATTTATCTAACACCACGGACAGATGAGCGGTTTATCAATAATTAATAATAACAATTATTATTGTTATCTATTAATTATCGAAAACGAAGGTAATTAATTTATACGAGGGTATTTGCGCACAAAACTATGTGACTGGACATAAAAATTCAAAACACTGGCAAACGGCAAGGACGATATTTTGATTGTTTTTTATTTTTAATCAGGAGACCGATTAAATCTTATAAATACGTGTGGTTATGTACTACTCAATTTTACCGAACTGAGGATTTTTTTTTAACAAAAATACTTGACCTCGTAGGTATACTTGTTGGAAAATAAATTTTAAAGAAATAATGTTTACTATATTATCAAGTAAATATAGGTCTAACATGGAAACTAACCCATCTCTAAGTCTAATAGAGTACAGTAGGTAGCATAATGTAATAAGCGATTAATTAATAAAATTGAAAAGAGTATTTTAAAAAAAAAAGAGAATTTAAAGAAGATATGGTGGATTTAGTGTAACGTAGTCGAGTGAGGTAGAAAAAAGGAGACGGGCTTGACGAAAAATTGTCAACATTTTTGGATAATAGTACAATTATTTGTATAGCACTGAAGTAGGCTGTATTTTAGGTCTAGCGTTGGTGTATGAAAGTGAGTGTTGGACATTGAATGAGATCGCGAGGAGAAAACACAACTGAAGCTGTGGGGAAATCCCCACACGGCCTAAGTTTTGTTTTCAAGTAACTTGTTAAATCAAGTTTAAGAATGACTATAACCTACGTATTAGTATCTGAGAGTCGCGCTGGCTGCAGTGGGAAAAGTAATAGCGCGAATAAGTCGAAAAGGTTTGTAAATGTCAAAAGACTTATGAAATAACATGAAGTAGGTAAGTTCCTTTAGGTAACGTCGAGTTTAGTCAAACATCTCTTTGTATTCTATCGATATAATAAATCAATTGAGTGGGCCAACGTAGTAGTTAATAATTTTAATTTTCAAGTAAGCATAAATCATACGATCATATAAACCAGAATTCGAATAACTACTAAATCCTAATGATCAACTATCTGTTTTTATGGTTTTAAGAGTGTACCAGAATATCGCTGGAATTACGCACTATTAGAGTTTTCAAACGTTAAATTATTATTACTCGTAGTTAACCATAATATTATAAGAAAATATTAGTAAAAACGTCTTAACCCAGCGTAGGCACAGATCGGACCATTGTAGGATATGCTATAGACTCCAGACCGTGCCTAGTATGGTTTTGCGATAATAAAACACGACATAAACAATCATCAACATCAGAAGGTTGTATTATTAAAAGCCCGAGAATATTGTTAAATTATATTCAAGGACGCACCGTATGCGAGCTTTTCGTTTAGTGTTTCCAGGGTAAAGAATAAACAGCAGCAACTGTATAGATAATGATATTGTTACAACGATTCGACTTACCGTTTTGACCGCCCGAGGCGACTGGCGTTTATACGACAATATAATATAGTGTTTACAACGCGTTCGATTATTATTAACGGCGGTAGTATTATTTGCTTAGGATCGGCCGTCGGTGTTTTTTCGATGGCGGCGGCGATTATGAAACAATTTGTCGGGACGCAGTGTGAAAATTTCGGTTGTCGGTAGCAAAACGAAAGCGTACAAAGGGCCGGACCCGCGACGTGTAGGTGGCAGTAGTTGTTATCCGCCGTGGGAGATGGGAAAAGTACACGGAGACGGCGGACTCGTCCTTCCGCCCGGCTCGGCCCGCCAATCGATAACATAGGCTCTTGTTTACACACAGCAGCTTTCGTCGCCCGTAATATTATTATGTCGGTCGCGCGCCCATACAAATCTCCCATCGTCGCCTCTTCTCACCCGGCCGTTTTTCTTTCTACAACAAAATATGGTCAAACGACGACGGTCGACAGCGAGTTTTGAAAAATAATTTTGCTAGTAGCAATTTGCGAATACAACGTAGGTTTTTACGCTACTCATATTTTAACAAATTACTTTTTAATACCAACAGTAACGTAGAGCCTAACTCGCATGATTACAGGGTTAACTTCTTCTTCTTTAGTATTCAATCCTGAGATTGGTTTGTAGCAATTCTCCACTCTTCCCTGTTACTTGAGAAGATGTCATGTTATTGCTATTTCTTGGGATGATTTATACGGTGGTTTTCCCTTGCCTTCCCTGCGTTCAGGGTTAACTTAGTTTCCATAAATTAAGAGACATCGTTATTTTGATGTTTTTTTTTTATGTACAAGTTATTATTAAATGGTCACATCTCTTGTTCTGAACTTTTGAGCCTCGCTCCAATCCATGTTCACCAATACTTTTCTCGTTCCCGTCCTACTCTTTCCATCCGTTCTCATAGAACTTCTTACGGGTTTAATACTCCTCTAAATAGAATGTCTATCGAGTGTACTAAATTGTCTTACTTTGATTTTTTTAAACCCGATAGTCCATCAATCCTAAAACGCTACTTATAAATCAATAACGTATATTTGAATATTATTTTTGTTGTTAAACATTTTATACCAAATTTTTACTTGTTAAAATAATTTTTGATTGTTTATTTTTATGTTTGTAACATTTATATACTTCTCTCTTCAATCTTATAGTTTCATTTTATGTTCAATTTTGTGTATATTTATCTACTGTACTTGGGCCTTTGGGGGTAAGTTCAATAAATAAATACGTTTACTATTTAGACACAATATAATATACCTACAATCCACCTTTCTCTCTGTTTACACTCTCGTACGAAAAGTTGTGTAGATGTTATTATTGTTGTTTTATTTAAAAATCAAAATTAAAACTACATGTTTACAAAAATATGTATATCAATTTACCACCTATATTATGTAAGCTTGAATGGAATGCTTAATTAATTCTAGAGCTTGTCTTTATTTAGAACAAATAAGACTGACGTTAAGGACACGTTTCTGTGTCCACCTTCAGAGTATTCCCCGTTGAGCGTCCAACCATCTTATTTTCGTTTTTTACCAAGTTTTTTACTACTAGTTCAGCGGGGCTCGGAGAAGCCTAATTCTCCATAGTCCGTGTAGCTATATAGCTCCTAAAAATTTGTTGGGATAAATACAATTATTTACATCCTAAGAGACGAAAAAAAGTTAGGTTTTTTTTGCCCCTACCACAAGTCTCCCCTTAATCCACACTTAAGCCACGTCATCCCTGTACTAGTAAATGCGATTTTTTTCTTGAAACTAAAATTGCAAAACATTCACTTAGAGTTCATTTACATAGAATAGCGTTAGGCGGATTGTTCGCAATATGTTTTTAACTGATTTTCAAGAAATGTTTTTGCTATCTTATGAAATCGTTTTCTGTTAGAAATAAAACCAACTCGAGCCATCGTTATTACGTCCAGCTATGGGATTATCCAAAGCTCCGGAGATTTATAAATAAGTATTCTCTCGAAGCTTTCGGTGTGCAAGCGGTGTGTTGTTAAAATAACAAAGTAGGTTTTCCGAAAAACATAATAGAATTCTTGCTAAATAAAAAAATATTTCTCGTTCCGGTGGATTGTCAAATAGAATATCAGCGAAATTGTTTTTATTATTATAAATTGTCAATTGGTTTTTTATTTTAGACATTTCTGTAAACCGAATTATACAATAAATGGAAAATCATAAAAAAATTACCAATTTATCACCCAATCATTGTATATCTCTTTACTATGAACAAGAAAAAAACAATTTATTCTCGTTTCTAACAGTATGGAAATCGGTGTTTTATTTTCCAGAAATCATCAAAGGTCAAATTTGAGTAATAGAGTATTAATTTTGTGTTGTTTTTTTCAAGAGATTTAAAAAAACCAACGAAATCATAAGACGATAAAACGGCAAACGGCTGTATATATTGTCGTTTAATGATATAAACAAAGGTGAAAAGAGTGTAAATATTATGTATGCGTGTGTTCTATTACAAGAAGGAAGAACGGATATGTGTAATTTATATCATTACATGCCGTTTAACGTATTCTCGCTGCATGCTTTCGCTTTGAAAATAAAAGAATGAGACATTTCGATGGTTCGACAACAGCTGTGATTAATCTCATATTTTGATTATTATCAACAGCACCACGCATTATTGTATGTATAATTTTTATAAAAAAGTGTAAGAAGAATTCAATAAAAGTGTAAAAATATTATACATTTGTTTGTTATGCATTGTTTTAGTTTGAATAAATTTCATTATTGCCTCTAATGACAAAACCATTGAGCTAATAGCTTTGGCCAGAATATTTTATAGTAGGAGAAAACTTGAAGCATGCTGCATATCTACAAAATATATTTGAAATGTATTCTGTAAGTTTGAATAGCGGTGTAAATTTGTTCAATTAGGAATTTACGATTTCAAAAAATATTAAAAAAAACCCGCTGCCAAATCATTGGAAAATAACTTCCTCGAAAACGAATTTTACTTACACTATAAATAAAACCACGATAAAAAAAAAACCGAACAAACATGCCTACTGGTAAAATTCGAAGCCGCATTGTCACTATCGAAGGCCATGGGAAATGCACACATCCGCGGACAGAATGACAAGTTGTTCTATTTTCGATTACAATACATGCGGACTTACTCCCATCCCGATATTTGAAAAACAATTTTCCAGAGAACCGTAGCTTTCACTTAGAGTAAGCAATATATTATTTACCCATTTTATTATTCTAGACCGGACCGAACTGCGATTTGTATTATTTGTTTATAATTACAATTTAGTCCGAGCCAAAAGGATATTATATGATAAATCAATAGTATTATTTTTCGTATTTATATTAAAAACAGTGTAATGTGCGTAACACATTACGGAGCACAACGATTATTATGGAATTTTCGTAATTGATCTATAATTTTAACATTTAATATATTTTGTTTTTGCTTTTAACTTCATAATATAGGTACTATTTTATTACTCGGTAGACTCGGACGGGATTTTTGTTGGTCGGGATTTCAATCAACTTAATGCTGTATGTTTGGTCGAGGCTATAAGGGCGCGGTGTGTACAATATTTTTTATTTTTTTCGTTGGACCTACGTAAAATATAATATTGGATTACTTAAAAAAATTACCAGTTTCATTTATTCGTATTTATTTGTTATTATAAACCACTTTATGGACTTGTATATAGTTATAGATCTACAGATATTCCATTATAAGTATTCTGTATAAAACACAATCAAACGCTTTTTTTACATAACTGTTCAATAATTCTATCTGCTCAAGGTTAATGTCAGAAATTTACCGTACAAAAAGCTTTTTAGAACAGACGTCTAATAAAGTAACCGAGTCCCCCGAGGCTAAGCCCTTTACGAAAAATAGGTTTTTCTAAGTACATTGTTATTTTTTTTTATACAGTGTATACCAAAAGATATAATTAGGTTTTATTTTTACCACTACCTACACAGGATTTAACTGTTAATGTATATAAATATAAAAATGTATATATATAAGCATATAGGGCTTTTTATACCCAATAAATTGTAGGTAGTCATTCTTATCACTTAAGCTTGAAAAAATTATATAGAGTTTAATACTAAAACATTAAAATTATCTTTTGTTAAAACTTGTATGTTTATTTTCTTTTTTTTTCTTTTATATGCAATTTTATTTAGCATATGTTATTATTATTATTACTATTACTATCGTAACTTAAAACTATATACCATGCCAAACTCAACTTAATCTTAAAAACCCAAATTGGCGAGAACGGCCATTGACACTTGATTTAGTATGACATGTACTTCAATTGAAACGCGCGTAGGTAGGGAGGTAATGATTTTTTTAAGAATGGAAAAGTTGTAAAAAGTCAAGATCAAACTTATTTTATTGTACCCAATTGTATTCGCTTATAAAGCATAAGCTAAAAAGTTAAAAAATAAAAAAATGTTATAATAATCATCTTTTAATGTCATTTGTATAATAGATTCCTTGAGGAATATTGCAGTTATGTAATTTACCCGAACCACTTTGAAAATTTACTTTGGCTATTTATGACTGCGTTTTTGTTTATTAATCTTCGTTTTAGATAAGTGCAAAAGTAAATATTTCGTAATGATTTTTGTAAAATTAATAATAAGAAAAAATTATTTGATAGCATCCGTCTAATGCAGGGACATAATTAAAATTTTGTTTTAGGTGATTATGTTAAAAGCTGACCCGTGAGCGGCTACGCCCTTCTGAATTACTATTTTGATTATACCTATAATTTCTGCAATAGTGCAATATACTTAAAACTTATGAGATTTTTTATTATTGCACAGAATCGATTTATAACATTGTTGGTTTTTAAGCTAATTCATTGATCACATAATAGATATCTATAATCTACCTAAATGATCTATACCTATCTATGCCTGCAAGTTTTTATGGTTAGGCAACATTTCCAATCCATATAAATAGTTCTGTTAATTAACAAATAACAAATATTTATTTTAACCAGACTTCGAATTGAATAATTAAGCATTAAATATAAATATAATAAATAGAATATACAAACAAAATTTTGTATTTTCTTAATTTAGTAGTAGTGTTAAATGTAGTGTTTCTTAATTATTTTCTAATCCTTTTGTGGGTAGAAAAGCTACGTTCGGCATCGCCGAAATTTGGGCAAAATTGTTTATGTCCTTTGTCCATATCTCAAGTTGTGTAGAGTGGAGGTCCTAATATATACAGTGCTAAAGCAACCTCCAATTTTTTTGGTGAATATGAGCCACTGTGATTTAGGTATTACGTATATTTGGATAGTTGTTTTTTTTATCACACACTGTTAAAGTATATTTTTGATAGTAGAGTTGGGAATTTAAATTTTGTCCGTGACGAGATATTTTATAAAAATGTTTTACTATTATTATTCTGTAGAATCAATCATATAAAAAAAAAGCTCTAGAGGAAGGGTCTAACCCCTCCGTGTCCCCTCTAACTATATCCTATGTTCAGTTGGATAATTTGTATATTTTAGTAATACCTACATAACATATAAGCACTATATACAGTAGTCGGTAAGCGCCAATTTGTGCCGAATGTCACGTGCTTTTTAAACTAAAATAAGTATTATGAACACAATAAAGCCCTATTAATACCTATGGACACGTTGCGTTGAGTGTATACATTTTTTTATAAATGTTTTTAATGGCTAAACGATTAAAGTAAATCAAGTGGAAAAACTGAAACGAGTATTAGAGAGAAGTGAGTAGATGTGATAAATAAACACATGGAGTAAAACATGAAACGGCGATGGAAAAAGATTTGTGGAGAGAGCTGGTCGACCCGATTTGTACAATCAAAGGACAAAGAAGAAAATATTAGACTAAAAATAGGTATAAAACGTTATATTATATGACGTTAAATACCTAATTGGCCATATGACTTAACACATTGACACAACTACCACGGCCGGTTTTTTAACACTCCAAGGGTTAACAAGAGTTGGAAAAAAATTGTTTAGTAAATTGATTGTGCTTCAGCACGTTCTACACCGGAGCATAATAGTTGCTCGTCCCGAGGCCAGGCGTAAAACCTACATATTGATATATGAATTGCGTTCCAATGACTGAATGACCCCTACATTTAGGTATAAGGTGCTTGGATAATGTTTAAAGTTCTCTAGAGTAATTAAAACAATTTATTATAACTTATAAACTATAACATATTATATTTTTTATAAAAAAAAATTAATTATTTATTAAGATTCTTTTCTAAGTTATCGTCAGTATGCCTTTTTATTTTCTAATACTCCTCGATACAGCCCAATAAATAAATTTATAATCATTAATATGAAAATTTTTCGTTAAAGTTGTTTTATTTATATCACAAGTACTTGCAATGATTTCAAGCATAAGATAAAAGTATTTAAATTAATTTAAAAACAATAATTTTAATTATATATAAAAAAGTATAATACGAATTACGGATAGTTGACCAAAGTATTCTTTACATTTTGGTCATTGCAGCCGTTTAGATGTGTTCAGATTTTAAGCTAAGTAGCGTCAAACAGTTTAGGGGGTTTTTTCTCGATTTTGAATGAGAATGGGTAAACATTTTTAATTTGATGTCTTATAAAATACCGTTGAGGTACGGTTTTATTTCTGTAAACTCGCTTAACGAAGAACTCGGTAAATTTGTTATGTATCTATAATATATACATACACATTATTATATCAATATATATCGTTAGTTCAGACACAACAATAAAAAATATAAACATATCATTGTAAAAAACAGCTCCGCATCAAAGCTAAACAAACAATGTGAAGTTGGTGAAATATTGAGCTTAAAAGGGAAAAGCAGTGAGTTAATAATAAACGGTAATAAGTTAAGCTATCAAAAAAATTGTTGACAACACAGAGAGATGGAATTGCACAACAAAGACCGGGTATTCTTTTAATTGGCGTGACTACTAAAAAAAATAAAAAAGTCAATAAAATGTTCGTTAAAAACCCTTAATTTTTAACTGGATGTAACTAGTATCTTCAAATGTTTATTGATTTCCCGAAGCAATAATTGGGGAGCACTTAGTAATTTGACCTTTTTGGTTACGGTAACGATTGACGGGATTCGTAGTTTACCGGACTCAGTTAGTCAACGTCCTTCTGCACTTAGTTTGAAACCCTTTACACGCTCTAAAATATAATATTATTATACATAGTTGTTAACTGTAGGGCACGGCGTAGCTTGTTCTTCAGAAATTGTGAAATTTATTGATTTACTAAAATATGAAGGAGCATGTCTAAAAACTATATTATGTAACCCTTTAGAGTACGTAATAGTTAAATAATTTAATGTTGTGTATTAATATTAGTTGACTTTTTCTGGCAAAAAGGTTAATGAGGTATTTGGCTTGTTCAAGCTAGAGTTAACCTAAAGAATACTAAATAAATTTAGTACTAAATCGATAAATTTATCAAAAAATTATAACACGCCATATTTAAAAAAAAAATCATTTTTTAGGAAATTATTTTTCGATTTCTCGTTATTTAATGAACGCTTATCGTAAAATTTCTAATATAATATAGTAGTGTTTCAAATAAAGTCCGTCCAGTGTCAGTGGTTAAAAATTATCGTTAGGAAGATACAAAAAAAAAGCTAAACACATATTTTTAAAACCCATACCTTCTTAGCCCGCATAGAGGCTATAACAATATCGTGTAGTTTATATACTGTACATTATTATAGTCTACAGCGATGTGTTCTAAGACATTTTTAAAATTTACAATTGTTTGATTAATACTTCTATCGGTGTAAATCATTCGCAATTTAATTTGTTTTAAATTAAGTTCTCTCGTTTACGGGTGTAGATTTGTTTGTTCGACATTTTTAGCATTATTCCCCCCGTGTAATAAGAATAATAATTTCTTATAACAATAATAATTTCTACTATAGCGGCATTTTCGAACGGTACCCACGGTGCTGGGCTGGGGTAGGATTGTATGCGGTATACACGTCTATACAGGCAAGTAGGAGGCAGGCCGGCCCTCCCCGTTTGCAGATGGAACGTTCTATAAAAGCGCCAGGAGCAGCGTTTTGAACTATTACTCGACAACTTCAGTCAATCCGTGAACCATGGCTTTTCGCGCACTAACGGTAAGCAATATGTTCATACTATTTTACTTGTATTAGGTCATGAGCAATTATTATTAATATTATTATTATTTTTTTTTTTACTTTCGCCTCGTACACAAATTTATTTGATCATATTAATAATAATAATACTAATTATAAAAATAAAAAATAAATCATATAAATTTTCCTAAAAGTATATTTAGTTATATATATAATTTCTATAAGAAGATACACGATAACATCATAATGCATTAACGGCACTCGTAATAATCATCAATTATTTAGTACGAGTATTTTAATAATAAGCCCAGTGTTATTGTGTATTAGACCTAAGAACATGGAATTCATCATTTTAATAAAATTGCCATTGTGAACGAGTGTCGCTCAACAAGACGTGTACATTGTAGCCACATTATGTTTAACGTTTTTTAACTTGCGTATTTCTCAAAATTTTATTAATTCACGCTGTTCGTTTGTGTTTCTTTTAGAATTATTCTGATTCGTGTTTGTTCTAATATTTTTTAAATCAATATTAAACTTTCTGTCCCCCAAATTATATGTTAATAGATGTTAATTGTACAATTACATTAACATGTAACAATTATTTTTAATGTTTTAATTTGAACCAAGAGTATTATTATTATTATTATTTATTTAAAGTTTTAAAAATTATTGTGTATGCCGATATTTATTTCATAATACACCTAAATGATATTTTTTTTTTTTCAAATTCGTTACGATCGAAATAATAAAACAAATTATGGTTTATTCTAGAGTTTAATCAAAATAAACCATAAAGGTTCATAAAAATTATTTTTACGGGTGGCGAGAGATAAATTGTTTACGTTTCTTAACGTGAGATCGTGGTGTGTCTAATAGGGTTACACCATTAAATGTTTAAAAGCTTAACGTTTACTTTGTCGAAAAAAAATCAACTGAAAATCTAAAAAAAGGCCATATTTTTGAATATTTATCAAACGTATACAGATGATATTTAGTGCTACGTGTAGATGTATTTTTAATAATAATTGTTTATGTATTTTTAATATTTGTATTTTAATGGGTATTATGCTAGAACTTATGAGTAAAAAAAAAATTGTATTTCAGTTGGTGATCTTTATCTCTTGTCTGGTCAGCAGTCCAATTCTTGGCGCAAGATTAGCAAGGCTTTCCGACCTCAAACCCGTAGAAGAAAACGAAACAGATTCGGCCGATGACGTTCCTAAAAAGATAATATTTAGCGGTCATCATGTGCCGTCTCATCAACACTTTGGCGGCGGATCAGGTGGAGGATTTGGCTCAGGTTTCGGCAGTAACAATGGAGCTTCGGCTGTAGGATTCGGTTCAGGTTCCGGCAATGGTTTCGGTTCAGGTTCCGGCAATGGTTTCGGTTCCGGTTCCGGTAATGGTTTCGGTACAGGTTCTGGCAGCAACAGCGGTGCCTCGGCCGTCGGATTCGGTTCAGGATCGGGTAGTGGTTTCGGGTCGGGTGGAAATTCCGGTTCCATCTACGGTTCCAATTCCGGTTCTAACTACGGACAGCCGGGCTACGGATACGGCAACCAAGGTGGCCAAGGAACCGGATCGTCGGGATACGGTAACAGTTATGCCAACATGGTGGGCGCGGGTCAAGGTAGCGGTTTCGGCGTTGGTTCGGGTGGCGGTGGATCGTCCGGAAGTTTCGCCAATGGATTCGGTTCCGGCAACGGCCATAGTCACGGACACGGGCACGGGCACGGGTTTGGCCACGGATTCGGTCACGGCGGAGGGTTCGGTCACGGCTCCGGTGGATTCATTCAGAAGCCGCATCCATTCTTTGGACATTTCCATGGATCCGGTGGTCAGTCCAACGGGTTCGGCTCTGGCGGTGGCGGCGGCAACGGTTTCGGCTCCGGCGGTGGCGGCGGTACTGGATTCGGTTCCGGTAGTGGCAGCGGATTCGGATCTGCCGGAAATGGCGGCGGCACTGGATTAGGTGCCGGAAACGGTGGCGCAGCATCTTACGGTTAACGCGACCGTCCTTAGTCCGAACTTCAGTAGTAGTAATAGCCAAATATAAGAAAAATGTAGTGTCATACACGGCAATACCATAATAGTCAAAGCAATTTTAACTTCTAGATTAGTAGCTTTCTTGTGTCTGATGATCGTTTGGAAATCATGCACACGCACACTATTTATTGTAACCATTCGAGTCGAAGTAATTTCAACTTCTAGATTTTTAACCTTCTAGTGTTCGATTATAGTCAAGCGATAACTTACACAGTAATCGTTTGACAATGATCGAATTCTATAAATCGAGATAACCGTAGTCGAAGTATTAACTTCTAGCTTATCATATCTTTCTTGTCATATTCCTTTACGCGAAATTTATTTTGTAATTTATTTTAATCATGTTCGTCCGTTTCAATGTTCAACGATATGTATAATAATATGTTCATAATTTCAATAAATGTAACAACAGAAACGATTGTTGTCCCTACAACACTTAAATAATAATAATATAACACTTTAATAATGACTATTTGCTATGCTCCGTTTTGTGATTACAAAAATCTAAATACACTGCAGCCATTTATAATGTTGTACTACGCTCAATAACATTGATGATAACTATTTGTCTATAGCGAACATGTGTTAATTAAAAATTATAAAAATAAACAAAAATTACCTCTGGTACGTTCATTGTTCGTTGATTTAATTTAATTTGTTAAACTCTCATTGTTCTTTAGCTAAACCACCTAAGTATAATCTGGACCAGTTGAAATCCAAACAACATTGAGTTTTATGGTGGTCGAACGACTTGCGAGTTACTTATAAAAGTACATGGTTATCTCTTGAGTACTGTGTACTTAATAATTATCATAATTTACAACTTTTAATCATATAATTATGGTATTAAAAGTAAGTTTATATTATGATTTCCATATATGGAATAAATGGATTTATAATAAATATATATATATTTTTATACGTGCAATGAGTCAAAATAGAATATACGTAGTTTCAAAGTTAATGGTTGACCTTTATCCATATAACATTTTTTGATAACCTAGGAAAATAAATGAAAAATAACTATTATCAGTATTTTAGACCAATAAAATATGGTAAGTACATTTTTTCGGATTACTAAAGAATAATTTGTTAATAAAAACGATGTTTTAAATAGCGAAAAGGAAGAAAACTTAAAAATATTTTCAACTCCAAAAAGTTCCAAAAAAAAATTGTTGCTAAATAATTTCTTATAGTTTTACATTTATTGTGAGAGAATTTTTTTTTTGATATTTTATATATATTTTTTTTTTTTTACGTAAAGTACTAAGAATTATTAGCAAGTTCTCAAGAACTGCACGTAATTTCAAGTTTTTTTCGGGTCCCTTGCAAAATTTTTATATCTGCCGCTGGGTTGGTCGGATAAATTAAAATTACTCCCTTATTACTAAAGAAACCTAAAAATAAAAATAAATGTTTTGTCCGGTGGAAAAAAAAACACGGTAGAAAATAGAATGACGATTTCGACGTAAAATGGCTACGACGGTCGACCTGATTGCTGTAGTTCCCAATTTATAGCCAAACTTTTAAACACCGTAAACGATCAGCAGTAGAACGTATAACAACCGAAATCGGTCCGGATAACAACCTGTTGTGTTTATCGGTTAAGTATTTTACCGCTTTCTTCGTGCTGTGCGCCAAATCGGTGCGTTTTTGTGTGAACACCCTCAAATTATTTTGACGCGTAATTATCAATTTATTTGCTTCGAACAATGTCGCAAACCATTATTGCCATCGGTTAGATCACCGGCCGTCGTCTATATAATGTCTTCATAATGTCTCCGCACGTTTATAATTTCTAACTCCAATACAAGGTTATATAAACACCTTACGACGGGCAAAACTGAAGATTTGTTCACCAAAGTGGCGGTAACCGGTAGGTAGATAACAATAGTGGAAAAAAATACCCTGCTAGGCTGCATAATATATTAATTATTAGGTACCCCACCTAGTTATCCAGCCGCCTTACCTAACTCGATCCTTGATAATCATTCTACGGAAACGTTATTTTACAGCCTATATCCGGTAACTGCTACAATAATTTATCTTACGAATGAATGTCCAAAAAAATATCCATGTTAACACCGTGAAATACAGCGTATTCAGTAATTAATGTGTGTTATTTCTATGAAATAATTTCAAGGTATTTATAAAGCTAACACAGTAGGGGCTCAGAGCATAGCGGAGTCAGTGCAGTAATCACAGGACTGTATATGAATATAATATTATATAAAGCGCTTCGATGCGAATCTGTACATGGCAAAAATAACGATACAAATCATTGTAAAGGCAACAATGTGCCAAAAATAGTATTTTTATTCTATAGTGGATAAGATTAGGGTTGGTCGACTGTCTACGATAATTTGTTGCCATCGTTACCCGCATCATAATTAACAATACAATGAAAATATTTGTTTGATACCTGTAACCTGCCGATTATTTGATTCATTCACACATAGTAACCGGGAAATTGAATACGGTCAAAGTGTAATTACTATTTTTTTCTTTTTTCTTCCTCAGTCTGTATGTAAGTGTTCGTCTGTACAATTCTTATGTCCGTCGATTCGGATTTGTATTTACCCTAAAATTTTACCAATGTTGGGTTGTCTAAATTAATCGATTATAATTTGGTGGTAATTAGATAATTGGGTTTCATTTTGACGGGATTTTTTTAATTTTTCTGGCTATCTATTCAATCTAAACGTCTAAAAATTGTTTAGTTAATGCGTTTAGCTATACGTGTTCAAAATTCGGCTCTCTTATTCAAGTTGTAGAATTTTGACTATATTTTCTGTAATCAGTCGAACTTATCTTATACCTTATGACCCCGATAAAACATAACTTTCATGAGGAAGTTATATACCAACTGTTGGGGATTTTGGGGTGCTTTTTTCGAATTTGAAAAGGAAATGGTAAATTTTAAAATGTTTTGGCTATATAAATAAAGCCTTGCACGTACGATTTCTTATCTATTGACTAGCTACATGAAGGAATCAGTTCAGCGGTTTAAGCGGTACAGACTCAATTATAAAAAAATTGAATCATTAAAAAAAACACAATTGTGAAAACAATAACTTCTCAGTTCTACCTAGAACATGTTATTTAAATAATCCAAGTTACAATAATTAAAAAAAAAGATTTTAAGGGGTAACTTTTTAATAAATAAAATGAAATAAAAACAGCTGACAATACTGATGCATTTCTTATAAGCCGAGTAGAATTTAATGTATTTTTTTATAAATTAAAAAATTAAATTAATAACATTATCCAAAAAGCTTACCTCAAACAGTACATACTATAATGTCGGTTAGAACACACTTTTTGAAGCGCTCACATTATTTGTAGAATGTTTTCGATTAGCACACAGCTGTTCGGCAAATAAACGTATTCCTTAAACATAAAAAATAATATTCTAAACGAAGAACTACGTTATTATTTATGCTACTACTACTATTACTAATTGCGATAAATTATGTGCTGCTACCTAATTTAGTTTTACGGCGAAATGCTATGCAATATTAATACTGTACGGTATTGAGTGTGCATTATACTCATTTTTTTTTATCTTAAATATAAATTATTTATTTTGAAATTGTATTCAAGAAAACGGAAAAATAAATATAATAAAAGAAAGTGCTGTCGTTTTTCAGGGAACAATTATTGTGATATTTTCCTCCAACAGTTATTCGGCCGAAAGGTAATATTATAATATAATGCGGCGCCGGTTTTAATACGCTCAAGATTGTCGGAATACTGATTCTAACATAACTGTCATATTATTTTCTTATTTCCGTTTATAATTTTAACTATAAACGTGTTCTTAGAATAAGAAATAGTGTGAAATAGCTGCTGTTTTTTCACTATTTTTTTATTATTTTTTATTTTAAGAGGCTTCAACATCTGAGGTTATTAGCCTTGTGTACATGTTTTGTGTAAGTTACATTAATAATTAAATATCAAAGGTTACAATATTTTTTTTTAAATAAGAGTAATGAAATACAAAAGTGTTGGTTAGAGGTTGTTTACAATGTTAATTTTTGTAAGGAAATTTAAAATTTTTATGGTGTTGTCTTCATGGAGAGCTTCTTCTAAGTTGTTGGGTATTGATAGAATACTTCGGATGTTTTGTAAGTCTGGGCAGTCTAGGATGATGTGTTGGATGGTTAGGTCTTCTTGGCATCTATTACATATGGGTGGCGGATCTTTGCTGATTAAGAAAGAATGTGTCAAAAAGGAATGTCCGATTCTCACTCGGGTTAGAGTGACTTCTTGTCGTCTGTTTAAATTGTGAAGATGATGCCACTTTTTAGTGCATTTTTTTTTTCACTATTATTATACCATTTTTTATTACTTTCGCCGAATGCCAAACGAGGGTTAAGTAAGGAAAATATTAATGCTCACCCGTCCGGTATGTTTATTATACGGCGGTAAAGATAATAGAAATGTTATACTTTTTTTTTAACTAGCTTTTGGTTGATATAAATGTTTGAAAAATAATTGAGCCGATCTAGATTATATGGCTGATCATATGACAGACATCCGAAATAATTCACTTATGAATTACCCACAGTTAAAGTTATATTTTTTATATCTGTTGAGAAGGTTACATGTATACGATAGACCTAAACATATTACCAAATAGTTGGGTAAAAAGATAAAAGTATTATACTACAACGTTGTACGACACATCAATGTAATAAATATATTTTTATAAATGTAATAACAATAAACCGATATATTTAATTTAAATGACCAAAAACAAAATGCATCAGTAACTAATACATTCTTATTCGTAGAGATAATGATTACAATTGTATTATTAACTTTTACGTAGCCGTATATTATTTACACAGAATTAAAAATTAAAAAATTGCAAATGAAGCATTGTGCACAGGTATAAATCACCTATATATAATACTGTGTAAATCACAAAATATCTGTTGCTTATGGATTCACTCGTCCCGACACCTAACTAATTTCAAACTCTATTCATTATCAAATATCATTCCGTTAGATTTGATTTAGGTGTACTAGACTTTTGGTTTAGTTCGAATACAAGGTTTTTAATTATTTTTAACACACTCCGAATATAACTATATAGCGAAAAATGTCAGGTCGACTTTCTTCACATGACTAAATATTTTTAATTTTCTATCCTCTTATAATATCCCCTTTCCCACTCCGCATTTCATCCTTAATTCTCAATCGCTTAGAATTATTAAGGACACAATTCCTTTCATATTAAACGCTGGCTGTTGTGTTTTGTAATAATAACAATAATTATAGTATTTTTCCAACATCGGGTGGCGAGAATGAATTAAAAAGAGTTTTCTATATTTTACCTTCGATGCGAACCTGAGATGAATAGTTTTCCAATCATTTATATTATAATATTTTTATATTTTGTATTTAGACGCCTAACCTGATTCACACCAGGCTAGGAAAATCCTAGGAATTGTCCTTCTAAATAAAAACATTTCAGTTTAGCCTACCGCCCAACAATAACATTAAAAGATTTTTTTAACTGGAAAAGTAATTTTTACAAATTATTATTGACCAGTCATGTTGTTAATGATTCATTATTGTTATTTCGTGCATTTAAAAATTACTCTCTAAAACTATCCTATGTAATAATAATAATCTTAAATTAAACAATAATAATTAATTACGATTATTTGATATAATACGATTTTACTTGAAACCACCCGTTTCACTACAATAATTATTTCATGGAAAAATTCAAATAAAGTTTAAATAATAATAAGATTTAATTTAAATAATAATGATGTGTCTCCTTCGATTGATTTCAAGTCGCCTTTTTCTTACTGATGTTGGCTGGAATTATTTGGAAATACCAGCAGAATCTGTTCGCCGAATAGTTGTAAACCTGTCTTAATATTTTCTACAATAAATTTCAGCCATATTGGCTGCTTTTACATTGCCCTCGTACTTACAATTAATGTACATAACTCGTGTGTGAATACACCCTGCGCTTTACTAACAGTTTTTTATGTTGTGGAATGTGAATACAACTTGATTTCTATTCGTACAACTTAAACACTTTATTACATCAATATTATATACAATCACTTTAGTACATATATTAGTATAACAATATTACAAGAACCTTCATAAGTCTAATGACACAATAAAAATATAAAAAAAAGGAGATTCATTTTTGAAAGTTTGACAATTTGTTTGTTTGTATAAATTATTGTATTAAAAAAAAATGGTTAATTTCATTTTTTATAACTTATAAACTGTATTGTATATTTAGATAAACATTTTTTCCATTATGAAATTTAAAGGCTATAATAAAAAATATTTAAAAAGAAATTAAAAAAAATCCTTAAGCATATATTTGGGGCTTATATTTTATTTCGCAAAATACACGCATATTTTAGTTGTTTTAAAATATGCATTTCCGTGTCGTAGATATAATGCATTAATTTTATTTTAATATGCAACACGACAATATAATAATTCATTTTACGGATAGGCAATACCTATAAAAACTGCAAGCCGTCGTTGCCGTTTTTAGGAAAAAAAAAACTATGAAAGACTGTTTTTTTCTCAATGTTGTGTTTTTACCTCATTCACTCATGGGGTATGTGATATATTTATTCCGTAATAAAAAGTTGTTTTGACCTATCAGTTCATTTATTATCTATTCATGACACGGTTTGTCATAGCTAAAGGCGAAGCTGAGGTAAATACGTCGTTTACAATGATGTGTTTTTGTTTTTGGACTCACGATAAGTATATATATAGGGGGTGAAATGACTAACGTCGGTGCCACCCTACTAGGTCTTCGTTCAATGTAAAAAAAAATAAAACTATATATATATATATATACTGTTTAACTAAAATAAGGCACGCTTTAACATTACGAACAATTTCCAAATTAATTTTAAATTTGTTTTCAATATTCGTTAGACATCGCAGTTAATAAGATTCAATAAATCAGGAGACTGAAATTTCCTCAACTACACGGAAAATTATTGAACCGTGGATATGTTTTTGGTAATTTCCTAAGACGGTATTGATAATAGATTATTTCAGTTTATAATTCGAAAATAAATGGTCAAGAAAAATGCAAAAAGCTTAGATTCGCGACCCGGGGACGTATCGCGCTAAATACACCCGACACGGCCATTGAATGACGTCATTTCGTGACATCCTGTCGTAACGTGTCACAAATTTCGGTTGCGTGTTCAGCGAAAAAACATATTATCCATGTTTAAAACTCGCAGATCATGCACTTGGTCATGCAACTAACTCAGACTTAGGTAATACATTAAATTATAGTACATTATAGTGTTATGAATTTTGTCTGATCAACGAGCATAGACAAATACAGTACTAGTACGAGTAGGTTTAGTAACAATACATTACAGTGATAATACAATTCTCCCGCCTTTGAGCTTACGACACTAGTTAATAATTGTCCCGTCCGTTTTGAAATTTCGGTGTCGCTGCCTAGTTTGATAAAACAATATTCTAGAAACATTTCTAATGTTAAAATATTGTAATTTACCCTACCCATTAGAAGGATTGTAAGAAGGATATTATTATAAAAGGATTTGTATAGAAGGATTGTAAACTAATTCTTTCTATCTCTTTTGTTTTGCGAGTTTTCTGGGCTTAAGGTATCAAAACTAAACTGAAGATATATGTAATTATAAAATACTTACGAATTTGATCTTTTATGTATACTTTAAGTCATAATAATTCTTGTGGTTTTATGTTCCGTCTCAACTGCACATTAAAAAAAAAATATATATTTAAAAAATAGATCTTTTCAGCAATTTGTTGTTGTTTTTGTATAATTAGCTCTTTGAGGGACGGTAGCTGAGAGCCATAGCTACTTTTATTATGGTCTTTAAAAAGTTTGTTTAGTGTAAGTAGTCAGTAATATGATTCATTGTTTTTGGCGATAGTTAGTAGTGATCTAAACGTAGTAATCTAAATATACCATACTAGAGCTTACAGTTGCTTATAATTTCAATTTCTGCCTCGTATCCTACGATTTTATCAATTTTATCTTGCCTCTTAGAGTCTTCAATTAGGGATACTTCTTGCCATAGAAAGTATTAAGAATCGTACACACCAGATTTTAGTTATTTTTGGTCCCCAAAAACTAATCCAGGAAATTATGAGTTTTTAATTTTTGTATAAAATATTCATTGTTCCTTCTCGGTGTAAAAATCGAGTGCAAATGTAATAACGTTACTAATTATATTGAATGCGTACAAAAAATAAATCTGTAGCTGTTATACTTTTCAAAAAATAATATTTCAGAAGATGTCCGTAATTAATTTGAGTGGTTTGTCGTGGTTAATGTTAAATTATATAATATTACAATGTGTTTGTAAAAACTATATAATCGGAAAGGTCATTTAATTCGACCTATAACCTCAGGAAATATGAGTTGTATTATGGGGTCCCGATGATAATACACGGGGATCCATATTGTAGTCAAGTATACCGTGATACCGGCAAAACGTCAATAATTAATTAAAAAAATTTGTGTACTGAAGAATATTATATTGTTAGCCGTTCAAATATAATACACAACCAATAGCTTCAAGATCATCAATAAATTAGTGTAAATAATAAGTCGTCTAGCAAGTGTAACAATGGAAGGCGTAAATCTGATTCTTTTTACTCTAGGCAATGCGAAGTTCTTGTTTTCATTGTCAAGTTTTAGTAGTTAGATGCAAACAGGAAATGGCTGGATTGGAGTAAAAAAATGCTGTACAAGTAACAATATTTTAAAATTGTTCAGTAAAGCATTTTTTAACTTGTATTTTGCTCTTATCAACACATTAGTGTGCCAACTGTATCGTCTGTTTAGGTAATTTTAGGTTGTTTTTTCGATTACAAAAATATAAAGTTATTAACGAGTTTTTTTTTTTTACCCTGTTCAATGAGTTTAGTTTACTTGTAGAATCGACTATACATTATTATTATTATTATTATTGTGCGGTCAAGTTTAACGCAAAAGAATAATACTTCCATAGAATTAATAAAAGCATTTCTAAGGTCACGAAAATAATATAATAACTTTGAAGAACACATTTCGATTTAACAATATTGCAATAAATACCAAAATATTAATAAATTATGGCCAAAGGGCGATTTCGGTGTGATTATTTTGCATGTATTGTTGTGTGCAACAGGAAGCTGTACCTGTATGTAGTTTCCAGTAACAATTACTTATGCTTTGACGGTCATTGGGCATTCACTGTGTTAGACCTTTATCGTGACAATGAATATTTTTGTTCTCCACCAGGGTGTTATTGCATTGGTAAGTAGGGAGTCACCTGTCCCCCATTTTGCGTTATTGGCAATCGATAACACCACGCTATAAATATCCAGTAGATGGGCTCAACAATAACATTCAATCAACAATCATGGCTCTTCACGCGTTTACGGTAAGCATTTCAAATTTGATTACATTTTTGTATACAATTTTAACTGTGTTTGGTATTTCACTTCTCTAACACACAACTGTTCGTTATTAATACTGTTGTAATTTAATTAATCATAACTTTGGACTGTTAGCAATGTAAAATTATAAGTGCGGGTTGTCTGTTGAATATTTTTGATACTCAAACATGACGTTAGTTTTAATTTTTTTTTATAAATACACCTTTTTTACTGACTGTTATAACGATATTTCATTTTTTAAATTATTATAGTACAATGTATAATCCTATATTATAACATTATTGAAAACATTACGTTTAATACTAATAATATAAGTAATTAAATTTGAAATAGGTTTACTATTATGCGACATGATTTTGTTTTATTTAAATTCTTTTCAACCGTTCTTAAGGATATCGATAAAAATTAAAAGCCGACAAAATTATATTATACTCTAATAGAAATTCCGAGAAAACAACATTTTATATATAATAAACTTTTTAAACAAACAACTTTTTTTATTACCTTTTAATATCCAACTTTTGTGTTTATTATGTAAAAACAAACTTGAGACTTTGTATTTTCCGCTATGTTTTATTCAGCAAAGCTTGAAGGTGGTATAGACAAGTTAGTTCGATTCACTCTATGCTGAACTTTTAAGAAGGGTACATCCATGCTTTATTTCAGGGAATTTTTTCGATATTCTGTTGGCTTTATAAATTATTCATACATTGAGCGAATAAGTTTTCTTTGTATACTATCTACAGATAAATTAAAATACATTTTAGTATACATTTATAATGTAATAAAGGTGGATACAATATAAAATTATACCAATTTAATTTTACACATTTCATTTTGATATCTCCCAGTAATTTTTGTCTATTTGGCGTTTATCGTTGTTAGATATTTTTAAAATCAATTTAATATTGAACTTCAAATCCATTGTTTGATTTTATAGGTAGTTAAACCAAAACCTATGATGATCTAAAAAAAGTCTTACACTAATTGATATTATTTTTTTAACATAAAATATTTAATGTCTTTCTAATTTTTAAGCAGCTACTAAATTATTTTGCCATTGCTGTGTTTTATAGTGAACTATAACATTGACTTGAATTCTAATATACATTTTCTCGACTACTTGAATACTCTAAAATATTTTAGTGTACTAGTTAATTGAAACTTAAAAGGATGGTCGATGTTTTTCAAATAATGCGCATGAGTGATTTTTCTGATAAATCAAATATATTATAGACATTGTTTTTCGTTTTAGGTAATAATTTTGACAGGTCTTCTAAGCCATCATATTGTTGGATTTGGGCTGCTCGAACATTTGGGGTTGATACCAACAGACGAGGAAACTATTGAAAGTGATGTCCCAGAAAAAGATTTCTCGTTGATGGGCACTTATCAGTCTAACCATCGACATCCTGCATCCGGTTCGACTACCGGGCTTGGCCAACATTCGGGTACATCTCACGGAGGTGGTTTAGCTGGAGGATTCGGGCAGGGGCAAGGTTTGGGAAGTGCCTCCAGTGGCAGTTCAGCAGAATCGTCAGGGTTCACGTCAGGCGGTTCTAGTGGTAATGGATTCGGATCCGGTGTAGGATTCGGAAGTACTGGAGGTGGATCTGGTGCCGTTGGCGGTGGTTTTGGTTCCGGGTTCGGCAGTGGATCCGGATCTAGTGGCGGCGGATTTGGTTCTGGACTGGGCGGTGAAATCGACGAAGAAGAAATTGGAAATTATGGCAATGGCGGACAAGAACATGGACCGGATTTTGGAAACGGATTCGGAGGTAGTAACGGTGGATCTTCTGGGACCGGGTTTGGAAATGGATTTGGGGGTGGAAACGGAGCTGGCTTAGGTGGGGGTGGTGGAGAAGCTTCAGGCTTTGGTGGGGGACATGGCAGTGGTTTTGGCGGTGGCAACGGAGCTGGTTTCGGAAGCGGTAACGGAGGAGGTTTAGGAGGTGGTCCTAGTGGGCCTTCAAGCTTTGGTATACATGGAGGATTTGGTACCGGTAGTGTAGGAGGAAACGGCGGTAATTTTGGAAGTGGTACCGGAGAAGGCTTGGGAGGAAGCAACGGAGAAGCATCAGGTTTGGGAGCCGGACAAGGAAGCGGTTTTGGAGCCGGACAAGGCAGTGGTTTTGGAGCCGGTCAAGGCAGTGGTTTAGGAAGTGGCAGCGCAGGAGGTTTCGGAAGTAGTAGTGAAGAAGGCTTAGGAGGAGGCCATGGAGAATCTTCAGGTTTTGGAGCCGGACATGGTAGTGGGTTTGGGACCGGTAGCGGAGGAGGTTTTGGAGGTGGTAGTGGACAAACTTCGGGCTTTGGAACAGGACATGGCAGTGGTTTTGGAGGGGGCAATGGTGGTGGTTTTGGAAGCGGTAACGGAGGAGGTTTTGGAAGCAGCCATGGTGGACCGTCAAGTTCAAGTACACATGGAGAATTTGGTACCGGTAGTGGAGGAGGAAACGGTGGTGGTTTTGGAAATGGTAATGGAGAAGGCATGGGAGGAAGCAATGGAGAAGCTTCAGGCTTTGGGGCCGGACAAGGTAGTGGTTTTGGGACTGGTAACGGAGGAGGTTTTGGAAGCGGCAGCGGAGGAGGTTTTGGGGGTGGAAACGGCGGTGGTTTTGGTAATGGTGGTGGTGGAGGTTTTGGGGGAAGCAATAGTGCACATTCGAGTTCTAGTATACAAGGGGGATTTTCTAACGGTAATGGAGGTTTCGGAGGAGGATTTGCAGGCAGCAATGGACGGCCATCAGGTTTTGGATCTGGACAAGGTAGTGGGTTCGGAAGTGGACAAGGAGCAGGATTCGGTTCAGGAAGTGGATTCGGTGCTGGTTCAGGTAGCGGTTTTGGTTCCAGTTCTAGTCAGGGTCATGGTGGAGTCCATGGTGGAAGTGGGTTCGGAGGTGGCTTTGGGTTTAGTGCTAGTGGAACTGGTAGTGGTCGATTTTTAACTTTCTTGAAATAAAAGTACCCAATATTAAAGAAAATTAAACATTATAAACATGTATTCTACAATTAAATAAATACATAATATGACGTGGTATGTATTTCTTTAAATCAAATCAATAATTTATTATTTATTATAATTTATTTTTTGTATTTTTTTTTAAAATTATTTTTAATTATATATTAGTGTATTAAAAATGTTGTAACATAAAATGTTAATAAAATATTTGTATAATTATTAAATTTCTACGCTTTGTATATTTTGATTATAAATATATACGTATAGTTATCCAATAATTATGAAAAACTGTGTAAAATATACGTTACACTAAGTATATTATATTTTCCTAACAATAAGTAATAACATAAGTCATACATTTATTAACTGATACTAAATTATTAAGTTCGAAAAGTAAAATTTAATCTTAGTTGTTATGTAGTGATGATAGGTACGATTAGGTAATTATTTATTGAAATAATGTTTATATATATATTAAACAAAATTAAGATTCACTTTTAAATGCCATCAATTATTTAAAGTTACCGAAATATTTTGCTTAAATGTGGCATCCATTTTTTTAAGGAGCTTCTTGTATGCAATATTTTTTACACTGATGTTAGTATCGATGTTTATGAACGAAATATTTTGTAAGGAGTAAATATAATATAAGTATCTGAGAGTAAAATAAACGGTTTTTATTTTAATTCAATTAAAATAATGATTTTTTTTTTTTTACTTAATTCAGTTACATAAGTCAATTTGACTAAGGAAGTTGAAAATATGTTCCAGAAGTTAACGTGATCATAAAAAAATAAAAATCCTTTAGACAGATTTTATTTTAACACATGATGTAAGTAGATACGTTCAAATACATTTAAAATAACTTAATAATAATACCATTTTAAAATTGAAAACAGGCGATGGTCGATCGAACAATTGGATGTTATTTTTCAACTCGAGAGTGTATTGCAGCATAAGTAAATGATAATAAAATTAGATTTTTTTTTAAGAGAACTTTCTTTTTTAAGAGATTTCTATTTTTGTAGGTAATTAACAGCATTCAGATTTGTCATCGTCTAGTGTAAATATTATTTATCGAATAATTAAAAAAAACGAAAAAATTACTCGCTATTGGAGTATTTTAGTTTTTAATTAAATAGTCATAAATGTTCACCCTCGGACCTTAGTTATAATATTGACTTTCGAGCTGCGTTTCGTACTTAATAAAATTATCTCGAGGAAAAGAATTAATTACTACTGTAAGTCAGTACTCGTTTCATAAAATAATAATAATAATTTTTGAATAAAAGAAAAATATTTAATAAACTTGGCAACATCGAACATCAATTTGTTTTTTAGGTTTGTTTGCAAAGGCAACTGTTACATTAATGTTGCTTAATGGGATTTATTTCATTATTGAATATGACCAATTGGATTAATATAATATTAATATCGTAACTGTCGTTGAAAATATCGTTCTTTCAGTATTGTAACTGTTCTCTAGTTTGAATACGATTTTCTCACTGACAGACTCCAGTGGTTTTGACACTTTGATTGGTGTCTCATTAACGCAGTCCGATACTTAAAAATAATAACATCATTTTTTATTTCAACTGTCGTTCCATAAGTAAATCATTTTATCATTCGTTTCGAAATTTTTTTGAAATATGCAGCTGTGTATACATTTTAATAAATCTTTATACAGTAACTTAAAAATAAAAATCGAACATTTTAAGTATTTTTTTAGCATAATTTAAACGTGTTTTTCTCAGATTATAATAAAAGTGACTGTCCGGGTTTTCTAGTACTCTTATAACATGTATAGTTTATATAGTATATTATGTAAGAAACGCGAGTGGTGACGTGTAAATTTAACTTATTCCGTATTAGGTATGAAAATACGATTTTCGAGCTGGTATTGAACATATTGATGTACACCGTCAGCCTATTTAGCAAAAGACGTATTTCCGAAAAAATAAATATTCGACGCATATTACGTCATTTAAAAGGAAAAAATATGATGGGTCGGCTGGAATGTGTGCAAAACAGTAAGTAATTGTTATTGAAATAAATATAAACAATTAAACGTTTTTTCCTTTAAGTGTGAAATTTAGTATTTCGGAAATGCGTTCTTTATGCTAACCAAGCTGACGGTATTTAAAAGAAACAGCTGTATTCGAACGTTATTTTTTTCGTTTATTTACCTAAAAATAGCGACGGGGTACACCCTGTATGCGTTCATAGTGTACTGCGGGTTACCGAAGATATGGGCGTGTAAATATTATGTGTTTTGGTCTCCCGGCAGTCGGCGGTGAAAAGTGACTGTTTGGTTCGTTCACCTCTACCTCCGCCGCCGCCGCCGCCGCCGGAATCAGGTGAAAATCTTGGACGGACGACGGCGGCGGTACAGGTTTCGGTTGACCGAAGTGCCCGAAGTGGGCATTGCAGGCGGCGAGGAAAACCGTGCGTTTCTTTATTTCATGTACCTACACACACCTTTTATACGGTCTCCGCTTATTGGAATTCCTCGGGTGGAAATGGAAACACGGTTCCGTTGTCAACTAGGAGAGAACGCGCGGGCTGATTTTGTTTTTTTTCATTTCAGTAACGGCCGTGTATTATTATGACAGGCGCAACGCGACCATGATATACCGTGATTATAGCGTATAGACACCGCGGTGTAAGACGTATAATAACGACAAAAATAATAATAATAATAAATACCCAAACAAAACGGCCATCGAATCGGGTACGTTTCGGTAATACGGATTTCGCCTTGTTTTTTTCTTTTTCTTTTCTTCGACTTCTACAACTCCTCCTCCTCCTCTTCTTCCGTGGACCAACACGAATCCCATATAGAGTCGACTCCTGTGCAGTCCAGTGTCCGCCGTCGCCGATCGTTTCACGACCCGTCATCGCACTTGTACCGCTTTCGGTTTACACGCATTCCGAACACCTACCATGTCCCTACTACAACCGCAGGTAATTGTATTCATATTATACATAGTAGATAAGTAATAATAATTTTTTTATCGTCTATATTATGGTCGTCGGTTTTCTCTTTGGTCCACGAACAGTTCAAACATGCATTGGTGTTTGTGTGCAATACGACTGAAACGAAGGCAACTTGTGTGTATATTTTGTATTTTATGTTCGTTTACAAAATTAACACGACCCTTAGTGAGCCTTACGGACGCTACGAATATAGAATTTTAACGCTGTATTTATTTCATTTATAAAAGGAAAAACTATATTCAGGTATGTGTTTTTTGTGGTATCGATTTGAAAAAAAAAAATTATTTTACGGAAAACTAAACGTTGGTCGACGTTAAACCGAATAATTGATTACGATTGATACAACAATGTACGACAAGTCTAGTCTTTGGAATATTATTATTATTAATTAGTTAACGAGTTATAGGTTAAATATTAGGTATATAATAAGCTAAAAATTATCAAATATGTCAAAAAAGCCAAAATGCTAATTAAACGTTAAACTAAACCTTAACTAGTGATGCATATTTCTATAGTTAAAACTTAAATGATAAAACCTAAATGCGACAATTTTTATTGCTAAAAACTTAGAACCCAAATTGACATCAATTCACGCCCATGCGTGATATAATTTTAAAAAATAATAATAATGAGTTTTTATCGGAATATTATACATATTTTTTATTATTATTGAAAAGTCACAAAACGGCTATTGTTGTGCGATTATAGCGAAAAACTATATTTTTTCATAATAGTTCTATCGTATAAGTTTTGGTAACAATGAAAGGTATATTTCAATTATTGAGAACGTCCAAATATGTTTAGTCGTGTCGTTAGAATACTGTACTTAGTTTCAGTGCAAGATTAATCTAGTTTCTAATTCGTGAAATAAAGTAGCAGAAAAGGTCTGTTTTGATTTTCATTGCACATTTAATAGCAATAGCACTCATAACACACAAACGAATATCAAAGAATTATGCCCAAAGTATGTATTTTAAAGAATAATTCACCACGCGTATAATATAATTGAATAGGACACGAGACACATTATCGTTTGCCAATAACCTTGGACTCGAATACTATATGTTACATTTTATTTTTTTTTTTATTCACGGCGCACAAGCGTCCATGTTGGTCTATTGTTAGTGCAAAAGACTGACTATGAAGAACTAGAAGAACTACATTAAGTTTTTTATTTTATACAAGATCATCGACAATAATAAATGGTATTCAATATGTTATCATATTGCATTATGATGCTTGAACCTTTAGGCTGATATTTGGACATTTGTATTCTTCATACATTTATAGATATTGAATAAAAAAAGCTGGTACAGTGGGGTCGGGGCATTGTGGGAACGGAGAGGTCGCAGGAATTAATATAAATAAATGTGATAAAATCACTTTTAAAAAATGCTTCGATGTGAATCTGTGCATGGTAGGTTCGAACCAAATGTATAATTCTTGGGTGTTTTTCTCGATTTTGAAAAGGGATGGAGTAAATTTTTTTTAATTTTTGCCCCAATAAAGTAACTTAGAGGTACGATTTCTGATCTATACAGTTGCTATACGAAGAAATCTGTTCAGTGGCTTAGAAGATATCATGTTTACAGACACAAAAATAAAAAACAAAATAAAACACATCATTGTAAATACAATACTTTCTCAGCTCCGCATCGAAGCTAAAATATTTAAGATCAGGTAGAATAATTTTAACAAATGGGAAAAATTATATCGCGTTTTTTATTGAAAAAAACCAACAACTTTTGTGCTATAATATATATTACAATAACATAGCAAAATTAAACATTTAATTCTAAAATGTATCACAATAAAGTCTCTAGTTTGTGTTTTGTTTTCCAGACTTATATATTTGATGTGAACATGAGCTGCGATGGTTGCTCAAAAGGTATAGAACGAGCTTTGGAACCATTAAAAGGTAAATTATATTATAAGGTAATAAAGAAGTATAGCTATTGCGTAATACTTTACAAAATGTAATAAGTAATAACTAATAAAACAACTTGAGGAAGATATGTAAGCTAAGTGTTATTGTTATGTACAGATAAATATTAATATTTATATGTACATAATTTTATTAAAAACTGGTAAATGGGTATTTTTGGATCTCGGGTTTCCACGATTTCGAAGTTTTTAGGCACGTTAAAGTAAAATATATAGCTTATAGTTCAGAGCTGTAATGGTTTTTTAGAGTAATAAAAATTGCATTCAAGGAAAATATTTGAAAAATAACAATATTTTCCCACAGTATACATAATATAGTCAAATAATATGTTTGTGTATTGTGTGCCGATGTATTATTCACAATGATATTGTTTTATCGTATTTATGTGTATTATATTTGTTTTTAAATATTCACCAATGTGAAATATAAAATCAAACTTCCTGGGTTTTAGATCCTACACGCTAAAAAAATGTGTATACTAGGCTATAACGCACGAGTTAATCCTCATTGCATTGAAAATCCTCGTGGGACTTTTGAATGACAACAGCTGTAGTATTATATGTTTCTAGGAACACAAATGTCAAAGTCCCGGGTTAATCAGCGGGTGTTTGATCACACACAGTAAAATCAAATTATTCTGTTTTAATGGAAATCCGTGTAAGAGTAGAAGGTATTATATTATTATAGGTCCCTGATGTAATATTATGCATAGATCTGTTTACATTTAATTTGGAAATTTGGGAAAATATTTTGGCAATTTATTTAAATTTTGAACAACTATAAACCCTCAACTGAGTAAGTTTCAGATACATCCACGTCACATGTTTTATGCCGACGTGGATATATCCGAAACTTACTCAATTGATATATCCATCCACGAAAGTTTTAACGCATTCAAAACTATAAACCTTTTACTCTATGATGACATCACTATAGTATATAATATATTAAATTACTCTTTATGTACATTCTTTATGCGGCATGATATAATTATATTATAAATAAATGATACCTACAAAGAAACTTACGACTAATTTAATGGTTTTATGTGTTTATGATTATTTCGATTTAAGAAACACACTTGAGTGTTACCCGAGGCTGAGTTAAATCTCGGTCTGGTGCGAGCGAACACCAAGAAGCAGTCTCTTGATTGACAAAATACTCACTTGATACTACATACTGATTTGTATGTAATATTGTATTAGAATTTGATTAAATCACTTAAAAAATGCAAACCTATTGATAGTGAACAAAAACGTATACAAATAATTAATTACAATACAGTACAATTCTGATGGTCGATTTATAGTTGAATTAACTAGATTGTAAAATTATCGTTTAATTAAATTTTGATCATAATATGTTTGACCTTCTTTAGGTAACGGCGTTGAAAATTATGAAGTGTCATTCGACAAAAAATTGGTCCGCGTCACGTGCTCATCGCCAATGTCTGCGGAGGAAGTATTGACTGCTATACAGAAGACTGGCAAAGTAGCCACTTTAATAAATATCGAACCGCTATTGACGAAATAAATATTTTTGGACAAGACATAAAGAAATGATCGTACATTCTGCCCGTTTAGGATAGTTTGAAAAAAAAATTGTTTCAATATAATATATAATAAAAAATGTTCTTGTATACCAAAATACCGAAACGATGTTAAAATAATTGCAACTGTTAATTAGTATTTTACTAGATATAAATATTCATTTTTAAAAAAAAAATTCGAAAAATCACCAAACTGATATTATTATGTACATATAACTAACAGGTAAACGGCATAAACTAAATTCGACTGTGATTTAAATATTAAACTATATAATATTATAATATACTACCTACATTAAGTTTAGTTTTCTTATAAAATGTCGCTTACCTATTTAAATATTTTAATTATGTTTAGTTTAATAACAAATCAATTAAAGATATATTTGTTGTACTATTATAAAATACATATTTCCAAAATGTTCGTATGCATTTTTATATTCATACAATTTGAAAATTATTTATAATACAGAATGATAATTTTATCGTAAATCAATATCTCACTCAATATCTCATAAGGTATAAGGTATTCTTATAATATAAGAATTTTTTTTATATTTATAATATTTTTATATAATGTGATCTCAGTTTTTCAACAATAATTGTTTTTGTTTTTACTGTTCTCCCAGCTTAGTTTTTTTCGATAGCAATTTTTAAAACTTGAGTGGTAACTCATATATTTTACTAACTTTTTAAATTAAGAATAATGTACTTAAAATTTTAACTGGTCGACCAGTTTTGGACAACTATTTTTAAAGTTATAAGAGATTAAAAGTTAGGATGGGAGAGGAAGTGTGCGCAAATAAAATAAAACTACACTACACCTTTCCTTCTGTCCTGAACTTGCAACTTCAATAACTTTCGTATTGATCAGTCAACATATTTAGTACATTTTTCTCAATTTAAAAAAATCAATGACATTTATGCCTTTCCATTTAAGTTTCAAAAGTTGCTATCAAAAAACCTAAGTTAGAAGGGGGATAAAAACAAAAAAAATTGTGAAAAATTGAAATGACATTGTATTAAAACATTATGGAAAAAAAAATAAAATTATTAATCAAATCCAGTGATATATTAAGTGGTTTTCGATAAGTTGTTCACCCTGTATAAAATTTTTGTTTTATTTGTTTAAAAAAAATATATAATTTGTCAAATACAACTTCAAAGGTATGTCTGGTTTGTGTCCATAATGTTAATTAAATTTTGTCCAATTAAGATATCTTATATAATTTAGGTGTACACGAAACTTGAGTTTTGTGTAATATCGATAAAAACAATAGTATTAAATTGTTTAAGACAAACGTTTTAACTGATAAACTATCAAATAGTTTTACTCTAAAGATAATACCGACATCTTTATAACTATTGTAGTCGAACAATTATAGCAAATATGACAAAATATATAATACAGTTTAAATTGCACAGAGACTATTTGACGTAGACAATTGAAATTTGAAACAGTTGTACAAGTAGATACATGCTCAAGTCTTTAAGGACTAGAATGTGCTACGTGTTTTTACCTTGTTTTAAGGAATGGAAGCTTGGACACTGAAGAATGCACTAGAATGCAGCAGATGTTCTAAAAACCAAGCTATTGAAATGTGGTGTTTTCGTAGGATTTTCAACAAATCTTAGATTGACAAAGTTACAAACGTAGAAGTTTTAAGAAGAATAGACAAAGAACCAGAGGTGATGATTAGTATAAAATCTAGGAAGCTGCAGTAGTATGAATATATGCCAAGGGGCGAGAAATATCAGCTCTTACATCTTATAATACAAGGAAAAACTTGCGGGAAGAGGAGCAGGGGAAGATCTAAAACAAGCTGGCAGCAAAATATAAGAGTGGTTCCAATACAACAGCAAGGGACTATTCAATGCTGTCAAGAACAAACACTCTATAGTCATGGTAATTCCAACCTTCGATAGAAGAGAAACATGACAAAGAATAAGAAGAAGACATTTCTAAACACTTTATGAATTTCGGCACTGAGTTTACTCATAATACATTTTAATACTAAAAAAAAAAATAACACAGTGTACATATATTACATTTATTTGAACGTAAAAGATGAATTACTTTTATATGCGATGGTGATTGCGTATTCAAAAATATAATACTGCTATTTAGTTATATCCTAAATTTAAGGAGAGCTTAAATTTGTAAGGCAGTAGGGCCAAATAGTGAAATAGTTAATAAAAAACCAATATTTCACAATATTATGGTGAAATATTTCAGACTTCGTACATTATTTGTAAATTTTGTATTACAATAGGATCTTTTTAAATATTTAAATATTTTATTTTATATTTATTTATAACCATAAGTGTTGCTCAGGTTTTCTAGAATAAAGTCCAGATTTATATTTACTTAAAATGCTTAAAATATACATGAAAACGTATGCAACTTTTTGTTTGAATTATGTATTTCGTACGTACCTTTATTATTTAATAAAGAAACAGTTATTAAAACTAAAAAAAATCCAAATAGTTAATCAATCAACTAATAATTGGTTAGTTATTTGTTAGTTACCGGCAAATTCTTTCTTTTGTTTAAAAATTAGTAAAATGAATATAATTATTTGGACATGACCATCAATTTAACAATTTAAGTACAATCATTTATTACGTTCAATTAGTCTTATTTATTTTAATAGTTTATAGGTACTTGATTTAGTCAAACAACACAATTTACATTAAATAATATGACACATAAACATAACAAACAATTCAACAATAATTACTCGACGAACGCTGACAGTATTTACGAGACAGAAAACATTATCTTCAACAAATTGTAAGTTAACGTCTTAGGTGTGATAAATAAAAAATTTCGGGTGTCGTTAAAACGTTTATTTTTATAAAAAAAATTGTTTTTTCACATTAAACCGCCAATTAACGAAGAAGATTACCTAGTCAACAAAAACCGTAGTTGCCAAAAAGGCGGATGATTAGAAGGAGAAGAGGTAGGCAGTAACAACACCAGAAAAACCAAACCAATCAGCAGCACGGCGGCTGTAACAGTGATACGGTCAACGAAAGTGAAAAACAATCGTGGACCCAGAAAATAGAAAGCCTGAAAAACGATATGGACCAGAGACGATTGGCCATTAAAAACATCAAACTGTCACTGAACCAATTAGATGTCACTGAATAATAACATTTGTCTGTAAACTTAAGTATAAGCAAAATGAACTAATTATGTAGAGATTTTTTTTTTTATATACAAGCTTTGACAACTTAGGCCATTAGCTGTTGGCTGTTGAAAAATTGTGTTGGTCTGTGTATGTGGAAAACATGTGGTAGGTACATGACATAGGTCGCCGCTAAAAATCCCGAGTGGTCACTTATGTGGGATTAAGCAGCAACGGACACAGCTCTTCAGGTGCCACGCGGCAGCTGAGGTGTGGACTGCGCCACACCATGTCCCTTATGAAATTGTAATTTTTAATTATTGTTCCTTTTGGTTTAATAAACGGTTTAAAAAAAATAAATGTACAAGTTATTTAAGTCTACCAAAAATACAGAAAATAAATATTGACTTTTTGTATGAGGCCATGTCTTGGTTAGCAAGTTTAAGAACGTAAATTAATTTTACCAACAGAATTTTGAAGAAATTTTGAGGGTCTATTAGCTCAGCTCTCAAAATATGTGAGTTACTCGCAAGCAAACTTTAGTGTCTGTGATGCTTAGATACTGTAAGGTTTTTTTGTCAATGTATACGAGAAAGCTTGATCGACTATTTTGATATTTTTGGTGAATGTTGTTCTTCTTTGCATACTATTGCTAAGATTTTCTGACAATATGAAATTACAAACGAGGCGGGGTGGGTGGGTCATTAATATAATTGAAAACGTATATAGATTAAACCACATTTTCAAGTAGATTATAGTAAACACTATAAATCGATTTGCGTTCAATAACCAATTGACGGAGCATTTACAAGCAAAATTATTGATAAGCGATTGAAAATCAACATAGGTTTATTAGTTCAACAAAGATATTACAATTATACCCAATACAATAAACACGGATGCTGCAAATGCGTACTCATACCAAATGCTCGAGTTCATCTGGAAGCAAAGAATTTTGCTTCCAAATTTTTACGGTATTCATTACCGTACGTAAACGGACTAATATAACCATCGTTACAAGTAAAAATACGAACAATGTGAAGCCTGACAGGTAAAAAGCGACTCTGAGGATATTGTATCCTTTTAATGAGTGTATGCCAACGTGTGGTTGACCAGCGGTCGTCGCTGTTAGGTTGGCGGTGGGCTGTTCTAAATCGGTGTCATTAACCAAAAGCCAAAAGTCCTCGCTCAGGTTCTTGGGTAAACTTGGATGGTTAACTATGACGGTAGAGAGTTCCGCTGTCTGGGGAGGAATGGAAGTGTTGCCGTCCACCATTCTATCAACAATCGCGTCTGGCTTCAGCTCACTATAGTGTATTATAGGCGGCGAATTCGGAGGTTCCATTTCAATCGAGTCCATGACGTTATTAAAGATATTGTCCAATTCTTTCCACGGGAATATATCACCGGTAGCCAAGCGTAACACCGACATTGCCGTTAACGCCGCGTATGTCCAAAAAACCATAATTGCCAAGTTGCACTTTACGAAGTTGTACTTGGACGTTTGAAATGTTATCAAAGTACGAAAGACTATTAAAACTTGAAAACAGTATGATTGTGCTTTAACGGTAACCAGGAAAAAATTGTTACAAAATCAACTCCGTCAGTACGTTGTGTTTGTATGGAGCCAATAACAACAAAAACGAATTCGAAAATGCGTGCAGTTTTTAAAAAAAATACCTTTGTCAATAGTCGATTTATAAATATTGTTCATCCGTTAAGACCATTCGTTTAATAAGATCCGCATTTGTACTCACCAGCAAATGACATAAGCCCGGAAGTATTTTTTTCTTAAACGTGAACAATCAACAACATGTGTTAATCCTCGATAAATGTGTTTTTGTTCCCTTTGATTCTCGTGTAACCTAACACGTTCTTGATTTGCCGTTAATGATGAACCCGTGTAATAATTTGCGTTTTACCTTTGCTTCCTGGGTCTCGAGGTGTGGCAGTGTAGGTTTAAAAAAAATCCCAGGAGGCGAGGGGTAATCGAAATTTGGGTTTCAGGTCATGTGCAGATAGAGACATGATAGAGACATGTTTTATAAAAATGTCGACTATATCCGACTGTTTTTCGCGAAGATATAGCAAATCAATGTTGATGGTTGAAAAACTTATAAGAAGATAAGATACAGCCTACATAGGTACCATGGATTATAACAACATTACTTTAAGACGTATTGAGATGGCTCGACACCGTGGCGCGTAGTAGTAGCTCGAGCATCGATCTGTGTTCTTCAAGAAATACAAATATAGTCTTGCCCGCAGACTTGCGATTTTAAAATAATGCTTTTGGCAATTAAAATTAGTATATTATCATTTTTAATTACAGCACGTTAATGTAGGCGGGCCCGGTACAGCCGTTCGGGAAGTGCAATGACCGGCCCATTACGATTTCCTGACAAACTAATTTTTTTTTTTCGTTATACACGCAGACACGATTATATATGAATATTAAATGTGCGACGGGCACGCGCACTTTTTAATAGGAAATTTCGTTGTCTTTGTTGGCACGTGACTGAAATCCCCTATTCGATTGTGTGTGTTTTCTTATTCAATATAATATAACGATTAACACTAACACCGGTCATAATATCATAATAACCATTGGCATCGTTGTCGGTATTAGTCACATCAATATAATATAATATTATAAAATGTAAGACGTTTTGTCCGGTTCCGATCCGGCCGTGAGTGACTTCGAAAATACAGTGAGTCATGCACATATACGCCCAATGAATTTTTTACCTATTAAAAATATGTTATAACAATCTGAAGCTTTCTTATTATATTTCTCCGGCAGTTAACATAACGTACGTCTATTGAACGTTTTATGAGAAAATCACAACCAGCAGCTTGAGTATGACAGAATCGAAATGATTAGATTAACTTGACGGCAGATGGTTAAAGAACAATTTTTTAAAAATTTCCCTGTTTATAGATACATCATAAAACGATGTCGATGTCCACCCATTTTCCAAAATATGATTTCGACCTTATATTAAAATAATAATTGTCTTCTGATCACCTTAAACTAAATTAACGACAAAGCATACCTTATTACTGAGAATAACACTTGACACTTATATTTTATAAACATCGGTTCAAAACTTAAAAATATCTATCTTAACATCAGATTTGTAAAGAATACTTTTATTTTGCATTCGGAATACATTTTCGATTAAATAAACAAATAATAATTCAGAATAAATGTTTCAATATAATATTTACATAATATTGAAAACACGAAATAATTTTATTCAAAAGACATTTTACCTACAGTTAAAAAAGCAAAATAAAGGAAGTGGTTCTACCGCTTCTTGGGTAAAAGTTAATGATATTTTTTTGGAGTTTCACTGTACATCGAAAGTACTATATTGTGTATTGAACTATTTCACCTGTTTATCAACAATTTATTTTTGGAATATTTTCTTAATTTTGGATTGTTAATTTTCAAACATTTTGTCCTTTTAGGGAATTTCAGCTGTTGTACAAACTTGCTATTTGAAAAAATTGGTCTAGCTATTTCTAGTTTTGAATTACTTAAAAAAAATCCTATTCAATTAAGATGACCGTCAATTTTGAGATTCTACGATCACAACTGACAAAATACGGTGGACTCTAGCTAACCTTTAATAATGAAGAAAAATTGGGAAAACGTTGAAAATAGTCGCTATAATTGAATAATACAAAAACAATCCATAAAATTATTTTTATTAATGTACTAAGAAAACTACGCTAAAGTTCTATTTTTTAATTGTGAATTTGACAAATATTGACTATACAAACCTCTTAAAAAATGTGAGTATAGTGTCCTCTTAAAGGTCTCCACAATTGTAAAAGTATTCTGTTTTACAAGTAGAGATAGAGTACATGGTAATTAAAGAATACGACTTTAAAGGAATAAAACAAGAAAACGGTTGAGTACTACATGTCGTATAAAGAGATTAGGCAATCGGTGAGGTTTAGGTTTGAATGTACATCAAAGAAATATAAATTATTATTTGCAATGGAAGAAGTGAACAATAGCAATGGGCATTTGGTGTAATTGTAGGATACCAGCATATGGTGATTATTATTGAAGGATATTGTAAAAAGAACGTTTTATACATTTTTTTTCCTATTATGATTTTTACATTTTCAATTCTCCATTAATCGATTCCAGTAAAAATTTAATTTCGATTTAAATATTTATTTTTAATCAGTCATTTTTTTAACAATGTCATTGTAAATGTAAAAAATAAAACTAGTCGCTTAAAATTAAGAAAATAATCATTTTAGGATATAAATTTCCTAGGCACTTACTAGTACGCATTTTTATGTGTAGAATTCTAAGCTTGTTATTAATAGGCCTAGTGATTACATGTTTTATTCTATAACTTTAAGTTGGTATGTAGTTAGTATTATCAGTTCAGTCACGTAATAACCGACCACAGTTTTAAATGGCGCCACTCCGAATAATTTAAGTATTTGTTGATAATATTGGTTGATATTGACATTTTGTGTTTTAATTGCTTATGAACGGCAGTTCGTCGACAGTTAGGATAGTCTCATGAACTTATGGCAAACGTGACTCAAAATTATAATGTAATACTTAAGGGCGTAGTCGGTGCAGCATACCGCAGCTTTACTTATAGTTTAATATAGCTAGTGTTTAAACTCATTACAAATTACAATATTTTGATATTAGCGCGATATCATGAAAACTATGAAAAAAAAATAATTGCTCGGAAAAATTTAATTTCTCCGATAAGGTACCTTATACCTGCCCTCGGACGAAAAAGTCAGTATTACACAGTTAATCACTTTAATATATTATAATATTTTACTTTCACGGTACTATATTGAATCATTATAGTATTATGACGACTGATAATTTTGTTAAAAATAATATTGTTGTGTTAGGTTTGTGCTTGTAAAAATGGTTTATTAAATGTTTTACCCCTATGCTTCGTGTATGCTTAATTCGATTTTACTGACATGAGTTTTATACATATTAAATGTATAGGTATGATAACATATATGATATGCCGGGAGGAATTTTAAATATGCAGGAAACCTAAATTATTATTATGCGACAACAATTGATCTAAACAATAGTGTGTGTGTATGTGTGTGTGAGTATTATGTAATGTCTGTTCGAGTACAAATATTTCATAATATTAATTAATATGTTTCTATTGGATTTCCTGCGGATGCGTTTTGTCAATGCATTCTATACTATTGTGAATATAATAATACCCACTTGTAAAATAACACCATTTGACGAACGCCAGTCAAATGATACATAGTTGTAAATCGATTTAATTCAATAGTTTTCAAAAAGTATAAATTTCAAATGACAAACACGATTTTTGACCAGGAAGCCCCAAAAAAGAAAAGATATTTCATGTTTTTACTTTCAATTAAAAAAAAAAGATTAACATTTAAATATTGCATGTACCTAATTTGTAATATAACCCTCACTACGTGTACACTATTAATAATGAAAAACGATAAAAGCTTTTCTTAGCTTTAAAAATTACATTTACCTAGTTGAAAATTGACGGTTGGAACGGTCACTGTTGTATAAACACTAATTACGTAGGTATTGCTATTAGCCGGCCATTAATTAATAAGAGGTGTCCACTTCAGACAAACCCCCACCGCGTGACCGATAATATCGATGAAACGGTGTTTGTCTTAGGTAACCTTAAGTATGCACACCGCAGTCCTGCATTATGCGCGCCGCGTTGGGTATACTCGTGTGCGCCGGCTGTTGTCTGTGGCGAGCCACATGCCTGTCATCCGAGTCCACACCGTTGTACTTGAGAAGTGCTTATCCCCTTTGGGACCCAAAGCCCAGCGAATCTCATGCCGGCGAACCGCTTTTACTCACTCAGTATCTGCGCAACGGACAGATACTCAAAGCCAAACAGTTGGCCCGTGTGGTGGACGTATTCCAACCACAAACAGTCATCAGCTATTCAGGGTACTTTACCATCAGCAAAGAATACAATTCCAACCTGTTCTTTTGGTTTTTTCCGGCACCGGTAAGTTATTTTTTTATTCATTTACATAATAACCCACAATTCAATATCAAGAACAACCTAAAAGAATTCTACGTTATTAGGTCTAAATATGTTTATCTTGATATTCAGTCAAAATGAGGTATTGAAACATAACTCATTTTGATAAAAGTACACAATCAAATAAGTTTATACGACATTACCTTATTAACGCCGAACAAATGGAATGAACATGGGAAGGTAACGGATATTTGACATATTATCTTGACATAGGCCGTGATGGACCGTAAAAGACCATCATGAGAACTCAACGGGAACTTCCATTTTTTTTTGTTCTAAATAGGTTAAAACTAAAACCAACTTGAGGTCTAAGATAATAAGGTAAATCAACACTAGTTTTTTTATTTTTATTGACTTGTGTTCAATGAGTGATGTGACATTAGCTCATGAGTCAAATAACTATTGAAGTGCATATTATGAGTACGTTAGTAAAATATATTGACCAACACTATGAAACAAATTATTTTCTATTTATGTTTTATGATTGATTTCTAGTAAGAAGTTCAATTTTAATAATTAACCAAAGTATCATTGTTATATAGGCCTTTGCATAATTTAAGAATCACATACCAGAATAATTTCTAATAATTGTTGTTAAATCGACACTAATCCACCGGAAATCCTATTGATATACTTAATGATTTTTATGAAGGAACTACTTATTCCTCAAAGATGCCTTAAAGAGATTCAACAATTGTTATCGTCTTGAAGGCTTCAGATTTCTTTAACTGAATGAGTAAACACAGTAGGTAGACCTACTTATTTCATTTCTTCCATTTATGTATCTCATGGAAAAATCCAATCCGATCGACCAAATTTAGAAACGAGAAGTTTTGGTTATTTTCACAGTTCACACTTTTCTAACTCAACAATTACTTACACATACACTTTTCACTTGTTTGTTAATATTAATTATTAACTGACGTTAATTTGTATTCAATTTTAGTGTCTCTATCACGATAAAGAAGCACCGTTGATATTATGGTTACAAGGTGGACCTGGCGCCAGCTCTATGTTTGGCGTGTTCAAAGAAATTGGACCTTTTATTTGTTCTTACAAAGATGAAAACTTCACAATTACCGAGAACCCAATGTCCTGGCATAGTAACAACTCATTATTATTCATAGATAGTCCAGTGGGCACCGGTTAGTAAAATATCAATACTTAATTGCACTTATCTAATTTTTTACACATTTATGGTATAGCGCGCTGGTGGATGTGTTTATTCCTTTAAACAGTTCAGTTGTATTAAACAAAATAGCGTTCCACCCATTGCGTAGCCAAGCACTTACTCTAAGTTTTACTGGTTATGGATACCTCATATGTTTTTTGCTTATTTTATTTCATGTTTTTCCAGTAATAAAATCATTGCCTAACATATTTTCTTTTATTATAAAAATATGACATATGAGGTGATTCATTAAAGAAAAGAATATCTATCTCTTAAAATAATTGCAATTTTGTACTGTTTTTTTTTTTATGAAAACATTTTTATCTATGTTATTTTACAAAGTTAGCATTTCTCAAGCGCACTCAACCTACCGTTCTAAATTTAAAAATTTTAAAGTAATTTTCCAAAACTGGTTATGGACCTGTAAAAAATGTCAGAAAATTATTTCTAAAAAGTGAATTAAATACATAAATTATCATTTAAGTTTTAAAAGTTGATAGAGATCTGGATGAAAATAACAACTTTCAAGGATTGTAGGTAGTTCTAAGTTAGCTAAATAATATATATAGATATATATTATTTTTAACCATTTGTAATCAGCCTTTTTAAAAAAAATTAAATTAAAAAAAAACAAGTAACACAGCATTGTTACAATGCCTGTTAATATTTAATTACTATGGTTTTCTTTATTTTTTCAATACGAATGAATCTTTCGCATGTTCAATTTTGTTATTTTAAATAGATTATACTTCAATGCTTTAAATCGCTGTTAAGTATGATTTTTATCGTTGTGTTCTTGTAAACTAAAGGTTTCAGTTTTACTGATCACAATGATGGGTACGCGACAAACTTTTCATCAGCTGGAGAACAACTTTTCGAAGCTCTTATGCAATTTTACATTATGTTCCCGGAGCAACGGCCCAGTCCATTTTACATAATGGCCGAGTCGTATGGAGGTAAGTAATAGATGAAATGTACAATATGACTTGTGTATGACTTATTGACTTTGATTGGACATTACAATGTTAAAATTGAATCTAGGAAAATTTGCTCTGTCTCTGGCGTCGCTGATGCACAACAATAAGCGTTCGGCCGATGTCAAAATAAGTGGGATCGTTATTGGCAACGGATTTTTGGATCCTGAGACAATGCTTTGCTACGGCGACTTCTTTTACCAAGTAGGCTTGGTAGATAACATCACACGGCATGACATAATGAAATTGGAATCACAAGGAAAAAAAGCAATTCACGAAAAACATTATGTCGATGCGTTTTATGTAAGTTTTACTTAATAATTCTTAGAAAACATATTCTGGTAATGCATTTTGATACATTTTATTTATTTGTTGAAACGAGAAACACTACACTATTTGATATTTGATAATATTGTCAAAAGCAAACAAAACAATTGGTTAAGAACACTTGTAAAAAATTATAGATTTGCTGCAAACAGCGGGTAGATTCTTCAAATGGTGATAACTCAAAAACACAATTTTTTATACTTGTGTCACTGTTAAAATACAAGTGCGATATATACTAGCTTTTTTTAAAAGAAAATGTTATCCTTATATGTAAGAACAATTTAGGGAATTTATAAAAAAAAATTGTTCACACAATTTAAAAATTGCAAATTTTAAAATGTTATTTCGGGAACTTAAAAATTTGGATTTATCTCGTTTTTGCAGCACGCCCTCCATTATTTCAAGTCTTAATATCGAGCTTAAAAATTGAGCTTATGAAATCCAACACACACCGTTATAAGAAACATCTTACTTAAAAAAAAACAAATACTCTAAGAGGCGTCATTCTTTGTTATTTTTCGTAAAGCATTTTTTTATCCAAAATGACGCACTAGGTGAAAATAACTAACAGTGTATTGGTCAATTTTATGTGTAATTAAAAGTCTCTTTAAATGTTAACACTGCAAATTGCAAATGTATTTTAGTTGTGAATTATAATATTACCAAATGCGTTAGGTACTAAGTCTCGAGTGTTTAACAAAATAGCGTAGGCCAAATTATTGTCCCTCAATAGGGCATAACCCGTCAAAAATGGTATTAGAACAAAGTTAAAGGAAAATTTTTAATTTTAAAAATAAACGTTAAAACCAAAATAAAAAAGTTCTCATTATATTATCGACGGAGATATATGTATGGGCAAAACATTATTATAAACAGACGATCAACCCTAGTCGTATCCACCCTAATGCTAAAAACACATTTTTAAGCACATTATTGTCATTACAATGCTTTTATCGGTATTTGTATTTCAACCATTTACTGATTCGCATCGACGCGGTTATTTAAAAGAGATTTTATCACTTTCATATTATAACTTATAATACTTCCTGAAAATCCGTGACCTCGATCCCAATAAGCACTGGCCCAACTGTACTTCTTGCTTATTTTCCTATTGCTTTGCTAAGTTTATGTGAAAGTATGTCCGTTATGGTTTTAAATACGTATCTTTTACGCAATACCATAAAAATAATGTAATTATTATTAAATAATGAAAATTATCATTTCAGGCTTGGAGTGGAATAATGAGCACGTTTATCGAACAAGCTCAATTCGCCAGTCTATATAATATTATCAACGGTGACACTTTTCCCTGGAATTCGACAAACACTGCGGACGACGTCAGCTACATTGACATGTTACAAACAGCAGAAAGCCGTCGAGCACTGCACATTGGAGACGTTGAGTACACCAGTTTGGGTGTTGTTTACTACAAAATGATACCGGACTTTATGAGTTCGGTCAAAACCCTACTGGAACAAATGGTAACGCGGTATCCGATTCTGGTTTATAACGGCCAGATGGACCTAGTCGTGGCGTATCCGATGTCCGTAAGCCTGTACTCGAGCATGAAAAGTTCTTACGACGCCGACTACAAAAAAGCAATAAGGAAACCATATTACATCAACAATAAGCTAGCTGGTTACATTAAATCAGTAGGAAATCTCACCGAAGTGTTGGTCAGGAACGCTGGGCATTTGGTAGCTTGTGACCAACCGAAAATCTTGTACGATCTCATTCATAAGTTCATAAATAAACAACTTAACTAATAATGACACTTTTTATTAGTTCCTTGTTTCATCTTAAAATCCGTTGAAAATTATTTATCCCCGATGGGCTTTGTTGTGAAATTTTGGAATTTAATATTAGTTATTTTGGGGCAAGTAATCAAAATAGGATTTTACTTTTATGGCAGTACACGTTTTTAATTATGACAGTCCAATAAAAAACCACTACAAATATTTGTAAGAAGCTGTAGTTTAATAAAAAATTAAATATAACTTAACAATTATTACAAAAAAAAAAACCTATAAGCAAATAATACAATTAGATCTTAAAATTAAAAATCTTATTAAACAAATTAGCATAGATGATAGGTATTAACACGAATTATGACAAAAGTTACAATAAATGGAGATAACGTTTACAGGCAGCAACAGAATATATAAAATAATAGAGATATTTTAATAAAAAAATATAAAGATATTAAAGGTAAAGATATATTATAATAGTATATTATATCGTCATAATATTTCACATTTTATTAGAAGATACAATGTACACATAAGAATAATTACGTTCAGAATAATGTGTAAAAATAATAAGACCATAAAAAACATCACAATAAACTATAATGTATACAACAACATTCCCGATAAGTCTAATCGATATAAAAATGTTGGAGCATGTTCATCAACCAAATACACTAAATTAAAACAAAATCTAAGTTTTGGGATCCAACAATTTATCAGTCATCAATATTATTTAAACTAAATACAAACTTCATCATACAGCTTATAGGAAATTTGTTTCGCATAAACTGCGAGAAACCAATTTCGAATAATTCCTATTGATTTAACACGAACAATTGTTATTGACAACATACATTAAATTATTCTTACAGAACTTGTACAACTAAAGTATATTGTTAAAGATAACTGGTACTGGTTAGTTAAATATGATTAGAGTTTTTACATTTCTGGATAACCATTGCACGAGAATATAAAAATTAGTGTCGATTAAAAAGATGTTTAGCTGCCCTTATGGTGATATTTAAAAATCCAACTCAAAAGTGTATTATATTTTCGTGTTGAACGAATTTTTTTAAAAATATAAAATTTGTAATTAAACAAACGTTAGAAATTACAGCTTATTTAATTGAAGTCGACTAAATTATGCAATTGAAATTAGGTTTTTATTGTATTATATTTAATATATATATTCGTGTATTGGATATTTAAGTATTCAATTTTTTAAAAGAAATAATTTAATAAGTGATTTGGAAAAGGGAATATCTCAAGAAATTTGAATTTTATAGAAAAGACAAAAAAACTTAACATTACTAATATATAGTAATGCAGTATGCATAAAAAACTACATACATTATGTTACTATACATGCTTGAATACCAAAAATTATTGAAACTCGATAGGGGTATTTGCACCATTTAAATATTTTGCGGTTATTTCCACTTGAATAGTTTGACTGGTCTGGCCATCTATTCAAGTGGGAGTAACCGCAAGATACTTAGATATGTTTAGTTTTAACACTAAATTATAAATTTAAATTCAAGCACAATACTTCTTTAAAAATCTAATAATGGCATAAAATTGGATATGTCCCTTTTCCGAATAATCTATTCAATTTTAATTGAATTACGGGTCTGTGCTTTGATACAATAATCGATTTATGTATAATTGGTGACAATAAAATTTAACATTTCTAAAAATAATCGAAGTGTTTGATTATATATAATAATATCTATTTTTTTAAATACCCGTTTCTGTTAATTTTTTTGTAATAATTTATATGATTTTATCATCCATGATTTATAACCTTATTATTGAGCCATGATGAAATGTTTATTATTTAATACAGTGCATATTATGACTACAAGCAATAATGATGTTTAAAATATTAAATTTGACTCTATGTTTCGTTATTATTACAAGGTTTAAGGTGGACATATGCAATTTTAGGCACAGATCCGGCTGCGATAAATACAATTAAAATTGAATAGACTAGAGTCCGTATGGTATAGAAGTATTGAAATAATTAGTTTTTACTGCCGGTATAATATCTAGATGATTTAGTTGGAATCTATAGCTTCGTCCAATTTCCACAATTTAGTTCACTCAACTAGGTATTATGGCCTTGACTTTAAGTTATGCTGATTTCAGCTTTTGATTTTTTACAGATGCCTTGTCTGGTCGAGCTTTAACAGAAAACATTAGCGGTTACATAATTTATGACAATATTATATTAAACTAGAATTTTTATTAGTAAACATTATAAAATTATCACAGAAAAAACTGTATCAGGGTTAAGTTTAATAGTTTGATCTAACTTTATGCCATGTCTTCTGTTTTTTATCTAATTACTAATTAGTTATTTAGGTTTACTAGTTGTTGTTTCTTACTTGGACATGAGCCAGGTGTAAATATTATATCGTCAACAGCAAAGCCCCCGTTGGTCGCTTGACCTTCCATTATAATATGGAAAGGTTTATTGGACTCGACGGTAACTTGGGCAGGCATCCAGGCTGGTCTCGTTGTATCCATGTTTTTTGCCTCTAAACTCCATATCTAAAGGCAAACAAATAAATTAAAAAAACCCAAAACGAGTCTATCGGGTGACCATTGGAAAATGCCTTAAAAATATCAAAGGCCGCAGTTACTTTTTCTGCAGGTGTTTCTCCCGAACTATTATCTTGTCTCATAATTTGAAGTAATGCTGATTCGCCTGCGCCGAAAGCCGCGTACCAAAATGAAAAACACAGCTGTGGTTCATCGGTTACTGGTATGACGGGTGAAATAAGTCTCACCATATTAGCTCCCAATATTTGATTGAACAAATCGTAATAGATGTATCCGTCTTAAAATCGAAAACTATGTAAATCCGGTTTCCAAATATGTCCAAGAGATCTGCGTTATTAAACACTTTACCTGGTGCCCCGAATGTCTTGTCCGGTAAGTTTGCTGGTCTCCTATTTACCGTAGCCATTCTCCACGACGCCGGGGATTTGTCAGTGCCGTTTGTCCAGTCACACATATCGCGTTCAAATCGGCATTCTCCTGGTCGCACCTTGGCTCCAGCTGGGATAGCTGAAGAGCAATAATTTTGTTAGTATCTAACTCAAATGAACTTTGTCTATGAACACGCATACTTGAACAAGATCCGCCGAAAAATGTTATGTCGTCAAACGCAATAAAACCATTGGCTCTACTGGAACCCCATATACCTTATAACAACAAAATTACAAGCTTATACACTCAATAACATAGTTGTATTGATTTGCAAGCTCAAAATACACGTTTAAAAAATTATTATTAATTCGTAGATACGTTGTGTGTGAAAACAAATCTTTCCCAAACCATTTAACTTAATCAAACGCTAAGAATAGAGTGACGTATGACTCCACAATTACCTTCGAACAAAATCTGAAAAAACAGTAAAAAATGTTTAATAAAGTTTGTTAAAAATATACTTTCACTGTTTAAAATTACCGCATCGTTAGGATCTTTAATGAGCGCCTGTCCATACTGCCAATCGGGTCCTTGGTGATTGTACAACCTCCATATTGGTTTCATAATGATTCCACCACTATTGTCATTACTTCTTAGATAAATACTTAAAGCACCAAGGCTCGGTCCGGTGGCGTCAATAAATGGTTCGTTCATTACGAACCTGCATTAAAACAATGGGATAATCAACAAATGTATTATATAGGTACCACGAGTACCAAGAGTATTACTTATCTGAGTGAATATAATTCCACGCAAAATTACAGTTGTAATTATTACAATCACACTTTTTTACAAATTGAATTAAAAATAAGCATCGATTTTTGTTTTAGAAACAAAAATGTTTTTTAATAAAAGCTATTACCATGAAATAAAAATATCGGGGATGGAAAAAGTTCTCAAGGGAAAATGTATATTATTTGTTATAACTTCAACAGTTCAAAATCAATTAAGCTATCTGACTACCATACTGACAATAATTTGAATCGACATTTGTTGTAGTCATAACAAATTGTGTACATTTTGGCTTGAAAACGTTTTCAATCCCTGAAATAAATGCATTTACCAAAAGGATAAACAGCGTGGTGTTACTGTTGATTTTAAGTCCCTAGATGTGAACCAAGCTCGACTCCCAGGCCGTTGAAGAGCAGAGCGTGACAAAGTCATCAAATATCCTAGGAGAAAAATAAAAATCTGATGGCTATTATCGGCAAGAAAATAATAGTTTTTACGTGACGTGGCACTACCTTTTTCTGTTCCTAACGTATGATCGTGTATCGTACTTCTCAGAGCTGCCCCGGAAGTTCTTTCCCAATCGATATCGTCTAAACGTTCTCTCGATATCACATTGCTCCATCCGCATTCGTCCACTTCGAACGTACAGTCTCCAGAAGTGGCAGCAGCAATTTGAGGAGCGGCTGGAAAGAACATATTTTGTATTATGTACTATAATGTACATGTATAAACGGTATTGGTGGCAGAATTATATAGCAATAGCAGCAGCAGTAATAAAAAAAAATACATTTGACGTACTCGGACAACTACCGGGCGTCAGAGAAATGTCATCCACCGCAATGTCTCCCAAGTTGTTTTTACCGACTTTGGCGATTATCACTACTTTAAATGGATTTGCCGACGCCACCGGGACTTCAGCTTGATACCACGAGTTGCCAGCTTCGCCAGTTAACGACCAAATGTCTCTGTCTCCTCCTTCTCTTGTGTCGCTAATCGACACCGTCAATGTACCCACGCCGTTACCGTACATATGAGTCCAAAACCTAAGACAAAGCGGCGTGTCTGGACCTACGGAAATCGTAACCAATTAACTACGTCGGATATGCGGTTCGTTTGGCACCCACACAGGTTCTTATCGTATACCTGTAGCCTCGAACTCCATGCTTGACATACGAGCCACGTCTCCGGGCCTCCGTGGATAAGACGAATCAATAAACGCGTAGCCTCCTTCCATTCCCCCGTAAATGAAACTTGATCGATCCGTTGCTGGTCCGGTTGATGGATTTTTGCTTCCTCTTCCCTAAAGAAAAAGTCGGTATATCGTAACCATCGATTATATTCTAGGTTTAAACACTTGGTAAACTTTAATGCTATTTCAGGGAGGGTATACCCAAAATTAGGTTACACTGTTCACAAAGTTGAATAGAGTCGTTATTTATGGTTGTAAACGAGCATGTAATTAAAACCGACAATTCTTTTTGTTTTTTTAATGAACCAACGATTTTCTTATATCTCTATAATCTAAGATGATTTGAAATGTGAACAATATGCCAATTTATATTAGTTAACCAGAAACTAATTTCATATGAGTATTACGCTAACACTATGTTAGTTAAGAATATTACATTTAAAGTATATGCAATCTCAACAAATTTAATAACAATGATATAAGCTGTACATATTATTTTCATTACCAAGGACCAATTAAAGTCGTCGTCTTCATCATTTAACCAACCACAAAATCCTCCTTCAAATGTACAATGACCCTTGCATTCTGAACCCTGTTTAATAGCTACGTTGTCGACTGCGACGTAACCACGGAATTTCCTGAATGGATCTGGCAAGTCTTTTGCTACTCCTTCAAATACAATCTGAGTAAACGAGTAAATTATGTAAGATTTCAGATGCAACAAAACAAAAATTCTTAAATTTATTTTACCTGATGCTCCTTGTTGTATGTGTATAAGACTTCCGACGTCATCCAAACTTTGTTGGTCGGATCTTTAGTACCCCATAACACTCTGAAAAATCCATCGGGTCTACCTTCTTTGTTGGTTGGCTGCAGGATGACTCTTAATCCGGCCGCGCTCAACCCGTCAATATTAAAACTATAAAACAGCGGGGTATCACATCAATTTTGTTTTATACAATCCGTCATGTACACAATATTTACCCGAAAGAAATGCATTTTCCTTCGGCGCCAGTGCTTCCGAGTACTAGGCTTTCGATAAAAGCGTTCTGTCCTTCTCTAATGGTGATGTCGTCTACTCGGAGTACTGGGGCCGCCAACAATGACGTTTCAAAAAATATATATCCTCCTAAAAATTATATGTAATTTTATATTCGATTACGTTGTTTCACAATCTATGACAGCCGAAATCAACCTTTTTCTGCATCATCCCCTTGGCCTGCATCTGTCGGTGGTCCTCCTAACCAGTTTGAAAGCGTTCCAGCCCCAAGTTCCCATTTGAGCGCAGAACCGTTTCGATTTTTCCAATCGCAGGTCACTAAATTAGGATCCACGCCGAAGTCGCATATTTCTAAAAACAGAAACTACATAGTAATCTGCTATTCAAGGAATTTGTGTATAGTAAAAGCTATTAATATCTATTATAATTTTACAGACTCATTTTTAATTTTTGAACGATTACCTGTTCCCGATGCTGGTGCTTGTCTTTTTTCTCGGATCTATAAAATTAAATTTAACAAAAACAAAGTTTTAACAACAACTACATAATATTTTTAAACTTAAAAACGAGTAAAGTTTGATGGAACGAATATCACTCAATACGATAATCACTTAATTATTTGTTTACACTAACATAAGGGCGCTACTTAGGTCAATCTCTTATCTATAATTTAAAGCCAATAACGATCAGTATTAAAGTCAATGCATTTGAGTGAACAAAGTGTCTCCTATAAAATTTAGGCATTTTTGTTTTTTACTTAATATAATATACTATTCTTTCATTGAATTCACCTTGCTTGATCACAGTCGTACCTATGATAATTTAATTAGGACCTCGTTTAATTAAAAACAATACAATAATCCCCATTAAATTATTATTGTATATATTAGTATTAATTTTTTTTAACTCTTGACAAGAAGTTAGGTACCTATAATACATGTTATGTATTATGAGCACGGCTTGAAAGACGGATTTCTAAATTAACGTTCTAGTATGCAATTTGTAAAAAAATATTACCGGTTAGGTTAGGTAATTAAACATTTTTCAGAATCATTCAGATGGGAACTTAAATAAATATGTATGAAAAAATCACTTTTGTCCTAACCTAACGTGTGTGTAACCGTTAAGTGTAACTAATTAACAATGAATTTTATAGTGGATGTTATGTTTTACACTTGTCATGATGATTCTTTGTTTATTTATAGACTTTGCATGCACTATTTTAACAATGAGTTTTTGAACAATTTAGTGATACTAACCCCAAAAATAGTTGTACCAAAAAAAAACTTACCTGTGTTTCAGTTGTGTCAGGAAATTGGATTACAGTGCCGGATAGACATTCCAAAATCACATAGCTTGTTGCAACTAATATTATCCATAATTTCATTTTTTCTACGGAAAAATATAATAGGTTATTTTTCAATATAAATTAAGTATTTAATGGTGTACATATACATTTATTGCGGGGAAGGGGAAAGGTCAGGGGTGAAGCAAAGGACAGTGGAAATTTGTATGAACTCAACAATAAAATCCAAAAGGATGTAAAATTACAGAATTTTAAGACCTAGAATTGTATCTTACCAACCAAAGTAATGGGTGGGTTTTTAGTTTTTTATGAGGCATGACCATTTTTTTTTAGATGAGTTGAAATTTTAATATTGAAAAAATCTTAAAAGGTGATATATTAAAGGTTACATATTACGATATGTATTAAATTTATTAGCTATAATAATAATAAAAAAAAAATACAAATTGAAATGGTTTAGATAGAGAATTGTGAAAAACATTAATAATAAAATATAAGTAAGATATAAAAAAAATACTCTAGATAAATGTCCCCAATTCGGGGTAGACCAATAAATAATTGTATAGATGCTTTAATAAAGACATGGGGATAAGAAGAGTAAATTAAAACATGTTGGTAATATTATCCATATGGAATTAAACGAAATAGTAATTTTGATAAGTCAAATTGTCAGTGATAATACAAATTGATTAAACTCTAACACTTAAGGGCGCCCACAGGTGAAAATTCGGAGGGGGTTCTACCTATAATTTTGTAATAGATTTTACAAATTTGGGATATTGGATATATATTTTAACTTGCAGAGAAGCTAGGGGGGAGTTGTCTCCCTTACCCCTCTCTGTGAGTGCCTTTTATAACACCTGTTATATTGTACCCATCTAAACAATGATTTTACTTATATTATGTATGTACTTTTGATATTCTTATTTGTTTAGGTTTTTTATTTGAATTACTTGGCCTTCCTGCTTAAAAAATATAGTTTAGTCAATCAGACTTACTTTTAAAGTTATTTACAAAACCTTTATTTAATCAATTTTTTTTAAATTAAAAAACTTTTACGTTTGGTATTATTATTAGTAACGTTATTTTTTCAAAACAATTATTTTAATGAAAAATGTATAACATCTTACTTAATTATGAAATTATAAAATACTTAATTTTCATAATATCTATATCTTTGTTTTTCTTAAGCAGCAAGACAAAAGCATTCAATTAAAAAAAGAGTATTTATTTTACTCATTTGCAATATATTTACTGGGATCCAAAGTAAAATATAAGAACTAATTTAATCAAATTACAAAATAATCTATGGTAATATCTTATACGGATAACTTATTGTTACAAATGTATATAAAGCTACCGAGGCAAAAATTATTCACAGCAAAAAAAGCTAGTGTCAAAAATTACTAAAATTAATTTTAAAAATCTAAAAACTCAATTTAATTAATTAAAGATATATATAAATTAGGTGATTTCTAAAAAATTAATAAAGATAGAATTTATAAAAAAAAGCACAATGGAAAATTATTACAGAGAAAATTGACTATTTACGAATCCCTAACATAAGAAGTACAAAAAGTCATTAGTAACCTATGAGGCTGTAGGTCGGACTGTTATAGGATATAGACTCCAGACCATGCCTTTTGCTTTACAACTGAAAACAAAAATATTATTAAGGATATATATTTCCTTTGTGGAATATCTTATGTAAATTAAATTTTACTACAATACAATATAATATTGTAATATTATTAAATTAAAATAACAAAAATCTGTGTGCGGAAAAATTAAATTATTTTTACCGCAAATATCAGTATGTGTAGAAATATTTGATTTATTTAATTTAACTTATGAGTAATAACAAAACCGTTTGTGATGTACCGGTAATCCTGGTTAGCTTAGCTCCGCTTCCGAGTTCCAATAACAACAACGGTGACCGTCGACTTTTAACTATCAGCCTATCGAACCTACTGACCGGTTTGGCGCAAACATCGTTGGGCAACTATGATCAACAATAATCGTCGAATTTCGTGGTGTCCGTCAGTGGAGCTAGGTAAAAGCGAGTGAGAAGGGGAGTCTTTGTGGGCAATTGAACTTTTTTTTCCCAATAATATATCACATAACAACCTGTCTCATAACAGTCAATCCTTTGTACACTTTTCACTTTTCACCGTGCAATTTTGACACGCTTTTCAATACACACACACACTACATAGGCAATATATTAAGACCACTAGGTTTCTTTATGTAATTTCAACCGTTACACGCTGCGCTATGTAATAATGATATAGATAACCGTGAAAATGATATTTTACATACTATTTACGTGCTCGGGTATCGCCGCCGCGACGTTTTTACGGTGCCAACTCGTTGAGTATTTCTTAGTTTTTAAAAAAAAATAATAATTTTATTACATCTTTTTGTTGTAGTTGTTGTTGTTGTTGTTGCTGTTCACATTATTATTATTATTATTATTATTATTACCAATAACCCTTTCGTGGTATTATTGCGACCAGAATCGAGACACTCATTGTTGAAATATTAACTCAGCGCCCGGTGAAGTATATTATAATTGATTGTAGGCACCTACACGCTTATCCGCGATAATTAGAAAATTGTTCAACCTATCTGCTGTCAAACAATTTTCAACAGCTTATAGGTTCATGAGCGGCGCCGAAGGTTGTTCTGTTGTCCACGGTTAGGCTATTCGTGTTCAAAACCCGTAACCAACTCGGACATATCACAAAGTGTGGCCAGCCAGTTTAATTGCTAACGTGAACTCATCCTTAATTAGAAGTTAAGCCACTGCCGGCATAATGAAGATCAAGGTTCGCGTACCTGCGCCATTGCAATTATCATTGCTATCGTGTATTTGTATATATTATAATAATACAACATGAACGAGGAGCAAAGTCAATGTAGTGTAAAATAAAATAACACAGGCGTCCAAGTGTTTAAGTATGGCGAACCTGTATGTACACACGGCGGAAACATTTTGACTTAAGTTCGTTTCGACGCACATTATTATGGTTTCCTCGGTAATAACTGAAACAATACAATGCATTCTAGGCAAAAAGTCCTTGTCGAATAGGAAATATGTACTAATGCAACGATTCCTTATAGTTTCGCTCAATCACTTTCAGAACAATAATTATTGTATTGTTATATTATATTACTTGTTTTTTGATGCGTGGAAACAAACACCGTCCAGACCTTTTACATCTCGCTAAGGGTAATAATTATCAACGACAATTTAATTTGTATACATTTGATTATTATTTGTTTTACATAGTAATTTGCAAACACAATGAAATAATATAGCCCGAGGTCTAGCTGTTCATATGAAGCAAAAATAAATATTCTTTGGATGATTTTACGACTCTCATATTTAAGTGTAAGAACCAGATTATGAAGACTGCGGTTTAGAGAAAAAACACATGTAATGAAAGTAAAAGAAGACGATAATCTTAATAATGGACGTATTCTTTTTCAAAATATGTTATAGAAAAAAAGTGATCAATGTTTTGAATAAATGACTATTTAATATCAAGTACATAAATAATGAATTTATTAAAAAGAGAATAAGTTATCATGTTTTGATATGATAATAGGTCATAAAACTATCACAAGTCAAGTAAGTAAAACGAATTGTATGGAGCTATGTTTTGGTTAGAGAAAAATAATTAAAAACGTTGCCAAGGGCATCGTGCTGGTCTGAAAAATGGTTAATTGACAATAAAAAATCGTCGTGAGTATAGGTAATAAAAAATATACAGAATTGTTTTAGATTTAATAAATAAGAGTTTAAACGTCATCTTAAGTGTTAACGTTTTTGATGGACACTGATTTTTGTTAACGATATCAGTCTAATAACGTTTACCTCTGTTTTTAAAAATTTAGCTTACCTACTGTTTCAATAGAAATTATACTCATTTTTGACGAAAAAAAATCCAGATAACTTCCAATAACTTTTACAAACATTACATTTTACAAAGAAATTATATTTTAGATCCAATTTCATAAATACATTAATGAATTATTCCCATACAGAACAAAAAAAAAAAAGACATCAATTTTAAATATTTTATTAAAACGTGCTCACGATAATTTGTATATATTAATTATATACTTTTGCTGTATATATATATATATATATATATATGACTATAAAATCTTATTATATAAAGCAAATAGCGAATTTAATAATTATAATGCTATCATAATAATTTTAGGCGCACTAATAAATATACATTTTCCGTTTTTTAAGTTTTTATAGGTTGCTTAAAACATTTTGTTAGTAGACAACAAAAGTTATGACCTGGGACATTGTAGGTATATACTATCTAAGTCCATGTATATTTTAATTTTTAAAACGACTCCATTAAAAAAATCAAAGAAACTCGAGGGAACTTCCTTTCTTTTGTACTTTTAGAGATTAATCAAAACACAATCTAAGCTTCTTATTAAAACTCAAAACTTAAATGAAATACAATTTAACTTTAATCTTATATGATTAAAAAAATGTATAAATATAAATTATCAATATTTAGCTTGACTTTGAATTTGCCATCATTATACTTTTATGCAAATAATGTTCTAAGTCTTGAATCAAAAAGAAAGTAGTTTTTAACATTTGTGTGGTTAATCCAACGAAAAGTAGAGAACATTAATTCTATTAATTTGTATGTGATTTTTATCAATACTATTAACTGAAAAATGATAATTAAGTTTAATCACTATAGATCCAGATATACTATAATTTATTAAAACTTGGAAATCACAGTTTTCACGCAAAACAGGTTTTCTAAAGACAATTATGTCGTGTAACGAATAGTAATTTGTATGATAAAACACAAAGATTTATTTTAAATATTATAAATATTCTTGGATTATAGCTAGTCAACGTTCTAAATCAATATAACCATCGCTTAATTCTTATATTATTTGTTGTGTATAAGTAAAGTAAATTATAATGTTGCGTGACAAAAATAATACGTTTTTGCGGAAAACAATTCGAGTAAAATATGTTTTTCTTTTAAATCATGTCTATTTAGGTCAAATAATGTAAACTTTTCTAGTTTACAGCAAAGTTTACAAACGTTTTTTGGTATATACTGTAATATGTTATTCAATATGTATGACGAACAAAAATATTTATACTATAGTATGTACTACAGTAAAACATATATTATAGTGTACATAATAAAAAATAACTCGTGTACTTAGTTAAGAGTGAAATATTATTTAACTTCTTCTTATGAATACTTATTTCTTGAAAAATATTAACCAATAGCTTGGAAGCCGTTCTGGTCAAAATTTACTTTTTAATTTCGAAATACAAAATATTTTTAATACTCCCATAAAAAAACTAATTTCTATAGGATTTTAGAAACCACAAAAACAAACTGAAAATGATTGTTATAAAATCCCTTTTTTAATTGTTATTAATTCAGAAAATTGCCCCAGGTTTAATGAAAAAAATATATTATTATGCTAGTATCAATAATATTTGTTTTAGTTTGAATTAGTTAACTATGACCTATAAATATCTTAAAAGATCTTAGACTTTTTAAAAATATTTGTTTTATTATTATTACTAAGTTAACCCAATTTTGATATATTTTTCATAAACATAACCCCATCCATACTGTATTAAACCCTAATAACTTGAGAAATGTAAAGGATAACGTCTATGATTATCTTTTTCAAATTAAGAACCATTTTCTGAAAAGTTTATTAAATTTAGGACAGGAGAAAAGGTGGAGTGTAATATTGTTTTATCTGCGTAAGTTACTCTACACACTCACCGTCCCGTTCTAACTATAAACTTTAATTACTACAAAAGCAATTATTTGAAACTGGTATAATTCTTAATTTAAAAGGTTAAAATAATATTTACATTACCATTTAACAATCTTAACACACAAGGGATAGGGTGATATTGTTGAAAAATGTGTCAAACTTGGGCTTACTAATTATTAAGTTTAAAAAAAAAATAGCCTAATATCTTTTAAGATATTATTAACTGGGTATAGTTTGGTAATCTCCTGTATTTTGGTCGGATATTGATCTGGACCCTGATAAATAAGATCCATGTATAATTTACATTTAAGTATATAGTTGTATTATTATATATAGTACAGCTTAGTTATTCAATTAAAATCCTTATCAATAATTCATTCTGTAGAAATATTCTTAATAGTGCTCGATTTGTTGTTATGTATCGATTTAAAGTACAAATTCTATGTAGTGCTTCGCAAAAAGTTTATTTTAAAATGTGACGCTTCAAAATATAATGTAATAATCGTACAATATAATTTTTTTATCGCCTAGTAAAATATTACATTTTAAAATGTGACAATTTTCTGAAAAATTATCATAATGTCATAATCACAGCATCATGTGAGCTCATGTTTGTTTGGCATATTATCTCTGTCGAGTAAACTACACTAGTATCTATAAATCGAAAATTTAAAGAAAATCTTATCCAGATTTATGCTGTTATATTAAGTTATGTTATTGTATTTTAACTTTTTCAAAACATTTACTATATTACGGCGTTTTTTTTTATATTTTAAGTAAATTTTATAGAATATTATTATCGTACATAATTTAATAACTATGCGTGCGTTATCTGTATAATAATCAAACACAAAAGTGTGCTGTGCATGCTATGAAATCTTTATGGTATCCAACAAGAAACGGCCGTGTATTTTATTATGAGTACCTGTTTTCGACGACTGAAATGGACAATTTTTAACAAAAGCTTAAAACGAAAAAAACACCGTTCGATAGATTATAATGTGACGCACAATTACTTTTGAAAACAAATACTATAATATACGATTGAAAAACAATATAGGTAAAAAAAAAAACAAACAGCGCTCGGTGCTTTAAGTTTTACTTGATCGGCCGGAGTCGATTGACTTGGAAACGACTGACATGGTATTATGTACATAGGTATATGATCGAACCACAACCGGCAGTGGCCAGACTACTCGTTGTTACTCTTGGCCGTTTGGTGCAACTCCCCCGCGAGAGCGATGGCCCCCACAACCGGGTCAGTGTTTGTTGACCTTGCTGTTACTATGGCAATAATGCACACGTTTAAAGCACAATATACAGGGCCCGGTTCAATGAACCGCCCGTCAAAACGCGAAACCCGGACATATAATAACACAGGAGTTTGGGTGTTATTTGCGTAAGCGCGCATATACATACCTATGTATATATATATATGTATATATGGTAAATTATAATAATATAATATACACCACCTAAGCGCGTGCCGGCCGCCAAATTTGAATACCGCGTGCGTAATTGTACACTACAGGTATAATTCCCTGATCGCTTTTGATTTTCAACATAATTCGCCGTACTCGACGACCGTGAACCATATCGTTTATTATACTTGTGCGCTTGACCACTTCCGTTAGAAGCGTTTTCGAGTCCAGACATCTAAAAATTGGGTACACCAAGACGTATTCTACAAAAAACACTTATTAAAATGATACTATCGGCATACATATACCCAGTACTGCGTTTGACGGGAAATATAGTAAATCAAAAGTAACTAGAATAATTAATATAGTTATTGGTCCGCGAAATGTTGAAAACAATTCGAGTTTTAATGGCAAATGAATATATTTTAGCAAATTCGATACAGAGCTCGTCAATTTAATAAATGAATTAATATTAATCTTATTATTTTTTTTTAAATTAAGAAAACATAATTTACTCGTTTAAATATACATAATTTTTGTTTAAAATAGAGACATCGATTAAAAAATTAATATAGAAAAAAAAACAATGCTATTTATGACATTTCAATCTGCGGTTTTATGAATGATTCAGGAAATTCGTTACCTAGTTGCCTAATTTTTCACAGTTATTTTATATTGTTCTATTAGGTAAAGCTAACTAATTACGTAGGTCGTAATTTAATTAAAACAAATCAATTATATATAATAGTTTGAAGTACATAAACTTTATAGACACATTTCCGTTTTTTATCGAGTCCGTAAGGGCCTAGATTTCATACCGTAAAACTGAAAACCAAAGCCTGTGCAATAACAAGTCACGAAGGTCGAAGACGGCAAGTACTCAACAAACAAACGCATATAAAATGACATCATTTTATAATATTTTTTTTAAACATGCAAATTTATTGAGCTTTCAACAGTATAACTAAAAAAATATACTCGTACAAAGTGATCCATTTAACATAAAGACACTCGTTTTCTTGGAAATCTAAAAGTATCAAATATATAAGGATGTACTCCTAAAGGAAGTTTTAAGTAAACGTTGCAAAACTAATTGCCACAATAGTGACATCGCATTTTATAACAACCTTCACTACAATATTATAAAACGGTTACAATTATATTTGGACTAGGTTGTTGTTTTTTACTAGAACTAGGAATGGTGTAGCAAAACTTGTGCGTCGTTATTTGTCAAATATCGCACTGTTTTTACAGCTACGAAAAAAAAAAAGTAGTGACACTTTTCTTACAACATTTAATACACCATTTAATCTCTTTTCTATGTAATACACTAACTACAAGAAAGTAAATTTTAGTCGCGTTATTTCCTAGTCGTTCTATGGATTTACGAAAACAAATTGTTTCGACGGTATTATCGTTAATTTTGATATTCTCCCATGTGGCAGCAGACAATATTGATTACTTGAAGGTAAACTAAGAAATATTAACTATTGTATACTATCTAAACCTCTGTACACATACCTAAATATATATATAAATATAATAAAGGGTGGGCCACGAGATTTTAGTTAAAATATTTCTTAGGTTGTAACTAGAATTTTGTTTTGTTTTCTAGCAAATAATTCATTCAATTATAGATTGTTTGTAATTTTTTATTTAATTTCTAAAAATTATTTAGATAACCTTTAAAAATCGTTATTCCGACAAATGGATAAGCGTGTCGACAAGCGATCTCAAGACTAATTTAAGTCAATTTGTGAGATATTGGTTTTACGTTCGGAAATCCCTTATATATACACGAATACACCTGTTCTCAGTGCTAAATGAAACAGCTGATATTATAATAATATCAAACACAAATTGTCTATTATTTTTTTTTTTTACTATTCAGCATAAATATTGAAAACGTTTATTTGCATAATGTAAAAAAATCAAAAAACAAATGTTTAAATATTTAAGATCGGTTGTATTACATTTAGTGTATCGTATCAAAACAACCCATTGACGTATGTTTTTTTTTTTTTTTAAAGACTTATGATTTTGATGTACAGTCTAACCAGAAACGTGTTTTCAGCAAGGAATTCGTCAAACTATTAAATAAATTCGAAACGTTGGAAGTAAACAAGATCGTTTTCTTCAACAACTCCGATGTGGATATTTTAACGGGAAATTGCTGTACGGACGAATGCGAAAAAGAAATAAAAAACTTGATCGAGAAGTACGATAAAAAATTAGCCGCTTTGAAGTGCACTAACAATCTGATTTTGGCATACATCTTAGACGAGAGCGTCGGTTTGACGCAAAACCACGGACAACCGTTGGACCAAGTGAAGACTGTCTTGGAAGATTTCAGAACCTACGTTGCCCGTATGCTGTCTGTGTTTTACTTGGGACGTGGCGTGGTGCCGCGTCCCAAGCGGCACCACGCTTGTTGCGGTACACATCAAGCTAATCGCCGCGGCAAACACGACGGAAGTGAATGGGGGGAAGTTCTTGAAAAACGCCTTTTTAGTGCGCGCTTCTTTGAAAAATGACATCGACGATTACAGTCGAAAGTGTGAACATCGTCAATTATTGGCAGTCAAACGAAATTCGGACAGACCCGAGCACGAGTACATTGAAATCGTCAAACGGTTATACGACAATAGGGATCTAGCAGACGCCTATAACCGTGATGATATGTTCACCGCGGAAAACTTATCCCTGTCACACGTGTACGGGCAACACGACGTTCTGTTCAATGCAGTGGACTTTATCAGTTGGGAGAAAACGCAAAGACGGATGGACGAGTACAAGAATAATCTGCAGAAGCAGTACAACCGTGGCCAATGGCCGATTGCGCCATTCCAGCACACGGTTTATCACTTATGGTTCCAGCGCGTCGTGAACACCACGGTATTGTGTTACACGTGGTTTCATCTGAAGATCATTGATCATTTCGAGGCAAACAAAGAAGGGGTTGTTGGCAATGCGAACGCGGACAGGACACTTATTGAAGAACCGCTAAAAAAGGCCGTGGATGTATTAGACATCGATGATAATGTGTTTTACGTGTGATAATGTGTCGACGATTTTGCAATCGATTAGAAACCCCAGTGCCACATTATTTTTTTACCCTATATGTAGGCAACCATTTACAGGCAAACCCATCAGTCTAAACAGTGAAACAGTGAGGATTATAAGTTATAACGGTAAGAGGGGTAGTATAAATTGACAAAAAACTATTAAAATATACAATTTAATCGTGTCAACTCATTTCCAGGTTATGTATATTAACTTTCAGGTAATACTTTTTTGTGGTAACAATTTTACAATTTTAAAAATTTAACCGGTATTACGAAATATCATAAACAACATTATAAATAAGTAATTTTCAGATACCTGTTAACCCTTGGTTCATAAGCATGCGCATAGTGAGGGTGGTTTTTTTTCGGTTATTCCTCAATAACAAATTAAATACAATACTTTAAATACAAATAAGTAAGTAATTCATTAGTAAATTAGAATATCTTTTGTTGTATATAAATTGTTATTAATCCTTATGGCTCATTATTACTTAAACCTCAACATTTAAAAAACGCAATATTTCAAAAAGTATGTAGGTTTTTGACGAAATGGTAACTGACTAGAAGCTGAGTAGGTGACCATAAATTTTTGAGAAAATTGTATATATTACAGCCCTACTATATATCTACCAAGCTAATTATTTTCATTTAGAAAAAAACTGTTAAGCAAACTTATGGTTAAATATATAGTAAAGATATAAAATCTACTTGAACCCTAAACCATAAAAATTATACACTTCTTGCGTACACGTGTTACGACAACGATGTTGTCATCTTCAGCGCTAACAACAGACTCTTTATGATTTAGGGTTCAAGTAGATTTTATATCTTTACTATATAATTATTTTCACATCTTTAGATACAAAAAAATGATTTAGCCCTTACATGAAATTGTGTTTTTAATATTTTTTTGGTTTTCAACGTACATCGATAGAACTATATCTAAAAAATTTCCCAAGTTTGGAACTATTTTGTCGTTTTTCGTTATAATGGTCGTAGTTTTAAAATAAAAAAGTGTTTTCCTTGTTTTTTTTTACTACAATTAAGTACCTTTTGATCTTACTACACATCTTACTGGATGACGAATTCTGTCTAGTTATTAAAATATTTTTAGTGAGTCAAGGTACAAAAATAAAGATACATAATTGAAAAAGACCTTCTCAGCTTTCCTACTGTCCTAGTGCGCGGCGGTCTCCGGCGATCTTACTTAAAAAAAATTATTTGATTTTGGATCTTCGTTAAAATAAAAAACAGAATTTCATACAATATTATATAAGTATTTATTTTAAAAAAATATTTCAATAATGCCCAGGCCTGAATCTAGATACAGGATTGAAACGATGCACTTTTGCACGCACAGTATAATATTATTATAGGAGATTAGGTAGACATTTTAATTTGCATAGAAATAACAATGAAAGGCACGAGTATATTATGCATATCGAATAAATACAAATTATATAAACATAACAAATTGTTCAATTATTTTGCCCCCCCCCCCCCGAAAATATTTCACGGGTACGTCACTGTCCTAAAATCATAAAAATTATAAAGATTTTTTTGAGTAAAAAAAAATGTAAGGAAATACAAATTGGGTCAACAAGCTCATAAAACATTACAAATTTTAAAAAGCAACTGCCGATGACTGTCGATGCGTATGTAAACATGTTGAAATAGGTAGCAATAATAATTCTGAACTACTAAATAAAACGTATATTACGATTTATATTATTAAAGACGTCAATGATAACAACTGTATTGAAATTATTAAACATTGTACCGACAACATTCATCTATCATGTTCTTAAATGCGTTATGTTTTCTTTTTGTTTTACAAATACCTGAAAATTCCAATATGAAGAATAAGGTAAAGTATACGTTATATGTAAGTACAAAATTAGCACTAATTAAAAGATCTATTTTGCTATGCTCACGAGAGACTAATTTTAAAATATTTATATAGATGTTAAATCGTACACATTTTTTTTATTTGAAAAAAAAAATACTATTACAGCGTGAAATTATTAATTTTACTTGAATAGTTCACATATTTTGAATTCCGACGTTATAAAATTTCAACAATTTGGGGTTTACCGAATTTTTAATTTTACCCTAATACTCTCAGTGGAATGATTAATTGTATTATATTTTACATGGATGTAACCACAAAAACACAGTCTAGACAAACCATTCGCAATTTTGTTTTTTGCTACTTGACATGCAATATCAAAATGTATACTGCACAAAACCCACACTCAGACCAAAAATAAGAATTAGCCGACTTTTATAGTTTAACACAAAATTAATATCAATTAAGTTATCAACACAGTTAAACTTGAAATTCTGCATACTTTTATTTTACTTATTATTTTGTATTTTTACAAGTACAGTTTTAGAAGTTTCTTTGGGTTTTAAAATAAATATTGTTGGTCTGAACCTAGTGAGTCAAACGTATTCTGTGTATTCAATTGGTACTCTTAACAAAAAATCTGAAAATAATATCTAAGTCGTTTCGAGCATTTTGTACAATCGTTATAAGTAAAGCATTTATCTGATATTCGTAAATACTCGTAATACTCGTAAATAGAATGTATTGTTATCATAGAGTAATAATCTAAAGAGATGAACAAACATAAAATCGCTTGTATGCGATAGTAAAGTAAACAAAAGGAATAAAAACAGTATGACCACATAAAAGAAAAAAAAGTTCTCATTGTTAAGCGGTTGGTACTCTATGTGATAAAATAAGTTTTTACCACATATATTAAAACACAGATATTTATTATAATAAACTAGATTGCTAACTGTACATGCCGCCAATAGAGAAAATTGAAGTTGCCACTTTTTGCCAACTTTGTGGGAATTAGGACCTTATCACATAACAACTATAATCCGTCGATATATATGTATATATTTTATATCCGTGCCTATAAATAATATTATATAAATCCGCTGTGGTTCATGATAACACCACGGCAAAGATAACACACACAATCCCACAAAAATGTCCAACTGCCGACTTCAATTCTTATCACTAGCTAGCAATCTAGTTTATTATATATACATCAGTGTATTAAAATATTACTGTTTTTTTCAGGATACTGTTGTAAGAAAAAGAAATATACTTTTTAAATAAACAGTAATGTTTGTAAACAATTTTGATAATCTATAACTTATGTTAAAGCATTATTTTACGGCCTTAGCATTAACGACAATATTGTAATTGTTACTTTTCAGCCATGCAAATTTATAGTGGAACGAGTACGGGAATTGGTTGTTAACAGAGCATTTGTTTCATTGTTAAATGATTTTGAAACTTTGGAATCGGATAAAATTCATTTCAACAATGAAGATTTGGAGTTACTGACAACGAGATGCAACGACATGAACCCGGCGTGTTCCGTTGACAAGTACATCGCGGTCGAGAAGTATAAGAAAAAAATGAGTGCTCTGCAATGCACTAACAATTTGATATTAACGTACATTTTAAAAACCGTCAATAAATCGATGCTCGCGAACGAACAACCGATCAACGAACAAATATCGACCATTAAAATATTCAAAACCCATGTTGCCCGTATGTTGTCAGTACTGTATTACGGTCGTCATATTCCGGCTAGTTGGATGATTACGTTGTACATCAAGCTGATTGTCGCATCGAATCCGGAGTTATATGAGTTGGTCATAAATAAGTATTATTTTAGACAAGGGTACCTACTAAATGACATGAAAAATTATCGTAATGAGTGTGAAATAGATCATTTAGTTCCGTCTCAAAACCAGAACAAGACCACAGCTATTGGTGAATATAGTGAATATAGTTATCTTGATTTTATAGAAATCTCTGATCGGTTGTATTACAACATCAAACTTCGAAAGACCTATAAATATGCAATTTTGTTCAAACCGCAAACGTTAACTCTATCTTATTTATATGACCGACGCTACTTTAATAAAGTATTCAATCCCGTAAAGCTCTACAGCACATCAAACAAAAACAATAAATGGTCTTACGAAACACATGACTTCAGGTACCTGTTTACCACTAATCAATGGCCAGAAGTGACATTCAAATTTATGCATTATCATTTGAACTTTCAACGGGCTGTGTACACAAACGTATTGTATCATGTATGGCTTCATTTAAGATTTCACCAGTTAAAGGCAGTTAGATGGTGTAGTTTTGGGCGGAGACACCACAATTTGCATCGTAAAGAAAATGAAAATTGGGCTCTTCTTGAGGAGCCGTTAAGAGAAGCGATAAATGTTTTAGACATAGAAGATAATGTATTAATATCGTTGTTAAAAACATTTGAAGATCCTGACGGTAAAAATGTCCATCTTGTTATTATAAATTTTTACGAGATGGAGACAAGGCATATTCTTGCGACTAACTTTTTCGAACTAAACATGTCCAAAGAGATTATTCGTAAAATATTAACACATAGAAAAGATCGTTTCATTAAACCTCAAAAAATTATAGATAACATTACCTTGATGTCTAAATACATTAACTATATTAAGCAATTACTAATTCCGATTGATAGAAGTATGTTTTTTATAAAATTTGTAAGCCAAGATATTTTAAAAAAATATGACCTATATTTTTTCCCTTATTACATAACATATTAGTCCCTAAATTATTCGTTATTACGCAATTTATATTTATATTTATTGTTAAAATATGACCATTTAATAATTTATTATTTAACTTTAATATAATTTATATACTTAAAATTATTGTAAGACATATATACATATATATATATATTGTACATTTATTTATTGTTTGTTATCTATATTCTATGCATGATTAATGAGAATTCATTCTACATACAATAGTAATTAGCTTAACTTATTTGTTTGATTTATTCAAAAGTTTTACCTTAAATAATCTGTAATAATTATGAAGAAAAAAATGTAATTTCTTATGAGATATTGAGTGGTTTACGATAAAATTATCACTCTGTATGTAAGTATATATATATATATATATATATATATATCAACAACGTAACTGTACGTCAACCAACATATTACATGGAAGACTAACACGGCAATGTATAATATCATGATATAATAATGTAGCGTGTTATAATCGGATATCGTTAGCCTATTTAACAATGGGCGTAACTCCAAAATACCAAATTTCACACTTAAGGAAAAAAACGTTTCATTTATTCTATAAATATATATATATATTACATTTTTTATTTATATACATTTCAATGACATGTGCTTAAATTTTATCACACATTTCATGGAAAAAAACACTGAAATATAATCATTATTATACCAGTCGACGCACAGTTTTTTTTCTTTTAAATAGTGTAATATATCGAAAATTTATTTTTTTGGAGATACGTCCTTCGCTAAATACTAAATAGGCTGACGATATGCTGGATACATAAACGACTACAAGTACGATGATATACAGTAATCATCACGCTATAATTTAGGTTGCTAACGACGCAGGTTTGTATACAAAACAATAGTGCATTTATTTTCGTTTATTATTAACGGAACGATAATATTCATTTTTTTTAATTTTCAAGTAAAAGTTCCTTTATTTTTTAAAATAAATATTTTATTTTGTTTTTCTAACAATATTTAGAAAAATCCTTTTTATTTTTACTACGAAGATACACTTAAGTTTTCGGCAAAAATGTTTTACTTGCAATATGGCGAAGGTAAACTATACTGCTAACAAGCAACTACAGTTTAAATCAATGATAGTCTAGAAATACTAAGAGGAAAAAGGATAAAACTTAAAATGTTAAATGGCTACAAATTTAGTATCAAAAATAACTTGCAAATGATATCCAATAACGAAACTGTACGACAAAAACATGCAAAGGTTTTCTTAAGGTAATCACCGATTATTTAATCGTTTAAAGTATGATACCTACGTTATGTAAATATATTATACTTTATACAGTTTACCTGGTCAATTAATTCATTTACATTTGAGGTTGACGAACATCGACCGGAAAACGATATCATCCAAAGTACAAGTTCTGCACTTCACGTTGGTCCATTTTGTAATGTTATCGCATACACTTTCAGTACACTCACTGCTTGATTAACACGTGATACGGTTTCTTTTTGTTGGTTAGCTCAATGATATCAATTGTCACTCATCATCATTCACACCCGTGAGTAAAGTTTGTTACAAAATTAACAAGAGTGATTCTACTAAACAGAAGCATTCAAGGATAGTTTATGGTCAATCAAACCATTCCATAACAGACCCAATTTGGATGGCCCAAGTGAAGTCCAATTCAATGATGAAGTTGAAGACAACTCAAGCTAGTCAACAGCATCACCACTACCCACCTGCACTCAACAGTTAGTTTATTACCAACAACCAACATAGTCATATTCGTAAACTTCCTACAAGATTAAAAAATTATGTCACTTAATACTTTTTATATACCTACTTAGTTTCGTTAAAACTTTTTTTGGCCTATAATCATGTCCATTCAGAAATTAAAACAATTTATTATAAAAATGTTTTGTTCAATTATAATTTGTTATTATATTTTTCAAAAATTACCAATATTAATTAATTTATTACATTATGTCATATCAAAGTATTTAAATAAAATTGTTTGTATATTTATAATTTTTCATTATGGTTCGCTAAATGTATTAATGTTTATTTGGTCATAGCTTTATGCCTTACTATTATCTACTACACTTTCAGTATTTTTTATTTTTTTTCGAATGTAAGGTCTTGATAACATTTAGATATTGTTTGAAATTATTATCAGTGATCAGTATCATTCCGGGCGCCTAAGGTATCGGAGGTGCTCCCAGTGTTAAAATAAGTAACATGTTTTTATTTAATTGACGATTTTAAATGAATAGGAATTAATTTCCAGTCCTTTGCTCTACTGTATAGTTTCACGAAACGCATGTCAATCGGATCCAATAGGTTTTTAACGGTCGTTGTAAACGCTCTCATCTCTTCTACGTTACATCTTATTTGGCCGACGTTTGCATCAGATGTGTCTAATACATCGGGAAAGGACACGACGCGCAATATATCATTAAGTTCCAAATGATTGCTAAGTAGTTTGGTTGCCGTATCTGCAGTAATAAAGACATAGTTTTTGTCAAATAGCCAGTCGGGCTTCCAGAAATTACGGTACAGGGTCCAAAAAAAATGATCTTCTATGTCTAAGACCGTCATGGCCTCGGCCAGAGGCTCGTAGATAAGTGCCCAAAAATCTATTAATTTTTTTTTTAATCCAAGTTGCAGGGTCTGCTGTTTAAAGATTATTTTATATTTGATATTTTTCTGGTACGTCTTTATGTGATACCACGTGTGGTACATCAGTTTTATGTAGACTATTTCCACGAACGACGTATGAAAACCAATATAGTTGAACGGCTGCCGTACCCATTGCAGTGTACCAGCCACATTTCTTAGCTTGTCACTGTGATTTCGCAAGCGTTCAATTTTGTTCTTCCAACGTTTTCCGGTGACAGGCAAACGGACCAGTCCGTGTATATCATCTTCGTTACTTAACAATTTCGACAGTGTAAAGTTGGCAAACGTGAACAATTGTTCGTACTGATAAGCATACGAGAAACCATTGTTATCGTACACAAGATACATGGAGTCAATGATATGTCTGTATTTTTCAACGTAGTCTGTACCTTTGTACGGTTCAGGCAAGTATTGGAACTTTCGACAGTTATCGATGAACGTGATCACCTGGCTGTAGTTTTCCTTGTCGTCAATGAGATCATTTAAAATGTTACCGTTAATGTCTTCGTCTCCATCGACGGCTGCCACCAGTCTGATGTAGACGACAAGCAGCCATCTGTGAACGAAAGACCGACCGAAATACATGACCGATAATGCCCGTCCTAAATGCTTCTTGTACTTCTCCAGTACCTCGAGTTTGATTTTTGTGTTGGAATTTCTCATGACTTCAAGATAGTTTAAAATATAACGTACAATCGCACCATTCGTGCACTGCAAAGATTGCATTTTTCGTTTATACATAACGACGGAACTACTTTTCTCTAGACATTGTGACAGACATTCTGACGATAATAAATCGTAATCGGATTTAGTAAAACGGTATTCCACAGTGTCGATTGTCTTGAAATCGTTAAACAGTATCAAGAAGTGATAATCGATAATCAACTCACGATCTGGTTTCAACGACAATTCAACATCTGCTATATTCTGCAAAAAAAAAAGGTAATTAAAAAAAAATAAGATTACCTTCTCAAACCATTGTACCATAGCCATAGATCGGTATGGGTATTTTGTAAGTAAGAGTTGTTATAGGTACAATAACTCTTAATGTAATTTCCAGTATGAAAAGTTTTTTTATAAATGTATTAATAAATAAGTCAAAATTGCTTGTAGGTCTTACCAATTTTTAACTTGTAATATAAAATAAATGCTTTACTTATAACGATTGTACAAAATGCTCGAAACGACCTATTTTCTTAGAGATTTTTTTTAGATTTTTTGTTAAGAGTAACAATTGAATACGGTTGACTCACTGGGTTCAGACCAACAATATTTATTTTAAAACCCAAAACTTCTAAAATTGTACTTGTAAAAAACAAAATAATAAGTTAAACAAAAGAATGCAGAATTTTAAGTTTAACTGTATTAATATCAATTTTGTGTTAAACTACAAAAACCGGCTAATTATTATTTTTGGTCTGAGTGTGGGTTTTGTGCAGTATAAATTTTGATTTTGCGTATAAAGAAGCATAAAAAAAAAAATTGCGAATAACTATTCGATAAGATAAACCTTTCTGGACTGTGTTTTTGTGGTTACATCCAAGTAAAATATATTATAATTAAGCATTTCACTGGAAGTATAAGGGTAAAATTCAAAATTCGGTCAAACTAAATTTTTTAATTTTATAACGCTGGAATTCAAAATATTTGAACTATTCGAGTAATTTGATAATTTCACAATGTAAAATCATTTTTTTTCAAATATAAAATTTTTTCAGATATTAAGCGATTTAATATTTATAAAAATATTTTAAAATTAGTCTTCGCAAGATGATAGCAAAAAATATCTTTTAATTAGTGTCAAAATGTTGTACGTCTTATGATACACATGTATCTTTACTTTACCTTTTTCTTCATCTTGAAATTTTCAGATATTTGTAAAAAAAATAGAAAATATAACGCATTTAAGAACATGAAAGATGAACTTTGCCGGTACATTAGATAATTTTAATACAGTTCTTTACATTTAGTACATCTATAACGTCTCCAAGCAGTAGTATACGGTTTTTTTAAATGACTATAACAAAGGTATATGTTTACATACGTATTGACAATCATGGCAATTCTTTATTTGAATTTGTGATATCATAATATGACCTTGTTGACATAACTCGTGGTTAAGCTTCGATGCATAGCTAAGAAGGTATTGTTTTTACAATGATGTATTTTTATTTACTTATTTGTTTTTTTGTTTGTGTCTGTACCCACATATATCTTTTAAATCACTGAACCAATTTTTTCGTGTAGCAATTCTATAGATAAGAAACCATACCTGTAAGTCACTTTAGTGAACCAAAAATTAAAAAGTTCATCCCTTCCCTTTAAAAATAAAAAAAAACATACATAGGAATAAATAATAAGAATATTTTGTAAAATAAATTTCTATAATAATAGTTATGACAATTCGCACAGAATGTATATTTGCTTAGAGTTCCTTAGGATGTTTTTAAGGCTGTTGGCATAAAGTTGTAAAATTAATAAAAAATGTTAGTATGTGTGAAACGCGAACTCCAGAAAGGGGACAAGTATATTTTTATTAATTTTGATTTCAAGATCATTTTGTACTAAGCCCACAAACGTATATTGTTTATTGTAGAAATGAGACGAATTTGACTGTCCAAACATCTAAAATGTTGTCTAAAGTCTTATCTAAGCTTGAATGACATCAAAAATACACTCAACGCCTTAAAAACACCATGAGTATAGTTTAGTATAGTGAGTATAATGGTTTCTGGAAGACAGTAAGATAATAGCTTTAAAAAAACGATGAAAATGATGAACACCAAAAGTTTGCATAATTTTATACATACTATACTTTAAATATAGGTACTTGAATGAAAAACAAAATGTTTAAAATGTTATAAACTATTTTTTACTGAAGTAAATATAAATACAATTTGTATTAACAATTACAATGTTTATGTTATATTTTATAAGAAATAAATAGATTTTATGATACAGACGTTACATGTTTACTACAGAAAGGAGACAAAAATCCTTGACTTAAAAAAAATAAACTTTAATAGTCAATTTTTATGTCATATAATCTAAATACTACTTGTGGGAGTAGTAAAATAAAAGGATTAATATTTTTTTTAAGTTGTATAGTCTTCAAGGAAGCTAGACATTATTCTATTTATGTCAGATGTAGGACAAATATCTGTATTAATTCAAGTTTCCTGAAGTGATTTGTGCATATTTTTTCGAGTATGTTGATTGATTGTTAAGAAATTATATTTGATGGGTATCTTGTACATTTTTATTCTTAACTAGTGTTACCATAACACAATTATTTTTTAAGCTAGATATTGTTCGGTCTTGAAGTACTCTATAGACGGTAGTCTATAGTTTTTTGACTAGTGTTAACATAATATCGGTGCCCGGTGGTAGTCTTTTGAATTTGGACAATAGGCTATTTTCGATGATAGGCTATTTTCGCCGCAGCGGTCACATTGAGGAAGCTAACCATACACGCTTTAGTGTCACACTAATAGTGTGGCCTTATTCTTGAAACACTTGCTAACTGTTTTATATTTATAAAGTTCTTTAACTTATATTTTCTTGGTGGATTTATTTTTACTTTATAAAAGACATTTGTGACTTGCTTGACTTTAAATAGGCATATTTCTAACTCATTCTTTGTTTCTATCGATATAGAGGGTGTAGATTACGGACTTATTTGTTAGTCTTCTTTTAATAGGTGGTTATGATATTCAGCCTTCTCTTCGTATAAAAAATTTGGACTTAAGTTTTGTACATTTCATAATCTTTAGCTAACATTTTTTAATTACCATATTATGTCAAATTCTAATGTGTAGTTAGCATAGTATTAATATGTGATATTATTGTGTAAATATATGTAAATCTACGTACCGAGTTGAAGGATTTCAGTTCTTAACTAGGAAAATACGGTTTCTTAAGTCTCAATAGAGCAGTATTTATTGATTCCACTGGTATGAAGTATAAAAAAAAAGTGCCATAAAGATAATTTAAATTTAAAAAAATCTTGGAATTGCAGAGAGGTGCACACATGTCGAGTGCAGGGCATCGAATAGAAATGAAAATAAATTAAATTAATTTTATTTTATCAAAATGAATGGTATCGCCAACCTTATATAACCTGAAATCTTGCATTGGTAGGTCATAACCAAGCAATCATTTTTTTTAATTTATATATTTACAGTACAGTATTGAGTTTACGGTTTGTTAAGTTGTATTGGATTTTCATTCGCAATAATCTTTAGACTAGTTTAAGATGGTTGTGAAGACATTACACAACCAACATCATTAACACATCACTGTAAATTTAATCTACATTTACTTTAACGGAATATAAAAGCTAATCATAATATAGCTTTGTAAATCATATTGTTTCAATAACAATATATTTTTTCTTTTCTGGAATAAAACACATTGACAAATGTAAGGGATTCAAAATAACATGTTGTTAACAAAAATAATATACTGTCTATATACTACGTGTATAGTCTCATTACTTAAATATAAAAAAAAAAATGTTTTTTTTTTAAATGGTTAAAACTTGTGCAATCTGTTTTTGTCATTCTAGTTATATTGTGTGAGTATTAAAAAGAAAAAAACAACAGCATAATCCAACCAAACGCAACAACACTCATTGCTTAAATACAAACGCTAAAACACATGTTTGAGTATTATTACAATTTTATTTTGGCCTAAATAATAAGGCTATAATATTAATGTTAAGCTTGTAATTCTTACTAATTTAAAAACTGGTTTCAATGTTCATGTTTTACTGGGTTTAATTGATTCGTATACCTATAGTATTCTTTATAATTAAACGTTGAACTCAAGTCGAATATTTTTATTAATATTGTCACAATAAATAGTACTTTAAATGATCATTGATAAATTTTAGATCATTGCTATTAGCTGTGTAGATGATTTCGTTCAAAGAATTTATGTTTTATTACAAGAACATATAATACGTATATTATATAATATTATGTTAAATTATTAAAACTAGATTTCGATTAGAACAATAATTTATAATTTTTTAAGTCAGTATTAATAATTTTATTTTGGTCTAAATTTTAAGGCCTATTATGGCTATGAAATAAAATCAGGAGTTGAAAATTATTTTCAATGTCTATTTTATATAAAATTATAACGAACGTTTGAAATATTCAAACATTTTTAGTTACGCCTATTTTGTTCAGTCGGTGCAAAAATAATGCCAATTTAAGGGGAAAACATAATTATTTTGGTCAACTGGTTCAAAAATAATAGACACATTAACCTGACGTGGGTAAAACGGGAAATTTAAAAAACTTCTATTCAAAATACTCTAGAGTAATTTAGTATTCATCATTTGTTTCTTTATAATGTCAAGTTCTAGGAGAAAATAACATACGTTACAAAAGTTACAAAGATCAAAATTGTGCTTTTACTTAAACTTGAAAACATAGATCATTTCCCTTAACCTGCCTGTTACATGTGAAATAGAAGTTTTCACTTCAGAATTATAATAGTAATAATGATTTTTATTTCAAGCACTCATACAATTTTATGACATTTAAAATACAGGGTGATCAACATTTCACTTTTAAGTTATTTTTTTTCTTGTAATAGTTATATTAGTTATGCAAGTTTAATAAAATCATTGTTACATTAAATAATTAAAAATACTTTTTTAGTGTTCAGGTTAAAGAGGTTAAATAGGTTGCCAGAAATGACACATCAAATGTTTAACTGCTAGACCATTCGCTTTAAAGAATGAGTTATGAGACTAGCAGTGGCAAGGCCGTTTCTCTAGCCCCAAACAACAAACTTGTAACTTCTCATTGGGTTAAGCCATAATATTGTTATAATACAATAGTAATTTTGGGGTAACTTTTAAAATTTAAACAGCAACCTATATAATTAATTACTTATTTAAAGAGGAGCTATGTAATGGAAATTATGATTGGTCGACAATCAAATTTTACTAATCGTGTTTTGAGTTATTAGAGTTCAAGTTATTGGTGAGACGAAGGGTGGTCTGTGTTATTTTTATACGGTCACATTTCACTCGTCGTTTACTAACTTAAAATTCGAATTACTCGAAAAGTATTTATTTATCGCTTATTCTTTAATTCGAACACTAAATAGTATTTTTGTTAATTTAATAGTAAAATAGGAGGAGGAGGAGTGGCCGAGTGGGTAAGGCGGCAGTGTGTTAGCGCTCACTGTCGCCGGTTCGACACTCGGTCACAGACACTCCGTTTGCTGGGCGAGCAATCGTCCGGTAAAAAGGAACCGCCATCCCCCTCTCCGGCGACGGATTGACGACCCGTCCCGGAAGCGAATTCGTCAAGAAACCATCTTGATGGCAGCGTTGGGCCTTAAAGGCCTGTTAAGCTTGATGGTTTTTGGTTTGGTTAATAGTAAAATAACTGCTACCATTTTAACTAAAATAAATTGAAAACATTTTTAAAAATCTCAACATCAATTTGTACCCACTGATACTCGAAACAAAAATATGAAGCTTTTTTGTCTCGTTTAAATAAGAAAAAACTATATTTTAAGTAACTCGATTTAGACAATTTATAAAGGTTCTATTATAAAATGTATAAAAAGTTAATTGATATTTTATTCACATTTATTAAAATATAAGTACATAAAATATGAACCATAATTGGTTTAACTAATTTAATTACTCATTTATTTTATGATATTTTATTTTAAAAATATTACTCTTTTTTTTGGTCAAAAGTGCATTATTTTTCTACGGTAGATATAATAAGTTGCATAAATTGCGTTAATGTAGCACAATTGCCTATTTACAGCCCCGTTAGACTGTAACTAAACATTTATTTTTTAAATGTGGTTCTTTCATGTTATACTCTTATTTCTTCATTAAGCATTATTTCCGAGTTAGTTGTATGGTAAGATCAAACTTGTAGGTCGAGTCATACAATTAAATGCAACGTTTTAACTAATATACAAGTGTCCTAATTTTAGCTATTGACATAGGTAATTAATATTATTAAATTATTTAACATGAAAATTAAGTAATTACTTAGACTTCTTAAAGTAATCGACAATTGTATTTTTCTTCCTGCACATAGCTATAACCCTCTTCTTAAGTGTCATTTAGGTTAGATTATGATAAGGGTTGATCGCCTGAACATTATAATAATTCGTTAACACTGTTACCAAATGCCAATATGGTACCTGTTGATCACGCATCAAATGTATTATAAAGTCAATTTTCATTTTAGCTTCGATGAGGAGCTAAAAGTTATTTTTTTTTTACGTTGATAAGCTTTTTTTTATTTATTTATTTTGTGTTTGGCACAATATCTCTCAAGCTGCTGGACTGATTTTTTCTAGTAGCAAGTCTAAAGTTCAAAAATCATACCTAAAAATTAATTTATTTTAAAATATCACTCCTAAAAATTTGACATCTTATTTAATTTAAAATTGCAGAGCGCTATATCTTTTTGAAAAATAGTATAACTAGTTCTAATATTGAATTGAATATTCTTTAGAAACAATAATATCGATAAACATTGTCAACTAAAAATATAAAAAACTATTTCCCTTAGTTAAGGTGGACATTTTTTTCTTAAGTGTGGTTTTGGGACTGTATATCTGAAAGTTAGACTGATGTCTAATTAGTCTTATTAAGTGACATAAGTTTTTGAAATATATTATACATATGCAGAATCTCAAATAAAAAAAAGTGACATAAGTGGCTTAAGTGACCTTTGAATTATTCAAAAATGTATAGGCAACCCTCGAAACAAAATTTCGAGACAGTCAAATTGGTTTTTAAATTTGTGTGGTATATTCTTTGGACATAGTACTACCGATAAACGTTGACAGACATAAAAAATAAACCTTTCCTCTAGAAGGGGTGGACTTTTTTGTTACTTCGCTTTTTAGGGTTTAATGTCTAAAAATAGATCTAGAATGTGGCTATAACATATACAATTTTCTAAAAAATCTGTAGTCAATTTTTTGTTTTTTTTTAAATACAAAAAAAAAGGAAAAATTACACTTTGACCATAATCAGTTTTAGGTTTCTATGTGTAAGTGAATCAACAGTTAACAGGTATATTTAAAAATTAATTAATCCTACTTTTAAGGATGATCGATCATCTATGTGTAACAACGGCACGAAACTATTAAAGACAAACGATCAACCATAATCGTATACTCCTTAAAAATATATCTTGAAGCACGTAATGGCTTTTACAATGCTTTTATCAATTTTTGTATTTCTACCATCTACAGATTCGCATTAAAGCTTTTTTTTATAAGTGTTTTATTGCTTTGAATTATAATAATACCTGTAGACCTGTGATCTTTGGCCCTACTATAGTCTGGCCCCATTGTAATGACTTTGTTAATAATTAAACACATTAACATTGTAAAACACAATAACTTGTTAAACAAATGTGTAGTCTCATAACATACTATAAAGCAACGGATAAATGTCAAAAGAAGTATACATTTTAGGGAGCTGGGTGACACAGTAAGTGTGGTTCCCGAAACAAGTTTCATCAAAAGGCAGATAATAACCATATAATGAAAAGAACGGTAAAAAAACATTGTTAGAGCGTCACTAGAAAAGAATGGATAGATGTAATCAAAGATGACCTAAGGGCTTCGGAGTCGGAATTTCATTCTATTACTTTGCCAGCATTATAAATACTATTCTTGTTTTGAATAACAATGTATCAAATAACAACACACCAGACATTTAATATCATTGGAAAATTCAATATATTTTTTAATAATAAAAATATTTTTTTCATTCTAATGTATTACACAGAACTTTTATAAGTTAGGCAGTATAAGTACAATATTACGGAAATCAGAGCAAAACAAACTGCTGATTTTCGAAAGAAAAATATTAAGACGAATCTTCGGACCGTATATAGATAAAATCACAGGGGAATGGAGAATTCGAAAAATTTAAGAGCTTAAACAGTTGTACCAAATGCCTAATATAATAAGGGAAACAAAAAAAGAAGACTTCAATGGGCAGGACATGCATGGGGAAAAGAAGGAACTTTAGTTCGGATGGTTCAATGTGGGACTTCATAAGGAAAGAGACCTTTGGGACGACCACGACTAAGATGGGAGGACCAAGTCAGGAGGGACGTACAAAAGCTAGACCCAAACGCAGATTGACATGTCTTAGCGATGGATAGGGGGAAGTAGCATGATCTGTGTTTGACTGTATGATCTTAATGGTCAATTACAAAGAAGAAGAAGTATTACTCAGTAAAAGATAAATCTTTCGTTCCCAAGATGAAACTCCATTGTATAGTTAATTGCAACAATGATTTTACAATAACACTCGAATCTTGATATTTCAAGATAATGACACGACTAACTTGAAAATATATATGTTAAAATGACCAATAAAGCAGGCATATCTGTAAAACATTTAAATTTGCTGATATTTAACACCTTTAATTCCATTATATCATTCACCGAAAATTAATGTTACGTCTTATCTATTAATTACTAAAACCAGTTTGGCCAATATATAAAGTACAACATTTAAAATAATTTTTATTTTTATTGTATTAATTTACAGAGTTTGCTAAAACTAAACATTTTGATGTTTAACAAATACATAAATTTTTAAATATCAAATCAAATTATTATTATAATAAAATATTATATTTAACTAATAGATTTGGGGTACTAAACTTAAAAAAAATATTTATAGTGAATTTTATATTAAAAGTGTTGTGGATTCTTAACGGCCCCGCAAATATTGATTTTTAAATTAAAAACTAAATATTGGTCAACAAACTATTATTCTAACTGGTTGCGTTATAAAATACTAAATACTAATAAAATATTTGAATATACAATAATAAATGCTCTGTAAAATGACTTTACTCTAATGCTTTTAACAATCCAAAATAAGTTATAAATGGTTACCTTCAGGCAATTTTATGTCTATTCTGATAACATATAAATAATAATAGATTATTTATAGCTACTATTACTATATTTAACTAAAAAACAATTGTAACGAAGCGTAAAATATCAAACGTACTGAAAACAACGTTCTCGAATATTAATAAAGTTGGTTCTTATTGCTGTAATAAACAAATGTTTGGAAAAAAACTTATTGTCGTTACACATATTACTATATTGGCGATGTTGTCTGTAACCGGTATAGACAATAACCTCACTGGAATAACTTGGAAAATACAAAACGATGCTATATGCAGTTTTCGAATACGGACACGTCTTATAGAATTGGTCATTTGTACCCTGTTCTCATTTGACAAATATTGTTTAGCTAGATCATAGAAAAATCGAAAAACAAAATCTAATTTCAGAAAATTACTGCTAGAATCGAATAGATAATAGAGGACTCCATCAAATGCATATGATCCGAGAACATTGTTTTCGTTTACGGATGAAACTGTTTAGAATGAAAAATAATAATAATATTATAATAAATACCACGTGACGAACAACGTGTAATTGGCACTGTCAATTCAAACACATTAAATGTTATAACAACAAAAATAATAATAATAATCAATTATAATTATATAATAAGCGTATCTTCTAAACTATATTATATGCACTTAACGTTACGAACACGGGTACGACTATGTGTCATGTAAAATGGTAAACTACGAACTAAAATAAAAATCGTTATGATTTGACACGATGTGTACGTTATGGTAAAAAAAAAAAGAAATAATAAAGAGAAAAAAATTGCCAGGCGGTGTGGTAAAATGTTGTTACATCGATGTAGTCGTGTGCCATTGATCGTCCACAGGTTTGCCAGCTTCTAAGGCACCGGTGGTGTTTTGCGCCAACTCCAAATCATCCTCGGCCAACTTGGCCACGATACCAGCACCGTATGCGTCGCCCATCACGTTCACCGTCGTCCTGAATCGATCACTATGAAGAAAACAAACACAAACAGTTTAGACGTTTCCACGCAAACATTGGCTTCATAACAAAGCCAAAAGGGCTATAAGAATATCTATTCGAACGACTCGATATAAGTACTCCTAACAACAATATAAAATTGTTTTCTCAATTTCAACTTTGAATTTCGATGACAGTCTTGGATATCTCCAGACCATCACGGGAATTTTAAACTTTAAATTTTTATATTATGATTTTTAAGGAACTCGAGCAAAAATTAGTAAAAAAAAAATTGGCTTAAAACACAATTTTAAAACTCAAACTATTAGAAAAACAAATTTGAAATCAAACATTAAAAATAATTTATTAACATTATTGTACTCCTAAAAACTAAAATTGTTAAAAAAAAGTTTATCACAGGAACGGTTATGGTATAATTCCATCTTTTTGTTTTACGTAAAATTTAGTACTTTTGTCTGAAGCATTAAAAAACAATTTATTATGTAACTAGATTTTAGTTAAACAATAAAAGAGACCTTTTTAGTATACTGTAACCATTAAAAACCGGTTAGTTGATCTTAAAGAATGTTACCATGTTACAACGGTTAACACCAAAACATAATGACAAACATAAAATAATTACAACAAAATAGTTTTCAAAATACATATTTTTAGATAATAAAATGTGGATTTACACGTTCAGTTTTATTTGCGCAGTACTCCTTGTACAAATGTGATTTTCGCAATTATGTAATCGTGTTAACGAATATTTAAACAAAAATTTGATTTTTTAAATACAAATGACTTGTGCGAATTCTTCCGCTACGTGAAAATAAAACTATGATGGCACAACTGAAGACAGGCATTCGAACATGTAAACAATTATTTGATGTTTGTGCAAGTATTCGGACTGAATTAGTACAAGCCAGTTTGCGCAAATAAAACTGAACGTGTAAACCCAACATGAATTTAAAACTGATGTTTTATATTTCTATTAAAATAATGGGGTAAATTTTTCATTGAGGACTCCGAAATAATATGTAAAAGATATTTAACTAAAGTAGAAGGCAAAAGTGATGGAAACAGAAAGACGCAAGGTAAAGAAAGGTGACACAGAAATATGTGAGGTGGATAGAATGATGGTGGAAAGAAACGAGCTGACAAATATAAATTTAAAAAATATAAAATATGTATACTTTAGAACTTTCTTATCGGTTTTATACTCACAGCAGCCAGTCGACGGCGATAATTAAGGATACGTCATCGGCGGGAAGACCTAATGTGTCGAGCACCATAACCATGGTAACTAAACCAGCTTGTGGTATACCGGCTGCTCCGATGCTAGCCATGGTGGCCGTTACACTGTAAACCACATGAATACATTACAATACAGGTAAATTTACAATTTTAATGATTTTATAAACTTTAGTAAGAGTTGTCATTTTAATGGGATTCTTTTTAACATTAATATGTCTATGTCTGGGGGTCGAAAAACAACTTGTGTAACGAAAAAATGCAACGTTTTTTGGTGCACTCCCCGTGGTGCTAGAAACTTGAAATTTGAACCATAGCTTCCCTATAATGGTCTCATGCAAAGTATGAATTTAGAAATGAAGCCATAAGACATATTAATGATCTTATGTTTTCCCCAAAAGGATAAGATTCGGTTTTTTTTTTAAAGGTTTCATGAAATTTATTTTTATTATGAACCAGCTTATGGTTCTTATTAAAAAACATAATTCTTGTTAAAAAAACAGGAGCTATGAACCGACCTATAAAGTTGAAAAATAAAATCTAAGAACCATGTCGCTTACCTGACGGCGGCGATCTTGCCAATACTAAGCGGAATACCTCGAAGCTGTGCTATGAATATGGCCGCGACGGCTTCGTACAAAGCTGTGCCGTCCATGTTAATGGTGGCCCCAATGGGCATGACAAAACGCGACACTCTCACGTCGATCTTGTTGTTCTCTTCTAGACAAGCCATCGATATGGGCAGTGATGCTGAACTGTAAATAAGTAAAAAAAATCATCAAACCCAATGACCAATAAACTTACTACCCCTCCACCTAAAAATGCATTCGGCAAGAGAAATAAAAATCAATGTTGTTAAACACTTTTTGCTGCCTATAAGACACTCACGGCAGAATAACAAGTTTGTTTACCTGGATGCTGTTCCAAAAGCTGTGATGATGGCCTGTCCCATGTTCATAGTGAACGTGAACGGCGACTGGCGAGTGAACGCGGTATACATGAGTGGCAGCAAAACGAATCCGTGCACGAACAGACCGAACACGACAGTGATGAAGTACAATCCCAATCGTCCAACGACTGCACCAAAGTCATCAAGTTCTAGCACTTTCGCCGCCACCAAAAATAGCACTCCCATAGGTGACAGCCTAAGAAGAATTATTTTATTAGTATACTACAATATGTTGTCAATTATTTGGTCATTTGGCGAGAAAATAGAAAATGCTAAAACAGACACAAATCATGCGTGGAGGAAGTATTGTGATCTTCACAATTGGTGTCACATTCGAATGGCAGAATAGATAAGAAATTTAGCATTACCATATCACCCAGTTAGTCATAAGCATCACGGCCTCTCCGAGAGAATCGAATACGGCCAGAAGCGGACGACCGGCTTGACCAAGTTTGCCAATGCAAATGCCGAAAGCCACACTGAATGCAACCAATCCCAAAACGTTGCTGCCATCCACCATTTCAGACTTAATTTCCCAGGTGGCAATAGTGTCTGTTGACAATTATAACATTTTATGATAATACACAACTTAACGGTACAGAGACTGGGATTTACTTACCAGGTGAATGCGAAGAGCTGTTAAAAGCCGTGCCGTGAGGCGGTACCAATACTGTCCGATACTGTAAAAAAACGAAAAAATTAATTGTTAGTTTTCGAGTATGTTTATGGTAAACGAAAAGGAATACTCACGGTGGATATGCACGCCTCGATGAGATTGTCGGGGAATATGTTCCTATGTAACAAACACACAATAATAACATTACTATGCATTACAATAACAAAAGATTTCTTCGATTACATAATGAATCACAATTATGTCGCAAGACAATTTAGCTTAATAAATCATAATCATTTAAACATAATTTTCTCATTTGGAGAGAAAGAGACAGAATATTTATTCCAATAGCTGAAAACTCCCTCAAACTTTGTTCCCAAAATAACCACAAGAATATCAATTGGTACAAATGAGATAAAATAAGATAACTAAAAACTGATTTCAATTAAACAATTAGTATTTTTTAATTATTTATACGCAATCTAGTTAGGACCGTGTCTTGTTTTTCTCTCTCTATGATGACCTCAAATTTCTGTCACGTTAATATCTATATCTTAATATATTTATATATATATATATATATAGAACAAACACACAAACCTGACCAAGTCCAGGATGGTGTCGGATGTGGTTATAGGTCGACTGGCAGACGTATCTACCGTGGTGGTACGTTGCTCGTCGGCGGACAGTTTTTTACCCGGGTGTATGAGCATCACCCAAAATATACCTTGCAGCACAGCCATAGACGTGGTAGCCGCGTAATACAATACTGACTGCATGCCTATGCGCTTACTGAGAGACAGGTCGAGTGATCCGATGGCCGACACTATGGATGATACCAGCAACGGTACGATGAGCATCTTGAGCATTCGTAAGAAAAGATCGCCGGGGAACTGTACGTAGCTCACTTCACGTTTGGTCCAGCTGAAAATATCAAGTCGATAAAAATGAATTACAACTACAAAAGCCTTAGTAAAAATGCTAATGTCACCGCTCTTCATTCAAAATCCCCATAGAGCACACTGGTCTAACATCACACTCGTTTTAACAGGTCAATCCGAGTGAGATCTTGGCCGTTTAGTGTATTTACTCACTCTGATTTGGACGCCTTCAACAAGAATCCTAGGCCCACACCACCAAACACCGACGCTATGGTCAGTATGGTGAGAAGATTGTGCGAAAAACATGACTGGGATGACTGGTCGTCGGCGACAGCCTGCTTGCTGAGCCTCCTGCCGGTGGTACTCATACCGGTGCCGGGCTTCAGCGGCGACCTGAAATGCAATCATAATGGTTTTTATATGTTTGTAGTCTCACGATATTATTACACGGTTTGCAGGTCAAGAATAGTGAGATAGGATTTATTAAAATAACGACTAAAATAATAATATTATGAAGGATTATTAAATTGCGGTTTGGTTTTGTCCGTTTATGCCGAATGTTAACTTGTACCAATTCTAAGCCAAGGAACCCAAAGACCTATAAGTCGCCTCAATCACAACTTATTATCACGGATTTAGTATTATGCGCTAATGAGAAACCTTCAAGCTCTTGCAACCGGGAAGATAACTTGGCAACAAAGTACGTGAAAAGCGTGTTAGTTATTTTAGGGCAAATCACGTTTGCGAAACTTGTTTACTCGGTATACAGAGTACGCATTAATCATTTTATAATTTATAGGTCGGGAAGTCATCGGCGATAACGTTGGGAAAAAACAACGAAAACAATATGTATATAATGAAAAAAGTTGTCAGATTCATTACGAAAACACTTCCAAATGTCATTTTCAATACTGTCTACGACCTCGAAAATTCATTTGGGACTACTGCCGCGTCCTATATATGGCTTTGTTCGCGCCCAAGTGGATGTCGTTTCTGCGAGACGGGACGCGTGCAAACGAATCCACCCATCGGGTTAATCTATTCGTGGTCGCGCAAAGATGGTCTCGTCTCTTTGACGAGAACAACTCCCATTTGTTTTTGCCTAACACGTGGCGGTTAGTGAAGGTGCTAAGAAAAGTCAGCGTGTGTGTGTGTATCTCGTCTGCGCGCTAAGCCGTTGAATGAATTGCTGTGGACGCGTTAGCATACATGCAGACCGGTTCATAATCTGCGCACAATAATAATAATGGCCATATTGGCGGCATTAAAACGCAATTAACGTGACGACGGTACCAATAATGCGGAAACTAACGGCCGACAGATATAATACCGCACCTGGAAACGCACGGGCAATAACACTTGGAACACCACATCTGACTTGGTCCTACAGAGGTTATCCTGCGGGGTTTTCGTGGGCGCGCTGTGTACTGCGGTCACACGTTGACTGTGCGATCGGTCGCCCCGGCCGTGCCGGTATCTTGACCTTGGTCAGTGCGACGGGTACCACAGTAGCCGCCGGCGCCCATGACCCGGTTGCTCGGCGGCGAACCGGTTAGGTTGTAAAGCGGCAGAATAAAAAAAAATAATAATAAAATATTATATAAAAAAATAAAAACACAAAGAGAGCTACTGCCGGTGGTGCCGCGGCGCGCGGGCCATTTATTGCTTTACCGCCATTCCGCGCGCCGGCTGCTATTGTACTAACAAGTCATTAAAATATTATTAAATCTCTGGGCACACTCACCAAACGGTTAGGTTTTCTATTAAAGTACGTGTAGGACGTCTCTAGTAGGTACGGTCTAGCGGCTGTAGGTAGGTAGGTAGACGGGTGTAGGTATATTTGTGCGTGTGGCAGAAGACGCGCCAAACTATCTTAGTACGTATAACAATACTAAACAATCACTGGACGGTATCACTGGCACTGCACGACGACTTATGTGTTTGGGACGCGCGTCGACTGACAACCGGTCGGCGTCGACGGCGGTTCGCATAGTCGTCCGCTGCTGGTGGGGGTCTCCCCGTGGTGTTCGCCGTCTCGTTCGCCTTTCCTGCCCATCATCGCACGGCCCGGTCCCGGTCAATAGGTCCCCGGTGGTCGACGCGATAAGGGAGATCGTTCAACTACACCCGCCCCGCGCTCGCCCGATAACATCTCATTAATTGTAGCGCATAAACTGGCGTGTGAAACGTCAATTAATTAGGCCGGATACGCCGGCAGATCCCACGGTAGCTCGCGCAATGCCGACGATGATATCATAATATATTACATGAATCAATTTAACGTCCTCGCGGGTCCCTTTGAACGTCCTCTCTTCGTCGCCCACCATCGGCGACAGAAAAAAAAACATCGACCAAACGGTCCACCGAGCGACCTCCTGCCCGCACGGCACCATAAAATACACATTTTAATAGATACAAATCGAAACAGCGTCTGACTCGTTGGTTCTACCGATATGATGTGTAATAATTATTCTAGTACAGTATGCAAAAAAAAAATGTAAGTTTGACACTATAATCCAGTATTTGGCAATGTAGTGTTTTTTTTTATATCAGATACAATTTTTTTTCAATGAATTTTGTATGAAAAAATGTATCTCAACGGTATAAAATATCTTGATATTCTATTTGATATTTAAAAAAAGAAAAACACTATATTGCCAAAATCTGGGGTAGTGCCAATCATTAGTGCTGTTCCCCTAAGTGTATTAAGCCGTTTATGGGCAAACAAATATGTTTAAGACATTTTCACACGATATTCTTTAAATGGTAATTTTATACATTGCTGCCTGTTATTATAATATAAAAACTCGTTGTGATACTCACATTTCGTTGTCGACGTCCGCTGAGTACATGGTCGGCCCTGAAGACGACTACGGAGGTGGTGGTGGTGATAAGCAACAACAATATATTAACCCCCTGTGACGGACGACAACAGAAATGACCACGCGTCGGTGACTATGACTAGTATATCATATATATATTTATATATGTGTGTATAAACTCAGATAATACAGATGTTAATAATAATATTATGAGTGAGTGTGCAAAGTCCGAGCGGTGCGGCCTATGAATGGAACGCGACTAGCACGTTGTCGATGAACGCGCGTGTACGGCGCACGGGAAGCCTTGGGTGCGGAGGCGGAGGCGGTTAGGTGCGGTTATAGACTCGCGTTTTGCATACAGATAGAACATAGCGTTGTCGTATAATATTATGTTATAGCAGTTAGCTAGTCGTCGTTGTTACAGTTGTGTTTAGCGAACGGGTTGCCGGCCGTCAGCTGATACCTGTTAACGACGTACCTACGACCCAAGGACGCATTATCCGTCTGGCCAAACAGTACATATTGTAACGCTCAAATCGCGAATACACCAAAATGCGTTAAGAGTCTGGCCTATTTTTTGCTACCGTCTAAATACCTAGTACGTTGCCGGTAGAATAGTTTCAGATACGGATAGAGCCACTCAAGCTACTCAAGGAACAACACGGCCGACCTTAAGCTGCACGGAAATTCAGTCCATTTTACGCAACCAAAGATGAGTGAGAGCGAGGACATTTTTAGACCCTTTAAAAACTTTTAGAACTCCTTCAAAAATGTTTGTGAAAATTAAAACCGTTACTTGGGACTACGCCTGTTTAATTACTGACATTTTCGAAAAGCCAGAAGGCGTTTTGAAGTTTTTTTAATCCCCTTACCCCTCGATTTGCACCAGTAGTACCCACTTAACTGACGACACAAAAGTGTCCATTGAATTTCTCGAGTTCAGGGAGTACGCTAATCAGCATCATTCGTTTTCCGTCCAAGTATCGGGTCTAGATCCTTTGTTTACGCATTCGGCCTAAAATCACAATATTATCCGTCTGTATATTATTGGTTCACATATAACACACACATTGCACCTCAGAATGGTCCATCAATCATTTAATACGGAACGTATCAGTCAGTAAGGGACGTATTTTATGATGTGCCGTGATTTCTATTTAATAGTTCTGAACACGGGTAGCTGCCACGCATGTGGGAAAGCGTTTTTGTTATGGTCATCTCACTGCTAAAGGGTTCCTACAGGTTCGGTTTTCCTGACTGCATCTTCCCGTTGAAAGATTAGCATCCGGTCAATTTTTAGTATTCACCTTTTTCAACAAGTTCAAGAGCTGTGTTATTTGTTTTATAGTTTTTTTAATTAAGAATATTAAGAATATTTAACTGAACATTTTGACTGATCGATAATTAGTTACGATTTATTATTTTTATAATTATTGATGTATATAGTTTAGACGGAAGGGAAAGGACGGTTGAGTAATGCTCGAAGATAAAATATCGCTATCCCTCCCCCCTGTCTAAATTCCATCGCCCCGAAGACAAATTTTGCAACGTCAGAAATAAACCAGACATAAATGCATCGAAACATTATCAATGTTAGTAAATTAGTCTTAATTTAAAATGTCAATAAAATACATACATTACATTTTAGGTTACGAAAGTTAATAGAGCACTGGATCTAATCAAAAGAGACAAATATTTGTTGTAAAATAATTTAAATAAAAATGTTTAAAAAAAATGAAAACTTTATACAAAACCAATATTTTCTGAGGAATTAAGTCTTACGTTAAAATTATCACCGGCCACCCTGTATAGACGAATAAAATAATTATGATAAATGCACCACTTAATTGCAGATATATTATCTATAATAACCATAACTAACACTCTTAATCATTTATATAATTGGCTGTGTGTATGTTTTTGTATATGTCCCGATATCATGTTACAATAACTGCTACACCGATATTGATGCAGTTTTTTTTAACAATTTGAAGCCAAATACCGGAAAGTTCATTGGCTATTTCAATTTTATTTAGTGGGTAAATTACCTCCTTAAAATAACCCTTCATTCTTATTATTTATTATATTTAATACTTTACGGTTAACAACACTAGTATTTATTGTTTCCATTTTACTACTTAGATTCCATTGATTTTTTAATTTTCGACAACTAATTTGAAAATGTTTTTAACGTTTTTACCATTTCATTTAGGTAGTACATAGTAAAAAACACTACTGCGAAAATCATTATCATAATATATTCAATATACAGGGTGATTCAAAAAGAATGAACCGATTCCATGATCAAATATTTTGTAAGTAAATGTATGAATCAGAATGAGGGAGTGGCTTTTTAAAAGATTAGGTTTCTAAGTTTCAAATGGTTGCTACGTGACCGCGCTAGGTGCATCGGTCTCCTAGGATACCTTTTCTGTGCTGTACCTTGCAACAAGGTTTATGGCCCATTTTTCTTTGAAGGAAACTCTGTTATAGGGCAAACCATCGAGGATATGCTACGAAAGGGCTCTTCCCTTTACTGGAAGCTGATTCAAATGAATTCATTTTTCAACAAGATGGGGCACTTCCCCACTGGAGCCTATCAGTTAGAGCATTTTTAAATGAAACTGCTTCAGCCCTGTAACAGAGTTTCCCTTGAAGAAAAATGGATACAGCACAGAAAACGTTTACCTTAGGAGACCGATGCACCTGGCGCAGTCACGTGGCAACCATTTCAAACTTAGAAACCTAATCTTACAAACAGCCACTCCCTCATTCTGATTCATACATTTACTTACAAAATATTTATTAATAGAATCGGTTCATTCTTTTTGAATCACCCTGTATTTTGCGATGTTCACCATAATTATTGCATGTTTTTAATGTTTAAGGTTATGCTATCGCTACGAGTTCAACAATATTATAAACAAACCGAAAGCGCAATATTCGCAATGTTAGTAGCTACCAATTTGAAGAACGGTAGGTGTAATAAATCTATTAGTATCCATCTATTAGTAGTTTATACCTAAAATACTATTTATCATTTACATTTTTATGTTTTACTATTTTTTTATATTGTCTTCACTCTTCAGATTTAACTGATGGAAATCAAATTTTTGAAAACCGTTTAAAACTAGTAAAAGTATCATAAACGGTTTTGAAAAACTGTAACTAGACGAGAACCTTAAAACTAATTAACCGGCTTCAGTAACCGAAACCAGAACATTGTACACAAATTGTCCGAGTTTAGTCCCAATTGGGGATATGTAATAAAATGGCTATCCCAAAAGACAGATTACTTATAAAATTAATCCGTTGAATGTATTTTTAGTATACAAAGTCTACTAATACTTATTAGTGAACTTTGTGTCATTTTATCTATTTTTAAATAATTTGTGTAATATAAGCTTGGGTGTGCACCCCAGTTTTAAAATTACCATTCCCAAACTATGTGCCATTCTTTTTATAAATTATTTGAGAAGAAACGCTTATACTATTCTCCATTATTATTCCCTTCTTTTAGTAAAATTTCGCTAGTGCTTGGAATAAGTATGGTTAGATTAAGTGGTTGTAGTAAATGCCTACTGGGGTCACAAATCTCTGTGCCTATATATTCTACACACCGTTACAATCCGTTGTATAAACGGGATACGGGGTTTACTACTAGTTAATAGAATTATGTTTTACATCAATAAAAAAAAAACCGGTATAAAGTAGGGTCGATATTAGAACTAAAAAAATTACTTTAAATAAAAACGTTTTTGATGCGATTTTGTACACAGTGAAAAAAGATTAAATATTTATCTAAATTACTATATGGCCTATGGGCATTAAATGTAGTCCGAGGCGTCTAACAAACCTTGAATAAATGTCTAACTCGTTGGACCAACAAGAAAACTTTGAGAGAGATACGAGTTATTGGCTAAGTTGGGATTTATGGCAGCTGGTCAAAGTTTAAAATCGCTTCCCTGTAAAATTATTGAAATCGACTTATACACTTATAATAAGGATATAAGGATATTAGGATATATAATGAATAATGATAAAATAATATATATTATATAAGGATAGTCAAATAGGTAGGCACTTAATTAATGATGAGCCACGGAATATGATTTATGAGAAATATATTATTTATCTTTTTATGATTTATTATAAAACTACTAAAAAATGTAGTCCTTAACTCTAATTTTTTTTAAAGTTTTAAAGAGCCTTGTTTTTAAGTTCAACAATGCATCGACATTTAGGCTGTTTGTCCCGATTTATTAAGACAAGGGGTAACTGTTTGCAAATTTTAGTATTTGACTTTCAAATTTATGATTTGTGATTTATAGATGGGCTATAAAAAGACATGATCAAGGCGATAAAAGTTATCGTAGGTTTATACATACTAAAAAAACAATTTTAAAATGAATACCTGAACGCGACGAACCTAAAAGTAAATATAAATATAAATAAAAAGTAATTTTAATGAATAAAAAACAATATTTTCATTGTATGTTTGATTGATTGGTTTTACAATTCTTATTCAAAATAAATTTGTAACATTTGTTAACGTGTACTCAAAATTAGCTCTCATTAGTTAGTACAAAATATTAAGAGTTATTTGTTGATAAAATTACTACATTTTAAGTATTTAAAATGTGTATAACATTATTTTACTGCTTATAGCTTAGATGTGAAAATGAGGAAGTATTTGTAGTAGAATGATGTGTTTAAAAAACAAATTATAATTATTTTTGTTTTTAGGCTTACGAGAACTTTTTAACCGCTGGACCAATTTCCTTAGAATTCATTAAAATAAACAATCTTTAGATGAGAACTAATAACCAGAGATAATTCTAAATAAAAAAAAGCTTACAAAAGTATGTCCTTTTCCCTTAAACATTAAACTCATATTCCTCAACTAAATACAAAACACTAAATAATTTTCAACAAAATACAGCAAACTTTAACTGTCCGAAAAATAGTAAAAGTAGTTTCAAGTAGTCAAATTTTATTGTGGTATTCTTTAGATGTAGCTTATTCCCCAAGGATAAGTAACAACTCTTTATTCCATTATTTAAGTGAAGTTTTTGGATTTATAGTTTGAAAATAAACTGGAGTTAGGTCTAGTGTATATAATCAAAAACGAATTTGTTTTTATAAAAAAAAGTTGTATATTTTAGAAAATGAAAATCTAAAAACATATACGTATGCATCCATAGGTTAGTATGCTCATGCAGATGGATAATATGAAATAGCTTTTAAAACAATATATAA